CCCGCGATAATGGAGTTTCTTCATTCGAAAATTGGCTCGTCCGTAGGTTGCCAATCGTGAAGAAACCCCAAGCGGGTAGTAGTTATAGATCGTTCAGGCGAGGAATTGATAATCAAACGCATCACCGAGACTTTGGCCCACATACAAGCGACCCCTATTCACAGGGGGTACCGTGCATTATACAGTGGAGAGGTCATCTCGACGCGATAAATATAGTATACACAAATATATATGCGATAAAAATTTTCACGTTGACACCAATGCATACCAAAACACGTGTATCGGGTGTGCATGACGGTGAATTATTGTCGAAAAAAATTTTCTATCGCTCGTCACGTGCTATGAAAGAGCAGAGATTTTACATTGGAATTCAGAGGGTGAATAATCGTTTCGTTCTTCAAGGGTTGTTATCGCGAAAGGACTCACCGCGTTCGCATACGGCACAACCGGATACAGATATATTGGGCTGTTCGTTGGATCTCGAAAAGTCGCAATTACATAGCCTAGCGTGATTTCGTGTCTTTGCGAGCCTCCGTTCTGTGCTCGCGCCCGTCGTACGTGCGAGTATAAAAAAAGGGGGTGCAAAAAAGATATTGAAAAAAAAACGAAAAAAAAACGAAAAAAAAAAAAGAATCTCTCAAGAGACGGGACCCGCGAGCAAGGTAGAGACCGTAGGTAGGAGGAGCCGTACGTGTCCGCGTAGCCCTTAAGCGGTAGGGGTCTTCCACGCTAATGAGGCGCAGCGTAATTAGTGAGACTGTCTGGTGGGTGGGTCCTCGAACGAGAGGGTGGTTCTCTCTGCGAGCTCCTCTCTTTCTCTCCGTCTTCCACTTCCAGCTCCGCTTTCAGTTTTCCACCACCCCTCGTTGAAGAGGGAAGAGCCACGGACTACGTCAGGGACCCCCCCCCCACCTCCCACCGCCCCGGAGTACACTCCAGAAGCCCTTATGACCATCAGAATGACGATGCTTTTCAGGCACCTCCTCACCACCGTTGTACGTGCGACTTTTCACCCGATCTCGTTAATTTGACCTTCGCCCGGAACCGAAAACTCAACCCGACGCCTCTTTCGTCCCCGACAAGACTCTCGTGACGGTCGACGTGCTCCCGGCGCGCCCTCTGCGAAAGAGCTACACTCCTTTTCTCACCAACGTCCGTTCCCACTCGTACGAAATTAGGCTGAAACCAGCCGCGACAAGAGATTAGCACAATTTTAGCAGCTGACGAGAATAAAAATGAGCCCCGGTAAGATCGTTGACTTTGAGCAGAAATATCTTCAGGTTAATTTAACGGTTCCGTCGGGAATCACGCATCGCGGATCTGCCGGGACACGTTACGTTATCCCTCGGGCAGGTTCGACGGTAACAACAATGACGGAGGGAGCTGCGCGCGTGTTTTGGGTGTGGGTACCAGCCGGTTTGGGTTTCGAATGGCTGTAGGACCGATTTCGAGCACAATGCGGCTCAATGCCGGTGAAATTAGCCGCGGCGCTGCTAGTGACGCCCGTCAGAGGCACACTATTAAAATCCCCCAGGATCCCCATAGATCTCGTCGGAGCTCCTCCACCACCACACGCGCAACGTGCCATCTCGCGTGATACGATGATTGCGAGACTGATTCGAGTGTCCTATCTCTCCCACGTATAGATACCTCGGTATATACCTCGGTATACGAGTATAGGCACTGTAGGACAGTGAAACAGTTGGGCATCTATGATTTACCTGTTAAATAAATTTTCTTAAAATATCTGAAAAAGTACCTATGCGCCTTCGGGCCTCCGTATATCCCGGCCGCGACATGTGTACCGACATTCGTTTTTTTTTTTTTCAACTTCGTCCTCTGCCGCTGCTCTCGCAGAGCGATGGAGCAGAAGAGCGTATCCCAGTAACAATCCGGTAGCCGGGTTTCACCAGACCGTCCTGGTAGCTCTTGGTAGCGTGGGGCGACCCGGCTCGTGGGGTCCGTGGGCTTCGTCTTGGCAGGGTCCGCGCGACGTTCGAGTGTTTGCAGTCCACTCGAGGCTCGTTTCGAACGAGCACGGGAGTCCGCTTCGCGAGACCGCCACCGACGTGGGGAAGCAGACATGCGAGGCAGGAACGAAGCTTAATTTGTCTAACGAGGGACCCCACCTGTCATCTGGATGGATATAGGGAGATGGATGGATGGATGGATGGATGGATGGATCCCTCTCTTGGACCTCTCTTCTATCTTACTGTACCTCCTGCGTGTGTGTATACACGCGTATAGATATACATACACCACGTGTATAGACGTTTGCTTGACTTGCTTACTTGGCGGGTTGCTTGTCTAGTTGCTTGCTTGCCTTCCTGTCATGTTAGGCACTAGCCATGGTACCCCGGTACAATCTTGCTGTTTACTCAACAGCCCATTTCACTAAAACGTGATATCTTCCCTCTCACTCTCGCTTTGCCATTAGAGCTCGATATGTCTCTCTCTATGTACTATTTCCGCTCAGACTAGGAGAGGAACGCTCGCGACTGGATGGATGCGTGACACCTTTGCTGCACGGTGGATCGAGAGACGGTTGTGCCATGGGAAAATGCTCGGTCGGAAGAATTAATGAGATTTCGGGAATATTGAATTGGGAAGTGTGCTATTTATGATTGGTTGTTTATATTGGGCGAGTGATTTGTGTCGGAGAGAAGTGAGGGAAGTCGATTTGTAACGTTAGAGAGGGATAAAGTCAGATTCGATATTTGCACTAGAGACAGCGTTAATATTTTTTTTAGAGAGCCGAAGCTAGAAAAAAGAGTGTTTTATAGGATTGGCAAAAACTTAAAGACGAGGGGATAGACTTTTTTTTTCTTATCTGGACAAGAATCCGTATACCGAAGCTCCCTGGTTACGTTCTTCGGGATTCGCCTGTTTCTGGCGTTTACTCTTAGCAGTAAATCAATCACACACCGGACCCCACGTGACCACTTTCTTTCTTTTTTATGTATACCCAGCTATACCATATACTTTAGTGACGTATAAGTATGCGTATAGGGGAAAACGGCACGGTGCGTCGAAAGATACAAAATATTGTATAAGCTCGTCCCTCGGGTGTCTGAGAGACACCTCATAGTCAGCAACGTTGCTGTCATTCATTTTTACATAAGAATTAAATGACTGACGGATCATCAGTCATCGTTTGCTCGGAAGATACTATACGTCGTCCTACATGTAGGATGGTTTTTATACAATTTTTTTTTAATTTTTAGCAATTAACAAAAAATAACGTCAGAGCACATTAAACACAAGAAATTTTAGTAGCATTTGAAAAATCATCGACCGTCATGTCTTTTTGTAGGGACAGTCAGTCCCGACGTATGCAAGTACGATCCCTGTGTGTATTGCATAGACACGTGTCGGAGTGCTTGATAATGAGAGAAAATATTCTCTGCATGGTCGCGCGCCATGATTCATAAGTCATATATAGCAGCCGAGTCAACAATAATGAATTACCTATTAGGGGCGAGGTCTAGATATAAGGCAGCACGCGCCAGTTTTGCATTTTCTAACCAGCCTCCCTTGTAGAATGGGAAACCCTCGGCTCCGCCGAACGTACTCTCGTACGCCCCTTTTAAATTATTTTTTCGTACCGAGTGATACAAGTACAGATTTTAAACTACGATTTGTCCAACAGATAGAGGAACTGCTTCGTTGCGGTGAGGTTAGAATAAATTTTTGAAAAAAAAAAAAAAAAAAAAAAAAAAAAAAATTGCGACTCTCATACACTCGGCGTATTTTTTCATTGAGGTGATGCTTGTAAAATTTTTGACTTTTTTTTTTCATTTTAGTTATGCAAATTTACAATCGCTGCAGCATAGTTGTTACGGTACCCGCCGGACGTTACAAGCGGGGTAGGCGTCGAGGATTTGAGGGAGGGACACGGGGTACATCCACTAATTGGATAATTACGGAGTGCACCGCGTTTGTTTTATAATTGGGCAAAACGAACGACGGACTCTCTACCGTTCTCCGTGCTCTCTCTCTCTCTCTCTCTCTCTCTCTCTCTCTCTCTTCGTTCTCTCACTCTGTCGCTCGGTCGACGTGCCAAACAACGAACCAACCCGAGTCACGCGCTACGTGACAAACTACCCCTGAAGCTAATCCAAGTCGAGCCTTCGGCTTTCAGCCCTCTGTAGAACTACCCCAACACCCTGTACTTACGATCTATGCCTTCTGCCTCCTGACCGAGGAAACGCCAGGAATTGGAATCAATTACGAATAATTTGCACTTTGCAAAAATTTGCTATTTATCGAGGCTCATTTTTTGCAACCGATAATTTATTTGGACTGCCCCCGGTACAAGAGACGCGTCAGTGTGGGCATATAGAAAAATTAATGAAAGATTAAAAAATCTTAGTTTATTCCGATAGCAAAAAAATTGTGTAGAAAATTTCGGTCGCGAATTTTAAAATCGGCTGTTTCAAGGAAATGCAAAAAAAATGGTCCGAGGTGTTCGCGTAAGTTGCGCAAACCGAAAGACAATTCTAGGGTGATTATGAAATCCCCCGAAGGGCAGGAAACAATAAAGCACTCGTCGAACATGTCAGCCGTGATACGTAGTGCACGGGAGCCACGCGTGCGTTTTAATTCTACTTTCGTAATCCGCATACGTGGGGGTCTTGGGGCTTGAGTTAGAGAACGATTGACTGACTGACTGACTGACTACAAGGTTTATGGGGTTGCGCGGCCCCTCTTCTTCACGACCGGAGCCCCTTCTTTCCCCCTACCATTGGCCATGTGCACACCCCTGCAAATATGTATGTACAAACATCGGAACGAACGCTCGAGTCCTACTAACTCTCAAGATCTGTCATTAATCAATAAAGCACTCCGGAGAGTCGCACGAGAGTCATTCATGACCTGGGAGCTGCGCGGATTTCTCACAGTGATTCTTTTTTTATTTTCTGATTTACAATTGTACCTTGCACTTAACATCCTTCGATAGATTTTATTTTGAATTAGTGACAAGAGGTTAAAGAACTCACCACGATGTTGCTGATATGTATTCTGAGGCGGTGGTACATATCCGTACATGGGTGCATTTCTGTTGTTATTTGTGTGATGTCTGGAATATTGATAAAAAAAATGTTTAAGTTACTAGAAAAGCACTAGATTTACCAGAGAAATGGGGGTAGGTTTATAAAAAAAAAGAAAAAGAAAAGCTCACCCAAGCATACGATGACCAGCTTCTCCTAATGAAGCTACTTGTTTCGAAGGAGTAAATCCTATCTGGGGTCTCCATTGGTTTCCACTGTTACGATTCATCTGTTCAAAGTCCTGGGGTTTCAAAACTCTAGGAGGTTCTTTAGCCCCCTTCAATTTTCTTGCTGGGAAAATATGGTTCGATGGATAATGGGGATCCCGGAATTTTATACTGTAATAAGAGAAATGAAATGTTAATTTAAAATGGACAACGATACTCTTGACAAAATTGAATAGGCTTAACTTTATTAATGGATATACCTACCAATAGACTTTATTATTTCGTACGGGGAGGCCATTGATGGGCGAAGGCAGAGTTGCGCCATCGCCAACGCAGTCGTTAGCCAATAAAACTGTGCCTCGCATCCCGTCTATAGATATTTCCGTTTCCGTGGTGAAATTAATGCGGTTCGTGTAGAGTCCTTTTATAAATGTATAACCGCTGTTACCCAGGCCTACGTAAAGCCGATCATTGCCACAGACGTTGCGTTGTTCTGCAAGTGAAATTACCATTGCAAATTTTAAATGCCACTTACGCATTACTTTACTTTTTTTTTTTCATTCAAAGAGAGAATACTTACTCTCTGCCTCTGTTAGACTATCGTAATACGGCTCCAAAGCTTTGAATAATCTTTTCTCATCGACAAAGGGTAACAGAGCTACACCCTGCCAGGCGAATTTCTTCCCGTTCAAATCGATCTTAAAATCCTCAGGGTAGAAATCGATAATGGGGGATTTCTAGAACACCAGGACAAAATAGGTAATTTAATTATATACACGGAGAATTTGGACGGTGATAAAATTGACGTTGCTCTTTTAATGAAATTAATGAGAACTTACAGGATCACTCATTAGTGGGGCCCAAGGTGCAGGTACGTGACGACTACTCGCTGCTGGAAATACTCCCATTAATTGTTCTAGTGGACGGAACTGTAAGTTAATTAAAAAAATATATTTTTTATCGAAATTACAAAAATAAAAATATTACAAGATTTCTAATTGTAATTAAAGTTATGAGCAAAGCATGCATTACGTTTTTTGGAATTTATAATGCGTACCGGTTCTGTTCCTTTTTCAAATTCTGTAGAAAGGCCGCCAATGTTAATAAAGTCACTAGCAAAAGGTGCATAGTGGTATGGAAAGTACCACTTCCATGAGGCACACCCTTGATAATAATAACGCAATACCCAACAGAGTCCACGAACGTATTGAAGTGCTACGTTGTTTCTGTGGAAAACAAAGAGCAATATCGAAAAATGACGACTTCTCTAAAAGTTTATCAAACAGATGTACATGCTTCAATTAAAGCAAAAAGCTTACCTAAAAGCGAGGTTGTCAGACGATACGTCAAATTTCGATTGATAATAACGGTCCTTGAATCCATCTTCCCAAAGTCTGACCTCATCGTGCGCCTGGTCGTCATCAGATTCTTCACCTTCAGTTTCTTCATGCTTACGTTTTTGTCCTTTGTTAGCTGAGTCCTAAATTAAAAAAAAAAAAGATATTCACTTTTTTGTAATTTCCGAAACGACAATTGACGGAATTATTGATAATTATTAATGAAAATTATTTACTTCAGGGACTAACATACTCTCCAGAGCAGTGGCTGCATTTGTACCCTTTAATGCTCTTTCTGTGGCACTGGTATTAAAATTACGACCTTGCATTCTCATTTGATATGCTTCATGTCGTGCATTCTGTACAGGTTTTACGCCCTGACCTAAAGGCTATAAAAAGAAAGATATCATATATTACATAGCCAGAGGTTCATGTAAGAATTGATAACATTAATAAAGATGGTTAATTTATTTATTTACTGTTGGTGCAAATTGTCCAGCTGGTACCCAATTGGGCTTATAATTGCTAATAGCCTCCATACGTCTTTTCTTGTTTTTCTCACGCTGTTTGAATGCCAACTCATTTTGTTGTCTCTTTTTAAAGATTTCATCTTCAACGTCACCAAGGTCAGACATTATTAATTGTACTCTGTCCAAATTGACATCCCCACTGTCCGTCAGAAATCCCTAAAGAACCAACATTTACTTAGCATATGCAATTTTAGATTATTGTAATTTGTTAATGGATTAGATATTTAACTAGTTAATATTACGTACCCCTGTTTTGTACACAGTCTTTTTGTATAAGTTTACAAGTCTGTCAATGGCTCCTTCTCGAATTTCCAATGATGGAAGATGTGGTAGAAAATCATTCCCTACGAAGAAACACATAAAGACCCAATCGTCGATTGCTCGCTCAAAGTCATACTTGAACGGCAGATTAGGCATTTGCAATTCCCTTTCCAAGTATTCTCGAAGCACATTGAGACGTACAAATATAAACTGGCACTCTGATCCAAATACACTTTCTTCCTCTTTTTGATTTGGCTCTGATCCTGTGCAATCCTTCATTTCGTGACCCAACTGGCCACATATATCGCAAGGTCTGGGTTTGTTCGGTTTAAATTCTTCACGAATGATTGTAAAATTTGGCTCATGGGTTGCAAGACCCAACATTATTAAATCCGCATCAGCACCACATAGTACGTGCTGTGTATTGGGATCATGATCTGGCTGTCCTAATAAGAAATTGTCTTAATGACGTAAATAGATCTTTTAAATTTACTTTATACAATAAAAAATTATATACCCCTTTGGCGTCTAATATAATCCATTATTTTATGCTCTCCTTCACCAGGAACATTTGCATCGCTTAATATTACTTTAATATTTCTCCAACCTGGATCGTTATTTAAACGTTCATGAATGTAATAATGTAAACAAGCTGATAATCGTGCCATAAAAGGGGTTCCCTAAAATTCGTTAAGTATCTTGTGAATGTTTTGTTTTTTTGTAAATACTTTACTTTGTTGTCAGAATGACAGTTTACGTACTGGTGTGATGCAGTTACTATCAAAATGGTCTCCTTTTGATTTTTCTGGAGGTAAAAATGCCCCTTTCAAAGCTAATTCAGAACGTATTCTTTCCATTTCAGTTATTTTCTCATTTGCCTCCTTAGATGCACGAAAACGTCGTGATCTTTGCTGATTCATTTTAGCTCGTGGAGCCTAGAATAAAATAATAAAGATATACTACATTTTAAAGGTCTACTGACATTAAATAAATACTTACAACTCCGTCAATAGCCATATAAAGCAATTTTCTTGGTCGGACAATACAGAATAATCTATCGATGCATTCAAAAATTGCTTCCATCATTTCATCTTCATTTTTTGGTGGAGGCCTATAATAAAAAAAACAATGTTTATAAATAACTTTTTATTTTAAATAGGACTAAATATACATACTTGTCTTCAGGATGTGTACAAGGATGAATTATTCCATTCATATCCAAATACAAATTATCAAATTCGATTCCATTAGGATTGGGATCTGCTGAATTAACTGGAACACGAACTCCACTAGTTGATGTTGGCTAGAAGAAAGATATACAACAATGTTCATACAAGTAATTCAAGAAATATCTCTGCTGTATAAAAAGCTGTAACATAAATTACTTGTATAACCTATAGGGTATTATGATTATTAAGAACTCTCATAAATAATTAAACATTCTCTATAAATATGATCACTATACAAACATTGGATTTGTCCTCAATATCATGAAAAATTGAATTAAATTGTAGAATGTACAAGTTCGTGAATTTTTCATGAAGAAACAGAATGATTAACCTACCTTTTGCTCAATACATTCGACAATCACTGACGGATATTTACGGCTAAGCCACCGGAAAAATGCTGGTACACCCATGATTTTCTTGATATTTTATAAAGAACACACAAAAACAGTAATTTCACTATAATATGTGTCAATTTATATAAAATTATGCCAACTGTGTACAAATGTTACGTGCTCCATACCATACAACACAGAACACCAATTCACAACGCTGCATGTTTCAGTTTGTGAATTCTGGACAGAACTAAAATCAGATTATTTGTTCAAACTGTATTACCTTAGAGAGAGAGAGGTACCATATCACGATATTAAATAAAACTCTAATGGTAACACATAAATTACATTACCATAGTTGCTAATTTATCTATTGATAAAATACCAAATGATATACATTTGTGTATACTTTATTACAATAGACAATTAATAAATAAATTAATGAAGTCATAATATACTCTAAGTCAAAATATATATTTATATGCATTAATAAGACAGTGTATATCTATACAAAATCCGCAAACATTAATAAGAAAAAATTATATAAAACTGTTCCTTACTTGAAAATTTATTGATGACATTGGTTTTCCGACTTTGACTTAAGTTCTTGTCATAATCATATTCTTTGATTTAATGACATCCTATTATAATATATAACTGTATTTAAGAACAAGTGTTTATTTCGACTTTAGCGATTTTAAAATTATATTCCAGCTTCCCTTTTTCTGCCTCTGCAGTAAAAAATTTGTACTTCAGTCAGCTTGGATTTCTGCCGTTAACGTTCAAACGTTTTGGAATTACAGAACGAAAAGTTGAGTAGGCTTGACTATTCTTTTTTATAAGGGATACAAATTGTCGCGTAGTACCTTATTTTTAGAAAAACTGTTGCCTATGATTTGGTATAAAGAATAACTTGGTAAGTACATTTACTAACCTTACATTGACGTTTTGTATAAAAATCATAACACTGAAAAATATGCTTTATTTATCGAAAACTTCGCAAGTATCTATCATTTTTTGATATTATTACATGCATTTGTTTTCACTGCATTTATGTATATTATCCTCGAACAAATTACCGTATATGTTGATATACGATTATTAGTGTACGAGGTTAGCAGAGGGATTTTGTATTGTTTAATTGTTTATTCATTAATATATTACGACCTTTTTTTCATGTGAACTCTATTGTTTTAAATTTAAATTTTGTCAAATATTAATGAATCTGTAGATTTCAATAGTTTATTAAATATAAACTATTTTTTAACTCTGTATTTAATTTTTACATTTTGATTGTGTCTCTACTCACAGATATATATTTTTATGAAACAAAATATTCATAAAAGTAATGATTACGCTTAGAGGAAAATTAAAAAAAGATGGAGATGTCTCAAACTCAAAGAGTAAAGAATATAATAAACGTGCCTCTGTCAGGGATAAACTATTGGTTAAAGAGGTAAGGTTAAGGACGATAATTCAGTTTCAATAAATATGATAGACAGTATATATCAAATATAAAATAATTGCAGGTACAGGAAATGGAACAAACTCTTCCTAGTACATGTCAAGTAACATTTGACGATCCACATCGATTACATGAATTTATACTAATGATTGTTCCTGATGAAGGCTATTGGGCCGGTGGACGATTTTATTTCCAAATTTCAATGTCTGAAGAGTACAACATGGCTGTGTGTAACAATTGTTCTAAAACTTTGTATCAGTGCGAATATAGATGCTAATCCATTGTTGTTTACAGCCACCGAAAGTAAAGTGTACAACTAAGTTGTGGCATCCAAATATTAGTGAAGAAGGAGCTGTGTGTCTCTCAATACTTAGACAAAATAGCATCGATGGAATGGGATGGGCTCCTACACGAAAACTTAAAGATGTTATTTGGGGATTGAATTCTTTATTCACAGTAAGTCATGCACATATAAAATTTGAATTTATTATCAAAATTAGTGTGACAGATAAGAGGTATCCGCCGCGGTATAAGTCAATGATCTTATGTCGCTCCACTTTGCACCTCCTGCATGCATGATATTGCAAATCGAGAACAATAGTATGTTAAGATTCACTACTTTATATTTATTTACATACATTACACAGGTGCAGTTGTATCATCTGAGTTTAAGTCAGAGCTTAGCTAATCTCATTCTAAAATAAATTTATGCCGTTCCAACTAACTGACCATAAGTGTTAAACCGTTGGGTTAAACTAAACTTAAGTTTAAGCATAAACAATAACAGTGGGTTTAAATATGTGATCTATCATTAATTTTTCATAAGTTGACAAAGTTATAATTCACCTACTGATGAATTATACGTATTTTTCGTTTATCCATGGTACTCTCGATCTTACATATTCCGTTTACTCGAGATTCTACTGTATAAGAAATGTGAAGTGGCTATGCATATCGCGTAAACTAAACTTTTGTTCTTTTGTTTGCAATAGGATCTCCTAAATTTTGATGACCCCTTGAATAGAGATGCGGCTGAACTATATCTAAAGGATAAGGATTCTTTCAGGAGTAAAGTAAAGGATTATGTTAGACAATATGCTAAAAGATGATTGCCATCCTGGAGAAAATTAATCCAAAAACAATTAATTGTACATTTACTAAATCAACTCTGCGGTTTTTGTCAAACCTTGAACTACAACAGATTCTGAGATATGTTATATTGATCATTATACATTTAATGTTTTGCTACTAGTCCTCTTACGTCGAGCGATAATGTTTTCCTCACAAGTCTAATTAGCAAAAATATTTTTGCTTTTGACACATTTGATTTAATCTTAATAGTACCTATGATCTTTGCAGATACTTGCTGTACGAAATATGTACAATAAGTTTATCTGTGTCACAGCGAATTATTGTCATGGAGAGAAAGTAATTGTAAATAAAAAAATATTTAATAATAATCAGTATTTATGTTCTTTGCCTACATGTGTCTTTTCCATATCGCAGAAAAAAAATATAATTCATTAGATTCCAAAAAAAGAAAACATTGCATTTCAATTATTTACTGGACCAAGTAATTCAACGAAAATCAATGCAACATTGCACAAGAATTGAAATCGTATGATCAAAGGTCTAGATGTACTGAATTCTTCATTTCAATAATATTTACAAATGTTATTGGTGATTCAGGGACTAGAGTTGTAAGCATTCCCTTCACTTCCAGCACCCTGATCATCTCAGGTTGGACTTCCTTTTTGATTTTTCTTTTTTCTTTAGTAAAACATATGCAATTCAATAAGACATTAATAAATTCTTTGAATGAAAATCAATACTAAAATATTATCTGTTTAGAAAATCTGAATATAAAAATTTATTACTAAGAATATCTTGTGATTAAGCTTATGTTATTTGATACATAGAATGTATTCTGAGTATATGGAAGACCTGCAGACGTCAGATCTCATTCTCCATATACTTATAATATATTTAGGCGCCATCTGAAGTTAATCTGTCCATTTGATTTCTATGATAGAACTAATTTCAGTTATATTTGCGTTTTAAATAACCTTTTACCTGGTATACATTTATGTGATAAGGGATTTCTCAAATAACGGTCAGATGAAATGGATCAAATCATCCTTACATTATAATAATAAAAAAATAAGGGCTTGTTTCAAACTTGATATAACACGAAGAATATATCATAATTTTAATGATACGATCTGGTAACACATTTATTGGACAATACCATATACGTATCTATTTAGTCATACAAAACCTAAGATTATTATATTTATCTATCTGCATGTTAAGTCGTTTTTGATTAAAGACAATTTCAAAAGGACTGTTTAAATTATATCAATTTTCGCGAAATACAATATAATAAAGAATATATCTATAACCATTTGAATCCTTATAAGAAAAGTTGAAGTAAATCTAGCAAATAATGTCTTTAAACTCACTGCATTTGAAATCCTAATTTTGAGAGTATTTCTTATGAAGCTAGATCACTCGCATTATTTAATCCATAACAAAATCCTCGTTACATAACTTTGACCTCTAATGAATCATACATTCAAATTTTTTAAAATATGTGCTCAAATCTTACCTTCGTGCCTTTTAGACAAGTGTAATTAATAAAAAAAAAAAACGTGTTGGAAAATTCAATTAATTTAATAAAAATATTCGTTACTTACATCTTTAAAATTTTTCAAATGCTTTAGTTTGCTCTTGGGATACGACGCGTAATTTATTTTCCCATTTCTTTTATTTTACATACGATTCACAATGACAAATGACATATCTGAGCTGTTGCAAGTGTCAGGTACTCCATCTTTCTCAAAACGGAATTATCTTTCGCAGAAATATTCTTGCGACATAACAGCGTTTCTTACGTATTTTTAATCGCGGAACTGTGGACTGTTTCGCTGAAGAAGATAAAAATAACAAAAATGGCTTTCCAAAGATAACGATTACTTTCCCTGTTTATTTTTAAAAAATCATCTAATTTCAATTCTTGACAAATCAGGTCCTGGCATTAAAATAACTATAATAATTTCTAAAGAAAGCGATACTTGGAGTACAAGCGTACATATTTAGTCTATCATTGAACAATGCGACTAAATATTTGTATTTATGATGAATTTGTGATGAATTCATCTGGCTCACGTCATTTTTGGAAACGATCCTGAACCTATCATAAACGTTAATGATGGTTCCAAAGTGTGGATAAGTTCATGAGATGTTCATCATTTGTTTCTATTGAAAATTCAGTCAAAATTAAGATCTTTTGATCCATGATGAATAGGTTGATCCAATATAGGTTGAGAATTGTGTGAAAATATGACGTCAGCCAGAGGGTCATAATGAACAGTACTATTTTTACATAAAATATCATAAGAATAATTTGTTGAAAATCAAATCTTTTACTCATTATGCTCTTTTTGTTTCCATCGCTTCTCCCTGATTACATACTAGTTAAGTTTTCTTCTTTTCCATCGATTGTCAATTGTTTAAACAAACATCCGGTTAATGATAAAAGCGAAATGAATCACAGGTGAGACATTCCAAAAACGCAATACTGATTATATTATGCCAGGCGATCAGTTAAGAATGCCAATTTAGTAGGAAATCCTTATAGGTGATAAAAAAGTACCATTCACAGTATAAACCTGCAACGTAATCTGGTATAAACATCTCATATTGTACACGGATGATACATTAACTCTTATCAGAGGCGATTATATAAATTCAAATCCTTGTAGAATCCTATGCTATTGCAGTTCGCGATTCCTTACGTGAAACGTCGATAGATATGATTATTCAATGAAATATGAACACACAAATTAATTGTGCTATAACTAAGTACTGATAACAGAAAAAGAAACGATTTCATTTCATGTTGTATTTCGTCCCTTTGCTCTGCCGGTATCCATTTAATTTTAACACGGTGGAATTTCAAATTTCCCTCCTTTGACGCGGACGTAGTATTTTTTAAAAATGGTTCTAAGTTTTACCGAATGGTTTTTGATGTCAGTGTTGATAATTATTCTCAACGTGCTGGAGATTTATAGCCATGGAATGTTGATGGTACCAGTCAACAGAGGAAGTGCCTGGAGATATGGATATAATACACCAATCAATTACGATGATAATGCCAATTTCTGTGGTGGATTCGCGGTAGGTTTATTTTAATAGATAACAAATCAATTGCATCAATCTTTCATTAGACACTTTAGCGATCGAATATTAATTAAAGTAGTCAGTACTTTGGGATTTATGATGAATCATAAGATTGATGTTTTATGTGTCATCCAATATAAACATACATATATGTATAGTTTCCATGAGTCAAACAAAATTTAAAGGACTCTTGTTCATTGAATTCCATAAGAAGATGGCCCCTCTAAATATATATTACTCACAGGCACGATACATTTCCAAAGTGAAATTACAAAAATTAATCAAGGGACTCGGTCGAGTCTCGCGCCAAGTACAAGCAACCCGCCGTACGGGGCACGGCTCGCAGAGACTCTTTACCCGAGTCAACTCTTATACCTGTGTTTGAAACGAAATATCTTATGAACCGCTATATATGAGAAAAAATTATTGATACATTCACTATAGGAATTGAGGGTTCCTTGTATTTCAGGTGACAGTTTGTAGAGATATAAGATGTCCAGGTGTTCCTTTCCGTTGTTTCTTGTATCTTTTGAAAATACAATTAAAATGATAGGCCAGTGCTAGATCATATAATAAGCAGATATGTACTGACTTAAGTACTTGGCATTAATAATATGATTTCAAAACTTTTTGTTAGAGGAATTCACAGCACATGATAATAATCGTCATCCTCAAAAATAATATTCATATTCATACAAGTAATTTTTGGCACAAAGTTTCGTACACCTATGTAATGTAATTTTGTATTCAAAAAAGTAATGCGTACCCCAGCACGTAGGAATCGTACGTTAAGACTCTCATCGCCAGTGTAACATTAATTTTACACCGGTGGCGAGAATGTCAATAAACATGACATAGAGATATATTACGAGGAAGATTCCATTCCAACTATAAATAATATCCATAAGGCCAAACAAGAAACTCATTAATAATGTGATATTAATATTCTACTTTGATTTCTTAAACTTACCACAATAATCGCCCACTCAGAGTGAATAACTTTTTCATTTCTCAAATCGTAATTTGTTCACATTGGCAGGTACAATGGATAGCGAATAATGGAAACTGTGGAGCATGCGGTGATAATTACTCCATACAGCCACCACGACCGAACGAAAACAAAGGAACCTACGGTCGGGGAGTAATCGTCGCAACGTAAGTACCATAATAGAAAGATAAAAACACTAACTGCCTTGTACCTCCTCTAACTTTCATTCTCTTTGAAAAAATAACAAGGAGTATTCTAATTCTTGATCATCATCGTAACTAATTTTCAGTGAAAGTGTCAAACCTAACCTTACTTTTGTACGTTGACTTCTCCTTAGGTATAATTCTGGAGCGGCGATTGACGTAAGTGTCAAGATAACTGCGAATCATCGGGGATATTTTGTATTCTCGATATGTTCTCTAAGCAGTTCTGATGACATCGATACGGAAGAGTGCTTTGAAAAATATCCTTTGAAATTGGCGGACGGCACTGACAGGTACACTCTCAGGAGTTCTGCAACAGGATTTTACAATACAACTGTAATTCTACCCACGTATCTAACCTGTGACCATTGCGTTTTACGTTGGCACTATTACACAGCCAATAATTGGGGAATATGTTCAAATGGGACTGGAGCTCTTGGTTGTGGCCGTCAGGAAACATTCCGAACCTGTTCGGATATAGCGATAATATCTCCCTCTAAGTAAAAAGGATACAAATTTTTTAACATATGCTTGGAGCGAGCAAAACTCGCACGCGATGTCAGACTTGAAAATATGTACTTTGTTTTTTAATTTAACGTAACTCTTTATGATTAGATTAATACGTGACAGTCGTAAATCGGTGATAAAACCCCAAAGATACGACCTCAGCAGACGATAATGTATGCTGTAAATGAATGTCAACGATATGCGAATACTTGACACACTTCCACCAAACTTAATGCATCCTCGACCCGAGAGATAATGCAATATTAAAAAAGAAAAGGTTCTAATTTGATCGCTCATTGTTTATTTAATTATTATTTATTATATTTAATAAAAATTATTATATAATGCGCGCCTTTTCGTTTTCTTCCTCATTATAGTCTAAAACATAATTAAATAGAAAGGACAAATATTTAGAATTCTTATTATCGAACATCCGTCTCGTACAAGGTGTACTACATCCGTAACAGTCGGAAAATCCGAAGTATTCAATGGCGATGAGTAACACTTTGAATTTCGCAAAGCAATTGCAAAATATTTAAAATTTCGACCGGATGTAGGAGTGAATTTTGGTCACAGACGAATAATAGGTGTCAGGCATTGCATATATATAATACATACATATGAGCTTTATGCAGGCTCACATGTATACTTACGTACGTGTCACGCCAAATATATGCACCATTAATGTATTTAAGTGAGATTGAGTATTGGTTCTATTCGTACATACACGTCTGACTTGTGTCTATACTGTAAATTGTATACAGCTAATACATATTGGTATTGCCACTTGCTTTTTCCCAGTGAAAGATTTCTCCGTCCAAACTTAGAGAGAACTTAGACCACTGTCGATGTCTACTAATGTACCGGGTGTACCAATAATAATCCTGTTTAATAATCCAATTCACAGCTCCACTATAGAATATTTAGTTTAAAAAAATAATAATGAAATAACGAAAGCCAGCTTGTTCCCGAGATCATACAATCTAGAGAGTTGAAGATGTGGAATGATAATTTTCGTGGAAACTAAAGTGCCTAGATCCGAAACTGAATGAAGATTCATATCGCAATTCGCAAGATTCCCCAGAAATCCGTACAGGTATTATTCTCAATGAGATCTAGCGCTTTGCGTGTGACGAATCCACGCGATGCTAAATTGCCTCACATACCAGATAGCGAATTTCGATTCCTTGATAATTTACAACAATTTTGTGGCCATTTGCTGAGACCTTTACCTATGCATAAAAATACTTTTTTCTCCTTTCTCTAGGCAAATAAACAAACCGGATACAGGTAGTACGCAAACAGTCCTGCAGGATCAGTATAATCGCAACCCTCCTAAAGTACGTCGACCTTGTACCCAACTCGAAGGTAGCTATGTCCCAAAATTTGTTCAACACTCATAAATCCTGAAGAACCACCCTGCACCCTAGAAGATACACACAAGTAATCCGTAATCTTTTGAAATACAACCACTACATCCGGTACCGGTATATACCCTTGAATCAGACATCACTTCGACACAGAAGTAACCAGTGACCCTTTAAAATAAAGAAGCCAGTACCATTTTGAAATGAGTAAAAGCATCTACGCTTAAAGATAAGAATTAAAGATAGTCCTTGTCCCTGTCCCTGATTACCTTTCATCGTCCCTATACAAAGACCCTACTTTTAACTTAAGAGAATTATTGGACGAACTAAAACCCTCGAAAGAACGTCTTAGGGTTCCCAAAACCAAGTGCGTCTTCGGACTAATGAAAAATGTGCGCGTGCAGGAATATCTCTGTATCTTTGAAACACCCGGTATACTGGGCCTGGTGGCAGGGTGGGTATAGGAGAATTCCCTGGGATCGCCTCGCAGAAGAGGAGGAATGAAAGGCAACCAGCAAAGAGGTAGATCCCGCTCACTGCGGCACTTCACCTCGAGACTTGGTACGAGTCAGAACAGACGGTACAGTGCGATCGCGTTCCTGGGTGAATGTGTTATACTCCTTCCTCTACCTGTTCCCCGTCTTTGACTATAGCCGTTATTATCCCCAGCGCTGTTCTTTCCTCCTGTGGCTACTTTTAGTAGCGTCGCGTCGCAATTCCGCCCAAGAGGATCTTAATCAGTCAGTGACCGGAGTAGACGCGAAAAAGAGTAGTTCCGCGTGTGCTTGTGCTGCATCCTAGCGGTGGTGTTAAAGGGTGCCAAGAAGAATGCGGTAGGATGCGCAGTCAGGAAAGATGGTTTCTGCTTGCGGTGGTGGGACTCTGCCTTCTAGGCGGGGTCGTGGTATCATCGCCCGGAGACCTCGACGTCACGACAACGTCTCCTGGTAGGTTAATCCTTGGTAATTCTAAACAGAGAGAGAAAGAGAGAGACAGAGTGAAATCTTTGAAAATATTCATAAGTTATTTCATTGGTTATGTTAGTACAAGGGTGATATAAATATTAAGCACTCAAAATGACATTGATATTTATGCTATAGGAAGTACACATGGAATTATAGAAGGTATACTTAGAGAAAGGAAATCTGGCATTGTTCGAACTGGGCGAAAGTTTTCAGCGGCGATGATTAATATCCACGAATTTCGCGAAAAGTCGGTATTTGAGTGTTCTTTGAAAATTTTTTAATCAGCTTTAAATGCACTGCTGGTTAGGTACGCTGAAATGTGAGGACCGACGAGTCCTATAAGAAATCATAAGAAACTGGGTCACCCAGGACGCAACGTGGAATGCCGGAGCAATAACGAAGCAAACTTTATACACGCGTGGGAAGTTTTACTCGTTAGGGAAACTGGAACGTTTTATAAGATGAAGGTAGACGAATATATTTCCCAGTGGTGTACATGTTGCAGAACGGTACAATAGAATGGATAATAAATAATTTTATTAAATACTTAATGCAGTCTTGTATCGTTTGGTTATCCATGTTGTTTACATACATAACAGATATACTGGTTTCTTTAAGATTTCTCAATGGAAATATTCTCTATAGAAATTATCGAGAGGTACGAACAAAAGTTCCGTCCTTGCCTGGGTACTCAGTAGACCTGTAAGATACACAAAGATGATAATGGTTCAGCATAGCGTGTAGCATATCCGCACATAGTGACGTTTAAGAGAGTTTTGTCGATGAGTGTCAATGACTAAGGATTAAGTGACTAATAATAATAATAGAAAGTACATCCAAGTCCGCATACTGTAATGAAAATTTGCCCGTGACGAAATACATTTCTCGAACCGGGTCAAATAATGAAATTAATTTTTCAATAAATAATTATTGTATTATCTATTGCACAAAGACTAGGTAGACATATCGTTAGTTCGAACTGCCTTTTTACGTGCCCTGGGCACCATTGTCGAACGTCTACGTACCTGAGAAACGAATCCGAGAGGCAGCCCTGTCTTTCTTCTCTCGCTACTTCTTCTTTTCAGAGACTCTTTTTCCCGCCTCCCTACAGCCCAGCAATTACCAAAGCGCTGCCTTGATTTTGCTCTTCTATTTGCACCAGGAGTAACGGACAGTCATTAAAAAAAAATACGTAATAAAATAGCCACCCGAAAATTCTTATAAATTATTGACTAGCTAAATACAGATAAATCTTGTTACCGGTATCAAACTAAAATTACAATATTACATTACTTATATAATATATATTCATACCGGAGATTGATTACGATTTTCTCCATTATCCATTCATATATCCATGATGCAATGAAGAATCAGCGATAGCCGAAGTAGGTTAGTTCAATCTGTCCTTCGAGATCCTGAAAAGGTAAAAGACCTGTAGTCTTTTGAAAGATCTGCATAGATATAATATAGTATACTGTATGTATACATTCATATGGTGATTGTACGACTGTATCATCAGGTAAACGTATCGCTGGCGGAACGGCCTGTATAGAAATCAGCGCTAGTGGAAAACGTTCGTTTGCCTATACCGTGTCGGATAAACAGTCGTCGAAAGTGTCTTCGATGAATTTGAAAGTGTGTAAATTTATTTTAAATGTGACAAGGCCTATCGCTAGGTACAAATCTTAACCGTTATAGTATCGGCAGTGATTATCGATAATCCAACGAAGCAGATAATTTCTTTGTGCTTCTCGGTACGTACCAAATAAATGTATACGAATCTCATATTCAAAAACATTCCTTTACGCGCTTACCGGGAACACGTAAAAAGATTTGCACGTGTTATTTGCTACTTTCGTGCACGATGCGGAATCCGATGACCAGGCACTGCAGGGCCCTCTATAGTGGAGAGGCAATTTATACCGAGGCAAACGTTCCGGAACCGCAAAAATTCTGAGAACTACGCAATTTCTTGCGCCGTAGGCCGATCGAAATGGAAACTCGATGTTAAGAAACGAAACGTAAGCCACGGCTGAAGACTTTGATCTATACTTTTATATCAGCATATATAAATCGATACTCGGTTTAGGTATCGGTAGAAATCGTATAAACTGGTTGTCCCATATTTTCTTGCTTTTCTCGTATCCTGCTTGAATTTTATTTCCCATCCGACGACCGATTTGCCAAAAACGATAGTTCGACAAGAGAAATCCCAGCTGGCTGACTGAAGAGACTCGGGCGACTTCAATGCCGGCACAAGGACTGTCTAGTCGATAGTCCATCTGCCTACCTGTAGCACTGAAAATTCTATAATATGCAGAAATAAATTCTTGAAAGATTCTGCGAAGGTGCTAAATCGCTTTTTACCATTTTTATTAGTCAGACCGAGTCGAGTCTTTTTAAATTCCATTGTTTGAAATTCAACGTGGAAGCCGCTTAAGGGTTATTCAGACTCAAGGAAAACATTATGGCGGCATCATTCATGATTATCGCTTCTCGCGAATACCACAAGGCCTATGGCATTTACTTGAGTAAATTTTATGTCGAAATGTACGTTCCTGGTAAAGGACATCGTCGGGAGGACTTAAAAGGAAATTTTTTTAAGTGGTCCATCGCAAATCTCCATTAGCACGATTTTCCGTTATTCGCCTGAAATACGTATTTTATTTTTTACCCTGACTTCCCCGACTGAATTACATTAAAAAAGTACACCAAATTTTCTTAACAGTAATAATAATTAATCGCAGGAACCATTTAACTACGTAAAAGACAAATCGGACACGGATTAAAATTCTCCGAGGAACGAATCGCGGTCATCAAGTTACTGCTAGTAAAATCTTCCTAGTTTTCTAAATACAAGCATAAAATACCATAATAATAGAATTACACGCGTCACACTCAATCGCGTATATAACCCCAATATCAGCTCGCTATAGTGTATGAATGATAGTAAAATATAGTTTAAAATAACACAAACTATTGTCTATATCGTACTATACCAAATATACCTGATCTGGTATTCAGTCTCATGAAATTTCTATGGGGAATCTTCGTATCTACTCTCACTTTATTCTTGGTCACGAATAGAAGCGAACTCTTCAGTGTGAACGGTGCATCTTCATGGCTATCGTTGACCACTGAATCGTAACGTTCAAAATAAAATCATTATTGTACCGCCTAGCAAGTAGGATAGGGTACCGTATAGCCAAAGGCACGCTTGCGAGCTGACCGACTATGTTATTCTCTTTTTCGTTCTTTTTTCTCTTCTCTCTCTCTCTCTCTCTCTCTCTCTTTCCCTCTCATTCTACCCGGTTCTCTCCCTCTGTCACTCTCCGCTCTCCTCACCAGCTACGCATTTCCAATCCCAGCCTCTTGCCGCTCTACCACCTCCTTGTGGACTTTCCCTCTCATTCTACCCGGTTCTCTGACCGACTATGTTATTCTCTTTTTCGTTCTTTTTTCTCTTCTCTCTCTCTCTCTCTCTCTCTCTCTTTCCCTCTCATTCTACCCGGTTCTCTCCCTCTGTCACTCTCCGCTCTCCTCACCAGCTACGCATTTCCAATCCCAGCCTCTTGCCGCTCTACCACCTCCTTGTGGATCAACATTGGTCTCTCATGCCGCACTAGACTCTCATGGAGCTGCCTGAGGCTCGTAATACAAGCGTTTTGAGTTGATGACGTTGTCGTCGTATGCGTCCAAGTGGTCGAAACTGCCTTAGTCTCAACACACATGTATGTTCAACGATTTGGCAAGATCATACATTCGCCTCTGAGTTCATGGACAACATGAGACTTCCGGCTAAGAGGAAACCGAGTGGAGTTCCTCGTATCGTGACTAATTCATAGCTTTCCGTAACGAGACTTTTGTTTGTGTTGATACTTCTTCCGACAGTCTCGAATTTCAGTAAGAACGTCATTTTTATATATCCTTCTTTAATCACTTGACGGGGTTATAGGAAGATCTGCGAGGAATAAAATTTATTATTCTTTAGGATTAAATAATTCAAAGCTGTATTCACTTTAGTCGCGTTTTATTTGCATCGCTGATTTCGAGAGTAAATGGACTTACCTCCAGTTTTTACTTCTTTCACGGTAAATATAACTGAACTGGCCCCAGGACACAGTAACAAGTTTCAATACAGTTAATAAGCAGTTATAAAACAAGATATGTAAGTCAAAGATCATTGCTGACTAGAAAATTCGGATGTTTGAGTGATTTTTTTTTTTTTTTAGAAAAACTTAAAAATATCGATACTCATCCATATCAATGTTTTATTAATATATATTTATCAATTGACAAAGCAGCGGTAGATATATTTGAATTGACTATGTGTAAATAGTATCAGATGTTGCATATGTTCCACGAGGAACTATAAATTTGACGTTGTGCTATTTTGGAGTCGATTCCATTTGCGTATTGGTTATTTTGAGGATGTATGGCTATTTTGAGGTCTTTCCTCAAAGAACTTTCAGCGTAACAGCCGTTTCGAAGACCATAGTGTGGGATGACACACCAAATTTGTTTAAATTGTTTTCAGTACTAGGCACCCAGAGTTGTGTTGGGCTCAGAAAATATTTCGTTAGGTTAGATTAGAATAGAATTCCAATGCTATGATGTTCCAAGGTAGTAGTTTTTTTTAACGCATCAGCTCGCTATTGTGAAATTTCTATGTTTCCCTTGTCGTTGTTTCTTTATGTGTCATGTCGTCAAACTATACGATCGACGCATTTATATATGTATTTGCGTCGCAAATTTTATTAATAATCATTTTCTGTTATGAGATCGTATTAAAATCACAGTTAACCTCGAATATCCAGAGATAAACCTGATCCTGATCGAGAACTGTTATTTTTATTATGTAATACGTTCACTACCACCGTTCAAATGGTGAACCGTCTGCTACAGTCAACGTTTAGTTTAGTAGCTTTTTATTCAATATGTTCCAATGTGCAAGTTTGCAAACTTTTATAATATATTAAAAAGATTATGCATTGTACTGTTTTTTAGGTTATAAGACAATATAAGACGGGCGTCATTTCCTTACGTGGCAATAAAATGCAAAAACATCACTATCGGGCATGTCGTATCATATCAGTCTCTCACGAGATTGGTGGGTCACAAAAACGTGACCATTGGCAAGGAACGTGTTAGTTAGCTTCTAAAAAAAATGTATTTTCATACCAAGACAAAAATACATCATCGGGACCTCATTGCCTAAATCTGATAAATCGTGTGGACTTTCGTCCGCTGATTGTTCCAATTAGCATACCGGTGTTTTAGTCATTTGACATATTCCTCCGCTGCCTAGCTGACGTAATTCACAATCAGCTACCACAAATCGGTGACTGTTAACGATAAGTGTGAATTTCTTGCGGATAAAATCCTCCCGGTCGTAACGCGTGACGAATACCGTACTCGCTTCGGACCGGTCGAACCGTTACAGTTCTTATTCGTAATAAAAATAAAGGACCGTCTCTCTCTCTTTCTCTCTCTCTCTCTCTCTCTCTTTCTCTCGATTTCTCGCTCTTCCTCTCTTTCTCTCTCGTCGTCGACCTTCGGCAATGGCAAACGGATTCGCAGCACGGGACTCACTAACCATCTTTTCTTTGCGTGAAAGGCATCGCCAATCGAAACGCAGTGAAAGACCTACTTGCCTTAAAACAGTTGTGAAATATAATTACTCAGGAAATCTGTCAAAAATCTGAAATCTACGTATAAGAAAGCGTTTTATAACATCCACAAATGTTATTAGTCTGTTTAATAAGCGCAACGGGATGTTCGTTACGGCTAACGCAAGATCAGTGATTTTATTATATAGTATATATATATATATATAGGCATATTAGATGAAACTGCCAAGGACGTGTTTTTGAAAAAGGAAAAATATTCAAATTGGATTTCTTGTAGCTGGATAGACACAGAAATTTATGGAAACGCTTGATCGATCAGTCTCGGTCAAGATAGTCAGAAAATTGTTTAAGTCGTTTTATTTAAAGTTGGTTACAAATACACTCTGCAGCAAGGATACTGTATTCTATAAAATTACGTTTTTAAGAATTCATTATTATTTTCTTTATTCTAGCTTTTACAAATTGCTTGGTTATGTATACCTATTAGTGTTGGCACCTTAATGAAATGGGCTGCAAGCGACAAAAATTTCAAAACATAATATTTTCACGATCGTTATTTTCCTTGCGATATGAGCTTATCGCATAAGGTTTGTTGTGAGATTTGCATTTAATCTTCCACAAGAATCGACGCCATTTCATCGATACCACATTAGAGGATTGCCAAAGCAGTACCGTAACACGGCTTTGTGGCTGACTGTGGGTTTTCATTCGCAAATTCAATGCATTCGGATGAAACTTTCTACCTGATCATCATATCGGGAGTAGATCTTCGCCATTTACAATACAAAGGATTCTCTAATGAATATATCGTATGACCGTCCACCAGGTGTCTAATAAAAATGGAATCAACAGCCTTAGTAATTGTATCTAATATAGTGACAATACACAGTGCTCATAGTCTCCATAAAAATGTATAACAACCTTGACCTTCATTTTTTTTATTCTTTTTTTGTTAACAAAACCTTAGACATTATTACTATGGTGACTAATCAAATCGATCATTGTCCCTCTATGTCTGAAAAAATAATTTGAGCTTCCAATTTTTCAATAAACTCTATAGATAAATGCAATTTTGAAGCAAATTTAATTAACCTGCGGTGGCCTATATATATTTATTCGTAAGTCGCACATGATACTACGCTATCGTAACCGGAAACAAACGGTACTTCAGGTTTGCAAAAATCTCCTGATAGTTTATCGTTAACTTCTTCCATTAGTGTCAAGTGCATCAGGTGATAGTTAAAGCAGAGAACTGGCTCGGTCATGGGACTTAACGATTCGTATAAGTAATCTTTCAAGGATTCTGTTATACGATAACCTCCGCCAATTTTTATCCCAAGCAACATCGGCTACACTTAACGTCAGTTTAAGAACATTCACTAACGTATAAGTTTCCACCTTCGCGTCGCGTCGGATACGTATTGAGATGCTTGTACCGTTACGTGCGCGACTTCCGGCCACATTGTTTCACAGCTATTTCTTGATAATTATCTAACACATATTCCAAGATATTCCTGATGTTGCATGACGTACCAATTCTCTTTTATATCGCCCTCAATAAGATCTATCATGTGATGCTAGGAAATATTATAACCTTTTACACGCTTCTTATCTGCTACAAATTTAAATAACGAATGAGGTACCTCATATTTTAAATGAAAAATTTCAAAATAAGTCCACATGTCATTCACTACACATATCGTTTTTCTGTGCTGTCATATTAAACTGTTACTTGTAGATCGACTACTATATGGTTATGAAATGATGTTGAATCAAACTAATTTTTCAACTGCTTTACTTCCGAACGTCATAACATTCGAATCATGCTGTTTTCAATCGATATCATATGTACATACACTGTATCTGTCATCAAATATTCGTATCGATCACTCAAATGTATACCATCAGAGACGGCGAGTAATCGTTGGGTATACGTAAATAAATCGTGCGGTCATCGTTCACGAACCGTTACGTACCGTTTCGGTCCGCGAACGGCGGAAAATAGACGTTCCACGCAACGAATACCTCCCTACATTCGTACAAACGTGTTATACGATTTTTATGGGAAGAAAAAGACCATTCTATTCAGAATAACTTTCCGCTCGAATCTTGGAGAATTTCACGAATCATTGTTTCCATACCAATCACTCGACGCCATGATAAATTATTGAACTTTCTATTTAACTGAGATCACTTTCGTTTATCTTTATTTTTCATCTTTCTTCATTAGACCAGCTTATACTTTAGTGAAACCCAAATGCATCGTCGTCCACTCAATATATCTCTCTATATGCCAGGAATTCATTTCTTATGCCTTTTCTTGCAGCTGACGAGGAGGTGCCAGGCGTGGAACCATTACAGACCGAATCAGATTCAAACCCGTCCCAGAAGGAGGTTGTCGCGAATTATGGTAAAAATGAATTTCCCACCAAGGAGAATGATTCCAAATCGAGTGCCGACGGGAAGAAAAAGTCCATCGTGGACTTCAAACCGAAGACGGATCTGAAGTATCAAAAAACCTTGAAGGACGAGGTCAATAACGACGAGGTAGCCTCACCGGTTTCCGGTATGGAGAGCGTGACGAATCATCCTGTGGAATCCTCCACTGCACTCATGAATGATAACGATACGAAGAAGATCATTGATCAAGAGCTTTTGACAAATTTGACAGAGCATGCAGTTCCATTTTTAATACATGGAGAGCCTATGATGGGTCCTGTAGTTGGTGACGTTTACCAGTTGCCCGCTATGAAAAACGAAATGAAAATGAATTCTACCATGGAAAGTAATTCGGAAAAAAATACAACAATGGCTGACGAAGTTGTTGCAGCTAGAGGAAGAGCTTTGAACGTCACTGCTGTGGAACCTACGAATTCCTTGCATGCCAATTTGACGGATCTCAGTGATGTCAGTATGGATGAAGAGGATAAGGAAGTCGAAGGTTAGTGATTAATTATGGATGTATAGTGATTAATTGACGAAATATTTTTCCAAGTCATTTAGCAATTATTAATGTGTAGTATTTCTAATTGAAAAAATTTCGAATCTAGACCAATTATATTAAATGCCACATTTTATTCATCCTATAAATCCTTCCAGCGTGTTATGAAATTATTAATAAATTATGTATCTTAAAATGATTATCGACATTAATATTTTTTTAAGGTGGAGAATATGTGGTTGCCCACAATGAATCAAATATTAACGTTACTTCCACGTTGATTCCTAATGTTCCCATGTGTATTGATGGAAATCATACATATGCCATTGGCGAGAAGATCGTTCGGGATTGCGAAGAGAAATGCATGTGTGGGGAAGGTGGGAGGATAATGAATTGTGAACCCTTATGTATCAGTCCTTTGATCAGAGCCGGAAAAGTAATAGATGATCCTTGGTGTGCAGCGATAACAATGACAGAAGAACCATGTTGCGCTATAATAGTATGCGCTGAAAGTTCCGGTACGTTATCTGAACAGCGAAAAAGAATACGAAAAAGATTTAATAACGTATATTACTTGTTTTCTATGAATTTATAGCTCCGGAACCTGAAGAATCTTGTATTTTTGGAAATGAAACACTGACGAGAGGGCAGCGCGTCGAAGATGGTTGCTCGAGGGTTTGCGTCTGTGAAGCTGGAGGAAGTTTGAAGTGTCAGCCAAGATGTCCGCCAAATGAAACTACTTCCGCCGCTAATCAACATGACAGATGCGTTGCTTTACCTGATCCTCGGTAAAATATTTTTACATTATAATTTTATCGTTGAAATTGATCTTTTATTTATGATATACTATACAGTGCTAAAGAATAAATGTCTATCAATAGTGGATTAATTTATCAATCATCAACAAATGCAGGGACTCTTGCTGCACCATAACACTATGCGACGTCACTCTGGGCGATCATGAGATTAAACCAGAAAGTCCAGCAGAACTGTTTGTCAATCTAACGGATGTAAAAGTCTTGAATTCTACAGCCATTAAGTTGAAGTTGTCGACGAAATCTGCCGAGGATGTGAACGTGGAACTCTCAGCGGACAATCTTGTATGGCGACAGCAAAAACCTGATAAAGGTACATCCATAAGTTTCTTGTTCCTGTACATACATATAACTAGTCACGTTATACGCTATACGTCAAGAGAACTTATCGTTTCTTTAGATGGAATTGTGTCGAATCTGGAACCTGCTCATACTTATTACGTGCGTATCACGGAAGCTGGGAAATCCGGTCCAGCACTTCAAGTTTTTTTACCAGCTGAAGTGATCAAAACCAATATTACAGAAAAAGTGGACAAAAATACTTGTAGTTACAGAGGAAAGTCATATAAAATTGGTGCCGAGTGGTATGATGAGTGTATTTCATTCTGCACTTGTAACAATGGTGCCAATGTTGAATGTCACACCATAGAATGTCCAACAGATTTTGGTTTGGACGTTTTAGATCCACACTGTTTAGATTGGGAAACAGTACCGTCAGATTTTATACCAAAAGCACCACAGTGTTGTCCCCAAGTAAGAATTATTGTTATTAATCATTCTGGAAATTCTATGTATTTTTGATTCATAACTATGTGTTGCACTTGATACTATCCTCAGGAGGTACGCTGTAGGAATAATGGCTCCTGCTTGTACGAAGGTACAATTTATGAAAACTGGTCCGACATCCCAACAAATGTTACTGGATGTGAGAAGAAATGCTACTGCGAAATGGGAAATGTAACTTGCCATGCAGCATGTCCACCAGTGATGGCCTTGCCACCACCAAATTTAGAATGTCCACCGCATCATGCACTGTTAGCACATTTACCTGATGAAGAGTGCTGTTTACATTGGGTATGTGGTTCTCCATCACTTTCTACAAGCGGTAAGTAAAGTTTTTTCATTAAAATAGAAAAGATGCGATATGAAATTAAGAAATTACAAATCATATTTCTATCGCGATTAAAAATATATTGTCCTTATGGATGATTGTAGGAATGATATCTTTATGGGCATCTGTGTTTCACATAATTTTTGTTTGATACATTTTTCTCACATCCAATTTAAGTACTATTATTGATATGGATTAGTTAACTCTCTGGTGATGGTGTTTTGATATTAGGATTGAATTGAATGAAAATGTAAATTGGTTTATGGGTAGAAAATTATCGCTTTTGTTAACTGTTCAGAATGTGGACCTGACTGGAAGATTTCTTATAGGTGAAGAATGTGGAAAATTATATTCTTTAGGTTCAGTTAAATCTTAAATATGGTTGAATAATTATGTAACTGCATTTCTTAACCATACCACAGCTCAACAAATATCAAGAAATCTATATAAAAATCTCGCACCCTGATCCTCCGCACATAATTCTAAAATCTATTTACTTCACTGCATTTTAAATAATTTCATCGTTCATTAAAATACAACGTATCTTTTTTCCAAGATTATGTAGTATCTAAGACTTAGTGTTATCGTGTGGCAACAACAGTTCTTGTCGTAAATACAATTATCCGTACTCGATCCTGAAACAAAACAAAATTGATAAAATATTTATAACGAAGTGTAGGAAAACATATTTTGTGCATGCTTCCCGGTGCTACTAAGCTTGTACATACTGCGTGACGTATATCGCTGTAAATATGCATGGACTTTGGACAACTCGGGACTGATCACCACTTCTGTGACAATGGACTTTACTTATTGCAGGAAAGAACGTGACGTCCACGTTTCCCGGCCCTTTAGCCACAGAAACGATCGACCAGCAATTGATAGACGATAGCAAAAGACCAAATAACAAGTCAGCAATGCTCAGGCCCACCCAGGAACCGGAACGTGGCACCTCCTTCCCGTGGGAAGATCCTGAAAATATTAACTCTTATCCAGACACTTCTAATCACGAACTCCATTATCCCATAAACCCTGGTCACCCGACAGTACCTTACAATGGACCCTATAGTCCTAATTACAAGCCCACCCAACCCTCCGTCGAACAATTATTTCATTTGCCTAGTCATCCGGAAAAGATGGCTCCGCCACTCAAAGACAAATCTAAATCCAAAGCGGATTCGAAAAAAGCCGTGGAATCAATAAAACCGCACAAGGAGGTGATAGAACAACAATTTCAGGGACCATTTGCCCCAGACAAATTGGCTGACAGACCCCAAACGAATAATCAAGTGCATTCGAATATTCGTGACAATCCTCTTATGCCGGGTACAGTTAATCCCAATGAACTTCCGCCGTCGCAAAAAGGTGGACACGTCGCAGATGAGCCCCAGTTCATTCCATTAAATAGTCAGCCCGGTTCCTCAGGACCACCATTCGTATTCTCACCCAATAATGGAGAACATATTCCTCCCACACGCTTTGATGTTCAGTACCAGAATCATGAAGCTGGCCCACCCTACAGTGGTCCAGTACCCCTAAGACCTAATTTAAATGATCCAAATTTCATCGTACCAATTAGTCCTAAGAAAAAGATTTCTATAGCAGACCACTTTGTGGATGAAAATAAATCGAAGCCACCCCTAATTCTACCTGGTAAATCGAAACCTGGACAACGAAACCCGGACGAGGAAATTCTTCCGGAGGATCTGTATCATCTTATCAATCTTCAACATCCAGGTTTAATTCAGCTAGGCCAGAGTCCACCTCAGGGTCACCAAGGCCTGTACGACTTGCACCAACAAATCTCCAGTCAAAAGAATTTACCAAATAATCAAGTACCACCCGGTTACTTTGGTCCACCACCACCCGGACCCAAAAAACCAATAAAGCCCCAAATCTTTACTCAGAAAAATGAAAACGGTGAAACGACCTATCATATTCACACTCCGGAGATACCAAACTCCCCTCAGCAATTCGAGGAACTCTTAGCCCATATAAGTCAACATGATTCCAATCCTGGACCTTTCCAACATTATCCTGAACAACCAGCCATAACTCATAATTTACCAAACGGACCACCACCGCCCTTGCCATCTCATATTGACGCACATATCCCGCACACGGGACTCACGCACTTGAACCATCTGTTCGCTGCACAAACGCCCAACCAGTCAGGTTCGTCCCCTATTAACGGAAGCCAAATTTATTTACTGAAGAAATCCATAATTCTTGTCATAAAATTTCGGCAGCGTATAGCTTGATAGCTCGAGACATTAAAGCATGTATCTTTAGATAATGCTGTAGAGATCAAATATTACATATATAATCAACTTTATTGATATAAATCATAAACATCTGAAGATATTCATCTGATTATTCGTACACTTCAGGATTGGAGCACAACGTACCACCAAATTTTGGCTTACCTGGTGGAATCCCATCATTTTCTGGTCATCCTGCGCAATCACCCTCTGACGAAGTTAGCGTACAGACCTTGGAAGCCCTTGATGAAAATACTGTCAGATTGGTATTTACTGTACCGTCATTGTTAGTGGGTCTGCATGGAAGAGTAGAATTACGTTATACAAGCGACAAAGCGTAAGTCTTCATGGTTATTATTATATAGTTCAAACGTATTTTTTATATAATACGATAAACATTTTACTTTAAAGTAATTCTTTTTATATAGCAACCTTGACGTGTCTACTTGGAAATCCCAAATATTTGCCCCACCCAACGATCTCATAGCAACAGCACAAATGGAATTTGAATTGGGTGACTTGAAGCCGTCCACGGAATATAAAGTGAAGATTACAGTAAAACTACGCGATCTCTCCAATAATCCAAGCAGTAAAGTCTACAGTGTACGAACTCTTGAGAGACCTGCAGAAATTACAACTTTGCCATCGCAAATACCAATCAATGCCGAACTCGCATTGACGGAGACGAATTCCACCTGGGTGAACGTTATGTGGAAGAAATTTACTGATTACGAACTACAGTTCATCGATGGAGTACAACTGAGGTATAAAGAGCATGACGGAAAAGTATATGCAGCTACGCCATTAATTCACAGAGCTGTTACGAGCTATGTTATCGAAAATCTTAAACCGTCAACTACATATGAAATTGGTATTTACTTCATACCATTCCCTGGTCAAACTACTGAACTCATAAGTGAGAAAACGGTAAGTGTATGAATAATATTATTATGATTTACCTACTACGGTAAACATTTATAATAATTATCGGCTATGAAAATTATTCAACAGATTCAAATAACTACGTCTATGGAACCAGATCCATATTCATTTGATGTAAAAGTCGATATTAAAACTATCAAATCCACGGATGTAGAAGTTTCCTGGAGTGGTGTACCTTACCCTGAAGATAAATATGTCAATATTTATCGAGCTATTTATCAAAGCGACACTGGGAAAGAGGATACCAGTACTTTTAAAATCGCCAAGAGAGACTCTCCAGCTAAGACTATTATCAATGACCTCAAACCTGGTACAAGATATAGACTTTGGATTGAAGTTTACTTGACCAATGGAAGAATTAAAAAAAGTAACGTACAAGACTTTGTTACGAAACCTGGAGTACTACTATCAGCTGGTGTTTCCCAACAAGGTGAAACAGTCATAGAGTTTTCTCGTAAACTTGTGTAGTTTGATTTAGTTATGACAAAAAATTACTATTATTTTTCTGTAGGCAAACTCGCTTCAATCCCACTTCATGAAGGAGACTATTATGGTCCTCTGGTTATCGTCGCTGTTGTAGCCTCACTTGCTATTTTATCAACCCTCATTTTGTTGATGATGTTGATGAAGAGACGAACGAGCAGCAAAGCTGATATTTCACCCCGTAAAACCACATCCGCTTACGACAACCCCTCCTACAAGGTAGAAATGCAACAAGAAACTATGGGTAATTTTACTGCTTTTGTTCTAATCCCATAATTAGTATCACACATTAATTGAGAGACTCGATTGAGTTTCGCACCATCTTGGCCTACTGCAATTCTAAATCTGAATAATTTTGTATGCGTTTCTATCTCTTTGATACGGTGAACTTTCTTAAACCTAATCATTATTTTCATGGCTACTAGCAAAGATCAAGTCTCTATATTTCTCGCGACTATGCATTCTTCTGAATGTGATTTATTATTTTCAGACTTGTGAGGATACAGTAACGATAAGAAGAAACGGACAAAGCAAAAACTCGGAACACGAGCTGGCTACCATCAATACGAATAATGATGCCAAGGAAAGTGCTTGAAAATTTTAACTTATTAATTTATATTTATTTTATATTATAATTATGCGATGTCATTTAAATCCGTCCTTGTACCTTTGTGTATATTTATTCGTTACATTATCAGTAAAAAAAAAATGCTATGCATGATGCTATATTATTTTTTATAATTAATTTGACATTCCGTTCTTTGAATCTCATAAATGAATAATGAACGATACATATGTATATCAAATTGTTACTTTCAAATCTTTTATATCTGATAAAGCGGTTAAGGACATTTCTAAGGATTCATATTTTCAGGATGGTAGTTTATGTTTATGTTGTATCAAAGGTTGTACATAGGATTTTAACGCAATATATATGTATGTTTGTACTACAAAAGGAAACATCGGATTTCATCCCAATCTAAAGTCATTACCAGATATTAATGTTGAGTTTGGTTAATACAATCCTGGATTACAATATCACAGGATGGAGACAAGTGTTAATGGTATCAAAATTAGCAACAAGCTACGAGCGTAATTTTACTTATTACTTTAGATTTCATTGTGCCCTAAATCTATCACCTAAATATTTTCTACATTGTAACAATTAATTATAAATGTTATGAACAAATTTTTTATTTTGTATATTTAAAGTTTAAGATTAAGCTACTAAGTAAACTTCCTAAAGTGGCCAAGCAACTTCATTTAGGAAGATTTTTTGTACAGTACGTATCATTAGGAATTTGAAAATTAATAAAAACATTACTTATCTCGAGTAAACGCATCTTCTTACAGAATTGTGTAGACAGGTGGTACAATAAGGGGGTGAAAAAAAAAACAAGAAATCTCAAATATATTTATGTATTATGTAAATGAGTATTGAAACAGCATGTTGTATTAGTCAAAAATTTCGTACAAAAATTGAGCCTGGAAACTCATCAATATCATGGTCTTGTTACATCAACTTGTAACTTTGTTAAAAACTTTCTTTGTAATGTTAAAAAATACAAAAGCAATATTAATTTAATTCATTTAAAAAGATACGTTTTAATGTATAAATTCTTGATATTAACTATAATCTACATAAAAGCATTATAACAAGTGCATAAGATATGTGTATTATGGTACAATACAAGCCCATAATGTATTATATATATCATTATCCAACAACATGACTACATGATTTATATTTTTTGAGTCTTCCATTTCGTTAAACCATTGTAACTTGTTATTATCATCTTCGATTTTCTTGAGGCTTATTTAAAATATTGACTTAAGAGCTGATTCCATCTCCAAAGGATCGGTTGTAGGTGCAAAACGGCTGACCACATGTCCTTGTTTGTCAATAACAAATTTAGTGAAGTTCCATTTGATATCGTCGGTAAGAAATCCGCCTTGTTGAGATTTGAGCCATTTCCACAGAGGATGAGCCTTGTCCCCATTTACATCAATCTTTTCAAACATATCAAACTCAACATTGTAGCGTTTGACGAAGTCCAAAATCTGTTGTGCAGTGCCTGACTCCTGACCACCAAACTGATTACATGGAAAGGCCAAAATTCTAAGTCCATGAGAATCCTTATACTTCTGATGGAGTGTCACAAGCTGCTTGTAATTTCTGTCAGTCAATCCACAGTCACTTGCCACATTAACAATTATAGCAACATGTCCTTGATACTTCTCCAATGATACATTATTTCCATGTATATCTTTGGCATGAAAATCGTAAATGGAAGTAGCGCGTTGCCAATCAGTCTCCTGGTCAAAATTCTGACGTTCAGTCGCTGAACAATGTCCTTGATCTTGGTTCGCACAATCCTCTCCAAGTACCTTTGCAGCACTCAATATCATGCACAAGAACATAAATCCTAGAATTTTACAACGCATTATTAAGCAGTGCATGAAGCTTAAACAACGAAAGCGAACTACTGATATGCACTGATTTATGTACAACTTTTATATTCTGGTAGAAATCAGCTCTAGTCATTGTCAAGAACAAAGGTCGAACGAATGACTAACTCTGATAAATAACATGCGTATCTTACCTAACATTTTAACTTGATTATCATGTACGCTCGAATGAGAAATAACTTTGCTAATATTCAGCGAAAGATGCAACACAGCCGTTAACCAATTTTTGGTCCCGATAAAAACTTAACGAGAAAAGTAGAATTGAAGCTTGTGAAACTGCGTAGCGTTTGACGATCGTTCTGTCAATTTTCTTTTATTGCATTATTTTATCGCGACTAACATGAATCAAACATAAGTACTTATAACTAAGAGAAACAATAACACAGTTAATCAATAAATTTATATATTTAAACATTTTAAAATTAATATTTAATGATTTTGTTTTACATTTTTGCAAACTCTATTCAAAATAATTGGCAGAAGAATATATATTATATTTCAAATAGTGGCTTTACCGGCATACGGTATATGCGATCCGTTCTCACATATCTCGTGGACATAGATACACCGTCAGGAAGTTAGCGCGGGAAAATCAAAATTTGTATATTTATAATGCTTAAAAATTGCTCCTTAAATGCTTCATATGTTTCCGTAATTGCTCCACTGCTACTATGCAGTGATTAATAAATATTCATTAAAACAGAACATTTTTATTTTTATTGAAATTCCAAATAACCTAGCAGATTTTCATATGAGTTTTTTTATGAATTAATTGCTCCCGATTTGCTCCCAATTGCTCCACAATTAGTTTTTTAGGAGATAACAGGCCTTAAACTACGTTTACACGGCGGTCATGAACCGGTTTAGTTAATACTGATCTAAAGGAATTGGCCAATCCTGAATTTACCAAGTGTGTTCGAAAATGAACCGAGGCAACGATGTTCGCGCACTCTCGGCTGATCTTAGAACGCAGCTGTCATAGGTGTGTTCGCAAACCAATCATAATGTTCACGTTTGCAATCGAGCTAAGTGAAAATCAAATTTTAATTATTATTTAAAGATGCTTTAATTAAATAAAAAACTAATTGTGGAGAACTTGGGAGCAAATCGGGAGCAATTCATTCATAAAGAAACTCATATGAAAATCTGCTCGGTTATTTGGAATTTCAATAAAAATAAAAATGTTCTGTTTTAATGAATATTTATTAATCACTGCATAGTAGCAGTGGAGCAATTACGGAAACATATGAAGCATTTAAGGAGCAATTTTTTAAGCACTATAAATATACAACTTTTGATTTTCCCGCGCTAACTTCCCGACGGTCATAGATACTCAAAAGTTTGCCGGTATGACACGTGTGTATTTACATATGCATAACCAATCAAGTGTTAACATGGACGTCCTGTAGACGTTACATGAAAAATAACGGATATTTGATATAATAATACTATTTTGTGTTGATACTTAACCTATGCGTTAATATCATCGAAGAAATGACTTAGATAAAGATCTGTATTCTATATATGTACAGCTGTTGAAAAGTTAACTCTATTATACTATCAAACAATCAGTTGCTCCTTCCTTTCCTAACAAAATTATCAAACAATCATGGTAAGTATAAATTGTTTATAAGAAAAAATTTAATGAACATAAAGTATTATTTGCTTGGTATTATTATTACAGGCTCGAAATGCAGAGAAAGCAATGTAAGTAAATCTAAAGTTATGTTTTTAATTATTTTGTTTATATTAAAATGTTTCCTAAAAATAATAACTAATACTGACTTTAGGACCACTCTTGCTCGGTGGCGCGCAGCCCAGAGCAATGAAGGTGCAAGAAAAGAACAAGAGAGACGTCCTTATTTAGCTTCTGAATGTCGTGATCTGCGAAAAGCAGAAAAATGGAGAATGCAAATTATAAGAGAAATTGCAAAAAAAGTTGCACAAATACAGAATGCAGGATTAGGTGAATTTCGTATTCGTGATCTCAATGATGAAATCAATAAATTACTTAGAGAAAAACGACATTGGGAAGCTCAAATAAAAGAACTAGGTGGACCTGACTATTCTCGCGTAGGACCACGTATGTTGGACCATGAGGGTCGTGAAGTGCGTACAATTCAATTTTACTCATCCTGCAAATATTAATTGAGCCTATGTATAAATTATTTTAAATCTTCTAGGTACCTGGTAATCGCGGTTATAAATATTTTGGAGCTGCTAAAGAATTGCCTGGAGTAAGAGAGCTTTTTGAACAAGAGCCTCCGCCACCTCCTAGAAAAACTAGAGCAGAACTTATGAAAGATATTGATGCTGATTACTATGGATATAGAGACGACGACGATGGTATTTTATTGCCATTGGAACAAAAAGCAGAACAAGAAGCTAGGGAAAAGGCAGTACAGCAATGGCTCGAACACAGTGAAAAAGAACCCGAAGCTGAAGAGGAAATAGAAACCACAGCGCAAAAGTCAATACCATCCCAACAGGATATTCAGGAAGCCTTACTTGCAAGGAAAAAACAGGAATTACTGGAGAAATACGTTCTTTAATCGGTATCTTCTTTTTTTTCATATATTTTCATCTTATTCCTCTAGTAAAAACTACGAATAAGTTGATCATTTTAATAATATTAGAGTACACTTTTATAAAACGCGACAAATGTAATTATTATCATTAATTTATAATTACATAATAACATTCATTAAGGTAATTATTTTGTGCAGAAGACATTTAAATTTCCATGAGTACTTGTTCAACAAAGTGTGCTTGAGATAAAATGTGGACATATATCCAAAAGCCGTCTGTTTATAATCACCGCGGACCATGATTTTTTATTGATAAATGTATTATAAATCCAAAAACAGTTATAGTTATCAATACCAAACATAATAATGAGTTAGTCCTATCCTGTCATTTGCTGAATATAACAATAAGGACGAGCCGTAGGACTAACTTACAACCTCAAAAACGTTACCATTATCTTGTTCCGTGCCGATTATAAATAGATTATACATAATGCAATAATATCACTAAGGCCCAGAAGTTCCCTAAGACATTTTGAGTACGTCTACATAAGCTGTCATTAAATAAGAACCAGATGTGTGCTGCATATGTCAAATCATAATTCCATCTAAATATATATTTTCATACAAACAATGATAACTATTCCACTTATTGCATTTTCAAATACAATAGTAACCATACAGTGCTAAAAGAATGCACTAATGACTGCAATAATGAACTTCCGAAACCTTGTAATGATGTATCTATGATGTAAATTGGATAAAATGGTTCGAGTACGCTGCGTCAGTATATAATTAAATTGTCCACAATGTCTACGATTACAATTCGCGAATGCCTAAAGTTAAAAGATAGTTCACAGCATCTGTTTGTCCGTTATTCAGTCGTCTGTTTCATCAAATATTTAATCTCCTACGTAGTAGTAATATATCACTACTCCACTATTTGCCTAATTAGACGCTCTACGTCTATACAATTCGTAGTTCATTGTTATAATCGATCGTGATCATACTGTTACTAAAATCACATTTGCATTTATACGGTGCATTTGCGAGTTTATTGTGCGTTATTGAGTTTTTTTTTTTCATTTTTTAGTTAATCTACCACATCAGATTTCTCTCGCGACGGCCTGTATAGAAACGAAGCTTTTTTGCAGAGTCAAAATCCGTTACTCGAACCATACTCATTTAATATGACAGTCAAAATCTGCCGTCTCGAATCGAATGAACAAGCATTTAAGGATTAAGGGATGAAAGGCACAAAGTAAAAATAATGAAAAGTGAGACTCAGGCACAGATTAAAGTCAGAGAGCTCACGTCACGGATCGACGTGTCGGTCGTTGTATCTCGTGATTATGAGCCAGCTCGAATCAAGGAAAACATCCTCCTTGGTTCGTCCTAAAGTAATATTAAAGGGACGATCAATATAGAACGTGTCGCAGTATCGGAGTTCATAACTCGGATTAATACCACGTAAAAAAAGTCGATTGTAGTGTGAAACCTGAATTGGAGTCTTTTTTTTTAACTCTTCCGGGGGACTGGTCCATGTATACCACATCCCTATTTGCGACGCATATAACTTTTCGCCGCCCAAGTACGTTCCCTGCACGAGACTTACATATGTCAAGGAATACTTATCCGTAACAGGAACTCTTCGATGATCCATCACTCAGGGACGTAGCAAGGAATGCCAACGTTGCACCTGAGTGGGTTGCCTCGCGGCACGCATATCGTTCCAATGCTGTAATTCTTCAGCACCTGAACTGTTTAGACCAAGACAAAGCCAGCCAATCATTTCCCGACCCTTTCTGCCCATTCCTCCTCTTCGACGGTTGTACACTGACAGGAATAGTGTGACATCCCCCAGTTGGAATAACGCAACCTGTATATTTTACACTGTCACAATACAATACTCTGCCTTGTATATTGAATTCATACTAACTTATTTGATTTTACCTGAAATATGAATGTCTCCTTATATAAAGGATTGGGCTGTGCCCGTTTAAGGCCAGTTTTTGAACGACCCATCTCATGACCGTTACTATTCACCAGGGACAGTTTAACGTAAGTATCTGGTGGCCTCGTGTCATTTCCTCCCCCACCGCGAAAATGAGAACCTTTGATAATCTCCACAGATAGACGCCCAGTTGTACCGTTATATGCTAATCCAATTAGAATCTCAGCTATGCTGCCACCCTTCATGCTACTTCCATACGATGGCACAGTTGGTGAGACATAGGATTGAACAGATTGTTGAGAACCAGTGGAATCACTTCTGGTTAGACTGCTACTCGTTCCCCATTCTTGAACCTATGAATTAATAATGTAAATAAAATAATTAAATACTATAAATATCTACAAAGGGAATGCTAATAGTTTTGCATACTGGGGATGATGGTGGAGGTTGTAATGTCAGCCACAAAGTTGTTTCCACTTGAAGATTAATTTGATCGAAAGAAACTCTAGCTTCTCCAAGTAATCTTTCTCTCCGGATTCGACCGCTCCATGAATAAACTCTCAGTCTTACACCCATAGCATTTACATCCTCAGGATTAACTCTAGGCAACAGGAAACTCTCCATGTATTGTGGTGCTGTACCCTGGCGAACTTTTGTTTTACGGCGTTGTTTCTTAGATGGCAATAATACCAGGCGAACTTGGCTACCACCTATGCCGGACGGATAGTTACGTCCTTGTAACACATGAACCTATTAGAAAAATTAATAAAAACCTATAATTTTATATAACTTGTGTGTAATAAAAACAAATTCACGTATTCATATTTACCGTCATCTCACGCATCGGTGCGTCATACATAAAAGCAACTTCCAGGCTACTAACTTCATCTGTAATAACAGGCGTCGGTACGATTCCATCATTTGCTGGAGCAGTGTGCTCTTCCTTCTGTCTTTCTTGTTCTCTATTGTCCAGAATAATGTTCGAGGAACCGACTTTTACTATACACTGCTGTATAAATTAAATACACCCATATTATTACGTTTCGCTGTCATATTGTTGTTATCTTTACAGGATGAGTTATCCTAGACTCCGAATCTGGAAGGAGCCTCCGTATGTACTAGATGCGCTATTCTTTAATCAGATTACCCGCACCTACAGGCAATGTGTTCTTGATGTCGTATTATAAACATGTCAGGGTACTGATCCGCATGACAATTTTCTATTCGAATAGTTCACTCGGTTTTCTGTCAACAATTGACTATAAATTCTTACCAATGACTCGTTTACAGAGTCATTCAAGTTGCCGTGTCAATCTCATCTTAACCGGTGGATGGGGGTAATCTGATTAGAAAATAGCATTTCATAAATATGACGGCTCCTCCCAGATTCGGGGTCCAGGATAACTCACCCTGTATATTCTAAACTTTATGTAACAATACCTGTTGTTGATCAGGAGAGTGTTCTTCGGTGCAACTACTGGAAGTCGTACCTCCGTCTGGAATGGTATTAAATAGTAAATTAATTATTGCAAATATAATATATACTTTGCAGACGACTTACCTACGACAGCGGGTCCATCTTCAGCTTGGATGGTAAGAGTATCCGGCGGAGGGTGTGGTCTAGGAGAATTTAAACGGCGAAGAGCGTCTTCTTCCGAGTCTGAACTTGTTTCTGGATCTGAGTAAGAAAATGCCTTGCCTACAATAAATAGATGGACAGTTTTTCTCAATTATATAAAATTCAATCTTGAGAATTAATTTAATTGAATTTAATACCTAAGTTCTTAGACAGTTGAGATATAGAACTGTTACTGGATTCACAAAGAGGTACGCAAACACCCCCGAAAAGAGTCGAAGAAGCAGACGGCGTGAAACACCACTTCCGGGACAGATAAAGGAACAAGACCAACAAAAGTGCTCCAAAACCAGCAACAGCACCCAGAAACGCTGTAGCTTCCACTGGTACTGAAACCATTGACCCGTAAATATGCGTTCCCATTTGTATGCAGCACACGACACCATCAAGCGTAGCTGAATGCTGCTTATAATTAGAGTGAAGAAGGATGAACATTATCAGGCAGAATATTTAATTTAAACATTCTAGTTTATCGTGAGATCTTTACGCAATTCATAAACATTATAAATGAGCAATGGGAAGAATGGAATGCAGATAGGAGATTAAATTTTTTAATTCCCATCTTTGCGCAATGCGGGGTAACGTAATATTCTACGGACGCTATTAGACAGCCATTCATTTAATGAAACGCAAACTGAAGATCTTTACTCTTATTCTATACAACGATACGCCAAGTTCAGTTCCACGCTTTTACTAACATATTAACGGACTTTTTACACTACTCGATTATATACATTGGCACGGGGTGCTAAAGCAGCATAACAAATGTGTATCGCAGGAATAGTCGTTGCGAAAGCATTATAAAATTACAGAACCAATTCATTTTCCGTACATTCAAAGGTGTTCTCTGGAGAGATACACGTAATTTTTATGAATATTTATGCAAGGTGCGATTTGCTTTTAGGAACGTATTTCTTCAAGCAGAGTGGACTTACCCGCTAGAAAATGGTCTGATCCAGTCAGAATCATGCTCGCCCTTTCAGCGGGTTTCTGTATTTTGTTCGATGTTCCCAGAAAACTTGCTTACAAATGGAGAATTCATTATCTGGAGTATAGGACGTTGTTCGTCAGGTTTGTTTGATTACAAACGTGGTTATACGTCGAATAATACGTGGGCGGGAGTATACAGCACTCTGTTGCTTGTCAAGACGTGCGCCTGTAAAACTTCCACCTGATGCACGCTTGCGCCTTACGGGTTTTCATCGACGACCGGTCATGTACATCAGTCACACACACACGTCTTGCGAGCATCCGTTGGAAAGTTAGCGCGGGAAAATAAAAATTTATATGCTTATAATGCCTAAAAAATTGCTCCTTATATGCTCCTTATGTTTCACTAATTGCTCCGCTGCTACTGTGATGATGGTTAATCAATATTCATTAAACCAGAAACTTTTTACTTTTATAGAAATTCCAAATAATCAAGCAGATTTTCATATAATTTTCTTGATGAATTAATTGCTCCCAAATTGCTCCATATTGCTCCGCAATTAGATTTTTATTTTATTAAAACATCTTTAAATGACAAGTACAATTTTTTTTCTCACAATATGATTGGTTTGCGAACACACTTACTACCCTGCGTTCTAAGATCGGCCGAGAGTGCTGCGAGCATTGTTGCCTCGGTTCATTTTGGAACACACTTGTGACAGGTACGTTCCAATGATTATGTTCCAAGCTCAGAATTTAAAGAAAATAAACCAATCGTGCAATGTTTGAGAAGACAAACGTGGTTCGTCGATCCCACTTAAATTATTAACGCATGAAAACGTATGCTGAGTTTACAAGCACCGGTTTTAGACAGGATCTTAAATATGACTACCAGAGGTGAGTACTTAGGGAGATGCACAACGCTACGATCTTAGGCGATATCAAAATTATGGCGCCAAATGAAGCGGCAAATCCGGAAGTAGGATTTTGTGATCCTGGCCTCCGTCGACAATGCATATTCCGTCGTAGCCGAGCTGAAAGTGATCACGAACGTGCAGCGTGGCCGGCAGAGGTTCTCCGCAACTTACCCCTGGTTCCCAGAGCAACCCTTAGAACGAGGCCACTCATTAGATATTGCCTAAATATTTTTTTGTTATCTTAAATTCGAGTGCACAGTGTAAGCTCGATAAGATTTACTAAGACAAAAGTCAATACCTCATGCCTGCCTGCGTTAAGGAGTGCAGCGATGCGGTGCTAGCTTCCAGCATTATTTAACAATAGTTCCAAGCGGAACTATGGTTCCAACATTGAGTACTAGAGAGAACTACCCCGGAACTGTTTGAAACACAATCTGAAAACAACACTGAAAACCAGCTCCTTATGCATACCTGCACTGAAGCGTATGGTGCGACTAGTATCCTTAATAGGTATTTTACCGATGTTACGTAGCAGAACTATTGTTAAAACCTATCAGGAACTATAGAACTGGTCGAGAAGTATTGAAAAAGCCTATTGTTGAATCATTGTTCAAAAGTTGAGGTGCTACACGGATGTGGAGCTCCAACACCGCACTTTTTTAAAATCTCTTAAAAATGATTCAACAATAGGCTTTTTCAATAGTTTTCAAGGAGTTCTATAGTTCCTGATAGGTTTTAACAATAGTTCTGCTACGTAACATCGGTAAAATACCTATTAAGGATACTAGTCGCACCATACGCTTCAGTGCAGGTATGCATAAGGAGCTGGTTTTCAGTGTTGTTTTCAGATTGTGTTTCAAACAGTTCCGGGGTAGTTCTCTCTAGTACTCAATGTTGGAACCATAGTTCCGCTTGGAACTATTGTTAAATAATTGGCTTTCAGTGTTGTTTTCAGATTATGTTTCAAACAGTTCCTGGATAGTTCTCTCTAGTACTCAATGTTGGGACCATAATTCCGCCTGGAACTATTGTTAAATAATGCTGGAAGCTAGCACCGCATCGCTGCACTCCTTAACGCAAGCAAGCATCAGGTGCTGGCTTTTGTCTTATTGTTAGTAAGTCTTATCGAGCTTACATTGTGCACTCGACTGTAAGATTACAAAAAAAAATATTTTGGCAATATCTGATGAACGGCCTCGTTCTAAGGGTTGCTCTAGGAACCAGGGGTAAGTTGCGGAGAACCTCTGCCAGCCATGCTACACGTTCGTGATCACGTTTAGCTCGGCTACGACGGGTCATGCATTATCGACGGAGGCGATGTCACAAAATTCTACTCCCGGACTCACTGTTACGATTTAGCACCATGTTTTTGGTATCGCCTAAAACCGTAGCATGTGCAACTCCCTACTCATTTCTGTGTGTATACTGTGTACAAGCTAACTATAAAATTGTTCCTTCGTGGTGGCGCTGATTGGCGCTGGTAGTCAACGGTATAAGCGAGAAACGGGAGTCGCACGAAACTCGGACGGAATAAAAAGGCATCGTCGATTCGTACTGATTCGTACCTTAATAGCGAGATGTGTCGGAGTATGAATTACTACAATTTGCTTAATAGCTAATAGACTCAAAATTACTGGTATGCTGCTGTGATCCATTCATGATGCCTGCGTATGTGACAATATTGCCATGTCTCATCCTGGGACTGTTAGGTAATTTCTTATTGCATTTATACCAGCCGTGATATTCACTTGTAATTATTATTTTCGTTCAGACTTAATGTCGTCTTACAATGTCTCTGCTCCTACTATATTACACGCTTTAGAATGCTGCAACGAATATAAACAACTCATACTAGTTGGAAATTCCTTGCTTGATATCAAAATATATTGCTTTTGTTGATGGCTTCATTCAATTCTTCTACATGTATTTTTAAAAATTTCTTGTCAATATTTGGTTTGTTATTGCTCCAAACAAAATCACTTCAATTTCGTATATGGTATTAAATATACGTTTTGCTCTCTTGTTTACAATATTGCAGTGTATGTAACATTTGTGTTTGGTTTTTTAATTGTACAACCTATATTGTCTTGTATGTTTCTATAAATGGATTTTATAACAAAATTTTGCAAATATACTTTCCTCATTTTATATGTGGTTGCCACATAGTTTACTCAAATTTGCTTTACTATTTAAATTTATTGTACGTCTTATTTAACTTTATACATATTTTACATTCTATTAATATTAAGTATTCAAAAATGATGCTCCAGTAAATATAGCACAACTACTTTAGATGAAACTGTGGTGTACCAGTTTCAACTAACTAGAATTAACCTTTCATATTTCAAGGCACAACCTATAGCCACGATGTTAAGGGATCAACATATTGTGAATTTTATAATGAGACAATGTGCACAGAATCACAACAAGGTTGTTCAGGTAGGGAAGAATGTGGGCCACACGATCCAGATAAACGTAACCACTGCTATGTACTTTGGCAGCGGGACAATGCAACGAAAAAGTCAACAATTAAATTAAAAGTATGGATTATATCTATTACGATGTCTATTAAATATAAAGTCATAAAATTATAATGGATTTCTAGACCTTAGTAGATAAAAACATTATATTCCAGCATATGGCCTGTATACTAATAGCACACTTTACATAATGTTGTTTTGTTGGCAATATGCTAGGATATTTGGGGTGGGGGGAGCTGTGTCTGACTATCTGGGTGTAGGGGTATCAAAAAGTCTGATAGTTAATTATAACTATAAGCATACAATTTTTCCAGGGTTGCTTCCTAGATAGTAAGGAATGCTATGATAAGACACAGTGTGTTGAAAAAAATGCAGACAGAAAAAAACAACTGTTTTTTTGTTGCTGCGATGGAAACATGTGTAATGAAAATTTCACATGGGATCCTCAACCAACTCAAGCCCCACCAGAGATTCATGGTAATGTAAAAAAAAAAGCTACGAAAACACAGAAATCTAATAAAAAATATTTCCTAAAACATGGTTATTCCTGTTACAGAATCTGAGCCAGTCCCTAATACAGAACAGCAAATGATAACACTTGTGCTATCCATATCAATACCGATGCTGCTACTCGCTTTTGTTTTACCGTTTTTATATTGGTGCTACAAGCGTCGTAAGCTTGGTTACTTCAACGAGGTTAATTTCTTAATATTCTATTACAATACTAATTATAATGAAGCATATTCTGAGTAATCAGAAAACTTTATATTGTATCAAGCAGGTACCAACATTGGAGCCCTTACCGCTACCTCAACCCTCACCAAATTTGGGTCTACGCCCAATTCAATTAGTCGAAATCAAAGCTCGAGGCCGTTTTGGCGCCGTTTGGAAAGCACAACTCAAGAACGATATTATAGCTGTAAAAGTGTTTCCGATACAAGATAAACAGTCCTGGCAAACAGAACAAGAAATCTTCAAGTTGGCCCACATGGATCATGAGGACATATTACGTTTTATTGGCGTAGAGAAGAGAGGCGACAATTTACAAGCAGAATTTTGGCTAATTACTGCGTACCACGAAAAGGGTTCGCTGTGTGATTACCTTAAGGCCAACGTGGTCACGTGGCCTGAAATGTGCCGAATAGCAGAATCTATGGCGAGGTAAGAAATCAGCCAATCATAATCTTGCATTTTAGATAGAATCAAATATGACGCATAATTAAATAAGCTGTCTATAGAGAAGATGAAATACAATCTCTTGCGTGTTCAGAGGTCTTATGCATCTGCATGAAGAAATTCCAGCGAACAAAGCAGACGGATACAAGCCAGCCGTTGCCCATCGAGACTTCAAATCCAAAAATGTTTTATTAAAAGCTGACATGAGTGCTTGCATAGCGGATTTCGGCCTCGCACTGATTTTTCATCCTGGAAAACCATGTGGGGACACGCATGGCCAGGTTAGCTCATTGCAACGGATTCTCTTTGCTGCTTCACTATGTTTGTGCAGCATTATTGTATCTTGTTTATTGTGCAGGTTGGGACTCGAAGATATATGGCGCCTGAAGTTTTAGAGGGCGCGATAAACTTTACGCGGGATTCTTTTCTGCGCATTGATATGTACGCATGCGGACTAGTGCTCTGGGAACTTGCTTCACGGTGTACCGTGCAGGACGTACGTAACGGAGAAAAAATACAGGAATAATATTACTGGCAAGCTCACCGCAGAACTAACATGTTTTCACTTAACATTCGTGTTGACAGGGACCTATCGGCGAGTACAGGTTACCTTTTGAAGAAGAAGTCGGCCTACATCCAACATTGGAGGACATGCAAGAGAGCGTCGTGCATAAAAAGGAACGGCCGCTGATCTTGGAAACTTGGCGAAAGCACGTCGTAAGTCCAAATGCATTTTATTATTTATTAATAAATATATACCCGTAAAAGGTTCTTTGATATGGAAATAAACAATTGACGGAAGAAAAAAAAAACTAGAAATGAAAGTACCGAATTATTATTTAGGGTCTTCTGTCGATTTGCGACACGATGGAAGAGTGCTGGGATCATGACGCTGAGGCGCGTCTGTCGGCGTCCTGCGTCATGGAACGTGTAGCCACCCTCAGCAGGAGCCTCGTGATGAATTCGTCAACGTTGATCCGAGTCGATATCACGAACGAGTCTCTCACCACCAAGGAGTCTATCATGTAGTTAGCCCGTATGTATTATAGCTTTAGTTGAATTGCACAACCAACCATTTCCTGTACCATAAAACTATTTGCGTTCATCAATGGGGAACATCGACGTTGTAGATATGCATGTGTCTGTCTGTGACGTGTTTCGTAGTTTCGTCATATAGTTCATCATAACATCATAGTTCTCGTGTATCTCTGCGCGAGAAATTTACGAATTTTTTACCGTTCATTATTGAATAGAAAGATATCACAAACGGCTGCGACACGCACGATTTATCAGAGACCAGACGCACGACTGATTTTATGTACGGCCTATAACAAATATTCAGATACTAGTATTTTTAATTGATTGCTTTGTATCTTCAGTAATAATGTCCGAAACGAGTGGCAAAAATATTTTGATACATGGCATAACTGAACAATTAGTATGTATTTTATACTCATAAATATCAAATCAATATGAGTTAAAGATGGTCATTGTATTTATAGACAATCGTTAGTCAGTAATTAGTAACTGTTGGCTTTGTATTTAAATGGATTAAAGATGGTGCAGATAACATCTTTAACTCATATAAATACAAGGCCAACAATCATTAATTATCAATTAAATCAATACTTTGTTGAATAACCCAACAATAATAATGTAATATGACATAAAATATTTTACTCGCTCTCGTCATGGTTACTTAAGATATAGAATAATTAAAACAGGAAATACCATTGTGTCCAAATATTTATGTAATAGACGGTATGGTTATGTGGTTTTTCTCTTTTGAAAACGATTTTTCAAAATTATATTAAAGTGTTATTTCTTTTGGTACTTTTTCATAGATATTTACGAACTGATCGTAATAACAGTTTTGTTGTTATCGAAAATAGTAATGTGAAAGTTTGGAACGATTATCAATTTGCTAAATACTCAAAGAGCCCTTAACTGTTGTTATAATTACTGTCACTCTTATCATTCCTGTTGGTAGAAGTCATACTCTTTCTTAATTCCCTTGTTATTCACAACTTTGTTATACAATTTAATGAACGAGTTAGTTAACCGTTGTGCAACTTTGCGTGATGCCATTTTATCATCGTGATAACTTTCCACTTTTATATTGCTAGTTTTATAGCCAGGAATAAACTGCTCATTAATCACGTGACTAATCGGTCGATTATCAAGATCCATTCAAGAATCTTGTTTCGCCTCGCGCGTTATACATATAATTATTGACAATTTGTAACTGTCGTATGTATTTCAAGATTATTCTCGACAAACTTGTACAGTTCACAAAGCAATTCGCAGTTTAACACGTGAAAAATGATGAATAGTCTTTATATAACCTTTATTAAAATTCGTAACATATCGTTCGCTTAAATAATCCGTTTCTCATTGAAATATTCGACTGATAAAAACACACGTACCACCACAAGTAACGCACTACAGACATCGTGACGATAATAGAAGGAAACTTTACCGCATATCCTGTAAAGAAATTCTTTGTAAATATAAAAAGAGAAAAGAAAAGAAAAAAAGGACAAAAAAGGGAGAACCCTCAAAAATCCCCACAGCCTGCAAAGTTCAAAGAATAAAAAGATTAACGTAAAACGATGAACGTGCTTTGTATGCGTGTATAAGGGTGGGAGGGTGAGGAAGGAAGTGCTACGTCTGCGAATCATCGAATCTCCAAAATGGTCGCCGTGCGGACCAGTGCGGACAATCAAAACGGCGTTTCTCTCATTATGTGAAAACTTTGTTCGAACAAAGTAAAACTACTACTACAGGTGTAAAATGAAAAAGACGCTGTTCCTCATTGGTGGCGGTGCGATCGTCTTCTGACTAACAAAAAAAAATATCGTTAAGACGATCGTCATAGTAACGTAAACGATTGAGCCGAACGAAAACCCAATATTAATGGCGGTGTATATCTCTAATGACGAAGCGAACGACGCATTGCTACGATTATTGCTGTACCGCGTCACAATGTAACGTTCGTTTATTACGATGTACCTGCTGCTGTAGACGCAATCGTTTTTGAAGAACAAACTAGTGCCACGAGGCTTTTTTTTCTTTGTTTAATCTCTGCGGTTCACTTTTTTTTTATTGGTCAGACTAGTTCACGATATCATTCCAAAATTGTTGATTACATTGGTTGTACGTACATACAGGGATCTTGCTACTAGTGCTCCTAAAACCACTAAAGTGAAAGAACGAGGAAAAGAATTTATTGTATCGTGAATGCGATGTATGAGCAATATCGTTATTGTTATCATTGGAACAATAACGGCTATTGTTGTTGCGTTGCTAGGCTACGAAAAATATACGTAATTAATTGTACGTTCGATACTTGCCAGTGAGAGGGTCTAATAATCTTTCTCGAAAATTGTAATGGGAGACGACTAATAGTAGGTAGCGAGACGTAAAGATTTCATGACAGGTTACTTCTCTCTTTATCGTTCGCTCAGATCACTTGTAACGTTTGTCGTCTCTCATGCGTTTACTTGAATTGAATTTTTGTAGTCGGCGGAATTATACGATACAACGTTCGTACGTGTCGTCTCGATAAAGTGGGTGTTGTACCGTTAACCACCCAGTATCGTTTTACCATTTATCATATCATCCTTGTTAACCGTTTATTCAATTGTCAGGCCAACGATGACAGCTCATTCTTACTATTGATTCGATTTGAAATATTCGAATAATGCACGAAAAGTCGCATGAAAACGCACGTGCTGTTACGTTTAAAAAAAAATCATCCAAGATAATGTTACACGTTATAATTTATACTTTAAGAATTACTCTAAGCTAAAGTATGTAATTACTGTAGACGTGAACGATTATAATTATTTATGGTACAACGCATTTAGCCCGTGTATTACTATGAATTGATTGATTGAGATCCCATCAGGTCTCATCCGTTATAGATTTTTCTTCTCTTTATATTTTTATTATTCATTTTCTTCCGCTATTTGCATTTTATGTTTCTTCTTGCGGAATTCTCGCTCGCCTTGCGTTACTGGGTTTTTTAACAGTGCCAAAACCAATGAAAGGAAGAAGATAGTGAACAATATATATACGCATACGACACGCGCTTATCATTTCATCTTTGTACATTCATTATTACACCTTATTGTATCGATAGGACCATCCAACAAAAAATTAATCGGGTGTACCTAAGAATAATAATAATCTGCGACGTTAACAGGTCACGCGCGAATATGATTATACACACATCAGGAATAATATCTAAATATACACAATTTTAATACCCTAACTGTTACTGGACAGCGGACTTGATATTTATGTAAAATAACCAATTTCTCAAAAGCGGCTACATCCTTTGAAAGAGATTCATTGTACCTTGAATTGCTGGCAATAACATTAATTTATGATACACACTCGCATACACACACCACGTATACTCTACTTGTATCTTTTTTTTATGTCTTTCATTGATCTTTTTTTTAGTACGCAAACCTAAAAAGAACAATACACTTACATAAGCCTATATATACGAGTCCATTATCCAGTATGACTGTTGTTATTATAATAAATAGTAACGTAAGTAATACGTAAGTCATCTGTTAAGCGATTCGTTTAATAGTTATTTTTATCAAAGATCCCAGCTATACATATATTGTATGTATTACGTTTAGATATTTGTATAATAATTAATTGGATACTTCGAACGGGCGTTCACATGGCGCACCTAGTCGAACGTAGGATCATTGTAAATAAGAAAGATAATATTAAGTAATATTAATAATTAATAATAGTATAGTAGTCCTTATGCGATATAAGACACTACAAAAAATGTATACATACCTTTTTATTTATCTCCAACGATACGTACGAGTTGCAGCTATGTAGAATGTTCCTGCGCGCGCACCTAAATATCGTTAAATAATATGAATTCAGGGTGATAGTGTCCACTACAAGCGATAATTTCATTCATTCGCTGCTCTTTGATTTTTAATGCGTTTCGTTAGGTTATAACATTCATGCTTGAGCACTCGAAATCAGTTGCTTAGGTGATTTGTGTAATTTTCTCTGATAAACCTGGGCGTTGTATTTGTGAATGTGTGAAACGATTATTTAAATACGTTCCGTTGCAAATCAAAACTGATATGTTGCTCTAGTTAAATGTTACTTAAGTGAAACGTTAAGTTGACCCAGACGTTAAATATTTGTCAATGTAATGACTGCTATTTTGTTACCCCAATAATTTTTTCATTCAAGTAATTAGGTGATTAGCTTTGTTCTGCTATCATGATAGGTTTTTGTTCATGCATGACGTGTTTGAAATTTCTCATGTTTTATAGGGTCCGGGTTTCTGTTGTCGCAAGATTCGATCGGTATAGTCTAGTGAGCTGTTGTTCTGTGGGAACATTTTAATTGGTGGAAAGAACGTTACAAATGTCAACGTTTTATGTATGTAAACATCTACATACTTACGTATCTCGCTATTTACGAATTGAATTAATAAAAGCGATAAGATGATGAATTTGTAATAAGTATGTTGTACTTTAATAGCAATTCCAGTTGTTTCTACGTTTTTCTTCCTTTCACTCAGGATCAACATAACAAAATCTGAAGAACTCTTGCTGATGCATTGTGACCTCTTGCATTGCCATTTCACTCAATAGGTCTGTCTCGTGACCTACACTTTCTTCACTTTTCAAAAAGTGCATATTCTCATTGGTTACTAATATTATTCAATAAGATATTGCACTTTTTGAATATATTTTTAATATAATAAATAAATACTTTTTGAGATATTATACTTCTTAATTGATGTGTATTCGTTTGTTGGCCACAAATATTGATTGATGAAATATCAGCCATTGATCCCCGCGCAAAATGTCTCCTATAGAGGGTAACTTTAGACTAGGAAGCGCTCAATAGCACCCGCAACCTACCCCAAGTGAAGCTGACCCACGAACACAAGCACAGATAGGACTTTGCCCACAGCCAACGGACTACCCCGTACGACCTCACCACCGGCACATAAGATCGTCTGTACCCACACGAGTGCTCAAGGCTCAACAACATGTTGGAGTATTTTTAACAAAGCGAACAAATTTATTGTGCAAAAGACGCGGAAAATAGGCACTCTGATTAGATTCAATATACGAAAGACCATGGCCGTAGATACCCTAAGGGGGCTCAAGGCCCCCGTCGGGAGACTCATAAGGTCCTGTTGCTGCCACAACTTGGGCCCGACTCACTGAGCAAGCTCAGCGGATGAGACGGACGGGCAACCCTCGACACCATGGTCTATACGTGTAGCTACTCTAACAGGGTGATTACCCTTATAAGACTACTCGAATGAATATACTCGACCCGATCAAAGGAATCGGACAAGTAAGACAAGCAAAATGTAAAGTGAGAGGGAACAGAGTGAAAGGAGAAGACAGGAAGGAAGATAAAAATAAAAAAGTTAAGAAGTAGAAAAGTAAGGAATAGAGGTATAAAAGTAGAGAAGAAGCATGGAAAGAGATTATTTTTTAAAGTAACAAATGAGAACTTGCCCTTTTTGAAAAGTGCAGAAGATGTAATTAACGAGACAAACCTATTGATTACGTTTACACGGCGGTCTTAAACCGGTTTATTTAATACTAATCTAAAGGAATAGACAAATTATAGACATTTCTACTTGTAAGGAATATTTGGGATTGGTCAATTCCTTTCGATCAGTAATAACTAAACCGATTTAAGACGGCCGTGTAATCATTGTTAAACAGTATGAGACAGTGCTGTCAACGTCATCTGGTGTTCGATTATATTTAGGGTGTATTCCAGTGTATTCTTATACACTTACTGCGAGAATGGTTGTATCTCACTCAATTGCATGCAAGTAAATAGAGACACGAGGATACTCGTGGTCCATGCTCATAGTATTGACAGATTCAGAAAGTACCATGGTATAACCTATGTTAATTATAATATGTAAAAAAAAGAGAAATTCTTTGTTTAATATTACATGATTTGCATGGAAATGGCAGTGATCATTGGACTTTGTATTGGACGAAAATTTATTCAATTTGGAGGGAGTTAAATGAGGCGTAGACAGGTGAATCCTTTTGAGAGAATTCTACATAACTCTTACCGAGATGCAAAAAAGTGCGGGTTTCGTGGATTTGCTTGGTGAAAGAAGAAAAGATAATGACATAATGTGGGTATCACGTCCCATGAACCCTTTGCTGCCTCACAAATTACCTCCAGAATGTAAATACTCCAGAAAACAAGCTATTGAAGCAGCCTTGTCTAATCCTCGAGTGGAACTTGCAATTGAATCTCTTGCATTGGCGAAAAGAGTTGATAAATCCATTATTAGAAAAGAAGCTCGTGACATGCTTGAGGAAATGGCAAGCAAGGCTCACCTTCCTACAGTACGCTGGATAGGTTTGTTCTTAAAACTATTAATTGTTTAAGCTTCCTTATTATCCCATTGATTAAAATTGTACGATAATTGTTTTATTATAATTTTAGGTCTACTGATCACAAAGGTCCTGAAGCGAATCCTATTAAGTATACGCATAAATCAATCATTTCTCCTACAAATAAGGGGTCAAATGAGAATTGCGCAAGTACAATATGTATATGCACCTACACATAGGAGCTATTTAGATTTTATTCTTTTATCCTACATACTCTTCTCATATGACATGGCATTGCCAAATATTGCTAGTGGAATGGATTTTTATCGAATGCGTGTAGTGGGAGAGCTTTTACGTAAAACAGGAGCATTTTATATGAGACGCAGTTTCTCCACAGACATTTTATATAAAGAAATATTTCGTGCATATGTTGCATCTCTTGTGGAACACAGTGACAGAGCAATAGAATTTTTTATTGAAGGGACAAGGAGTCGAAGTCAAAAAAGTATTGCACCCAAGTTTGGTAAGCCCTTTATCCAACACATAATATTTTATAGATAGAAATTTATTCATTATTCCATTTATATTGTAATTATCAATAGGGCTACTTGCGATGATATTGGAAGGTCTGTTTCGTGGAGACGTTCCTGACATTTGCTTCATACCTATCAATATTACCTATGACAGACCATTAGAGGAATTATTATTCGCTTACGAACTCTTAGGAGTACCTAAACCAGCAGAATCTACATCGGGCCTTTTCCGTTCTTTATCTATTCTCAAAGAACCCTTTGCTCACGGCCATGTGTATATGAAAATCGCAGCTCCCATTTCTGCACGCGAATTTTTTAATCTTAAAAGCCGCAGAATCAGTGCGTTGTCTCCACATTCAAAATTACCTGCTGTAGTGGTTAAAAGACTGGGTTACGCCATTATAGAGAGTCACAAGAAATGCACAACGCTCACACCGTTCAATATAATCGCAATATTATTTAATGAAAAGGTTCACTCGTGTCCGGAAGACCATTACACAATTAACACATTGCTTGATGATTATCACTGGCTGAAAGAGTTGCTGAGCCGATCGTTTAGTGCTTTAACACATCCGAGTGTCGATGAGTAAGTATAATAATTCAACTAACATAATAAGCATTATATAATCAGTAAGAGATGTGTACAAAAAATAGCTGATTGAGCAACATAAGATTAAGAACTAATGAATAATTATAATAATATAGGTCTGAAAATGATTCAAATACGGAGAACGAGAAACGTGACATATTGGAATCGCTAAATACGCACCGAGAACTGCTTGCATTCGATACTACTGGAAAATTGAGATTAAAGGAAAGGCACAAAAATGTAACTACAAATAGAAATAGAAATGTCAAAGGTCATTTATTAAGTGAGACTACTATGCGGTTAGTGGTTCCGGCGATAAATATAGGAGTTTATTTAAATCCCGTATTTGCATTTATCACAGTACAAGGAATGATCGTTTTATCGATATGGTCTGATAATGCAATGAAAGGTAGATTTCTCGATTAAAATCACTTATGCTATTGACTGAATAGACTAGACATACCCGTTTATTCTGTACCTCGCGATGCCGATATATAGAATATACATCTATTTATAGTATTTTAATGCTTAAGTTCATTTGTAGATGACCGTGACACTCAATCTCACGTGTCACCATATCCTATAAAATTTCTAGTCTATTTGCCTATTCAGTCAGTGCCTATATCATTCCGATGATACATTTAAAACATAGTTTTCTCAAATTCACGAGAAAGTTTAATTTTATGTGTTTCTCCTTATAGATCAATGTTTTGAGCGATACTTCCTACTAAGGTCTTTACTGAGTAATGAATTTGCAATGACTATGGAAATACCAAAAACGGCAGTAATATCTGAATGGGAAAATGGACTGTCTGTATTATCGAACGAGAATTGTGTATTCTCTGTAGAAAACAAACTTATATTTGGTAGCAATACCAAATTACGGTCCATTTTGAAGAATCTTTTACTACCTTACATTGCGGCTATACGAGTGACTTGCATTCTATTATCAGAGGTAACTATTCTTCAACACGCTTGAGAATTTATTTCACACTATTAACTATTTTTTAATTGTCAGTGGGACAACGATAAAATGGGCGAACCAACAGAACGACAAATCATAAAAGAATCTCAGAAAAAAGCGGAGAATCTTATGTTTAATGAAAGAAAATTGGGAAGTTACCCATACTCTTTATCCATCGATTTGTACTCGTCAACTCTAGTGAGCCTTGTAGCGCACGGAGCAGTTAAAATGTCAGAAAGATCTTGTCTTTACAGTGCAGATAAAATTCAATTGACATCCATAATTAAAGATTTGGATGTAATATTGGAAGAACATCATCCTTCAGGATCTTACTTAGACATTTTCCCTTCTATCTCTCCTCAAAGTTCCATAAGTATTCAAGCTAAACTTTAATCTACTGCTAATTTATTTAGCAGAATTTCTTTTATTTTACAAGACTTGTCAAGATATGTCATTAAATCATAAATATGCATTATTAATATTACAGTACACAGAAAACTTTCATACATATACGTATTTCCTGTAGAATTGGGTCCAGCTCAGTTCATCGTGTACATTTTTTGCATAAAATATTTGTATAGTTATTCAGATACCATACAATTGGTAGACAGATTAACTACGTACAATTTTCGACCCCAGTTACCCCATGTACAATCACCAAGGAGATATTCTTGAAGAAGGCCAGCCCCCGTATGTAAATATATGATATTTGAACCTTCTCCAGAACTTCTATACTGGTTCCAGCATACTTCCCGTGGGCATTACACCTAATAGTCGTCAAACACAAACTACCATAAGGGTTCGCCTCCTATCCCAAAGTATCTCCTCAGTGGTACAATTACTTTTTACTCACAATTATAAATAACTTTTTATATCTATGTGGTGTTAGCATTACAACTTCGACTTACACATTAGGGTTTGCCTTTTATATATTAAATGACTGGTGTTTTAGTGAAATTTGCCTAATTTTTAAAAGCTCCAAAATAAAATTACACCATGTAGCCGCAAAACTTTTATTATCGACTGATTATGTTTGATAAAAGTTTAATCAATACACAATGTTTTGATAGTGAACAAACAAATAAACCATTTTTGTGGCTCGTGGCCTCGTTGAAATAAGAAAAGTTACAAAAAATTAGTGTTTCTTTATTCCACACACGGATGCGCTAAATATTTGAATAAGCACAATGAGGTCTAATCAAAATAACCAGTTTGAAAATGGGTTTGGCTTTTTATTAATCAGTAGTACTTCAAAAATCAATACATTACGGGCCATGAGTGCAACGGCGCACGCACGAAAAACGCGGTCCCAATTACATTACACAATGCATATTTAATCGCACTAACAAGAATCTATGGCTATTTGATATCGCGGTAGAAACGAATAATATACAAGCAAAATGTACAACTCACAAAAAGAATATTCTTCTCGAGAATTCGCAATATACAGATTCCCTTCTCCCTTATTCTTTTTCGAATTATTATCCTTATTTACAATTGTTCGATACTCGATTGAAAATCTCTGCCGATCTCGTTGTCTTTTATTTTTCCACAGTATTTATTCCTTTGTGACCAAACATACTTCAGTCGATGGTTATTTATTGCACACACTTGTCTATAGAATTGCACTGACGAAAAACTTTACGGTGTGTGTAGAAGGAAGAATATTTGTACAAGTAGCAGAGTACACGCAAAGCGGTAAAAAAAGTGTTACCGATTATTTATCTGCCCACATTAAGTTATACAAGTGACATTAATTCGTGAACGTATCATCGCCATCCATTATTCGGACCCTATTAGGATCCAAAGATCGAATAGAAATCTTCAATCGTAGCCAGTCCTACCGAGCATCTCGATCCTAGATACAAAAATTATAATACAATATTCTTAATTCAACAAGTAACTTTACAATATTCTATACGTTGTGTAAAATATATTCAATAGTCTTTTGTTGATTCATACTGAAAACATTGAACGATCAAGTAATAAATAAATTGAATCATGTCAATGGCCATTAATTGATCGATAACGTACCGCCTGGAAATAATAATTTACAATAATTACGCTATGCGGTCGTTAATTAATTAAACAGGAAACAACAAGATGGTGACAATAGAAAGAAAGAAAAATATATATATAGGATGCCATCTTCATACGGACGTTTCTCATGGACACTTAACTTGCTCTCTTGCTGTTTTCTCTCACATTCTTTCTCTCTTCCTATTAAGAAAATATAAGGCGCTATTATTTTTTAAATTATAAAATAAGACGCAAATCAAAATGGCTAGCGTATACCTCGACACATTCTATATGCTAAAGACCTGCGTTAACTGTAATTGCCGTGTGCATAAGTATTACCTTTTATATACTATTTCATATATAAATTGGGAATTTTCGTAAGTAAGGCGTTTTCGATGCTTGACTTTTCCTCTTCTTCGTATAATTTCTTATTCACGACGGATTTATAATTCTTTTCTTTTGTATTTCAGCTGTTTAGGGACTAGCAAGGAGTTAAGATCCACTAGGAGGTCCTCATTGAATCTTTTTATGCTTACCATTGGACAGGATCGAACTTGAAATTTATCAAAAAGTGTACATGACAATGCTCTAGCCATAATTGATACTAAATATAAAGTTTTGTAGAACCTCCATCAGGATTCTTCCAAGTAACTAGCTAATACTCTACGATGTACGTCTATGTGCGCATGTACATAAATAGATATACATATGTATATATAACAAGAATATTGTACCACATCTTTTCGTATATATTCGTATATACTGCAACATCATCAATATCCGCGTTTCTCGTGTGTGTATACATACATATATATATATTTATTTAATAATTATTTTATATCAAACCTCCGAATATCTATTCTACTGTCATTACGTTCTTTTGGCCAGTACCGCCATACTTACAATTTTTACTGTACGCATCTCATGTTACGTACAAGCAACAATCACTGCTTGTTCGGTTCATATGTAATTACAAGATTCACTGTACACACATCATCGGCGTACAGTGAGCGCGCAAGGATAATTACGCACGAATTATTTACTCGCCTAAACATTCTATCTACACACATTTGTTCAAATAAATAAATGTTTATCACATTGGAAGTACAAGCAACCCATTTGTTATTTCTTTCGCATAATTCCCTTGCATTCATCTATCACGCATATCTCACTTCTTGGTCATTCTATATTACCAGTGCCGTGGGCTATCCATTGTGTTTATTAATATAAATTAAACAAAGATTCAACGAGACGCAAATAGAAACATATACGCGCAAAAATTTGCATACCTCAGATTTTCATTATATTGCGAATTTCAGAACGTGTTACTCGATCGCACTTCTTCGTGATTCTAACTACGTTTTATCTTTGATTAATGCAAAAGAACGTTCACAAAGGACTCGAGATTACAAAGTAGTTAATATCATACTCCTTTCCAAACATCCTTGAATCAGGCATTTGTTAATACCTCTTATTTCGCTTAGCCCGTTGTTTTTAAAGCGTCTATAACTTCTTTTTTCTTTTAGTGCCATAAAGCGTAAACGCACTATGAAGCATTCCCGCTTTGCATGAATTTACCTACCTGGGGTATCGAACGAAACTTAAAAACAGACTGTCATTCTCTATTCACTTTGAGGATAACTCAATATCAGGTTGTCCCGAAGATTAACGAAAGAAATCCAGCAAAAGGATCCTACGGATGGTTCTGGTTGGTCCTCGGTCTGCTTTCTTTGGATACATCCACGATACCCAGTATATTTCAGAATGCTTCAAAAAACCTTTTCCATGCCAGGATCATCCTGACATATTTCCCAATTTCTTCTTTTAAATTCTTTATTCTTCTCTTCGACGCTCTTTCTCTCGGGTTGGACCGGAAAACCAACAGTATTCTCTATTTATTCATCCTTTTTGTTCTCTCTGTGTCCGATCATGCAGATCTCCTGACCACCTCAAGCGACGGTTAATTTTAGTCAGGACTCTATTATCCTGAGACAGGAACAGTCTTCATGATCGTCGAGCTCAAGTCGCGAGACTCGACTTCCATCCTCGGAAATAATTTAACTCTTTGAGTGGACGTTTGTCTTCTGAGCTTTCTTCTTGCGCGCTGCTAGCATATCATAGAATGGATTGTGCGATATACTTTGTCTATATTTAGAAAAAGTATTCATCCATTAACGAACGTTTCTACAATAATATGATTGACTAAATTGTTTTAAAAAAAATTATATTTTACTACACACCTCACGCACTTAATCCATTCGTCTTTCTCCTCATCGGTAGCTGCAGACATTCTGTACACGGTGTGCTTTCCTAAAATATTATTCAAAAAATATAATTCCACACCACTATTCACAAGAAACCAATATGGCACAATCTAACCGCAAGGGGAACCGTACCTTCCACAACTTTTCCTTCGCTGTCAGTCTTGCAAGCTTTTATGAACTCCGAGCCAGCTGCGTAGAGTTCAAAGCAATGTGGCTTGTGCCTATCTTGGACCTCCCGAACTTGAATGTTCTCCAGAGGTATAATACCTCGGGGTTCCTTATCCGTGGTGTATTCGAAATAATAAAGGCAGTTATCATTCAGTATAAACCATCGTCTTTTCCAGCTCTTGTACCTTCCGCCTGTAACAAACGAGATAGACACAATGTCCATAGAGTTAAGAATACATCACAACGGGCAGATATTATTTACCTGCTGTCTCCGTCAGGGCAGCAGAGGGACACAGAGCATCATGGTTGTAAATAATTGATTTCGATCAATAATTAATATAATTGATTTTAGAGTCCACAATACAGAAGACACCAATAATATACAAAAAAAAAAAAAAAAAAAAAAACAGAGCATCATGGTTGTAAATAATTGATTTCGATCAATAATTAATATAATTGATTTTAGAGTCCACAATACAGAAGACACCAATAATATAAAAAAAAAAAAAAAAAATCATTCACGCATCCTTACACGTTCCCAATCTGATCTCTCATTCTTCACGTAGAACTTTATCCAATAAAAATCTCATACCCACGTATTCCCAGCATGCAAACGCGAGCACGCACGCATTCAAGTAATCTGCATTGCGACGAAGAATGACAAGAGAGGTGTAAAATTGAAATAAAAAACAGAACATACAAATGGAGGCATGAATTTGGGGTGTGGCTATTCTCAACGTGGCGGCACGACATTAAATTACCTTGCTTCCATAGCCAACCCTCTTTGTCAGGGTTGAAGAAGGTGTGCATTAGATCATTGCCATCGTCCTCCGGAATCTTGAAGGGCTCGGTCTTTATGCTCTCGTACAAACTCTGTGTGAAAAAAAAAAAAGAGAGAGACGTCAATTTGCACAAGTGGTTCATGAAGAAATCATTTAATCGTCAGTGGCTGAATACAGCCCAACCCATCCCGCACAGAGACTTGCATAATCCCAATTAGTCTACATCCCGTGTACGCGTTATAGGTAGACACAGGCCACTAGAGTCTAGGACCTTGCACAGATAGTCTACTACAAGTGCAGCACAACGCATTCGATAAACGATATCCTTTTTTCCCCCATAAATTTCATACCTTCCATATACGAAGATAATTTAACGAAGCCCGGGCTGCACCAATTAGTAATCTCAGAACCCATTAAAAGTTTCCAGCACTGGATCTAAACGCTGCTCATTTGCCGTATGCCCTAGTGCGTACGTCCCGATCCATAAAGTGATACCCATTCAGACAAAATATACCACCACTGAGAACTCACCACCAATAATTCACGCGGAAGGTCACCGCCGTTGTTGATACCCCTATTCATTGAGATAAACTGTTCGACACTCGGCTTATCTTTGACACTAGGATTGTGAAGTGACGTATTGAGCATGATGATGGCGAAGCTAAGAACATAGCAGGTATCGGTGTTGGTGAATATGTTAGGATTAAGTTGGCAGTACCGCTGAGCGAAGCACTCCATCATTCGGTCGATTTTCTGTGCTTCGCCAGGTAGCCTAAAGGACCAGAGGAATTGTCTGAGGGCCTGCACGAGGATGAGGTCGGTAAAGTCATGGAGCTCGACGAAGGCGCGCAGAACCCGCTCGTTGAAGTCGTGTCTCTCGCCCAAGTAATCTCCGATAGCTGTCTTGTTGAGTCCTTCGCCCTTGTAGAGGAACTGGGCCACGTCCTCGGGTGTCGATACCAGGAGATTATGCTCTATCAGGTACTCGATGCCCTTCTTAGGGTCCATGTTGAACTTCTTCCTGCCGATGGACGTCTGTTTGGCCTTGTTCGAGGGCTTTGACTCGTCGGTAGCCAGGCCACCACCCTCCATGGCCTCCATCTCAGCGACGACTTCGCCCAGCTCATCTTTGAGTTGCTGAAACGAGCATAAAGAAATGGACTTTAGAACGTCAGTCAAAAGTGTATCAAAAGGATATCGACCGAATGGCCTGATTAATTAAACGAGTTAAGTACAGACAATTACTGGAAGTGATTAATAAGTCCTTGCGCAAGACGAAATTCAAGTGCGCTACGGTACTTCCCCAGACCTTGGAACCAGTCCAGGACAAGTCTCCACCCTGTTTCTCAGTAGAAGCGATCGAGAAAGATAATACCTGCCCATCTCCGCGAAACGATACACAGAAAGAAGCCAACCAAAGGTCCAACGAGATAATAGAGCAAAGTTATGGGGAAGAAAAAATATAAGGGAAGCCACGTGGAATAATAACTGAAAGGAAAGGAGCAGTCCGTTCAGTCATAATTAAAATATAGCGACAGGGTGTGGCCATCGGCCCACCCTACCCGGTGTATACACAGAGGGGTGAACGTACTGCACCCTTCAAGGGAGGAAGAATTTCTTGTCGTTAAGCCAGGCTAAGTTCACAAAGGTGCGCCACCTACCAGGGAACCCGCGACCCCAGACGAAGTCGGTGCCTTAACGCAGACTTTTTTCTAACCGCGTTTCCCTGATATCATCTTCAACCTAAACTAATAAATGCATCCTTGTATTACACACGCGGCCGTTCAAAAAAGGATCGTAGCTGAGCTCGACAAAATTCTCTCTGTGTATAACCTTCCTGTAGAACATGTAAGACCATCATCCCTCAGGGTTTCCGTAGTGGAACGGTACTCAGGAGTCTAACGAAGGAACAATAATATTTCATTGACAATGTACATGGCACCGAGACCGTAGAATAACTTGCGTTATACGCACACGGAGTTAGGCCTGTTATATTACAAGCATAGACTTCATATCCGGTACAGTACGGTCGCATGGATTGTACTGATAGATGTATATACATATATATGTATATCGCGAGGCCAAGAATTGGTCAACATGTAGAATGCGTGAGAGTCATTACTTTGTGTTTGGGGATTGTTTATACGGGATCCTGCGGTAAGGACCCTTATTTATTTCTGTATAAAGAACGTCAAAGCAAATGACTGTCGTGACTGTGACGTTAAGAGAAAAAGAAAATATAAAAAAGGAAGCACCACGAATTAACGTGGAGTACTGTACTTCTTCACGATTCTACGGAGTATGCATCGTGTATGGGAAAGTGTATTCGGCACTCGAAGGAGTCTCCTCATTTTTCTCAATAGAAGTGAAACAATACCACGGGAGAAGTAATTGTTTGGACGAGTGCCGACGAGAACGCTCCTCCTGGTATGCTCTCACCATTGTCCGGCGTTCCGTGTACGGAAATGCCAGCGGTAGCGGATAGCGCTAGCAGCTGGTTGGTGTAGCGCTCCACGGAAGGAAAAAAGAACGACAAGAGAACGTAGTCGGATGGAAAAGAGAAAAGTGAAAAAATAATCGTCAAGGAATAAACGGCGAACATCCTAAAAATCACGGGACGGGAAATACGCTAATTCGTCTCCGAGCGAGCGTCGTCGTTAATTTCACAATGGCTACTTCGCGATTGCTCGTGCGAGCCAGCTGGCTTCTCTTTTTGGATTCTCTTGTGCCTAATCGGTACCAAGAATAATTGAAACGGCGGCCATTTCTAACGTGCACGAGGAGGCCGCCTCCTTTCAGGGTGCACCGGTACGATAATAACACGGCAAACGAGAGTTGCCCACAATTATTACCGGATATAATGAAGCGATAGAAAGTACTATAAAGTAGAAAGAAAAACAAAGGGACAAAAAAATCCCTAATTCCATCCTCCGCGTATGTGTCGTTCAGGCTAGCCAATATAATTCTGGTAGAATGCCACGGGGTCGTGGCGTGCGTGAAAATAGCAAAGGTGTCGTTCTCGTTTCGAATTCTGGCCGTCGCTACCCGCCTTTCCGCAATTGCCCTGGTAAGTAAACGCATAGCGCGATCCTCGTCTCCCGTATGGCCTTCGTTAATGCCTTCAAGCTCCTGGGATCCCCGGGAACAAAACATTAGGATCCAGCAGGTACGAGTCGTTAAATGGACTTTGGAATGCGACGCGTCGACATTTCTGCACAGATTAACGCTCGCGCGCCGATAAAAGCGTCGCGCCGTACAGGGTGTACCGCGTTACGACACGCGTCTTGTGAAACGCATCTCCTCTGCGCAGGATGGACGATAGCCACGTTTCCGGAAGCCGTAGAAACTGTGCTCGGACTGCAATCACAATTCTATCGCTGTGAATCACTACACAAGCTTCCCACGAACCACTCTGACGAATCGGAAGAACGTACGCTCCCAACCCGCATCGAATATACCAGTTAACGGACCTTTGTTGACTCTTTACGAAATTCCAAGACCGTTTTCTTCCGTCCCTCCAGCCAACGAATCTTTACCGCGAGAGAACGTACGGCTCTATCCAGTTAAATCGGCCATTTGCCAGTCACTGGATACGTGTCTGCGATACTTGCCGTTACTTTACGTTACGATAAAACGTTATTGCCTTTCAGCGCGTTTCCCGCGATAGAGGCCTTCTTCGGGAAAGAGACTTTGCCGCTGAATTTCAGATCGCACCGACGGATGCTGAGAAAAAGAAAAACTTAAAGTCAACGCGAGAGCGCGGCAAACGTAAAAAGGACATAATTGATCGCGATCGCTCGGTGAATATCGATAACCGAAGGTATAACGAATATTGAAAATATATGTATACAGGGAGTTTTATCCTATCTGTACTAAATTTCAACTCGTTCCGTAACTGTTTACACTGTGAATTACGAAGATATCCCGAGCCTCATCAAACACACGGAGTAACGCGCGGACCTATGTCAAATATTTAAACTTTTCAAAAACATTGTAACCACCCCAAATATTTTTCTTGCAAATATATTTCGCACACTCGAAATCGGAGGACCAGATCAAAGTTACCACCCGTATCAACGACGTGCCTGAAATAGTGAAAAGCTCGCGGTAAAAAAAAAAAAGAAGTCCCTAGGATATTTAATATACATACTGCCGGTTGAAGACGATTACACCTGTCAGTGAACGACAGATGCCGTCGCGTGCGTATCTAGTGAACTTTGCAATGCATTTCAGAATTTAATTCCAAAGAAATTAACTGCGCGTGACAGATGTCGTTCACCCTTTGAAAATTTGTTAATCTAATTTTTTCCACTAATTACCAGCTTCTCGTTAGGAATTGACAGTCTCAAAGGTAATCGGGGAATGGGATACACCCTGTATAACCGATGGTAGTCTTTCACGTTCTATCCTTATATATATAAATATATATATATCTGTCGGCGCACTGAATTTGGCTGTGTGTAACTGTCCTGTCTGCTGAGTATAACACGGAATGTAAAGCGCCTCGATCGTCGTGTGCAGGTAAGGTTATATCCCAATAGACTCCGTGTCCGCGTGTGCGCCGCGTAAAAACACGTAAAATGCATAACAGTGTAGCAATACGTAAACGTGGAACTTGTATCGATGCAACTATACCTCACGTATCAAAGAGTGCCTACGTAAGATACGGGAGTGGAGAATTAGTAGAAACGTATTTTCTAAGAAGTTACGAGTTAACGTTGGAATTCACTTTTTGCCATTTTCTTTTTTCAGATTTTAATAGCGAAACAAAGGACAATGGTCACTGCGCAAAAAAAAATAAACACGTGCCACACCAAGTCACAGGTCGCTCGTCGATTGATAATCCATTCTCATTGAGATCGACAGGTTAAACGAGAGTCAATGCCAGCTCGAATACTTCGATACGTCATGACCGTTCTGCTAATTTACGTTCATTGAGGAAGCAGAGCAAAAGAGAAGCAAAAAAGTTGGCAGCTTCCCACGAAACGCACGCACCAACGTGAGGAGGACGTTAATTAAAAAGTCCAATTTTGTCCTCATTAATTATTATCTTTTTAATCATCGTCCGACCTCGACTCTTACGCTTAGGCTACTTTTTCTTCCTAGTTCGCAAGATACTTAAAAAACAGCCTTTAACATGATACTCGCAAGGACTGAGACGAATAGACACACATTCACCATAGCCCGTACGCCTGTAATCTGGTATCTGGGTTACGGGTATTGTGCCTAGTGCTTCACTAGGCAACACTACTTATGTATTTGCCTAACAAGAAGCGCAAAGACATGAACGAGCTTGTTGGTCCAACGTCCGAATAACAAACGTGCACGCGGTGAGCAATTAACAGCTAGTAGGCGTGAGCGTTATGCTTTGCAAAACAAATTTCGAAGTCTGGTCTCACGTGTCCAAAAAAGAAAAAATCATACCTATACGGATGATACGTATTGTTGCGATAATAAAGCAAAAAAGTTCGAGGAACAAAAACATTTATTTGTCGAATTTTGTAAAAATTCGACAGAAAACCAGCCAAGAGAACAATCGCAAGAAATTGGTGTTCGATCGTAAAGAAAGGTGCGTAATCAGTTGATCCCAGTGGGCACGTGCCTTGCTATTTTTTTTTATATGCAGAAACACCAGGAGCACAATTTTCGCGAAGCATCGAACGCAACGACGCGGGACTGACTCAGCGGCGACCACTCTCAGGAGTTTCTCAAGGTTTCCTCGATCGTTCCGCTTCCCTCTTTTTTTCCCCTCTGTTCCTTCGCACTCTCTCACTCCCCTCTGTCTGCCCTCTCGCGCACGTACGATTGTCGCAGATTTTAAAAGTAGTCGCTACAGACCGATCAAAGAGGTCTCATACTTTCAGACCTGAACGCGGAGGTCACGAAATGGGAGAAGAGAAGGTTACGGAATGGAAGGGAGGGGGCGAGAGAAAGAGAAAGAAAAATCTCTCCCGCGAACGTAGAAAAATTTCTTCCCAATTAGCATCGAAAAGTCAATGAACCGGAGATAACCGACTGAGCGACCGAGACGAGGAAGGGCGAAAGCGAGAGAAAAGGAAAAGCAAAAGGAAAGAAAATGCCGTCTGTAAAGAAAGCCTGCAAGTCAGCCTTAAAAAGATGGAAAGCCAGCAGGAGATTATCCGGACGTGCCAACGGCTTCTCTTCAATCGCTCTCGCAAAGACGAAACAGAATTATCCAAATACATTCAATCAAATTGGCCCGCGACAGTCTGATTTTCACTTTCAAACAAATAATTATTAATCTTCTCCCTCTTGTGTCCCCCGCTTTATTCGTTCCGAAGATGCGCCAAGGACGATTACGCGTGCCGATAAATCCGCATGGCTGTGAACCTCCGCGCCCAAGAGTTTGTTATCCGCTAATGACCATCCATACGATGTTCGTTATATGGCTGAGATTAACTGCAAATATTTATGCGTGATTCGACTCGAGGTTAGAAATAACTATACTACGAACCACACAACTCCACCAACTTATATCGCTGTTATCGTCACGACCAAAGCCACTGTTACTATTGCAGTGTAGATATATACCGACCGGTTACCACGAACTACATCCTTGCCAATATAAAGAGTCTGGCGCGTCATCTATCTCGTATAGATCGAATCTACGTCAACGATTTGTTGCCTGTAGAATTCTGCCTATTGAACTCTAACTTTCGTTATAACTTCTTATATCCTATATACCCTATGAATATTCAAAAAGTATTATCGAAGTCTAGTTGTAAAATCGTCTATCTGTTAACGTCTCGAGTCCGTTGTCGTACGAATTTATATCTGACGCAATAAATGGTAAAACGGCAGTTGGAAATATTTTTCAGTGAGTATGCGTCATGCTTTTTCAATCCTCTTCCGCTTACTACTAGCGCCATTTAATTAGCCGGACCAAGGAGATAAATAATTCTACGAAATTTGTATATTCACCGAGACGTTCCTCCGGATGAATTACAATTAATTATTTGCGTGGCATTAAATTCGAAAGCCGCTTGAATCACGTTTATACGTGATTGAAATTTTCTATGGCGTCACGACCACATTCTTCCAGAGTGATTGAGCTGTTGCCAGTGCGAGAAGTGCATAAGAGCGTAATGGCGTGCCGAGCACGTGAAGCGTGTGAACGTGTATCGGCGTGAAATACGAAAATCGTAAAAATGGATAGGCAGAAAGAGAGGAGTAGAAAAGAGAAAGGAAATAAAAAAGAGGACAACGCAACTCTGGCCTATTTATAGGTCTGTAAATATGCGAATGTAATGACTACCGTAGCACAAGCGCAAGATGTGTGACGTATACCGCGTCAAAGTGCGGTCAGGATACGGAGTGGCGTTTTTAAAAATACTCGAGGACGATCGATCTGCGTGCGTAACGTCAGAGTGGTTAGTTAGACGTGTGCGCGACAGAGACAGAACGAATGAGAGTAAAGATGAGGGGAAAAAAACAAGAATAAACAGTCAACACAATCCACTCGTCGTCATCGCCACGCGCAGGATTCCATTCTCGTTTAAAATGTCTTATTTTTACTTACTGAGACATCCCAAGATTAAGCAATCGATAAATCGACCGTTGAGTACGCGTATCCTACGCTGTAGGACCGATAATTTTTCTGCTATCTTATTAGTTCGTTGATTTCGTCCTTATCAGTGCGAATCAATGAACCTAACCAAAGAAAAGGGACAACCATCACGAATTAGACGTATTAGACTCACTGATAACGTGCTGAGATCCCAAGCACTCTTTGCTTGCTTTTGATATCCTTTCTTGGCTTTTTTGCCGGGTCGCCGAAGACTTGAAAACCATCCGGTAGCTATGGCAACGGCACTGACATCGCGGCGATCCACCTTAGCGGTAACCTCGTGAACGTCATCGAGAGCATCAACCGACCTCCCGGTGAAGATCATTCTCGGCGCCAGGATGTAATAGAATTTTTAGTAAGACACTCGCGGTATATCCGTGTCCCGCACGTTTATCATTCACTGACAATTATAATGATGTCAATAACATGCAGCAAGAGATAACAGTAGCAAAGGGAGTTTTCATAATATATACACGCGAAACTACGAATAATAATAAACAAATTTCATCGCACGCGTCTCGCACCACACCACAATTCGATATTATGCCGACCAGTGATGCATCACTTCAACTAATGCTGGTACAGTAGAGAACAAAAGAGTATCGTCGACCTCGCACTATGGCACTTATACTATTATTATTAACTATTATCACTAGCAACCACGTTTTTCCTACACGTTGCGATTACCGAGACAGCCTCGGTATCGTGGTTTGTGCACGCTGCCCACACCATATCAAACTACGCTCACGGTCTCGCAGCGCGCACACGACTGGCCGACTTCATCGCATTCGCCAGATAATCCCTGCTGTTCTGACGCTGACAGCGCCACGGTCGGCTAAGTGGGAATCAGCGGTACTAGCAGCGCCATTAGGAACACAGACAAATATTTACATGAACGAAATAAACGGACACGGTTTGCGAATAGTAGTTTCTCAGAAGATATTTTTTCAGATTGATAAATAATTCACGAGCATGTTCATTGCTCAAATCTGCCAAGGAATTCACCCGGACGTTTTCAGTAGCCTCTTACTTTCAAGGAACCAAAGCCAGCGATATGGTGGGAAGAACCCCCTATTATCTTTATTACAAAACTCCTGACTGACTGTCTCAACGGATTAAAATGTTCGTCGGCAAGTTTACCGGCGTTTGCTAATCGTCCCATCAGATGCCGCATTGTCGAGGCAACTGACTGCAGCCTGCACTCGTAGAAATAATTGCATGCGTGCAGTCGACTGCAGTTTACTACAGGTACACTTTTTCTAACCTCTCTTTCTTCCCGCGGGGTGGGGTGGTGCATGCGAGATAATATGTCAACATTCAAAACCGTTAATTGATCGAATGCATAATTTAAGAGCAACTGCCGTATGCAGCAGCGCCAGCAGCACATACGTTTCTGTTAACTGCCGACTTTTCAAAGAGTTCGTGACACACGCCCGAGGACGTTCCACCGAAGGAAAAAAAAATCTTTATAAAAAATATTATAAGAAGTGAAGCTGAAACCATTTTAATACCGCTTGAGCAGACCCATAAAGAGATTCGAGGAACCTACTACATTTGACGATGATTTAATTAGCAATTGCAGCTAACATTGCGGAGGACAGGGGAACTCGTTCACCTTGTTCCCATAAAAGTATCCTGCTTCCAACTATGCTTTTAATTTACCAGCGACATTGAAATCGCCCGAGCGGGCAAAGAAATTCTTACGAAATTCTACCTCGAGTATTTTTTCACTTTCTGTCTTATCGCCAGAACACTGCTTTTCCTTACTGTTGGGGGAAGAATCACAAGTACCTAACCGTTCTCAAGGAGCGGGTGCCCCGTTTTCTCTACACCCTGACAAAACTCACCCTTTGTAATTCTAAACCAACCTTAAAGCCCCTGCACTCTTAACTCCACCGTCCACGCGTATCTGGAAATTGTCCAGCTGTCAAGAAATTTCTTAAAATCCTCGGGTAACTTCGAGTCAAATTGTCAAAGACACGAGAGTCACTAATAAAACGTGCAGACTTATCTGCGAGAATCAATATGCTCGGAGAACAAAAAAAAATAATAATAATCTTCCGTAAAAACATTCCACGAGTTCTCAACGACCGCGTCATAGCACTGAAGTTTTGTATATACAAAATATATGTAGTACAGTAAATGGCATTTGATTTACGAGCGTGCTCGAGAGTCCTCGAAAAACGTCAGGCCACCGAGATGAATAAAAGGTTAATTTCCATTAAGATGGGAACCTAACGCGAGTCGACTGTGCAGTAGCGCGTCATAAAATACATTATAAAATCTATTATTGAAATCGTCGCGGATAAATCCAAGGCGACAAAGAAGATAATCATACAACGGTACTACAAATGCGTACCACCGTGATAATAAAAAATCTCGACTTACCATTACTTTCTTAAACGTTTTATCAACTATTAATCAACATTGAATCTACCCGTCATGTTGTTCAAAGCAAAAGTCTCCAATTTACCTTAGGTGTTCTGGTGTGTTTAGCACAGAGGCACAATATAATGGAGCACATTATTAAGCCCTATCTTCTGTTTTATTGGACGGCACAGAGACGCCCAAGCGCATAAGATCCGAGGACGATTCAAAAAGAAATAAAAAAAAAAAACCAAAACTACACTAGTAAGATTTGGCGAGAATCGTTACGCGAATAACGGAATGAAATAGTGCTACCCTGTGTCCACAGGTAGACTGACTGAGAAGACTTTCGCGATAGTGTATGTGTTTGTGTGAATTTACGCTGTTGGCAAAGTTCTACCTTGAAAGTGAATTTGAAAAGCCGAGCGACAAAAGAAAATCACACACAATGATTCATACATACGGGGAGACAATGGAGAATTCAAAATTTTTTTTTCTCCTTTCTCGTCCAGTCAAACCTGTATTCTAGCTCCGTCTGCCTAATGTTACGGTTAGCGCGTAACTTCATAATAAACTCAGCCGCAAGCAAGTGTGGCATCTTTTAAAATGTTACGAACGGTCCACTACTTTATGTCCATAGCGATCAACATGTGTTTTTCCGGTACTGGAATGATGAGTAAACCGACAGGACTCCTATTATCATTTGGTGAGGAAGTCGCCGTTATCTGAAACGATAGGAGCACGCGACGCGTGCCGCGACAGGACACAGCTGTTTGTGATTCTATGAATATTCACGATGCAGCATTTGTGTTGATTCAATCTTATTAGACTGAATGTAAAGTAACGTTAACGAGGACCGATTCGCTGAAAAACAGATTTCGCGGCATGCGATTAGGACTTTCGTTCGTTTTGAAAGAAGAAAAAAAAATCAAATTTTTATATCTTTCGTAAAACTAAGCCACTTTACTTTTTATTGTTTCGAATTATCGAAATAATATCGTTCGAGGACTATTTCCCGAAAATAGCAGACGACTCTATGCGAGGGTCATGTGCGGAACCGACTAATGACATTTAGTCTAGGGTCACGGAGAAATTTCCAATCAGTCGCTGCCCGAGGTCTTGATAATTTTGGGTGATAAGATACAAAAAAATTGTATATATTGCGATTATCATGTGAATGTTTATCGTGTTTTCGGAAACAGCTCACTTAAGAGACTGAAAACAGATTCAAGGAAGAAAAGATTTCAGAAAATATTTTTCATCGGCGCGCTGATGCTGTAAATGTCTTCCATAAATCGTTATGGCTTCCATGCACAGTGCTTCGAAATGTTGTTAATCTCTGTCAACGAGCGAATTACTAGAAGATGAAATAGGCAATGCTAAAAAAAAAAGAAATGCTAATACAACGTTTCAATACGAACTGTTTTAACAATATCATTTCTGATCTATTTTTAAAACTTTATTTTTTTAGCGTTTCCATGCTAATCGTTCTTCACAAAATTATAACTTAGTACTGACAAATTCGTTTGCCAAACACTATTAGGTAACAAACAAATCATATTATGTGTACTTAGATGAGATTATTTATGTTATTACCATGTACGATCCAAATTCTGCGAAAAATAATGGGGCTTTCAAGAAATAAATATACATCAAACCTGAATGGCTTACCTTGGGTGTGTTCCAAAATTGACTAACAGTACTGTAAAGGTAATTACATCTCTCTTAAATGCGCATGGATGAATAAGGACACAGCGTTGGTTACAGTACTGGTAGTACTGTCAATACATTTCGAAACACAACCCCTTATATCAGCCTGTATTGTATTATACGCATAATGTTATCCCTGTCGGTAAGGAAGTTTCTTTGATAAATACCAGCTGTGTACAGGCTGAAAGCAATACAGTATATGGTAAAGTAGTAAATGTCAAGTTCCTTTTTATCAGCAACAAGACAGTCTCATATGCTCACCCAATAAGCCACAACCCTACGTAAAGGAAATGCGAAAGGATGTCCCATTACAAAAATAATCTAGGCGTAACCCTTGCAGGATTGTTTTCTGTATTTTTAGTTCACCGCGTGAGAGGTGAGGACAAGCACGTATCAATTTCACGGTAAAGTACTCCCACGCTTTTTTTTAATGATCCTATTCTTTTTCTTTTTTACTGTTCCGTTTTACGTACCCTTGGAATACGTCATAGCAAATGATACAAACACAAACACTGGGCTACCATTTGAATACGTAATACCGCTAAGTACCTACTCGATATTCATATCTGGATTCAAGTTTTGAAAATGACAAAACATCCACTTTCACGCACGACAATCATGTGTGTTTAAATGATCGCCGTAACCTTTAGGTATTGTGATCTGTGCGGCTAATCGAAGAATTTTCTAAGGACTCCGTATTAGGAATGCTACTACGAGAGAAAAAAAGTGTAACAGAGAAAGGTTAGTCAACGATATTATCCAATAGCAGTGAAAGGGATACGTCCTTTGAAATATACATTCATTGTCAATGATCCTGCAGGAAAACTAGATATCCTGAAGCAGTACAGGTTCCACCCTCCTTCATTTTTCAGAATTTTCCCATGCAGAAAAAGAAGAAAGAAAGAAAGAATAACCAGATGGTTACAAGGGTCCGAAAAAGAACGGTTGGATGGGCCAGGATACACCTGCCGGATAATGGATGAGTAACCTTGAAATATAATCGGTAAACTCGAAAGAATATTAAGAATAAAAAAAATAGGAGCAGTAAGTTAAAATCCAAAATGTATAGTCTGCTCCGTGCAAGTTCATTAATAGTGCGAAAACTTGTCTGCGTATACGTCTACTGGTGCACTGATAGATACTGATAGAGTGCTGCTTGTCGTAATTACTTGGAACGCCGTACGCAAGAATTCCAAGGGACATGAGTCAAAATATAAAAGGCGATGCAGATGATGATGTCACTCATGATTATCCGTGATGCGATATAGAGGTGCTTGCGTTAAAAGTAATGTCGCAACTACGTATTTTATCGTGAATCCAAACGTAGTAAACATATGTAAAATTCATTTTTCTTTTGTAGAACTCACTTGGATTTCAAGGAGCAACTCCGTCTTCTTCCTTCGTATGTCGATGAGGATCTTCTGCTGTTCGGGCGTCAACTCTATGAAAGACAATGAAAAAAAGACAGACCTTGTTAAAAACATTAAACGAAATAATCGCTCTTGAGACTTGTCATGTGGTTAAAATAATGAAAAGGAGGAGGAAAGTGGTCAAGGTATTTCGACACAATGCCACATCCCACGTAATACACGCGTACAAAACCTCAAGTTATACTACCTTTCAGCATACAAACCTTAATCATTATTCCTGCACTATACTGTACATATTTGTCTCGTATACGAAGACTTATTAGAGTCAATTTAGCAAAAGTTCTAAAAATAGTTAATGAAAATGAACTTAAAGGGGACTGACAAGCGTTAGGGGTCTAACCTATAAAGCATAAAATTGTCGTAAAACATATACGGTCCACGTTCGACATTAATAATAGACTTAATTAACCAGTTTGACTATTCGAGTGAGGAAATACGTGCAAATACGAGTAATCCAATGATGCATTTAATTGCAGAACTGTATATACACGTAGTACACACTGCGTCCGGTTATTATTACTATTATACACCTGGATTATACAATTCAAAACATCCTTACGGTACAGTACCTTCCTTTAACGGAAGGGTTACGTGCTCAAGCGTAACAATTAAAAAAAGACACTGTTACTTCAGACAGGAACATAACGTTGCCACTAGAAACGGGGTCGATAGCCACTGAGAATTCGATAAACTTATAGATGAATAAGGTGTGCATATATACGTATGTTCATGCGGCACGCGTACCACCTATGTACTGTGAAAGTAAACAATTGTGTGCTATTTATTATACTTTTTCTGTGTCGGAAAATGAAATTCCTCTAGGTATGAAGAACTTTTACTGCGATTTCCTGGCAGTGATGATCCTCGCGCTGGATAAGGGATACGTTAAAGGAAGTTGGGGTGCATAAAAAGTTCCACGTATCTCAAGCATTTTCCGCGTTTAACGGGATTCGCACTAAGTTACGTTATAGTTCCGTTTCTACTAAGTATGTATCGTTTGTCAATTAAAACAGAAAATTTGTAGCACGTAAACGCCAATGTTTTTCTACGGTTGCTATATGAGTAAGCTATGTCTGAAGCGTACGATAAATCCACCTTCGTTATAGCCTATAAAATGGAGCATAACTCACTTACACCATTGTTATAGCCTATAAAATCAAGTATAGCTTAATTAGACAATCAATGAAGACGCTCAAGAAATATTTTTGGTAGATTACTGACAATGGCATTAGCATGCAAAAGAGACTGACGCACATACGGTGTACACAAAAATACATCACTTTACGTTTAGAAGCATTAAGCTTCTTACATAAATTGATTAATACTGGGAGAAGCGTTTTAGTATTACTTTAAGCACTAGTATAATAGAAAATAACTATAATATAAGGAGAAAGGTACGTTTTGTTTATGCCTCGTAGAAGAAACAGAATGCCGGGCATTGTTCATTGCGCATGCGTACCAAGGTGATCCCTACGGTTTCTGGCAGTCTGTGACTATCTCTTCAAATTCTAATTGTATTAAAGCTGTTTTCGTACCCGTCGTGCCGAACTGATCGACCTGATGGACACCAGAATTCACTCCAGAACCTCCAAGAGCGTCCAGGTCTTGCCACATCTCCAAGAATATCTTGTACTCGCGATACACGCACGCACAGATATCACCCACCTCACTCAAGCGGCGCCATTTTCACTGTGAACGAGTATAGTGGCACTGTGTATAGGTGCAGCTACAGCACACGCATAAGTTGAATACTGAATGCGTCGATATAACTAACGCCCTCCACTTGCTTTCTCACTCTGTCCCACAATTGACTCACTAGGAAGTACTCGATAGAAGTCGACATCCTCCATTATTATTTCTTCAATGTACCGCTAGGATAGTTTTTATTTTTACTTCTACTACGGCATTCTACTGTACCGACGTAGGGTAAAACATTCTACTCTGTTAGCAACGAATGCCGACTGTTAATCCATTATCTCTTGCCTCTTATAATTGGTCCACGAGTTCGATATATTTTTTTGATAGATTAAAAAAAATAAACTCCCTAGCAAGTAAGAATCTTTGTTATGAAGCTATGCGTGGACATGGTTTCGCATTGAATTATACATATTTTATTTATCTATCTTAGCGTATATTTCCGTAATTTTATAGAAAGCCACGTGTCATTTGTTAAGGATTTGCATTGTTTTGTGAACTGTCAAAAAACATATTGGACTCGTAGATCTATTATAGTTCTAGATAACCTTAATCCAGTGAATTTGCACATTCTGAGGCGGTGTTTCTAGCAAATTTTCTCATTGAAGGCGGCAACTATAAAGAAAGGAAGGATAAGAAAAAAAGGGTGGCATTTGTGAGTCAACAGTTTTTTGTTAATTATTACAGTATACATATAGTTTAAAATACTTAGACATCACAGTGGCTCCACCGATTCCGCTCTGTGGGCACAGTGGAGTGACACACGGCGTGATTCCACAATGTGTCGTAAACATGATTCCACAGCAGTTTATCTGGCGTCGTATTACATTACGAGATTTTGATCTTACTTCAGAGAAAAAAGAATTCTTTAATGACACCATACAGTATCAGCGTAGTAATTTTTATAAAGTCCAACTTTGTACATTTTTTACGTACAGAGTTTTATCGTAAGCAAAGAATATTAAGAATAAAGACTGTTATACGTATCAATATACATTATTGACTTCAGAAGAATTAGCATTATTTCAACAGCACTGGTGCTTATATCAACTTTATCACCAGAGAACGAGCTGAAATTTAAAATCATTTTCACATAAAGGACTGTGCATGTATGAAATATTATGAATGCATTATTATAGTAGTATACCGAGTACTATTATAGTTGCATAATAAAATTATATATTGAACCACACCTTTTAACACAATAGATACAACTAATATGTTCTTATATATAAACACTGCCAAATGACGTGCCTCAGTGAAAAATTATTAGCAAGAAACCATGATAAAATCATACATCAACAGAAATAATGACAACGACGTAATACGTAAACCGTAAAATCGCCGTTTCGTGCTGGTTATTACTTACGTAGTAATGTTTTGCTATAATTATCTAAAGGAGATTAGGCTCTGTATAAGAAATAAGAATAATTAATATGCCATCATTGATAAATGTAAAATTTCAACAAAGTAACAAAATTGACATTTCGCTACAACTATAGGATATATGACACATGCACATTATAATTAGTTTTTACTGTGTACTGTTTTTTAGGGCATCTTCAAACCGTACGCATTGATCAATTGTGTCCGACCATTGGCATATAGCATGGACTACGCGATCCCTGCTCCAAATTTCTTGAAAAAATGTCCGCTCGAATAGGCAAAGAAGGACTGAGGTGGCGGCCAGTAGCTCTCCTTTTCTAATGCTCCCATTGGCTACGTTTTCTATACTCTCGTACTACGGCTGCTGATTAAAAAGAAACAGGGCTTGGCCGCCACCAGTCGCTATCTCTTTCTTTCAGCCGACCATGTTTTTCTATGCTTATGGGTACTCTATGCTATATGTCAATGTGTCACTGTCCATGAGTGAAAGTGTTTAAAAGCATCTGAAAAAACTCATAAATTTATTCGTCACAACGGCGTTTGTCGCAGAAACATATTTACTGTTAAATTAAAGAAGATGATTACATCTAGTAAATGTTTTTAGCAGTCTATAATTGTACTGTTTTTCTTCGAATAGTGTTTTTTAAATCTATTTTTATTCGCTCAATTCATGAATTAATATTCTGATGAAATAAAACAAAATCAGCTTAAATTTGGAGCTTTTAAGAAAATGGACGTAAAAAAATAATTTTTATAGGTTTTTTGAAAAATATATTAACTCTTGTGCACCAGAAAAATATTGTTTTAAAATCATCAACCATCAATCATTAAGCTTCCACTGCTACAAACTGTACATAATAATTAATTGAATTTTATATATTCATACCAAATATTGATCGCCTCATACACATAAAGACATATATACAAGCTATATCACCTTTCAACAGCGATGCAGACGTTTTTTATCCTTTGTCCGTGTCAGTATTCAAATTGCCACCAGCAAATGTACCCTTCCGGCCAATGCAAAATGGTCCCTTCTTCCTTTCAAGCAAAGGGAACAACAAAGAGCGCAAACGCTCGTCTGACGTAGAAGAGCGAATGTAGAAGTATAATGGCGAGTGTTGACGATAGCACAGCTCGACATCACCTGGCCTCCTTTCGCTAGTTCCTAGACCGACCAACCGGCGGCGAGACCGACGCTACCCTTGGCGGCGCCACCAATGGCACAGGGTTACATCGTACTTTATGCAATTGAGCACGGATATGCAGCTCGTCTGTCACAGTTCAGGTCAACCTGACCTTTAGTTGTATCTTTGCCACTAGGAATTCTATTACCCATTCGTGGTAACCGGACGAACCAATTATCAACCCCCGGGTATGTCCTCTCGCTCATGGCGTTCGATTTATTTTTTAATACCCATATATTGTTCCATTCGTTAAAAAACGTTTCGCGACCGCTTGAATCTCTTACTCGGGAAATACTAGCTCCTATCCCAAAGGTGCCGGTGATAAGTTAAAAGCGATAAAACATAAAACGAGAACGATAAACAATAAAATCTATTAAAGTAGCAAAAACATAAAAGGAACCCGCCGGCGCTCTATAGAGCGTCGGCGTAACAGTCAGGGAGAATATACGACGCATGCGTGCCTGGGTATGTCGAGTAGCGAGCGTTGAGTATAAAGCCAGTGTCACCACGATAATAAAATTGCATGAAGCTCAAGGAGGTTCGCGATACGTGTGCAGCAGTCTTTTTTACATAAAGAGTAAATCACTGTAGGTGGAATAGAGAGAGAGAGAGAGAGAGAGAGATAAAGTGAATTTCAATGAGTGAGAAATACGTGTGCAGCAGTCTTTTTTACATAAAGAGTAAATCACTGTAGGTGGAATAGAGAGAGAGAGAGAGAGAGAGAGATAAAGTGAATTTCAATGAGTGAGAAAAAAGAGGCAACGATAATAGGTGGCTTGTTCGTCAAATCAAGAATTACACGAGGGAAAAACACTGGAAGCAACGTAGTATTAAAATGTTTTTAAATCATCTGAAGGAACGTCCGAGATTTTTGAGGAGACACATTTTAACAGTGTGAGAAAATACAATGAATGTCGTGCTACAGTGAATGTATATACGTCTAACGAAATGCGTAAAGCCAATCATTATTATCAAGGTACACCGAATCAAGATGCATCGTACATCCATGAAAAGAGTATTAATTACATCCTTTAATGAAAGTATTGCGACAGTATTAGTGGTCTAGCTGCCATTAAGTATTTAAAAATACGTAGGATGATTGTCATGATGCTTGTACAGTGGTTATGCGTTTAAGACATCAAAAAGAAATATAAATGAAAAATTATAAAGAGGCTAGACGTTTCGTAAACGTCAGGATGAAGAAGTCTCTCCTGATTGCCATCGCAATAGGGACACTACTGTTCGTTATGGTCGTTTCAAACGACGACTTACGAAGAATCGTGCCATTCATGTCGCAAGTGGAAGCACCCGACATATCCTGCTATGATGTTACTAAAATATATACTAAACATGTGGAACTGCCTGGTAATAATCTATAGCAATTAAGAAAGAATTTATAATTTCTATTGTTACATTACAAGTAGAAAAGGGAACGATTATTTAGTGCCGAGCTCGAAGAGTTCGCTTATCTACTTTACGTCCATATCACTCTTCCGGTTTATTCTCTTTCCTGCTAGATTTCGAGACACCTACATCTGATAGAAATATATTCTTTCATGAGACGTCTTGCTTCAACGATGATCAAGGTTTGCTCAAGGTACGACAGGCATGTGCCGTGGAGTCTGCGGCCTTGATGAACCCCAGTACAATTGTCTATCTCCTTTTCGTAAGTTGGTCGAAGTTTACGAATACCTCTCGGAACTTTGTGCAACAGCTTTCTACTTATGACAATATCAAAATAAGACATATAGTTATTGACGATTATTTGAGGAACACACCATTAGCCGAATGGTACGCTAGTGGTGTCCTCAAAAGAAGTCAATGGCCAAAGAGTCATATATCCGATATTTTGAGATATCTAACATTATGGAAATATGGTGGTATATATCTTGACCTGGACGTAGTCGTAACTTCGTAAGTAATCCTAAAGCAATTCTTATAGATAAAAATTTCAATTATCGAAAAGATTTTAAGCAATGAATTCTACTTCCGTTCGTCGTATAGGTCGCTGGAGAATTTATTGAATTTTGCTGGCGCTGAGGATAGAGAAGATGTCGCTGCTGGCGTCATAGGGTTCTCACCTACGGGTTTAGGACATAAGCTCGCCGATGAGTGCCTTCGTGATTTGCAAAGTAACTTTCGTGGTGATGTGTGGGGTCACAATGGTCCAGGTGTGATAACGAGGACCTTGAAGAAACTTTGTGGTACCCGCTACGTACGTATGAATCTTGTACACTTTGATGAGAAAAATGTTGAGGCTACTAAATATATCCTGAGGGATGACACTGTCATCCTGTGCATTTGCTTTCACAAAGGAAATTCATCTCGTGCATGTACGTTGATTTGAAGTTGAAAATACTGGAATTGATTCATCTGGAATGTCGGAAACAAAGAATTCTGCCTGTATGCAAATATCATGCCTATCATTTGTAACTATCGCTGTTGCATAAGACAGTAATGTACAATAATGACATACAATAATTGCATCGCTTGCATGCATTTTGAAAAATACTAATGCGGCTGGATTTCTTTTTTATTCTTTTGTTTTTTACCCTTTGTGTTATAGACTAAGGATATGACCTCGAGGAAGTGCCATGGATTCAAAGTGTTCCCACCCTCGGCTTTCTATCCTATTCATTATAAAAAGTGGAGGAAATACTTCGAGACAAAAGACGCGAACGCGACCATGAAAATTCTACAAAAAGCAAAGGCCATTCACGTGTGGAATAAACTGAGCGAATCCCGCAGTATTAAAGTAGGAAGTAAAGTACCATATGCAATAATTGCCGAGAAATATTGTCCAAAGATATATCGCAGCGCAGGTACGGAATTTTAACCTTCAAAAACTTTTGGATTTTTGAGAAAGAACGAAGGTTAGAGAAATTTATAAAAATTTCAAACATGTGCGCAGCAAACTGAAGACTGTTGTTGTGCACGCTTATTCGGCCAAGTTTCTTGGTCGTTATTAGTATTATCAATATTACTGTACATATCAACATGAGAAATATACTTGTCTACAATTTACAATCATCAGTATTGCTTGTTGCATTATGAGTATTTAATTTGTATTATTATCAATCCTGTTTCTCATATGGTCACATTAAGTCTAAGCATACGCGCTCTACTCACAGAGGGTGCTGATGTCGCTATCTCCAACTAATACAGTGGGCTGATGCCAGAAACAATAATATATGTATTGTTATGCCCCATGACAAAATTCACGCTACTGTTAATCTCCAGACGCAAATTGAACATTAGTCGAATGCTGACCCTATGCATAAGGCGTTAAGATAAGAGCCATGAGAGGCACCTTGTGAGCCACAACGGTCACTCGTAAAGTTCCTAACTAGGAGTGAAGTCCTGGAGCGTATTCCATAGCCGTGAAGAAATAGTAGCATTGTGCCTTCTACCATTAGGTTTGCGTTACCTTCGTATTTACATCATACCAACTTCAATAAACTATAATCGATCTTTATATAATTTCAAATAGGTGCAATTATTTATTTGTGATCCTAAAGAACTCATAACGGCATAACAGTATATAGCATAAAAAGCGTGGTACATAATACTGTATAGATTATATTGTCTTTCAAATAATTATAAATTTAATCAGACGTTGACCTACTAAAATGTGATACTTGTGGGCTTTAAAATATTGAGTGCAAAACAAAAACGTAACTCCACGTCACGTTGTGATGTCTAGTACTACACACTTTTCCTACTATTTGAATCATCAGGTTACGACTATGATGCTCGTTTGGTACAACACGATAAGACATTATCACAAATTGCCGACGGCGCAATGCAGGTCGCTCGATAATTCAAGCTTTACAATACTGATTATACTAAACTAATTGGAGGTCGGTTAAATAATCACACACTAACAATGTTGATATAAAAGGAACAGATATACTGTTCCCGGGAACGATTCGAACAGGTCGAAAGTTCGTTCGATAATATCTGAGACGGATAAGTGTTGAGAGATTTGTATATTTATATGGACAGTGCAAACAAGATTTGGAATTATTGTAGACAGTTGATTGGATATAATACGAGAGATTACGGGGAAAAAAAAAACGAAACGAAATAACTAGAAACTGAGTAGGTATTGGGGTGACCTATTCCGCGTGATTTTTATTTTTGTTTCTAGTTAAAATAATACTGATGTTACGGCATTTAATTAACTGTAATTCAAATAAGATTCGTTGAATCATCGAGAAATTAAATCGTGGAGCAACGATTTTTAATCGGCAATTTAAAAGAGGAGTAAGCATGGAGAAGTGGGGAAGAAGGTCGTCGAAGTATCATCGTTGAGACAGAGTTGGTGGACCCAACGGTCATAGGTCGAGTTCGAATGTACGATCATCGTACAAGACTTCTCTCGCAGTTGCTCTTCAGAATCTCACGGCTTATATAATTCTTAGTGCGTCCTAAAAAGTATCCTGGAGACTCCCGAAGGATCGTAGTGAACTGTGCTTCTGTATATAGGAAGAATAAAAATTATAATAGTTCCAATGAGGTGGGCCTAAAGAAACATGGACTTCTCGGGATTATCATTTTTCACCAATCTGACGTTCACTGTACTCCTTGGATTTTTCCTGGTGCCGGGACTACTATTTTGTTATCCAGGTAAATAGAATAAGTAGCAGGAGGGCGTGATCCTGTTAGTATCATTTGAAGATGCTTCTGCGTGTTTTGGAATATCTTGTTGAGCTTCTTATCGCAGTCGTCAGATGGTCACGAAGGAGCTGGATCAGATTTGTCAAATGGAGACATCCCAACTCTATAGTCGTAGAGGAAAATAGCGTGAGAAGTATTCTTGATCAAGGTAGAAATCAGGTAAGGGCAGAGATAGCGTCTTCCTGGTTTAATCAGATGACACAATTAAATATCTGCTTTCTATTTAAGGGTATCTACACACTTATGCTGCAAGGAAACTCAATAACGGAAGGCTTACGCAGTCATCTTCTTCACTTGAGCTCCACAAAGTCACTATTGAGGGCAGCACTCACGCAAAAATGGGGCCTTTACGCCTGGGAGACTGTCGACGACTTCTCTGTAGATAATCATTTATTCAATTCTCCATGTTCATTCAAAGGACGTCCAATAACCGAATCAAATCTTCAGGTAGGAGAGTCGCTTAATCGTGTATCGAGATCGAGATTGTTTTTTCTTTTTTTCTTTTTCTCTAATTCATTAATCTCTGTTCATCAAGGAATACGTGAGCGACATCACTTCGAAATTCTTGCCGTCAAATCAGTCGCCCTGGCAGGTCTATACAGTAAATTATTTACTAAACGGGGAAGAGTGTAAACTATGCCTTGTCAGGGTGCATCATATTCTCCTACGTCAGGAGCATCTCACCCTGGCCGATTTTCTGCCGTTGAAGTATTTTCCGGGTACCTGGGCCTGTCAAGAGAATACCAACTCGCCTTTTACCAACCTCTACGCGGAACCCTCGGCCTTGCCACGTCTTCATCAGAAGCTCACCGAGAGCTTCAGCAACTACTGGAATGAATTCCTCTGCAATAATGACCCAACGGAACGTCCCGAGATGCTAAAAATGCAAATAGGAATATTTCAGTGTTTAAAAATTGGTATTATCGTATGGGTGTCAACCGTGAAAGAAATCACAAGGTGTTACAAGAAAGTTGAAGGTTTCAAGATCACGAACTCAATTTGGATATTACAACGTGAAGCCTCGAAACGAAACTTTGGCATCGGTGTCATATTCTGGTCTCTAATGAAGTCCTTAAATCCTATTGAGATATTTTGGAACGTGGTGTATTTCTTTTGGTACCTGGGTATCACCCTCTCGCTGAAGACTCCTATACTCATCTTCAGGGAATACAGGGCACTCCAATCGTCTCAAAAACATCACTATCCGGATACCTTGACGTCTCTACTGTCCTGCTACCTACCTCTGATATTCCAGGCGACATTAGAGATATTGTCTATCGCCGGAATAGCCATAGCAGCACCTAGAATTATCCTGGATGAGCTCTTCCTGAAACATGCTCAATCAAATAAACTACAAACTACATCTTTGTGCGGCAGAAAGGTCGTCGCCTGGTCAGACGAAGTAGATTCTGAGATCGTGAGGAAAATTTCCATTGTCACTGGAGTTAGCGAGGCTGAAATACTCCTAGCGGCCACTGTTGGTTCCCTCAAGGAGTACTTCCGGCAGTCCGGTCAAGAAACACCCCAGGATGTCTTCGCCACGGCCAAATTCGTCAGCCAGCGTGCCCTCTTCGTGCAAAATCATGAAGTACGAGGTCTTGTCTGCCTGGCATTGCCTACTAGAACGCCGCTTTTCGATGACGACCTCATAGAGACTCTTCAGGTAACATCAAATACTTGATCTTAATGCTTTCTCACACGTATAACGGTATTGACGTCCTTCAGGTCATCCAGAAGAACATTCAACATGCCAGGTCGTCGCAGAGCGCTATTTACGCCATAACGGCTGCCGAAACTTCATCCGGTCTGGTGTCTTACTGTCTACCTTCTGTACTCCTAAAAGTACTTCTAAATCATCTCACTAGGAGATATTCATTGTCCTTGACACACGTAGACGGCGATCTTCCTGTGGAAGGTGTTGACTCTGCTGTATTTTGGAGACCGCCACAAGGAAATTGCAGTGAGTTTGAATGCACCAGGTGCGAGTTGTATCTAGGATAGTGCTTTAAAATTTTACGTATCTGTCCTGCGTAGGTATGTCGATAACTTTGCACAGGTATGGCAAAGGAGTGCGTCTTGGAGTTATGGCCGATGCCATGATCGGTCCTCAGCACTCTATTATCACGAAGACCTTCCCAAGAAGTTTGCAGAGTCTAGCGAATATTGTTGGTGTACCAAGAACACCCAGCAGAAGTCCCAGTCCTGACCAATCGAGTCCCACTACGTCACCAGGATATTGACGAACACAAAGATTGTATTTTGTAATATTTAATAATTTTTTATCTGTAGACAACATAAAACAATATAACGAGCCTATGAAAGTGCTCTTCAGGTAGTAGTTTAGCGTTTGGTATAATTACCGAAGACTAACGGAGAGACAGTTTTTCTATTGTATCTGCCTCTTTTGTATCTTGTGTAATACAATAGTTAGGATTGTTAAATGGGTTTGTATAACGCGAGCGTTTGGCTACACTAGTGTCACGAGAATTGACTATCTCATCCGGACCAGATGTTCCCTAGACCATCAGACTCGCGACGAAGGCATATTTGGTTGTAAAAATTCCCAAAAAACTTATTGTACCTTGCGAGAAAAAATGTTTGATCGAAAATGGCTCCATTTCAACTATACAATCTGTACCATATCATACGGTTATCTTCCCAAGGGAGAAATCTAAGTGGAAATGCGAACGACAAATGATATTAAAAATATAAAAATACCTACGGTTAGTAGTTTACAAAAAAAAAAAAACTAAATGTTCTTGTTCAACAGACTCAAATTTTGTACCCGGGTGCATTAAACCAAATCTCCTCAAGAAAGTAAATAATACATCACGTCGAATAACAATTCTCTTACAAGCATTAGTCTTTCAAGAACTTTTGGTCAATCTAAAATTATTTGATCTTGAAAACTGTTAGAACCTTTGGTTACTTTCCATATAGAAGATACTATATATTTTTTATATAGAAAAATCCTCTGAACCATAACCGCATACATGGTACACCTTATATAGATCCAAGCTTTTACTTTCTTCCTATAATGCAGAATTCTTCATTCCTGGCAGTTCTATTAATAGACCTGTTTTATGAAATCATTTGATGGTTATCTACATAAAACCTTCCTGACAAAGTGTACATACACATAAAGTCTTTGGATATCTGTATATAAGCGTATACTCTCGAATATCTATTGCATTGTCCCCTTTGTTCGCATAGAAATTGATATCCGATGGTATCGTAAAGTACGAGATATAATAATACGTGATAAATGTATAATATAATATAAAAGGGGCACTTAAAATTAGTCAACCTCTTAAATTTCTTTAAATTAAATACATAATGGGAATAATTAATCTCCTAGCAACAACATAACAACGCAACACGAACGGAATTCGATGAGTTTGTCGAAGAGAACCATTTTGAGTTGATTGTTACTCAAACAATCCGTACATATCGCACTATCAAGCACAATGTAAGGTACATTGAAGAGTGTATTAATTATAGAGTTAATATTGATGCAATTATTAATCTATGCATGATATTAGTAAGATTAGAATTATCTTTGGTATCTATAACATCTTCTCACGTTAAACGATAGTCTACGCATTAATTCGTTGCTGGATGCATCATTTCCATTTAATTTTCAGTTTAAATGGCAGTTAAAGAATCAAGCCAAGAGAAAAGCCAAAACTAAACGTTTCAATATGTCTATAGTCAAAATGTACTATTGTGATAAAACATTAAGGATCACAATGCAATAACGTGGTTTCAAGTGTCTTCACAAAGTGTGAGAGAGTTTTTCTCTGAACAAATCACTTTTTTAATAAAAAATGTTGCGAACCAGTTATTATGACTCCACGTATCATTAACGTATTCATAATGTTTCCTTAGATCTTCAAATACATGAAGCCTGCAAATACATTATGCACAAAAACTTCTAAAGATCTAATACAGTGTACAGCAGGCTGAACAAAACTGTCGTACTCATAGTTGACCTTCAAACTACTTTTGGTAACTTGAAGCAGTCCAATGACCTAATATGAATTAATTCCTTAGGCATAAATGCTCATTTATTGGTCGTTGCTTTACTTTTACCCAAAGGTGGTTCAAAAGCTATGTATACGTAACAGACCAAATAATAGCCGAGAATGAAGCGACCTGATGCACTAGTAAAAGTGAATCGTAGTCATATTAGATGAGCATAAAAAATATTAAATATATTTAAAAACAGTCTGATGGAAACATGCACTGTACGAATATAATCAGAAAGATGTTCCGTATGTATATATAAACTATATTGTTTGGGCGAACTCTTGGCTTCTTCTACTGTTTTTAATATTATGAAAGATAGCATATAAATAACAGATCGCAACGAGAAGCGAGTGCATTCATATTGAAAAAAAAGACGATTTTCAATATTTCTTAATTTTTTCTAAGCCCCGATTTCACGTTCGCGTTCCATCTCAACGGGACCGCTTCCCCAGATCTTTCTGTTCTTGGAATATGGTATAATACTCATAAGACATCCTGAGAGGATGATCCAGCCACCAGCCATGAGGAAGGACAAATCCCAGGAACCTGTGACGTCAAATATCCATCCTGCCAAGGGTGGTCCCAAAAGGTTCCCTATGCCTTGACACAACAAGCTCAATCCATAGGCCGTAGTGAATCTCTCAAGTGGAATAAGCTCGACCAGGATAACGGGAGTGAAGCTGAAGTTGCTAGCGAAGAATAGACCAAACGCAGCAGACGTTATCACCATAAGGTAGTAATGATGAATAACGATGGGCATCATGATGGTGGCAATGCCACATGCGATCAAGCACCAGGTGTAAGTTTTGCTAACGTTCATCCAGGGTCGATCGCCGGCCCAGCCCAAACCGATCTTAAATAATTAGAATATTGTTCATATGAGTCTCTGCGTCGTCCGTTTGTTTATTGATATATTATATTTACTGACCATTCCGATGGTGTTGGTTATTCCAATGATGCTAAGAAGATTGGCACCATCCGACTCCGAATATCCATTTCTCGTGAGATGCTCGGCAAGGTAAAAATAAGGCACGACGAACCAAGTAAAGAGTAGAATCGTCGAGAGTGAGAGCAATAGGAAATGCAATTCCAGGAACATAGAGAAATCCATCATGCCTTTGAGCAATTCGATGAGCTCTGCATACCATTTCTAAAAATCAATAAATTCGAGCAAGTCCATACAAACGATACAAATCCTACGACATTACTTGTTACGTTAATATAACTTCTAACCTCTGAGGATTCTTTGGCCAAGGTCGTCATGCTGTTTCTATAAATGTTGGGACAGCTACTGGCTCGTAATCTATACTTGTGCAGATTCAGAACAGCTCCTCTATACATAACGGAATTTCGGTGTACTCGAATATCCTTGAAATAATGAGTATTTGTGTTGAACTGTCTACGAAGCCAAGGAAGGGAATCTGTTCTGACTACGCCACCTCCAAAACCAGGCAGATGATGTCTGGATTGTGACTTTGCTTTTTCTGCCTCGGCAATCTATAAAGAAAGTTGGATACGCGTATTAAATGGTTAGTCGATATTATCCATCTGTTCGATGTATTGACACTGGTACTTTGAACTTACAGCCTGAGCAACTTCCTTGGCTAATAGCGGATTAGCTTCCTCCAAGTCCCTCCTTGACATTCTTCTCGTGGCCAAAATTTTTGTTGATGCGTGGACTGATGATCCACGACGTGAATCTTTGATCGGTACTGGTTTCGCCTTTTCTGTAGCTTGCTTGATCCTTCGGTATAAATTCAAACTTTACTTAGATGTTTTCTGTTAAATATTTTCGAAGTATAGGTGGTATACAGTTACAAGCGAAATTAAAAAAAAAAATTGAATTTCGTCATAATTATTTTCACCCAGACTGATGCTAATACGTTCTAAGACGATTTATATAAAGGCGAAGTATTGTATCTCAAATCATTCCAATTCCATCACCGTAGAGCGTTTAGTTGTACAATTTCGGGTTCTACATAAGAATTTAATAAATAATAATATATCTAATAATTGAGATTAGTGTGTTAATAAATGTCGGATAATGTTGCAAATGTCATGCACGATCAGCTACCAGGAACCACTATACTGCCAAAGAATAATTCCGTACCGTGTTGTTAGTAGGACGAATTAGTAAAAAAAATAAAAAAGTGCAGGATGCAGATAGCAGACCAGTCATGTAACCTCATGGACATAGTGACGCCGCTCTTGTTCGCAACCTCCCCACTGGAATCATCAAGTTTCTTGTCGGACGAGCTCCTGCACAGCAGTAGACTAGGATAATTCTCGAGTATAACGTTGTACAATCTCGAATTGCCGGAAAGTGACTCAAGAACCTCCAGAGGAACCTATTTTGTAAAAATTACTTGTATTATAAAAATGTTGTCGAAAAAAAGAGAAAAAAAAGTGAATAAAACAAAACAAACAAACCTTTTCACTTTGTCTGACAAAGGTAGGAAGATTAACGACGCTGCGAAAGGCCGGGTTCCCCTTGGCGTTGGGTCTAGCCTCGGTGCTGGTTCTGAGACTCTGCAAAAGATATTCCGGGGCCTTGCCACTTTTCAGCAACCGACGAAGTTCATCTACACCAGGAAAGTCATCGGCTGGACTGGCAGCTGATCTACCCCCGTCCGACCTGCTGATAGATTTCTTCGGCGATGCCATCGCCTGTTTCTCTTGCTCCTGGACCCACCACTCGGGATCTCGCATGACGGTGCCACAGACAATGAGGTTAAAGAAGGTCCCTGCTAGCAGCAAACAGGTTCCACGCCATCCGTACTCATTAATGAAGAAGGTTGTCATAGGCGCGTAGACGAAGGTTCCTATTCCGGTGCCGCAAGCTCCTAATCCTACAGCTAGAGTACGTTTCTTGTCGAACCAATAAGCGATGCTCACGACCGCGGTGACGTAGCACAGACCCAGACCGATACCAGCAAGTACGCCAAATGTTAAGTACATTACCTCGATGGTGGTTGAGAACGAACTGAGGACGAAACCAAGACCGGATATGAGGCCACCCAATATGGTCATATTGCGACAGCCGTATCTGTCAACGAGAGTGGACATGATTGGGCCTGACAGCAATGGAACAGCCATAAAGAGCGAGCCAATCCATGCAGTTTTCGACTTCGAGGCTCCGAACTCGTGAAGGAACTCAATGTAGAGGAGTCCGAAACTGAAGGATACACCATCGGCGACCATTGATATTAACAAGGAAGCTAGAACGACCACCCAACCCCAACCACCGTCAGGGATCTTAGGCTTGTTATTTGCATTCCTCTCCGTATCCTCGTCATCGTAAATCTCCAAAAGACTGTCTGAATCATCAATAGAATCAAGCTCCCTCTTATCGTAATCATCGTAGCCAGGATTCGACGTGATTATCGTTTCCGGATCGGAGAACTTCCTGTTTCGCACCAAGATACCGTGAGTCTTCTCACCGCCCGGACCATTTCCCTCTAAGCTCTTCTTCTCGTCCTGGAGACTCGTGATCGTTGGACTAGGTCCCACTGTCAGATTGGGTGAGGTCACGTAACTGTCCCCAGGTGTTGCTGGTATTCTGTCCTCCGTGCAGTCCGTACCAGGACTCAAAAGGGCCGTCTTCTCTCCGAGCTCTTCACCGAGACTAAGATCCTTGTTCCTCCCGATATCCGGTGAGTTCGAGAGGAAGGTATCCTTGTCAGGGGACAAAGACTCAACGCTTCTGTCTATAGTCAGCGCAGGTGTTGACGGGAACAAACGCTCGTCGGCTAGACTACTGAGGTCCTCTGTATTTCCGGAATCTTGACCGATCCCGGAACTCTTCGACAGACTCCTCGTATCGGGTGTCCCGCTCGGAGGGCCTGACTGATCATCGGAAGGCTTGACTGGTGAGCTTGGAAATACAGTAGGACTCCCATTCTGCCATCCTACTATGGGAGCCAGCCCTTTTGGATTATTGTAAGAGTCGTTCGTTCTCACGTTGCCTTCTTTGTCCTTGGTGACGTAACCTGCACTGCTGGACTTTTGATAATTCGAATGATCCCTTTTCGTATACAATCCTTCTTTCCTGGTGGAATTCTTCTCGTTAATGTTGCCACGGTTGGCATTCAGTGTCTTACCATCGTGAGCCGCAGTGGTCGGGACCATCGTAGTGATCCCATTACTACTCCCCTCTATGAAATTATCATTCTTGTCGGCCATATTGGATCCTCCTAAATGTAACTTTTATTTAAATGGCTCCAACGTCGGGGCCAACCCTTCAATCCTTGTATCGCGTTCGGTAACGACTCTACCCTTTTCTCAGATACCATAAGGACCTTCCAAGAATTCTTCCTGGCCGAGTCCTCGAGGTTCACCAGCACCTTCAGCATACACGTACCTTCGCGTTTCTCGTCCTACAAGGAAAGTTCATATTGTCAGAATAGCATTGGCGTGAACGTATCTTTATTTATTTATTGTTTATTAATATTTTATCGATAAAGCAATTTTTAATGGCGATAAGCTAAAAAAAATAAAAATTTTTACTCACCATCGAGGTAATGTTTTTAAAATAACATGTAAGGTGTGCCTGCGTGCATATAGGTCTAGGAAAGTGCATGCGACAACTGGGCCGTGAGCGAGGATTGATAATTGCGTAAAAGTAATACATAAAATAAAATCTGCTTTTCTTCGAGGTTTCCCCTCTTTATTTTATTATTCTATTTTTCGTCTTATAATAATAGAATAGTCATTGAAAAGCACAGAAGTGACAGCTTAACGAATTTTGGTCGATTTCGTTAAAAAAAAACTTTTCAAGTAAATAAATAATGTATGGGAACTAAACACGTTCCTCGCGTTATGCATATTTGAAATATCCGTAAATATACCGAAAATTCATTTATCATTCCCCGAGCCAAGTAGAACAGAGAAGATAAGAAGTCATGCATAGTGGAATCGACCAAATTCCCCCAAATGCGTTTTTACAGTTATAAAAAATTGTTAACAGTAAATATAAATAACGATGCTCCGTGCAATTAGGGTGCTGCAATAAAACATGCGCGTAAGAATAATAAACAAATTGAATTAGGCATTATGAAAAAATAATAAACAAAATTATTCGAAAGAGAGAATTTTATCTTTGTGACACTAAGGAACAACCGATCTCCAAATACGTCTTAATCAACATTTCATGATGTTAAGTCAATGACTGTACGTGTATGATTATCATTTTTATATCTCGAGGACGACCTACCGCGTCATAAAAAGTCACTACTGTAATTTACGATCAAAGCCCGAAAAATTAATAAAATTCTCAAAAAGGATACAAGAATTTTACGCAATCCCATGGCTTTGTTTGCGACGAATTGCGTCACGCTTTGAGCCTCTCGTGCGTAAGAGAGTCACGCAAAGAGCCCAGAAAAATCTTGAAAGCGCGTCAAAAAGATAAAATTATCATACAATAGAAGTTCATACTATCAAATCATGAAACTATTGTTACGTCAATTTGGGCGTATGCATACACATATATTAATATCTGCTAATCGAATGTGCTTGAAAGTAAAATTGTATGAAATTAATTTTTCAAAGTTCATTCCATTCATTCTCGTTACTCCCTCGAATGCGAGAACACAAAACCATTCACGAAATAATTAAATTGACCAGCTAAGTCGAACCAGGTCACTAGGTCATCAATTTGTACCACGCATGCGAATATCCATGTATCTGTTACACTTTACCGGCCAAGAATACACCGGGGAATTAAAGTTCAGCACCAATTCATAAAATAACTACGGACACACGAACTTTTAAGGCCTTTAGGATAAAAATACCGTAAAAAAGTTCCATTCAATTAATTGGAGAACCAATTACGGATTAAAATACATATGTTTCGAAAAATTAAATGACCCAATTAATATGACCAACCCTTCGTCGTTCGTGATTTAAGTAGCCATAGGAATTCTAAATCAAGGTCAACTCCAAGCTTCTCAGAATACCAACCTAACACGCAACTCCTAGTAATTTCCGTCCATATACAGAAACAATGATAAATAAGTATTCGATAAATTTGAAGGGTTTTCAATAATTCAGTAGATTTATCAAGCAAATATTACATAGCATATATACAGATATGTTACTTCACATTAATTGACTCCGTGACATGTTTTTTTTTTTTCACCAAAATTATTCTAACCCTAATATTAGTATATCACGTGTGAGTAATTTTCTGTAATCTGCTTATATAACTCGGAAGTATTTCAAGGCTTTGTATTAGTCCGTATAAGCGCATACGTGTGATTCCTTTCTCCATACCACATAAAGGGGCTGAGTAGTTCGCACAGGGTGTTTCCATGACTACAGACTGGTCGATTTTTCCGTCTCCGTTTAATTCAAAGCAAGGAAAATAGAGGATAAAAATAAAAAGAGTGAAAGAGTCGGAAAATGTTACAAGTGACTTCCCACTATAGCACGCACTACGTCCATTACTCCGTAAGCTTCCGTGCGTGAAGAAGGGTTGAGTCCGTAGTTAAAAACTGACCCGAATCAATGCTTTTCTATATACCCTGTAATTTAATTTCGAAATTTCATAAAATCCGATACTCGCGTAATTATTGAATTTAGATTTACAATTGAAATTTCATAATTTCACATATCTTTCCTGAACATCGAATAAACATTTAAAATACGATCTAAAATAATACGTACTCTTTTTTAAACAATACTAATTTCTTGGTTAGGCTGTACTAATCGACGTTAAATAATATATTTTTTCAAATTGCCATATTCAGAAATAACGTACACGGAAGTGACCCCAATTTAAAATATCCAATAGGACTACAACCCTTAGCATGTTTGAAGATAAGGATAATTTTAATGATCGATAGCTATTACCAATTTGAATAATAATTTTACAAAATATTTTATCATAATAATACCAACTAATACTATTTCGAGACTCGGTATCCACTTAAAGAAAAAAAAATATTTCCGAATCTTCCCGACCTTCCCCGAGGCCGCTCCCACGAAATATTAAAGAGCAACCCCTTAAAGAAAGCTTTAATCGAACTAGTTATCTATACCCGCGAATCTAATGCTCGTTATTCACCATTACCGTTCCTATGAATGTTAAAAGAACGAAAATGTGTTCCTATAAATACATAAAATCCCCTTATGCAAGGTAAGACCATCTACAGACTTTCATATCGTATATGCCATGCTATTAAGTAGAGTAGTATAAGACATAGACGTAATCTCTCTTGCCCGTCTTCAATGTTGGTCGAATCGATAATCTTCAGGGTTTTACCGAAAACCCCCCGACTATATGCATATACACGCGAGAAATGAGTAAAATGACGTGAATCTGATATTTATACTTGTCACTATAATGAAAAATCTTAAGAACTAGACTGAAAGATTCACGCTATGATTATTATTAGGATTGTAATTAAATTAACGTCAAAGGAATAAAAAAAGCCTCGAGACACTGTAGTACGCCGTATTTGTGAAAGATCGAAACGGGGAGTCTACTTTAAGTTGCTATATGTATCTTATCTATCATGCTGGTACGTTAAGTACTTGGCAGAAAACAGTTGTAAATCAGAAAAGAATTATGGACGGTGCTTCTGTTCTTGATTTTATTTACAGGCGCACGTAGGTATTTCATATGTTTTACCATAACCTTATATCTACAAGCGGCTACGTTCTAGGGAGTAACGAGTGTTTTAATACGATGAAAAAAAAAAAAGATTTTATAATATATGAAAAATTAAAAAACATGTGTCTATGTCTATGTATACCAATTTGAAATGTTTCTTTCTCTTTTTACATTGATTTTGTACAGAATCATTTACGAAAGGTATAGTCACCTCTCCATTGCCACTAGAAGTGCCACTACGTATATGTGCAATACAGTGGGTAAGAGTCGATGCCAACTAAAATACAGAGAGAAAGAAAAATGATCAAAAGAAAATACAGAAGAAGGATGCAGGCTTTACAGTGTGTTATTCATAGTCGTGTGATATTTAAAAATTTAAGGTATACAAAAATATATATATAAAAATTTCACTGACTTACCCCAAAAAGATACGATGGACAATTAGCGTTATTCAGATTAATTATCCGTTGACTTTAATTATCCACAAAAGTCCGCTCATTCACGTAGCACGATAACCGTAATGAAAATTATATATATATCCACCCCGTAGTATTTTGCAGGTATGGTAAAACAGCAAATGACTGGTTTCTGTTATCGACTATTTTATTCTGCTCGTTCCTACTGTATTATTAATTCCGTCACAATTATTCGTCACGACAGTCCTACGGAAGTGAATCCTTGACTATTATTAAAGCACGTATTACTTATCGACGGGAACGCTTTCCGCGAGAAATTGGAACTAGGAAAGGACGAAAATGTCTTTTTTCCCAAAAGGCACCCGTGTATAGTAATTTGTTCCTAATTTTTCTATGCGTAACGATTTCTTCCCGGTGATGTATTCTTCAGCATAGAGGTTTTAACACAACGTACCCCAAGAACACTGTGGCCTTTAACCCCTGATTCTTAAAGAGTAAAGTACCGCGAGCCTCACGATAAAACACCTATATGCAACGCGCATGGTCCCACCATTTATGGTCTTGCGCACTCTGCTTTTCGCAACTAGCACCTAGCAGAGGTCTGATTTACGTAAGTAACTCCCCCAGTCCTCAACTTATTCTTAATCTCATGATTTAATATTCCATTTCAGATTCATGACTCTTTTACGCGAGTTTTCACAAAATATTGCAATTTTGACGTTCCACTCTGTGGACATTAACCACTTACTCCGTTGACTATTGACTCGACTGCAATCAGTTTATTCGGTAATGGGACACCGTGTTCGTTAAGAAAACCCGACACGACTTGACTTGACTGTACGCTCTGATTCTTTGCTGAAAAAATGATTTGCTCAACGACGTTATAAACTTCGATATATGCAATGACAAAATTATGATGAATACTTTGAAAAAAAAATTAGGTAAAATCCATTCTGACTGAACTCTTATAAGTATACATTTGGATGTAATTTTGATTAAACGTTTTTAAGAGAAAGAAATTCAAAGTGACTAATAAGCGTGTGCTCAAGATTCTTATGAAGAATTTGAAAATTTACAGAATCCGATTAGTTTATTTTCTTTTTTTACGATATTTTTCAGAATTCATATGCTAGGGAATTTGCTATTACATATAGGGTGGAATGTAATGAATCTCAGCTTACGACTTCGAACGGTGTAAATGCCCAAAAAAAACATTTATGATTGTTACCGTTGTTGTTCTTGCTTGAAATAAAACCTATTTCACCGATAGAAACTTGTATTGGCTTAGTTTACTTGAAAATAACCCAATTCCTGACATCTAGCGTGAATCACAGCATGTTTTTCGTATTGTGTGACTCTTGTTACCGTAGGTATTTTAACAGATAGTAAACACATTATCAAGATATACTCCATAGGCAAAATTTTTCTTCCTTTTACCATTGAAGATAACGCAGCGTAACCGACTAGTGTAATTCGAATTCGAAACTAAGGGTACCAACGTCTGAACGTAGAAAGCAATTCTTATAGCTACTAGAACTATAAACACGCATGCACAACTTTGCTGTTATGTTACATATTACGAACTAATAGTATTATAACAATTACTTCTGAATCATTAGGTGCTGGTGAGCAAGCAAAAATTGGAATATTTTTCAATTGTTATTTTGATGATTGAATTTCGTACCTAAATTACGACAGTATTTAAAAAAAAAAACATCTGTAGTGTAGGACGAAGGAATAATTATTGAAAGTATGTGTATACTCACCTCCTACATGACATTGTTCATCTTCCTCCCGTCAATGTACAATAACTGGTTCTAACCGGTTCGACTAAACTCACGAACAGCATGAAGTCTCAGAGGAATCTGATAATTCTTCGTGACGAAATGCCCCTGCTTCATCCCCTTTGACAGGTTAATACCACAGGTAACGAGATAGTAGTTTCGCTTCGTTTGAGATATCCTAAATCATGTCGACAACTTAAGTAAATTATTTGAACATTTGCCGGCCGAATATTCACACAGCGAGACGAATGATTAGCGACTGACAAATACAATGAGTGTCGTCCCAAGCGTCTCATGTAAAACGCCATTGAGTATTATGTCTTTAAGGCTATTCTAGGCGGCTTTATTTTTCGATCTGATCTTACATTTTGGAGTTAGTTTTGCGTAAAGGGAAAAGAAAATTATTACTTTTATTCTATCGAAGCAATTTGTCAACTGAAAAATAGAAAACAAGGTAGTACAACAATAACGATGTTAAATTTATCAACTTAATTTACATTATAAGCAACATTTATCGATATTCGATCGATTCGTGAAACTGAAATCATATTACCCTCTTTAACTTCGAAATAAGGTAGCGGGTAAAATCCTAACGATGCTGTAGGTAACTACACCAGTATTGATAACAGAATTTCCTCTAAACACTTTATAAATTGTATGGTTATTTCGGATACACACGATATAAACTAGCAATTGCCAAAAACTATGGAAGACACTGTATACGAGTTTAAATAATAATCGTGTATGCTTTGAGATTTGTCAAAAGGCAAAAGTAGAAGAAAGCGGATTGCCTAGAGTTTTCTAATTAACAGAATGATTTGCGAGCGACGATGATTGTACTTACAAAAGTAATACGAATGGGACACTAATACTCTCCTAATATTATTCATTCTTTGCACATAGGATTTCGAGGAAAGTGCAAAGCGATAACGTCTGGCATATTTAATATTTGATAATGCTGTCGCGACCGTAAAAGGCGCCATTTTATGTCAAGCACCGAAGACGCCATTAAAACGAATCTTAACGAAGATGAACGAAGTTCAAATCGTTAACGCATCGTACACTCTTCCGTATGTTTATTATTTTAATTGAAATAGTTATTTTATATAGTGTCATATATAATACATATATACAGTATATATGTATCTATATATACATATACCACTATAGAAGACTAATACGTATATTTATGTATACAATTCGAAAATGGTTCCTCAACTATCATCTAAGGTAAAAAGTCTTAAAGCGAATGTAGATACAGAATATTATTTTCTCAATTATAATATATTATACAATGTCAAGCCTGCCTATTAAGTCGCGCTAATATTTGAAAACGACAGGACAAATGAAATGAGAAAAACTGTCAGGAAGGTAAAAAGTAAATGGGCGCAAACATGCAGGCACTGCGAAAATTGGACTTCCACTTCGACCTTAGTATAGTACATTGTTTCATTTATTTTTCTTTTCTTTTTCTTTTCTTTTCTTTTTTTACTTGGGAATAATCCATCGTAGAAGAGCTAATTCTACTCCTAATACTTATTCGTAGCTACCTAGTTGCCATCCTAGTCTATTACTCTTACTGGTAGAATCAAATATGATTGATCAGTCAATCAACTATCTTTATACTCATAAGAAGACTGGGGCACAGTAATGAAATTGAATTGCCAAATATCTTTGTGTATATTTTTCAAATACGAATAATGAGAATATTTTTTCTGCTGTTTGACTTTTACTTTACCTTTCTTTCGGCACATTGTTGAATCATTGATGCTAGTAAATACCACTAATACTAAAATAGTAATCCTTCCTTGTCACACTGATGAAAATTTGCACCCTGTATGTACTTCTTCTAAATCGTTTGAGCCTAGTCTATCATCACTACAAGAAAGTAACTAAAATTGGTAAATTTAAATCGGAAATATAATCCAATAAAAAAATGCAAAGTCAAACTCTAATTAGCATAACTAAGAAGGGTGCTAAGATGAGTTCAGAAAATAAGTGTGACAACGAAGTATTAAGGGTGCCCGAGGCACCAATTTCATAGTTGTAGAATTTCTTTAGACGCCAAGAGTACTATGAAATGACATAAGTTTGGAAAAAATTTATATAAGGTAACACGTTTGAAAGGACAGGTTACATTTGAAAAAAATTGTGCAAGCTTGAGAATTTCGATGGTAGCTGCTCTGCATTAGAGACAAGACTAAGAAAAGGAGCAATGTTTAATACAAAAAAAAAATGTTTGGTTCCAAAATTCATTGTTTGTTGTTCCTGTTGTTCCACTTCTCCCTATTCTGATTTAATTTTTTTCCTTCTTAATAAAATATTGCTTTTTTACGTTTTTTTGATGTCCTTAAAGGCCACCAGGCTATTGTTATTCTTATTATATAATTATTTCCCCGGACTTAACGTTTATAATCTATCTAATTAACGTTCTTACATGCTATTTCTCTACGATTTACCGAGGGTGCTTCCTATTATTGAGAAATAGAGAATTCCAAATTCTAACTATCTATCTCATGATAAATTGAAATACTGTGTTATGTGTGTGTATATGTATTTTAGCATATACGTGCAGTATACGTGGATTATGAGTTTATCAATTTCATGCACTCATGCACAGTGCGTTCACGCGTGTACATACGATACGTATACGCATGAACTACAAAATATTTTGTCATTGGATAATCACAGAAAATATGTACATGTACACACTCCTATCTATGTGGAAAATGATGGGTCCTGTATGCGGACATGTGTACTAGAATTTCAGTTTGCGCATGTATACCTCTGGGGAAAAAATTTTATACACACTCATCTTGTATGGATACGTGTGATAAATAAAAAATGTATCTAAACTTGTATTCATATAGAAAAAAAGCAAACCAAGGCACTTAAAAAAAATGAAATAATGCATTCAAAAGGAATATTTTTCTCTGGGGCAATCAAATGTCGACCCGTCGTCTCAGGTAGAAATTACAAAAACAAAGAATATTAAAGTACTACTTTTCCATTACGTACATTGAAATGATCCATATATAAACACAATTAACTCAATTATTTTAAAAACTAACTCAACGTGAATATGTATACAAACGTAACTTTTCTAGGTATACAACGTTAATCCTCAAGATAATTATGGATGTTATAATGATTAGTTAAAACGTTTCAAAACATAAGACCGAATCGTAAAAAAAACTATTAAAGATGAAGATATACAGTAAGTAAAGTTTATCAATTCAAATGACAAATAATAAACGTGAGTTAATCTTAATTATTGGAGATATAATGACAATATGACCTAACGATTTCTTGGGTGTGATTAAAATTAGAACACACTGTAATATGGTCAATCTGATAAAGTTTCAGTTTCTGATGGCGCTTGGTTAACATACAATTAATTCATAACCGTTAATTAGCCAGTAATTAATAATTGGTATCCTGAGATTCGAAACTTTAAACATTGACCAATTCGGGTATCTCCCATTTTTCTTCGTATCTTACTCATATCACACGCGAATAAAGTAACAAGTTTTCATTTTCTCCAATCTAGTACCTTGTTCCTTTTTCGCCCTTCAATTACATTTGCTACTCGAACCTTTCATTACCAGATTACAAGTAAGCCTGACATACTAATCTGTACATACTTTTTACATTCTATATAATACTCTAAAGAAACTAATAGGTAATATCTAGAATCATTTTCAAGCTCTCCTGCCGTGTATTTCATATATGCGGTGTCCATCTGCACAAGAGTAGGCAAACCGAATAAATATATACGATTGGTGTTCATGTTATGTCATGCGTTTCCACAACAGAAATAGAGACGAAAATTTGAAAAATAATGAAAGAAAACGAATTTGTACACGTGGTACGATTCAAATTATCTATGCCACGTTTACATACATACTATTGCACCACGTATATTGCAGAAAGTATGAGCGATTCCTGTTTGTTCGTGTAACTTTAAAACATAAGCCGTAAACATTCAACGCAAGTGAATCATTCTTTGGGCCTTTTCTCGAATATCTTATACATTTATATAGCTTTTCATTCGTTCCGTTACGGCAGTTTAGGCCAATCAATGTAAAATCGGTAACGTGATAACGTGAAGAAAAACATATATATAGTATAACATTGTGTATACATAGTAAGAATCCGAACTGAAGAAGTAACAATTCCTAATTGCGGAAGTGAAGTCTCCCGTTAATTCCATTATGGCGTCAGGAGAGTATAGCGGGGTTAACCCGTAAACTATAATCATCATCATTTCGTACAGTAAGGCGTCCCAAATGTCGTTGTTTCAAACATTATTGATTTCTGGATACTCCTTGTGGGCGCCTTTAGCCACCGTATCGGATTTCCACTTTCTGTAGAATTCAACCAAAGGCATGACCATCATTAGTGCTCCGCTAAGAGCTATGAAAAAGCCTGCCAGATAGAAGGAGAGGTCGTACGTCCCGGTGATATCATAAAGCCATCCTGAAGACATAAATTGGAACAAATTAATAAAAATATTCCAATCTTACAGTAGTACCTATTGTAACCTTATTCCGACATTCTTCAAAGAATACCTTCACTATCGGATCCTACCATCTAATGAGAATTTTTGTAAATAATGTCAATTATCTAATTAATATTACATGAAGAGCTTCTGAGTTCAACAACTCGCAAAAGATTACGAGTATACTATAGAAGGGTTAAATTTTACAAGGTAATGTAACAGTAAATGATACATAATATCAGTTACTATGTTCACGTGGGTGGTCTGCCTTGTGAGAATAACTGATTTAGTGACCTTCTGCATAGATTCGAATACATCTGCATGTTACATTCACCATATCGCGTGATCTTGGGTCTTTAATAGAGAAAAGATTTGTCATAATAATTACCAGCCAACGGAGGTCCCATCAGGTTCGCTACACCCTGAACCAACAACAGGAGACCATAAGCATTAGTGAATCGGTCCAATGTTATCAGCTCCACCAGAATGATACTTGTAAGGCTGTAATTTGCTGCGATGAAGAGTCCAAACGCTCCGGAAATAGCGCACAGGGCATAGTAGCTTCTGATTACCATTGGTATCATGGCTGTCACTGCACCGCACAAGGACATGCATACTGCGTAAACCAAGGAAGCATTTACCCAAGCCCTATCGCCAGCCCAGCCCAGTATTATCTACAAGAATTCAATTGAATTAACTTAGACTAGGTAATATCTTAGTGTTGTTCTCAATAATGATAGCCTAATGTAACTTTCATTCTTACCTCGCCACCCATATTCGTTATCCCGATTACGGAGATGAGAATGGAAGCATCCGTCTCGCTGAAGCCCATCTCTATTGCATTGTCCGTAAGATATACGTAAGGCACATCGTACCAGGTGTGCAGGAGGAAGTTACTAATAGAAAAGAGCAGGAATCTGGAGTCGGAAAAATGTGAAAAGTCAAGCATATCCACCAAAAGGTCCCAGAACTCCCACAAGCCGGCGTACCACACGAGTTTTGTCTTGGCGATGGTAGTCATCGAGTTCCTGTAGATGTCGGGACAACTCGACGCCCTAAGCCTGTATCTATTAATGTTCAACATTGCACCGCGATATGTCAGACTGTGCCGGTGAACTCGGATGTCTTTGAGGTAGGCCGTAGGTAGTCTCCTGGGATGTTCGTGCGTTCCTGTCCTCTCTGGTGGACAGTCAGGATGCGTCTTCTTCAGCCACCAGAGATAGGCTGCATCGGTGTGTTGTTGGTGATTTAAATTGACCTCCCTCGAGGTGTTCCTATCTTTAGCATCTTCAATCCTATTTTCAGCCAGCGGACTGGGTGTGGGAACGAACCTTGCTGACGGTGTGTTGAGTTGTTCATGAAGTGCTCCGGAGTCACTGAAACTTCTAGAAGATATTAAGAGACTCGGATAGTTTTGCACCAGGACGTTGTAGACGTTCTTCTTGGTGCTGAGGAGTTCCAGTACCTCCAGTGGAACCTTCTCGCCATTCTTGACGAAAGTAGGCAAGTTTACTAAGCTAGAAAACTGTTTTCTACTATCCACGGTGGACTCCTCTTCTTGCTGACGCAGATTCTCAATAAACATGGCATTGGCCGAGGAGAAGGTCCTCTTAGGATCGCCATGAGGTGTCTGGGTGTTTGTATTTGCTGAGCTAGTAGCAGAAAATGAATCGGCGCTTGAACTTTGAACCTTCGAACGTTTCATTTCTCTGTTCTTGCGACGTTCTTCTGTTTTAGCCTTAGCCCTGATCGTCGTCCACTCCAAGTCTCGCATGAGGCAACCACAGACAGCTAAGTTCAGGAACAGTCCGGCCAAGATGAGAGTAGTACCACGCCACCCATACTCAGCAAGAAGATATTGTGTAACTGGCGCAAATATAAAAGTGCCAATGCCACTTCCGCAAACTGACAATCCAGTGGCGAACGATCTTTTCTTGTCGAAGTAATACGCCACAATGACAACAGCCGCCACGAAGCACAAGGACAGTCCGAATCCCGCGACTACACCAAACGTAAAGATCAGAAGTTCCATAGAATTCGTGAAGGAGCTGATGACAAAGCCGGCTGTGGCTAGAATACTTCCGGCAATGGATACTCGCCGACATCCATATCGGTCGGTCAAGAAGCTGGCCACTGGTCCAGAAAGAAGCGGCATGGCCATGAAGAGGCTTCCAATCCATGCTGTTTTAGACTTACCCTCCCCAAAGTAGTTCAGAAACTCCACAAAGATGACGCCAAACGAAAATGTTATGCCATCCGCAATAAGGTTCACCATAAAAGAGGCAGCAACCACTACCCAACCCCAGCCGCCATCCGGAGGTCTAGCTTCAGAGAACTGTCCCAGACTTGAATTGTCCTCGGAGCTGCTCGATGTCGATGTCGAGATCGACGCCGATGGGCTAGGATGCGGTTTATCACCCCCCGATTGCCTTCTTTTCGAGCTATCCTTGTTAAACTGCACACGGTGCACAGTCTTGTCGTCTTTAGGCGACTTACCGTTCACCAGTTTCTCAATATTCTGCTCCTTCGCCAGCTGCTCGTCGATCTGCAGTGTTGAATCCTTAGAAGTGTTGTCCGTATCGGCAGAGCCGAAAGTGGAGTTTCTTTTCCCATAGAAGACGCTCTTGATCTTTTGTGGTGATAATGCATCCTCCCGAGCATACAAACTATTTGGCCGTTTTGCCAAACCCTTAAGCTCCTCCTTAGCTTCATTACGGATCTGCGATCCCAACTGCTCATTCTTCCTAAATGCATTCTGCTCCAGCATGCATTTATCCTGGTCATCGTTCTCCTCATCGGACGCCATACCATTCTCATAAACAAACTTTGTGTCTGGCACATCTTTATTATCATTCTCTTTCAATCTACTCAAATACTTTGTTTTTCTTTCTTTATACTTTCCATCAGCTTCTTTACACTCCTGACTTGCATCATTATTAGACAGCTCACCATCTTCTTCCCAGGAAGACTTTCCCGACTTTTTCGAATTATTGTACCAAGTGGCGTCACTTTCTTCTCCACTGTACTTAGTCCACTCAGCCATTGCGAACACGTGCTCCAGGTGTTCTCCTGGCTGATGACGATCGAAAGGCAAGTTTAGGGTTACGATAACCTCGTAGAACTTCGCGTAGAAGAAAAATGTAAAAATTCTAACACCGCATTAGAAAGACAATTACTGACACTTGTAAGTATACTCAATTACCACCAACTAATTTCGTCCTAGATTTAAACGATGGAAGAACGGGCCACTCGTAGAGCTGTCTGGTGAACTGTCTTCGAAGAGGACGTAGCGTGGAGTACGCGGAGCATGAGTAGCAGGAGCGGAAGGCGATGTCAAGATGACAATTGTATAAGTCAGTGGGACTGGACGATGAAGAAGAAGATGACGATAAGGATGACAATGTCCCAGTTTTCCACATAAAGAATCCACCGCCACCATCGCAAACGAGACCCTTGGAGAAAATTCTGTGACTGCGGCTACACTGTCGGCCTCTAAGGATCCCCGTCTCCACGGCGACCTTACGATCTCTAATCCAGGCACCCATGCGGTGAGCGATTCTTCTCCTTATTCCCCTGGTGCAGCTTACGACACTGAAATACAAATAAGACATTTTCATGAGTGACCAAAATTTTATACGTCAAAAACACCCAGGACTAAAATATTTATTTGTAATTCTAATTTTTCTGTTCGCTGCTTAACAATTTAAGAGGAGACGTGCATGAGACTCTACCAATCAATTTTTTTTATTAATTCTTATATTAATTCTCTGCAAATATTATATAGTTCATTATTCTTCTTAAGTAGTCGTCTCAATTCCTAACAAAAATCCCACATTTCTTTTCATCCTTGTGCTTTATCGTTGCTTGCTGTAAATAAACCACATCTTTTTCTCTGCACTCTCTTTCTCTATCTCTGTGCAAAGACGCGCGACAAACCAGTGAGCACAGGCCACCAGTTAGAGCTAGCGATTATAAATGGAGTTCATTGTGTATGAGTTGCTGTCAATTTAAGGATTTAACAACGAATTGCCAACGAGCAAAAGCAAATAGTACTTTGGTGCGCGGTGTCGTGTGCATCGAGCAAGAAAGAAGATCAAGTAGCATAAGTAAATCCACTATTGACATTAACCGTACTTATTTCCGTTTTGATAACCAGAAATGATCACGTAATCATGTAATTTTCTCAAAGATAAATTTCTTTATTATCAGTGGCATTTTCAGCATCCTTCCAAGAATGACAAGATAATTCAATTGACTTGTTCCGCAATAATGGATACCTAGCTACCACGTACTATACAGATATACCTTTAATTGTGTGCATATATATATAAGTCACAGGAAATGGACTATTTACGTTTTAACGTCAAAGTAAAGTACGCTGACTACCTTGAAGAGGGCACTCGCGTACACGCAGGCAAAAGAAAAGCAAAAAATAATGTCAAAGCAGACCGATAGTTCAGGTCATTAAAAAGCAATATGAGAAATAATCAGCAATTAGACATGAATGCAAAACGCGATATGATTAATTATTTACACTGCAGCAATCTTAACTAATCGAATCATCTTCGAGCGATAACAAAGTAAAAAAAATTGCTTGGGTAAGCAGATACTTCATAAGACAGGTATACGGAAACCGGCGATTTAAAATAAGCTCAGCTTATCGGGTCAAAGTTGATCTGCGAAATCCTTGATATACAAACGACTATTCGATACTTCTCGATGTAAATTGCGCGGAGTGTATATCTAGGATAACACAGAATTCAAGGAATGCACTTACGTCTAGGGCTAAAGGGCAGGATCAACGTTCACCACGAGGCATTATATATTATTGCCAAGAAAGTCCAGAAAGAAAATGAGAAATAGAAATGCGATAACGATAACAACTAATTGACCAGAGTAGCTCTTATCAATTTTATCTATGTTTAAGTTTCTTCGGTCATCGGTTGCTCGAGCCTGTACGACTTCACAGAAAGAGCGCCAACACGTGGTCGCTATGACAGCTCGAATAAGTACTGACACGAGTTTGATTTGTGAGGCAACTAAATTAATCTCTTAGGTCTACGTGTCCCAGTTTAATTTCTCTCCAAACTGTACTGTGCACACTTCGTTATCCGTCCATTGTTTCATTCAATGATTCCCTACTAAACGTGCACGCACGTAGCCCAAATTGAAGGGTACGTGCTGCGTGTGCAATGACATTACGTACCGAAAATTCTGACAACGCGTATACGTACTATCCTTACTGCCGATTACTACCAGATTGAATTCGGTGATAAACTCTTAGGATCACAGGTCAATTATATTTTACTATCAGCTCTGTTCCCTTCTCAACTATTTCTGTTATCAAGCGAAATTCTTATCGTTGCTTTTCGAGTAACCGAACAGACGCACGTTTTCGTCCTCGTACTGTTCAGCGCGTGTAAAAGTGAACTGGTAGTACCGACTATCTATCTAAACCGTAGATGCTTTCGTACAAAGTGTCACAACTATGCACTACCGACACTGGTATTACGATCTGACGTACTACATTTTGCAGCTAACATGTAATACGGAATAAGATGAAATATAAGAAATAAGAAAAAGGTCACTGAGAATGTAGACGACTTTATTTCGATAAACATATCATTTCTATGACTGGTTATGGAACCAGTTCCCTTTTTCTCTTACTGTCTATAACGTGTATCTCTACTTTTATAAATTATTTTACTGACCATGACGCGATATTATTGATGCACAATGTCAAAGCCTTATTCACTTGTCGTTCGATCTGCCGACGTCACGTTTTATGACTTATCGATAAGTCGATTAATTGTTTAAATTAATGTCCTTCCAACCAGTTATAGCGACCGAAGACACTCGCTAGGCTATCACTTTGAATTTTCAAACACATCGTCAACATCCCCAGAGCACGTGTCTTAAATATGCCAAGGCCTTTGGGGAAAAAATAAATGTTTTTGGTTTTTCTTCTCTTCTGTCCAGTCTTAAATTACGAGGCACCCAAATTCACTAAGGGATATACAAATTATTTAATTCCAAGTACGTTTCCTTGGATAGGTTAGTTATTCACAAAGTATTCCGTATACCTATGGCCAGGAAGCGAAAAGACAAACGATAACAAGAAAAACAGCACAGTGGTGAGGAATGAGTCGCGAGCAAATTGTTTACTAATGAAATTCACGTTAATTTCACCGGCAGCTAAACAACACTGGAGTTAGAATTAGATTTAGAATTATAATTAGAACAGAGCATTTTACCGCCGTCTCTTCTTTGCCCGGTTCGTTCTCGGCACACGCATACAGCTAAGTATTTAACGAGTTGACGATGTCGTAAAAGAGATATGTTAAAACTGCGAGATTCCGCGCTATCGACGAACGAAATCTTCAAACTGATCTACACGATGACAAAGACTCGAGACACTATGCCGTGGCACTCTTGTCTCTTGTCCGTATACACTAGCGTCCCTCCGCCCGGGTGCACAAGAGGATGGCCAGGCTAATACTGATAGGCGATTGGGCTCCGGTGGTTGCATATATCGCGGTGACCGGTTCCTTGGCAATCGTACAGAGTGACTACTGACAAGGCGTACCCACACCAGACCACGCTATAGATGCCGGCATAGTGATACTCACACACTCACTGTGACACTCTGACTGGCCGCTTCAGATAGGCAGCCTCACTTGAAGATGTGGAGAAGAAAACGCGCTTCGAGCAGAAGTACCAAACACTGGTATTGGCTACTGCGATATCTCGGCTAGTATATCGTGTACGTTACGCGAGGACGTGAGTAGGTACGTGTGTGGTAGATGATACAGTTGAGCCCGTTGGTGGGAGTGAGAGAGTCGTCGACTGTATCGGAGTAGCTGGCGTTTAACGTTGACGTCAGATATTGAGCATTAACGTTAGCGCTTCTTAACACGAACAAAGATAGATAGGAAATGGGAAAAAGATATAGAGAAAAAAGTAATACCCATGGTATCTAAGATGCTTTGCCTATGGAAATGCATTTCAAGTCCCTCGTAAGGATATTGTATTTACCGACCATATCGAAAGACACACGAGAACGCATGGCGAGGTATGGGATATTGAGGAAAGCGAATCCTCTGGTATCCTTATGAAGTTTGACATTTGAGTGATAGAATTTTTTTTTTTTACTTGAAATTTAATCGGATCAAGTATTGATTCGCTGTGTATTTTTTGGAATTTTTCTGAATGGTTTTAAGAGATGAGAAACTTTAATTAATAATTATTTCGTACTATTTCACTGTTACTCGGTGGTCAATTATACATGTAATCCTGTTATCGTTTGAATTAAGTAACAGATGTTGGATTTTATGTGATTTGTGGGCATTTTTTGATATTGTGGCTTCTGGCTATTTTATTTAATTTTCAACTTGGTTTTGTTTTTATGCGAGGCTGGCAAACCGTGGAAAAACCGTCGCGGAGCAACACGCACGTGATACAGGAGTCCGTCTTATGACGTCGAGCGTCGCGACGCCTAATATCGATTTACCAAACGAAGGTATACACGATTCTCACGGTATATGTACGCACATGAAATTTTACAGCGTGGAGTCGATACGTGCTTGGTTATGAAATTAAGTATCCATTAGGGCAAAAAAGTAGCTTAAATCGACTGGTACTGAGTTGAGGAACTGTTCACGCTAAAAATGTTAATGCAAGTTATTCTTGTGATTGATGTATTCCTTTGGAAATTTATTAGAGGAAACTTCAAAGATTCTTGGCAAAGTTCCTTCCAAGGTTATAAGACAAAAATCAGGAAAGTCTTGCCTGTAGCTTCCCGGAAAGATTCCCCTGCGTGCCTTGTGAAACAAACAGATTACAAATTCACAAGCGAGTACATGGATAAAAATAATATACATACAAGTACGTAATTGGATTTATGCAATTAAATACATAAGAATTAGTTACACTAACTTTTTTCCCCATATTTTACGTGCTTTTATTCACAAAAAGAAACCCACGACCATATATACATTTGCGATTTTCATTTTAATTGTAATGTATGTTAAATGAAAGGATCACTAATCCGTAATTTTCCACACGATATCTTGGTCGCAAACAATAAATTCAATTCTCGAAGAATTATTTCCTGTAGTGATCATTACTTTTTTTTTGCTAACACGTACAAAAATATAATTGAAAAAGTTACACAGAAAAATATAATGTGTCAATTTTAACGTTCCCTTAAAGAAATAATGGTGAACAACTGTACCAGAATTAAAGGAAACTACATGTATAGTTTAAAAATTTAAGAGCCCTGGATAAATATCACAAAAACCATTTTGAAATTACGCAGCCGCCAAGAAGCAATAAGGATCGTATCACAGTGTAACATTACAATGAATGCCGGTGATGCAACCATTAGCACAGATTAAATAGGTTTTATTCAAGACCCATTAAAACCCTTTGGCAATAGAAGGTCAACAAAGCTGTGACAAGGTCGACTGATATCTCTCTATTTAAAAGAGAGAAAAAGAAAAATTTATAGTTCACTGTAAGACGCCGATAGCTCGACTTTTTCCTTCCTTTTTATCCACATCTTTTTCCCCCAATCACAATTCGCACGTGTGCTCTTTATCCGCGTTATTATTACATCTTTTCTGATTCTCACTCTTTTTTCTCAATAGTTTCAGTATTGCATCATATGAAGACATGTATTTGAAATACGGTATTTAATTATGAATACATCGATTGAGGCGATAATGAAATTCGTTATTGTATAAATGTACATTGAAAATCTAATCAGATCTAGATGAGAAAAATGAACCAGTTTCTATTACGCCATGATGAGACGCTCGCACGTATACGCGATCTATATATACTACATGTATGCATTGTACATATACATATCTATAGTTTATAAGCATACGGGAATATATACATAGGTATATTATACGTGTTTAATGCACGAAGAATCATTATACAAGAAAGACGGAGTGGCTCGTTATCGATCGCCGGCTTTACTTTTAGCCAAGGTCTACGACGGCGTGCAACATAAACCCTAGAAATATCAAGCTATGATCGGATAAAACCCTAGGCTGCTTACATATATTCTCATAAACTTGGTAAAAGGATTCAAATAATTACATATCTATATCGTCAAGACGAGAAATCGAAACAAGAAGTAATTTTAGAAGAAAAGGGAACCTGACATTGCATATAGATAAATATAAAATAATACATGTGAAACAATGAAATACAATAGTTGAGTAGAAGTAAAGCATTGAAAATTTCCTTTGACAAATATCTAATAGAGTGGGAACTATTGTCAATGTCAATAACTATATTTCTGTATTATGTGTACTGAAAATCTACACAATATATGGTGTAACACAAGACGAAGTAGTGATTCATTGTATAATAATTCATCACAAATAAACATCCGACTCAAATTTTCTACGTAGTTTGTCGCGTCTGTTATCGACAAAAGCACGATCGGACAGGATGTTATTAAGAAAAATATTTAAAATTTTCGTTTTCAATGTTTTTCATTAGCAATACCGTTATTGCGCTAGTCATTTCACAGAAGAATAAAAGTATACAAATATCAGTACGTACCCTACTAGCCGAAAACATTATATTCCAGCATATTACCAGTATAACAACAGAATCCTTTACATAATGTTGTTTTAGTAGCAATATGCTGGGATATTCAGGGGGAAACTGGTTTTGGCTATCTGAAAGTATACATAATCCAAATAACAGAAAAGTTAAGCGAAAGGTCGTATGAAATCAACGATAGTTATTATAATATTGTATCATGGATCTCAGTTTTATTATTGGATACGAGAAATGCAAAAGATCAATCCGATAAAGAAATTCATCAGTGAGCATTGAATTAATCGGCAGTGTCAATACTCACAGCCATGACATATGACAAGTTTAATAGTAAACACGGTTCTTCGAGATGCAAAAAAGCATGCATGGCAATTCTAAGAAAACATTGCAAATGTATTAAATTTAAAGAAAAACCACACAAAAGGACAGAACAAAATTATAATCCTTTATCGCAAGTGTTATTTGATTTGTATGATATAAATTTATTTGTAACTTACCGAAGGACGTCCCACTCCGTCGATGAAACCAATGCTAAAAAACTGCAAGGCGATGCATCTTCATATCAATACTTGGAAGAGAAAAAGTAACGAAGAGGAAGATTCAACAATCGAAACTCTTTGGTGGTCGATTTCACGTATATATCAACTCTGACTTATTCGTATGAGCTATACAGATGGGCAGCTGCTGGTTAAGTTAGTAGAGAATCCTCACAAAATATTCCTACGGATGCACAGGCGACATAGGCACACTTGGTTCGTTTATTACGTTTACTTATATTCCCTTGTGTAGATATCACGTACGTACGATGAATTCGCCGATATTCACTGGTCTAAGGGTTGCTTCTTTGGGCACAGAATGATGGACGACTTCAGAAGGTTTGTTATTAGACAGTTGGCGATGACTAAATGAAAAGGTCGCGTCGTAGCACGCTTTTCGAAGAACAGGGGAATATGGTGTTTTGATCGAGACGAGGGATGAATATTACAGAGGGTAGTAGCAGTATTTTACATGGAATGCGAATGCTGCGCTTGCGCCAATCCGCAAAGCAGGGCTGCGCGAGGCTCTGCGTATCCCAGCCGGTAAGATTGACGCATTTTGGCGCATTGCCTGAGAAGAAAGAGACAATATCACGTAGAAATAAATTTGTTGAAATACACAATTCGATTCTAGTTGTCTCCAGCCATCAGATGCTACGTATATATGTACATATACTCAGTTACGTTCAAGATATTTATACATATTGCTAGTTAGTTACACTTCTGCATGAATGTAACTAGACATAAGTTCTCGAATTTTCTACGTACACATGTGTATCAGCTTAACTGAGTGCAGTTAGAAAGATGCGTATCTCCTGCGATAGGCTCATCCGGTATGATACGTTATATTAGAGTTATTGTTTCACGATTCTTATCGTATCTCTTCTAGTCCTCCCAGTGATCCTCAAATCGCCAATGTATTGCATAACTTTTAAGTAGCAGAATGATGTTTTTTCTTGCGCATAGTTTGTGGAGATGATCCTTGAAACTTTAAGGGAAATAGTAGAGTCACTGTGGTCGTTTTGCAGTTGCGAAATCTGCCGGAGAATTCTTGAAACTTTTTAAAGACACTTTCGTCGAAAATTTATATTGGTTGCCTTTTGTCAGGCGCAGTGATTCTATTTTTAGGTATATTTATGTAAATGATTTTGAGCAATGAATTATTACTAATTTCTTTATACACCTGCCTTGAAGCTAGACAGTGATCAGATTTATTATATGAATTATCGCAGACACAACACACGAGACACCACTGATCACAACGTAAATTTATGAGGCATATTACTACTACTTTTGAAGAGATGACGCCACTTGATGCCATAAGCAATGGTTTCCTGTATGTATTTATATGGGTAACTTAACTTGGCGGCATCTAACCTAATAACATCGAATTAGTTGTGTTTAACATGTGATGAAGAGATCTCGATGTTTTTATAGACAAGTAGCAGGTTAATAATGTCTTTTCGATAATTTAAATAACACAATTAAAATGTCTGACGAATCGGAGTACGACATAGAGCCAGAAGAGTTTGATATATATAAAAGGAAATATCAACTTCTACTCGATAGATGCGAAATCTTACAGCAGGTCCCGCCATTGACATTTTACTTTCAAAATATTTATCTACTCTTTTTTTAATAATGCAATTAATTGCATTTTTTATAGTCATATAATTTTTCTTTTTTGAATTCTAGGATAATGAGAGGCTTGTGTACCGTATACAAAAAGTGAGAAAACTTCTTAAACGTACAAGGAAAGAAAAAAAGTAAGTAATTCAAATGTTTATTTAACATTTTTAATACTTACTTTGATATAGGAACATTTATTAGAAAACTTTTTATTCTTTTTATGTCACAGATTTCTAATTGATCGTTTGGATCAGCATGGGGATAGATGGAGAGAAGCTCCTATGGGAGTACTCGAAGAAAATAGTGTATTTCAAACCACACCTAAACAAGAACGAGGTTCCAAGTCAGGTGGTCACCATCCAAAAGAGGAGAAACCAAAGAAAGGAACTAAGAGGAAAGGATCTAAGGCTGATCCAAATGCTCCAAAAAGGCCTGCCAATCCTTTTTTCCAATTTTGCCAAGAGCAAAGACCCCGTGTGATGGAGAGACTTGCCGGAGAGCCTGAGCCCAGCAAACAGGAACTCACAAGACAATTGGCCACTACTTGGAAGTCCTTGAGCTCTGAGGATAAAAAGGTATAGAATAGATAGATCTATGATACATATTGTGATATTATATATATTATATTTTTGTAAATTCTTTAGGTATACTATGACATGTATGAACGGTCTAAGGAGAAATACGTAGCAGAAATGCAGATTTACAATAAGAAATCTGAAGATGCACCCAACCAAATGTCACTCAATATAACTTAATCTAACTTAAGGTTGTAAATATGTATGTTACAAATAAACAGAACTTTTTTTTATTAATAATAGTTATTATTTGTGCGTCTAATATACGAAATATGGAATTGTAAGTTTCCTGTCTATAATCTTGCTCCATTGGCTGCATCATTGTAACAGATATAAACACTGGAAGGAATAAGAGTAGCTGCCATTCTAATAGATGGCTCGTGAAGAAAAATTAATACATTGATATAGGTGATGGAAGTAAGTTTGTAGTAATTTTAAGCCTTAATCTTAATTACAATTGCACACGATTATCTTATTCCTCAATAAAAGGTATTGTGGCCTTTCCAAGTACCTTTTATTCCATAAAATGCCATCCAATCTTAACATTTAAAGCTGTCCTTCTCTTTCCGCAAGGCTTCCATTGTTTTAATAGCATCTGTTTCATTAACATGGGACATGACTGATGGTATATGAACCCTCATAAAGGGATTCGTACGTTTCTCCTCACCAATCGTAGATGGTACGGTTGGCTCTTGTTTTTCTCGCTTCTCTCTACTCCATTCTATCTTCTTAAGAATATCTTGGTTTTCCGGTTCCACGTAAACCGCAAATTTCAAGTTGTTCTCAGTGTACTCATGTCCGCAGTAAACATTCTAATTCACAATGGTACACAAAATTTGTAAGAGAAAAATAAAAAACTGTATTTTGATGTTATCTTACCGTTTCGTCAGGTAACTTCCCAAGTATTTCAATCAGAGCCTTGTACATCTGCTCTGCAGTGCCTTCAAAAAAGCGTCCACATCCAGCGGCAAATAAAGTATCTCCTATTTATTGAATTAATTCCTCATGATAATGTAATTAAACAAACGTGTTCTATAATAATTTACCAGTGAATACTGCAGGAGTCTCTGATCCATTAGTTATATAGTAGCAAATATGACCACTGGTATGACATGGTGTTTGCAAACAAGTAACTTCTAGGTTTCCAATTTTGATAGTGTCTCCCTGCTTGACTTTACAATTTAATGCACCAATACGATCATCTCCACCATATACTTGTAGGTTGTTGAATTTTTTGCATAGGTTCTCATTTCCCCCAGCATGATCCCAATGATGGTGTGTCGTTAAAACTTTGGTAAGATTAACATTATTTTTTTCAACAGCAGAAGCCACAGTGTTAGGATCTACAGGATCAACTATAGCAGCCTCTCGAGACTCCTCATCAATTATCTATAATTAATATATCTCATTAGTCTTTGAATCTTCTTGTCATTTGCTACAATTAAACTTACAAGATACATATAATTATCCTGGAGTGCTGGCAATATCTGGACCTTCATGTCTGACTGTTGAACAGTACTACAGATGCTGTGAGTTCCACGAAATCCGTTAGTAGAAAAACTTTTAGCTAAAATAGTGAACACTATTATAAATATATAAAATTGAAAAACTTAATAGGTTCACATTAATAGAAAAAGGTAATATGCTGCCTTTTATTTTGTAATCTAATAAATAGTAATGCCTTATATTACTTCATAAAATCTACAAAACAATTATTTAAAAACACATTGATAATAGGGAATTTGGAATACCCTTAAAATATGCTGCTGTTACTTGGCTCTCTAACCAAGTTGGGCAGGCACGAAATAATGAGTTGAACATTATCAAGTTCGTACCAGTCTTAATGATAGATTGTGATAGATGCACAAGAATACGGATGTTATTGATGATAACGCTACCTTATATCTGCGTCTTTAGGAGTACATTACTCCTCGTTCATGATACGCACTGAGTTGCTGAGAAAGATAATGAGAAAAAAAAATGTGATCTATATTGTGCATGTCCCCACTACGCGGTAAAACAACAATGAAAAACCGGTACGACATGTAAGCATCAGTAGGCATCAGTAGGCATCGTGACGTTACAGATAAAACTAATTATTTTATAGATTACAATAACAGAATACTCAATGAGATACCACAAAAAATAATGGCTGGAACATCAAAGAATCCTGTAATTATCAAAGATGATGAATATCACGGTCTGTATTCACTAATATTCGAATTTGAACACCACGTGTAAATAACCTCTTGTATGCATTGCGGTTTCAATTTTTTATTTACACGTATAATTTTGGATAGTTTATATTTGTATCTTTACATCCAAATAATAATCTGTCTTATTTAATAGCCACCTACGAGGAAGAAATTGCAGCCATTGATTATGAGCTCCAGCAGATTGAAAATGATCTACAGAAATTGGAGGATCGAAAGAAGATCCTGACTTTGCGCAAGGAGAAAATTCGAGATGATGCTCTTATAAAGAAAAGTCTTTCCTTAGCCAAAAAAAATTGGGACACTGAAGGGTTTTCTTGGTCGAAAGATATCCGAAAAGCAGCCAAAGATATCTTTAAGATCGACAAACTGCGTCCTCTTCAATTGCCTACTTTAAATGCCATAATGTCCGGAGAGGATGTTATCCTGATCATGCCAACAGGTGGAGGAAAAAGTTTGTGCTATCAATTGCCTGCAGTGATTAGTAAAGGTATTACTATAGTAGTTTCTCCATTAGTATCCTTAATGGAAGATCAATTGCATGGACTGCATAGGATAAATGTTAGGGCAATGATGTTAAATGCAAAAGCTGGAAAGGAAAATGTCAAAACAATAATGACAGCCTTGGTTGACAAGAAATCAGACCTTCATCTGATCTATGTTACACCAGAATACATGGCCAAATCAAAAAGATTTATGTCAAAGTTACAGAAGGCCTTTGAACTGGATAAACTAGATCGTTTTGCCATTGACGAAGTGCATTGTTGCAGTCAATGGGGCCATGATTTCCGGCCAGACTATAAATTCTTAGGTATCTTGAAGTCAATGTTTCCCGGTGTACCTATTCTGGGCCTTACAGCGACTGCACCTTCCAAAATAATTGTAGACGTCCAGAAGATGCTTGACATACAAGGATGTCTGGTGCTTAGAGCATCCTTTAATAGGCCTAACCTTTTCTACGAAGTGCGCCGTAAACCCAATGATAAGGAACTTTGTCTTTCGATGATAGAAACGCTCTTGAAGAATAAATTTCACGGGAAATCTGGCATAATTTATACTACAACTATCAAAGACGCTGAACAGTTAATGACAGATCTCAGATCTCGTGGTCTCAAGATAGGTTGTTACCACGCAATGTTGGAAGCTGAATATCGCTCTAAGGTACATGCGAAATGGCTCTCTGGAGAGTACCAAGCTGTGGTAGCTACTATCGCCTTTGGTCTGGGTATAGACAAACCAAACGTGAGATTTATTATTCATCACTGTATGTCAAAGTCGATGGAGAATTTCTACCAGGAAAGCGGTAGAGCTGGTAGGGATGGTCAGAAGGCATGGTGCATATTACTCTATCGTCTAGCTGATGTGTTCAAGTTAAGTACAATGGTATTCCAAGACAAAGTTGGCTTACAAAATCTCTACAAAATGCTTGACTACTGCCTAGATCAGAGTACTTGTAGAAGGTCTCTAATAGCCACACATTTCGAGGAAACCTGGACGTCGTCAGATTGCGCACAGATGTGCGACCACTGTCGCAAACCCCAAGTAAAGAAAGAAATGAATATAGCGCTTTACTGTCGGCATATATATCAAATAATGACTAAGGCCGTTCAAAGCGATACTAGATTGACCGCATTGAAGTTATTGGATGCATGGTACGGGAAAGGTGCCGTCGAATCCAGAGTATCCTCGGTGCCAATACCAAAGTTTTCTAGAGAAACAGGAGAATCTATCGTCGGTCATCTACTAACAAATGGATACCTCAAGGAAGATTTTCATTTTTCTGCTTATTCAACTATTACCTATTTGAAACGGGGACCTAAATCGGGACTAGCGCTAGATTCTGATCACAAGATACCGTTCTACTACGAGTAACGTAGTTCTAGATATCATTCTAGACAGAATGATTCTGTTTAGAAGATCCTGATGGCCTATTGACGCTGTATATATTCTTTTGTACCAATAGTCAATAGAATGAGTGATTGTAAAAAAAAACTCAGGACTCTTCAGGAACAATAAAGCAATAAAAATCAATGGAGCGGTCGCGATAATATTACCTATATATTTGTATTATGATAAAAAAGGTAACGTCAATTTAATAAGGCGTCGAAAAGTGATTAGAACGCCGAAGGACAACGAAAGATCAATAAAAAGAGCATGGGTAGCGCTGGTAGCGTGTAATGCCGGCCCTCTAGTAGGCCAACAGCTAGTAGCTACTTGAATCAGATGAGAATATTGATCCGTTATAAAAGTCATTTTGGATACGAGATGTTTTCAAACACATCCTGGATAGGATCTTCCACAAGGATAATCTTTGCTTGAGTCTAGTGAAACCAGAAATTTTCGGTGAATATTCATCACAAAAATTGCGAAACTGTCATGGACTGATTAAATATTCATCCTGGTCACATTTAGGATCATCCTCATCTGTCCTGGTTAGTATTTTGTATTACTTCAATATACTGGGTGTACAACATTTATACCAATGTTTCTTAGGACAAAAATTCGCAGTGATCTTTTAAATAATTTTGGAAATTATATTTGAAAATTTTAATTGTTTTCGATGTGTCAAAATTCTAAACCTATGAATTAGAATAAACAATTGGATCTGAAGCGATAACATATTATTTTGTATGCAATATGCTATATCGTTAAATACAAAGTGTTTCACAAATCATGGATTGTCTTTATCATATTTTTGAAATAATTTGTTGAAAATCCCACAATTCGTTTTTTTATTACGGCATTAACATTTGTGCTTTCAAAAAAAATTTGTAATGGTTTAAAATATTTGGATTGTCTAGAAATAGAAATTGTACATTGATGGGTAACAACTATCATAGTATATATTAAATTATCCTTGTTGGTGGTAAGTCGAGAACGTATTATTCGTAAAAGACAGAAAGTATCGCTACGATTTCTCTTATTATGGCTGTGATTTCCATCTATCTGAATTTTAAAGTAATTTACTAATTTAATATATAAACATTCATAGTTGAAAATTTATCGAAATTTTGATGTTTTCAAATTTGTATTTTTTAAGGAATTCCTTAATATAAACTCGTTCTCTAGAAACATTGAAATAACGTGGTACACTTTACTATAATAACACGAATTTTTCAACGACGTTGAAGTAACAATAATGATTAAATAAGAATATAATTTAAGTGGTTAGCAGTAAGAAAAACAAATGAAATCTAAACTTCTTTTTTCATACGTGATGTGACTGTGAAGGCTCAAAACTCAACCACATTTGTAGTGGCTTTTATAAAACATATGTGGCAATTTCGAGGTGCACCTGTAAGTATATTAGCTTATCAATGTGTTCTATGTGCCAAAGTTCGTCGATACGATAACACAGTTACATATTTTAAACAGATATTAAAATCAGTCCACAGGAACACGCACTTCCTGGGCCTGTACTAAAGAAAGAGTCATGCCTCAAGAGTGTACTAGACAGCCTTGAGAAAGCTTCTGCAGGTTCTGATTTTATTATTGAAGTATCACGACCTGGGGCACTTAAGAAGAGGCAAAGGTCATTCAGTGAGCGTGAAATGATCTTGATAAAATACAAGCGAGAATTAACGACTAGTAGTTGACGCAAACGAGAATGAATGATTCCGTCGATAAATTGAGATAATATATTTTGAAGATGCCTCTACCAAGTATCCTGAGAAAAGCCAGCAGTTATATCCTGGGCGAAGGAGGTCAGGATACCCGTGGACACCTGTACCAGGATGGAGAGGTCCTCTTCTGCAAAAATAACGTATGTGTACATCCACCTACGCTTATGAGACAGCACTGTGACATCGTGCATCACCCTGGTTACATGACTGTGACATGTAAATTTAATAAGAACTCCATGGTACCAACATTACACCTTAGCTGGATACCTAATACTACTCTACGTAAACATCCAACTACCCTAGAAAACATAACTGTAAAAAAACAGGATGGAATTCTGAGAGATAATGATATAACATATCATATGCAGATTTCAGAGGAGAATTGCAATTCCAAATTCGATTACGAGTGTCCTCAGGAGAAAGTTGATGTTTGCTTGGAGGTCAAAGAAGTTGTAAATTGTGGGGATTGCGAAAGAGTGTGTTCAGGAGGATTTGCCAAGGTACTGAGAGGAGAGCTACGTAATAGTATTGTTACAGAGGTAAAGGAGACAGATGCTATAGAGACTCCTAATAATCATACAGCGAACAAGGACTCTTTGGAGAACTCAAAATGTCCAAAAACCAATGGTGATATCATCAGCAAAAACATGAAGGATGTCACTAAACAGGATGAATGTTTGGAGAGCATCTATGAGGAAAGGGAACGTGGTATTAATTTAAATTGTTTGCATTTTGAATCTTCTGTGACGAAACAACCTGAGAGGACTCTTTATGAGGAGCCAGCAGTTCTGGACCTAGACACAGTTCAGTCTGCTGCTTTTGACTATGACAGGAAGAGTTTTGATGAAAAAAGTATCAAAAGTCGGAGTATGTCTCTCACATCAACTTGTAGTTTCACAGTGACAGCCCCATCTGACAGTACGTAAACAATTTTAGTAATGTTCTCATAGATTATTATAATTACTTATCACTTGTTTCCTATAAATAGCTGAGGAATTTCCAACATGGATGAGGTCTCCTGAACTCCTAGCATTACAACACAACCTAACATTTCCTGAGAGTGCAACAGCTTCTCCGGTCACACTGCGCCGAGCTCATAAATGCAGAAGATTCTCCGTAGATTTAAATCAGATGAGGTCTTTGAGACTCTTCTTTGCTGATCCTGCATGCACTTGTGGGCAACTGGTAGTAGCAAGTAGAGAGAGTCAATATAAGATCTTACACTTCCATCACGGAGGCCTAGACCGTCTTGCAGCTACGTTACACCAGTGGCATCAGTTATTGTATCCGCGATTAAACGCAGAAGCTGAGGAAGTGCTACCTTACAGGTTAGTAACAAATATGGATTCCCTTGAATCATCTACATAAATACCCTTATGATCCAGGCACTTTATGGTGTGTCGTCCAGAGGTTACTCGGGATGAACTGCATCCTGAAGAAGGTCAGGTACCAATGATCACATCATTAGCGTGGAAAGATTTGTTAAATGAAAGGGGTCAAGTAGAGGATGACCTAGCTCTACGCAAAGGAATCTTTTTCGGTGGTCTCGAACCTGCCCTGAGAAAAATTGTCTGGCCATTCCTCCTGCATTGCTATTCCTATCAGAGTACATATGAAGAGCGTGAGCAAATAAATTTAATACGAAAGCAGGAGTACGAGGAAATAGAGAGACGGAGACTTAACATGATTCCCGAACAAGCTGAGCACTTTTGGAGAAATGTGGTGTGCATCGTTGAAAAGGACGTGATACGGACGGATCGTGGAAATCCTTATTATGCGGGGGAGGACAATCCAAACGTGGAAATCATGAAGTATGTAATCTCAATAAAGATATCAACTTATCAAATTCTATGTTATATATCGTAACTGATATTTTCTTAACATTAGGAACATTTTGCTCAATTATGCGGTCTATAATCCACGTCTGGGCTACACTCAGGGTATGTCAGACCTCCTAGCACCACTTCTGGCAGAATTGAATTCCGAAACTGAAGCCTTCTGGTGTTTCGCGGGCCTAATGCAAAGATCAGTAGCTGTGTGCACACCTACGGACATGGACATGGACAGGAACTTGTGCTATCTACGAGAACTAATAAGAATAATGGTTCCCGATTTTTACTCGCATCTCGAGAAACATACTGACGCTCTGGAGCTACTCTTTTCCCATCGGTGGATACTTCTTTGTCTAAAACGAGAATTTCCTACGGAAGTGGCTCTGGTCATGTGGGAGGCCTGTTGGGTCAATTATCTAACCGACCACTTCCATCTCTTTCTTTGCCTAGCGATTATGTGTGTCTATGCGGATGACGTTATAGCCCAGGATCTGCGAACTGACGAGATGTTACTGCACTTTAGTTCTCTAGCGATGTATATGGATGGAAATGTTATAATACGAAAGGCAAGGGGACTCTTACATCACTTCCGACAGCTGCTGCAATTGCCCTGCACCTTGGCGGGACTTTGTAGACAATGCGGACCAGGGATGTGGGACAGTAGTCATAATCCTGTTATCGTATGCGTAGGACATGGTGACGTGCAGTGCCCCTATATCGAAAATTATTAAGGTAATTGAACAATGATTAATTAGTGATTCATGATCAATTTCTAATCAAGTACTAATTTAAATACAAAATTGTTCACGTCTAGAAAAAAAAACCTTGGCTCTCCATCTTGAACGACCAAAATATAATGAAAACATTGCCAAGACATATCCAATATCAAGAACTCGTAAAAGATTTTCTACACGTTTTCATCAAAGATACAGCAGTGTAACGGAAAGCGGGGGAGCCAGGCCCAAAAACGCTTCCAACGTTAGAAGCTAGAATAATAATAAATACCTTTAGTACAAGATAAGACTGATATGCTCGGTTCAGAGATGGTATTCAAAGTGTACCCCAAGCCTCTCAGAGCTAGGGATAACAGAATGCTGCGAAAAGAGTAAAGACAAAAAGAGAAAGAAATTAAAAAGAAATACAATATCCTTAACAGGAAATCTGATCACTTAGAAATTGCATACATATACACAAATCACGAGATCACATAAAAATACAAATACATCATGATTCATTTATACATTTACTACATCAACCACTATTTCACTTGCATTATTTTAGTGCCAATTTCCAAGTTGAGTACTAGGTATGAGCGGCAAAGAATTCCTAATTGCAAAATCTAAAATGAAAAATATCAGATTTTATCAAACAATAAATTTTACATTGTAGGAACAAGAAAAACTATTTCTTTCGGTCAATTACTGATAATCGCACGTAATAATAACTTGGGAATAAGTGAACTCGTTAATGCGAAACAAAGCAGACACAAGAAAAAGTAGGTATAAAAGTTATGTGAGATTTTCCTTGTTTCCATTAAATTGTTTATCTATTTCTCACCTGTCTTTACTAACATAACTCTATTCAATTTCACTATTACGACACTAAATACTACAATTAATTAATAAATTCTTTTTTTTTCTAATTGACCGAATAATTTCTTAGTCAAAGCAACGTTAAAATTTTCCGATATACAAACAAACGTAAATATATATATTTAAAATAAATATAATCTCCTAAAAATTGTCGATCAAAGCTTACCTCTCGCTTATGCTATCTTAAGGAGAAGCAGTAGTCACCTTTGCACACGGTGCAAAAGAAATGGCCGTATGTAACGTTACATCAGAACATTACACGTGCCTACCTCATTTTGCACTTTGTGATAATGGAATAACGATTCTGTTTTAAATTCGTTGGAGTATTAAAGAAAAGTCTATTCGTGTTAAGTCATGCCACGCCTCAAGTCTATCGATACGAAATGTACATCTATGAAAATAAAGATTATACGAAAAAGGGATTACGTATTGTTAATGCAATTGGTAACCATTCCGTTACTTGAAAAATATACATGTGTATATTTTTATTAATATTCAACATTATGTATACACAATGTGTATAACATTGAGTAGTAGCACACGTGTCAGTGACACATATGCTTGTACATGGAATTCAGAGTACTATTGTCATCGTACTTTTTCTACATACATATAAAGACACGCTACGAAAAATTACAGTTTACTTAAGATAAAACTACTGCACAATGTTTTATAACAATCTTTACTTCATACGCTTGTTTTACTTTCTTTGGCAGTATCTTCTTCTTTCTCTCATCTTCGTGATGCTCTCATTTTTGTAAAAATATATTTATACACACAATAGTAGCATAGACCACGTAACAGCTATTATACTAAAATTATCTTTATAATGATCATACGTACGTTTTTAAGATAGCACCTTTTGTCAGTCTATGCACGTAGACACTTATGATTTTTTTTTTCGAGATATCAAGTACGTTTTGAAAAATTTGGACAGCACGTAGCACATCTTTATGTTTACTACAAAGATAGTGTTATATTCCAACTGAATTTTTGAACTGCTGCTACCCAGAACACGTTCCACTTATCGCCCGCAACATCGTTGTTTCTCTATCGAATACATTTAATACTTAAAGACACAACGATGTTGGGAGTGTTGCGGACGTTAAGTGAAACGCACCTCTAGTATGAATTTAATGTAATTTATCTAAAGTTTGCAGTTAAGATTCTTTGCCAGAAATTACACTTAGAACACAAAAATTAATTACTTGTAACCACCTGATGATTTTATCAAATACAGTCGTTCCATGAGTAAAACATTCTGTGGCAAGGATGGCCCCTTCAAAAACTATGTTACTCGTGGACAAAATATACATAGATTTGATGAAGAATGACAACATACAAAAGCCCGATCGCATTCTTATCTCATATAATCAATTTATAAATTTTATTTAACTGGGAAAAAAATTTACGACGATGACTATGATCATCGTGCTAAATGTAGTAAAAGCAATATACTTTTAAAAATAACAGAAAACAAATACGATAATTAGTTGATAAGTGTATAGTTTCTAATCAATTCAGAATCATTTGGGGTTCTCTTTGAAATGTATTACATTTACGATAAAAATCCTCATAAAAAGAAGAAATTAAACACACTAATACCTCATTAAATACTAAACTATGCCAAATTTTTTTACAGAATATATCTTCTGAAATATCATAGATCAAAGAAATACGAAAATCATTATACTGATTCCTAATTTAAAGTTCATTAACACATGCTCTTAGAGCAAAATAAAATAAGTAAAAAAAATACTTCAAGTTGAAAATATACATTCACACTATAATAAGATCATGTCTTATTTTCGTTCACATAAAACAAATAAAATTATATCTCAATTTTTAAAACCAAATGTATAAAATAGCTAAAAATAGTATATCACTTTCAAGCTATGTAATTTGGCTTGTACGATACGGATCCTGACCAGTGTCGTAGTATTGTCAACGTCTATCTCGAAGAAGAATCGAGCGAGAATATATATTTCAGGATATAATGAATCTTCCTGCAATCAGATCAATCTTCAAAATGCTCCCTGTAGCAGTATTGTCCTCGTGGAATGTTGTTCTTATGTACTATTCAACACTGTTTAGCTCAGTGAAATTGAGGGAAAATTGCACTTTCATAAGATTCACTGATACTAAAATCATACAAGTAACAGCCCAAAGGAGAACGAACCAAATCCAAAAGTTGCTACGAAATGGACTTGCAAACTTATTCACCACTCCCATGCCGATGACTTTATTTGTTTTGCGTCTTGCGTTGTATACCAAGAATGTTGGTATCAGGTACTGGATCCCAGCACCAGCATAGGACCCCGTAATCCCTACGAGGATGGACAGATCCTTAGTTGCCATAGCGATGAGGTACGGCGGTAGTATAGCCAGAACAGGAAAAATGAGTTTACAGAAGCAGATATTGTAGTTGGCATCTTCAAAAAGGAATAGCGACTGCAGGTTATTCCTCAGAGTAATTGCAATGATCGGGAAGCTTGTACTAAGGGTGAACACTGGGAACAATGCTAGGAAGTATTCAACAATCAGCATTGGCAGATTTGTGCTCTTGGAACAGTCAGCGGAGCCTCTTGGACCGAAGTCCAGAGTATAGAGATCGTCCAGGTGCTCAAACGCGAAGGCTCCAGTCAGAGCCAGTAGAAGATAGAAGATGGCTATCAGCGCGTAATCGAAGGCAAGTGATCTGTTGATAGTGGATTTATTGGATATCGGCGCTACCAGAGCGGGCAGGGAATGGTGGCACATGAAAGAGTAAACGCAGGCTCCAAAAAGACCAGGAACTCCTAAAAGAAACACGCTGTTAGGCAAATTTAGCGATATATATACATATATAACAAACGCATCTGAGCACAAAGTTGTGATTAATGGAGCGTGTCTATGCGCCTGTATATATGCAAATATATCCTTCATGTCCTAACTACTGATGATTAAATTTATACTAACCCGATATGTTAGCGGTCGGAGGGTTGCCCTGCGGTCCATCTACAATTAATTTTCTTGCGGCATATACTATCATAATCGTAAATGCCAGCCATCGCATTGGGGAAGTTAAAAGTTGCAAATACTTTGTTTTTTGTATATTGAAAAATACAAAAGGCCCCAAGAACATTATGAACATCGTCTGTAAAAAATGAACAAAGTAATTAATTTCCTTCAAATGTGTAGATATCCATGCAGATATCCATGTAGATAAATATGCAACAGATAGCATTTGAATATTGTATAAGAAATGAAATATATGTACCCATTACCTGTACTTTTTACAAACACTTTTTTGGATTGATAATAATAAAAAAAGAATACTACTTACCAAGAACATTCTATAAGCATCCAAACGAGTCATTTCAGAACCATCCCAGCACAGCTCAGTATCAGGAATAGTATCATTGCAAGTAAGATTTTTCGGTTGGTATGTACATGCAACATCACCTAAAGATTTAGCAACAGCAGTAGCATAGATGCTCAAATCACCATATAAATAAACAGCAAAGCACAAGTAGAAAAGACTGATTCCTAATTTGTTGAAAAATATTGATGCCATCTCGCCCATCTCTATTTTGTCATGTATAAGATAGTATCGGTATGTCATATTCAATCGATCGGGGCTTGTTGGCAGGTTAACAACGAGAGGAGTATCTTCAGAATCAGAATTTGATGTTCCAGACTCTCCAAGATTCTGAAGTGTCTGTAATTTAAACATAAAATATATATATAATAGCACTAGGAACTTTATAGTGCAACTCAAATAAAAGCAGTCAACTTGACATCCCATTGTTAATGAGCTCACTTCAGCCTAATTGTACAAATATTCAGGTGAAAGTTTAAAGACCTCTATATCAGAATCATGGGATGATGAGTCTTGTAAAAAACCTACACGTTTACGTTGCTGAATTCGTCGCCAAGTAATTATAGCATTCGCTGAGGCCATAGTTTCAATAACAAAAGTTACTGTGACGAAACTGCAAATACATGACATTTATTACAACCACTGATAACATTATCAATGTACATATGATTATACTATATACTAAATACCTTATAAAAGCAAGTACTAAAATAACTGTTAATCCAAGGACCCATCCTGCTCGACTGAACACAGCAGGCAGTGTCAATGCTCCTGTACCAATGATAAGATTGAAAACATAAATAAGCCCAACCTGCAATAAAAAATGTAATTAAAGTATTTAAAACAGTTAATAACATTCTAGTAGCTCACTCCAAACACAGGTTGAGCATAATATGTTTGATATTTTAATATATACCCAGGTAGAGTACTGATCCGCAGAATTCTGTTCAGGCATCTTGATGAAGTTGTGTGCACTGAGAAAATTCTTAATACACTAAACGCTTTCTCTGTAATATTCCACGTGTCAGAGAGTTCACTGTCAATACCTCTTATCTCAGGAATGTATACATTACTGGCACGAAAATAAATAGTAACACGTTTACATCTTAACACGTCACATCACATAAAATCTGAAACATATTCCTCCTTGTCAATCGAAGATAACCATGTTGCTTCTATCAGGAATATTGCAAAATACCCATGGCACTCAGGGCCGTAATCAGCTGGTCCGTAATGATTTGATCGTACTGTTTCATTTTTATTCAAATGGAAGTAATAAACCAATCCAAAAATATTTTTGTCGTAAAAAACGTTAAGCCAAATGGTAATTAGAAAATGATCTAAGAATATATTTAAGATATTAAATGTTGAATACTTTTCAATATACACTCCTGATAATCTTTGCCTGATACAGGAGGAAAAAACCTAGAACATTTCAGACCATAGCGATTATTAGCCACTGACGAAAGATATATTAATATAATGCTATCAGACAATTCTACATATATTGCACCGTGTTCAATGACTAATGGACTCTTGCAATCATATTTTATCAACATTCCAAGAATTTAAAAGACCCGACATTCTGCAGTGTAATAGGATTCCGTGAATGACACGCACAGCAGAAAGCAGTACCGCGTCGAGTCTCAGATGTATCTAAAAAATGAACCAATAGGAATTGAAAATCTATAAAGGTTTGTTGAAAATAATTTTATTGGATCGAAAATATAAACCTAATGCTTAGAATAATTATAGTATCAGTTCTCATTTTAGTTTAAATCTTAGGTTACGATAGAATGACAATGATAATGAAAGATAGATAAGCTAGTGACGAGTAATGGCACGCTAAATAGATTGAAATTAAATAAAAGATAATAAATCAAACGTGAAAATAGAAAATTTAATTAATTTTTATTGATTGTACCTGATTGCAAAATAATATATTAATGAATAAGAATGGTCCATTTACGAATTCCCATAGAAATATGGAGTACTACACTTATTAACTGTAAGAATTCACGGATCATAGGTTATATGTATAGCACGTATAAGCCAAGAAAAAACAGAATAAGTCAATACAATGTTTTTAAGATTTTTATTTTATAATCCCATAAGTCTAAAGTAGTCTTTAAGTTGTGTACGTGAGTGGTCTTGCACAATACAATGGGAATAAATTATAATACTTTGGCTACGCTTGCGGGGTCGAAACCGTGTTATTGTTATTATTAATTTGTAATGAAAAGAAAGACAATAGACGTACATTACAAATCAATAATAATAATATTAATGATGATGATGACAGGGTTTGTTGCCTTACGTTTTTCAAAAAGGGTTACGATCGGTAACGGTACAAAATAGGAAGAGACACAAAAATAATTCGCATGATAAGAGTAAATTAGGAATGTTGGTGATAGGGCCAGATCTGTGCAAATTCTGATCTGACAAGATGGAATGTGATGGCTGTAACCAGGATATCGAGGAAGAGGATGACGAGAATGAGAGGAAACTCGCACTGCAGAAACTCTTTCTGCGTTTGTGAAGTGTTTAGAAGCACTTCCTGTGGACGATGGAGGGACCGGACTCGTCGTACTCCTGCTTGGAGATCCACATCTGCTGGAAGGTAGAAAGGGAGGCCAGGATAGATCCTCCGATCCAAACGGAGTATTTCCTCTCAGGTGGTGCGATGATCTTGATCTTCATGGTGGATGGTGCAAGGGCAGTGATCTCCTTTTGCATCCTGTCGGCGATGCCAGGGTACATGGTGGTACCTCCGGAGAGTACAGTGTTAGCGTAGAGATCCTTACGGATGTCGACATCACACTTCATGATAGAGTTGTAGGTGGTTTCGTGGATGCCGCTGGCTTCCATACCCAAGAATGATGGTTGGAAGAGAGCCTCAGGACAACGGAATCTTTCGTTGCCAATGGTGATAACCTGACCATCAGGAAGTTCATAGCTCTTCTCAAGGCTAGAAGATGATGCTGCAGTAGCCATTTCTTGTTCAAAGTCTAGAGCTACGTAGCAAAGCTTTTCTTTGATGTCACGGACGATTTCACGTTCGGCCGTGGTGGTGAAGGAGTATCCTCTTTCAGTCAGGATCTTCATGAGGTAGTCGGTCAAGTCACGACCAGCGAGATCCAAACGAAGGATGGCATGGGGCAGAGCATATCCCTCATAGATGGGTACAGTGTGAGATACACCATCACCAGAGTCAAGTACTATACCAGTAGTACGTCCAGAAGCATAGAGAGACAGTACAGCCTGGATGGCTACATACATCGCCGGGGTGTTGAAGGTTTCAAACATGATTTGAGTCATCTTCTCACGATTAGCCTTGGGGTTAAGAGGAGCCTCCGTCAAGAGAACAGGGTGTTCCTCAGGAGCAACTCTAAGCTCATTGTAGAAGGTGTGGTGCCAGATCTTTTCCATATCATCCCAGTTGGTAACGATGCCGTGCTCAATGGGATACTTCAGAGTCAGGATTCCTCTTTTGGATTGAGCCTCATCACCAACGTACGAGTCCTTCTGTCCCATACCGACCATCACACCTTGATGACGGGGTCGGCCGACGATGGAGGGGAACACGGCGCGAGGTGCGTCGTCTCCGGCGAAACCGGCCTTGCACATACCGGATCCATTGTCAACTACGAGTGCGGCAACTTCTTCGTCACACATGTTTAGTCTGTTGTGGAGTTAACTGGAAAGAAAAATATATATATAAGCATTGTACAATCAGTATATCATCTTTACATATACTATATACTTTTTTTAAGGTAGCTATATACCGATAATTTGCGCCATGAGAATGTTTATTTACATAGCAATAGTCAGTTTTATTAAACGCTACTAATGTTATTCCTTGCCGACCACCGCTTTACTGTTGAGTATATTCAGTGTCACGTCATGTTATTCAAAAAGTATTTCAAGATGGCGGCCGTTGAAGTGCCGACGCTCTGGACAAGACTATGTGCTTATGGCATATATCTCAGTATATCCTCTCATCGCAAAGAAATTTTTAAAAAATACCATCAAATTATAAAACTGCAAAACGTAAACGAAATATTTGTGTCGGTAAATTTGGAAAACTGTATGAAACATTCAAAATAGATGCGGATTACATCAAGCACATATTGCCCCGCCCAAGCAGGTACACGGAACGGTCAATACCCGGCGAATCGTATAAGTAGCACATTTAAATTTCATCCAAGATTTAGATCTTTTACGAGAATATCTTGAACGTAGAGAAAGCAGCACTCGAAAAAAATTAACATTGCAATCAGTAACGTTCTGAACTTTTCAGACCTATACGATTTTGTTCTGACACAATTAAGTGATCAGCCACTTTCTTATCCTCCATTTAGAAGATAAGATTTTAAACGAAGTATGATCACTAAATTTAGAAGGATTGGTGAAGGCAAATCGTGGGAAGAGGATCACAGAAACACACCAAATATGGAACCACGTATCCCAAGAGTATCGTGAACACACCCACTTGCCAATTACATGCTCGTAGTATGTATAACTATTCAAAGTAGCGAGCTGCTGTATATATGAGAAAAACCCACACACTGGTATCGCCTAATAGGTATCACTGGTAAGTTTTGTGAATTTCCCGGCGACTTCACGGATGGAATAGTAGCGGATAAGAAAAAATGCCAAATGAAGAAATCGTTTGAAAGGGGAAAAAAAACTTAAATATGACGCTGTTCGTTAAAACACAGCAGATGAAAACTTGCGAGCGGAACTTACGTTTTCGTGTAAAAAAATATGTACAAGTTAGGAAGAGCTTGGTTCACTACAGACTGCCGCACAGTCGAGCCAATCTAGCACCAAACACAGAATGTACTGGAGAGACCGGTTCACAGTGTATTATATGAACAGAGCCGTTGTTGCTCTCCCCACCAAGAAACTCTCAACCAATAAGGGCAGGACACCCTCGGCCAATCCCGGCTTTCTTTACCATATATGGTAGTGCTCTGCCACCATCCGTTGGGGGCCCCCACCCTTCTTACTGTCACCATCCTGCGACTCCCCCACGAGCCATCTGATGGGAGAACGCATCAACCAAATTGACCGAGGCTGGACGATCTCGATTACGTACGAATGCCTTACCGATTTCTCGATTTCCCGATTCCCAATGACGTTTAGTATATTACGCACTCGTTTTATGCGAGAGTAGTACGATGCTGCAGCGCACCTTTAATGGATGAGTAATGTCAATTGGCTCTTTTTTCTCTCCCTCTTTTCATTTTTTAATCATTCAAATAGGAAAATAACAATCATTTCCGCTCGGATGATTTTTGATTCTGTGCCAGTCGGTCAATCCAATTTACGTTCTACACCTCGTGTTCACGCACAAAGTCTCTTTTTAGCTTTTTTCCCTGCACATTCTAACCTATTTTGGTACGATCACGTGCGACGTCATGATTTTTATTGCAATCGAATGCTAAAATAAGGTATATTGCTGATGCTTTAAAAAGCAGTGTAGTGCGAGATTTGAAATTCGTCACCAAGAATATTTTTAAGCTTTACTACATGGAAATTCATAACGATAATTTTTATGACTAATACTTTGGTATAAGATGAAATTTTAGTATTATCAAGAAGACTTTATAATCGCGTTTTTCTTTTAATCCCGGTAGGTTAGTTTAGTTTAACTTGCATGCCTAACGTTACAGACGTTACGTACGTTACGGTCGTCTAATAATAAACGCCGTGCCGTCAACCACCTTACGCTACTTCAAATATGTATACGTCAGAAACAGCCACCTAGAGGAATCCGACAACCTGTCAGATCTTTAGCAGAATCCTTTCCAAGCCTCTGGGTAAAACAGCCGACAATATTAATATCGTACTACAAGTACAATTATTCTTAAAAAAGGATGCCACGGGAGAGCAACGCCCTGCTAAAACATCATGGCGGTCTCGCGCACAAAGCCGGCTTAAAGACGATGGCGTCGCATGCGGCACACCATGCTGGGCAAGAAAATCCCAAAAGCTCTGACAATAAACCGGAATGAAAAAATTCGAACGAAAAATTTTACGAGATAATTATATTTGATCACTCACCTCTTGTGCTCGACAGTAAAGGAACAATGAGGTTATGTTCCCAAAAAAGTGACCAGGGTTGGAGACGTTAGCGTAGAGAAACAGTGACACGATCAAAAGACTCGTGAGGTCTAGGAGACGTCAGAGAGACGGTTGCGAGGACTGTGAGCAAAATCCTCGAGGCCGGATCGTAATGGACCTGCCTGTCCGTAGGTATGGTTGGCAGGAACGTGAGTATGGGTGTGTGGGATCAGATGCGAACGAGAGAAATCGTAATGGCGGATGCCGATTGAAAACGCTTGTCTTATGAAACTGTCCTTTTTCCTTTCAGTTAAAGAAATCTCTACACAGATTAACGATCTAGAAACGAGTATGAAAACAATACATTCTATTGGCTATCTTTTATTTTCATGTCTGCTTTGATGTTTTTGTTGAGGATGAATTTTGCTATTCCTATCGCATCGGCCATGTGAAATGTAGTCAACTGAGCGACTAGACAGCAGTGGGCTGATCTGGGTGGTTGACTGTCTACCGAACACCCCCGATGAATCCATCAGAATGGACTCGTCCAGAGTGGCTCGCTCCCTACCACTCGGATTCACAGCTCTTGCCATATATGGGCATAAAACGAATGCTGACATCTGATTGGTCCGCCTGCCGGCTGCCGGCTAGATTCTCCAAATGCCGCTCCAAACTGTACGATACTCTAAGCATAAAGACTCCTGGAAGCGTACACTAGCACACCTAGCTATACGTACTTACTAAACGGTGTCCTCGTTGTGTAAGTCTATCTTAAATGTCTGCGCGTATGCACGCATAAATAAATGTGCCTGTGTGCCTTCTTATACGAATAAAGGCGCTGCTTATATCGTACGAAACTCAATACGTAGTCATCGCATTGCTAAGCGTCTTGGCTAGTTCCTGTACCTGGGTAGAAGAAGATAGAATTTTACACAAGATAAAAGAGTTGCCTAATAGAATTTTATCTAGAAAGTTAACCAGAGTAGGCAATTTTGCAAAATTGTAAAGACTTAGTCAACAGTTCATTCTTTCTTTTCCTTAAAATTTTGGTACAAGACTTCCTTGATGTAGGTTGAAAATTCGGCATAACAATTTTAACAAATATCTTAAGTTCATATTGGAGGTTATCCGTCATGTCTGGCAATCGAACACGGTATTGTAACGTGGCTGTCCTGACGTAATCTGTCCAACATTCTACAACGATAATGAGGCAGTCAGTAGGTACCTGCTCTTGAGAATCCGCTGCGGGGAAAGCGTCTTAGATAACCCAAAAAAATAAAATCCTATACAACCGACAGGGTACAGCAACAAACAGCAGACTTATCTGCATCCTGAGCGATGTGCCCAAGGGTGTCTGTTTTAATGCATTTGAGAATTTCCTGGAGCCTTCTTCGTCTTTCTCTTTCAACCATTCTCTCTCGTAGCATAGTCTCTCTAAAAATAGATTCAAGGGCGCAGGCCTTGGTGCACTGGGCTAACCGCTACGTCACGTAGGGTCTCCCTTTTTCTCCCACATCCATCTAAACTCCTATCTATGACCGAATACATTAGTGTGCGGGAATCCGACAGCCTAAAGTCTAGTAAAACACAGACACTCAACACCCAATACATGGCAGACATAAGTGCAGAACCGTCTCACCAAGAATCAATATCCGTGCAGTTGCTGCGTCAGTGCCAACTTATCCGTCCACCACGTGGCTTAGTGGATTTGGCAAAAAATAGGAAGTTCAGTGCCATCCTGCACGAAGTAGCTACTACGTACATAGATGCACACCCAAGCTCGATACAAATGACAGAGATCGACAGAGATGTATCCTGGTGTCTATGGCCTCAACGCTGAACCTTGAACTCAAGATACTTGTTGCCCTTAATCATCAAGTAACATTATTGAATAAATAATCGTACAACGTATACCGCGTCTACTACCTACCAGTATCTAACATTATATCTACTTCGTAGTATACCTATTCTGTTTCCTTATTGCTTAGATCTTCGCGTCCCAGCTAATTCACCAGATCTAAAACAGTACTTCCAGCGCTCTTCAGGTACGTTGAACTTAGCCGGGTATTCTGTATTGATTTCACTGGAGTTCCCAGAGACCGAGCCAGACTTTGCGTATAACCGAACCACGTGGAGTTGTAACGCCACCGCGTTACTCCGAGACACGCCCATCCTCACAATGACGATGACAACGATCTGCATGAGGTCACAGGATACATGCAATTTTTATAGGTTAGAGATTTGGGAAAATTTAATAAATTTGTAAATGTTTGTAAATGAGGTTAGATTGACGGATGGGCGGACAGATTGACGGTAAGTCACTCGATCACTTTCACTTAAAATAACAACCAATGACTAATTCGACGTCTCGAAAATCTATATTTGATTCTCACTACGTTTCGTATTGTCGAAGACTTAGCACACTCATAGAACATAATCGGTTAATCATTATGCCAATGGCACGAGCGGGGCCTTACGCAAGGCCGCGGAGACCTTGACAGGGTCCTTATTTGGAAGACAAGGTCGTAGCGGGTGCAGGCCATTGGGTTTTGAGGACGGCCACCTTCTTACCTACTACTAGTACCAGTAGTAGTAGTTGTACCAGTGGCACCTATCACACATGCCGCTATCTATCATGTGTTACTCGCAGCTATTAATAATCTTATGTCGACCATATTTAGTTGCAATTACATTTCGACCCTGTGAAAACCGACCTCGATCCTTCATCACACAATTATGCACGTGCAAGTATATAGCGCAGTTTCGATTTCTTTCTAAATCTATGAAATATATATATATATGTACGCGCAAGCTCAGTATCTCTTCACTATATTTAGATATTACCCAAGATGAATGATGTTAATGCGATGACGAAATAGTGACGGTTAATGATAAGAATATTTTGTCTGAGACAAACGTATGGGTCGGGTCTTCACGTATGGAAATGTTTTACATCAGGAGTCATCGATGAATACAACCGAATGACTTTCTACGTCAGAACGGATGATCAATAACTGACAATTCTTGGAGTTGATATTAATTCTACAAGGGTCCCACCCCTCGATGGATACGTCACTGCGTGAGATCATACGCGCGTCGATGAAAGTACAGTCGTTCGTACGTTGGAATTGTTCAAAGAAGGGGGACGCGAGATATTATAGAGATGGGAGGGGGGTAGAGGGGCGGTGAAGAGAATGGTTCATCCGATGCAGATTTCATTCGAGGCCACGTTCCGTTCCTGGAAGTGATCCTGAATTCCGTGGGAGTACTCAGGAGTACTTCCGGTTTTTCCTGAAAACAATCCTGTCGCATGATTATTATCCCAATGAAGCATATAGCACATATCTGCATATTATATGAGTATGGAATTCAAAAATCAAGTTAGATACATTTTGTCTATACAAACTACACTACAACGTATATTTACTATTACTCAATATTTATGGATCATCAGACGACATGGGACGTAAAAAATACACTAGTTAGAACCAGTTGAATAATAGTTCCAAAATGGCATCGCATAGCCTTCCCCTAATGTGCTCGTATATGCATATATCTACGTATGTACTTGGATAGCGAGGATCAACCTTGCACGAGCAGTTGTGACCCAGAACCAGTGTATACAACCGGTACCAGATACATAAGTAAGTCTACGCGTATTTTACCGGTTGCTTACGCTCTTGACTTCGATTCTCAGACATATATGACCATTTCATTTGTACAAGTACGTAAGCACGAGAGAGCGCTTTATACGTTAACCGACGTATGTAAATGAATAGGTGGACTATCCTCGAGGAATCGGAACATGGCCATTCCACGGTTCGCAATGATTCAAGTAAAATAATTATCAAGAGAAGTGTGTCTGCTTGTAAGACAGGTGGGGACCGTGGCGCCATATTGTTTTCTTGTATGGTATTCAAATCCTTTTATTATTCCATTCAGTACTTAACTTCTCTCTAAGCTTTTTCCATGTCCAGTGTCAAGTTTTGTGGCTACACGCATTTCCGTCTGGAGTCGACTCTGGTTTAACGTCGTTTTATCTTATTCGCGATGCAGATCTTCCGTCTACTTTCAATGGCACGAAGAAAAAGTCAGAAGAATTATACGCGTTATCCTTTAGACAATATGAGACGCGTGTGTTAAATGCATTGGACGTGCTTATTGTTTGTTAGACAAAAAATATTATTCATTTCAATCGTATCTTTTTTTTAATGGGATATTACGTAATATCGTATACACTCTGTACGAATTAAGATTAAATCCATGGGTAGCCATGTCGACGACCGGTTCGGCAAGTTCAATGTCGAGTACATGTAGAAGCGTATACGAGTGTATGGACAGTTATAACAGTTATACGTAAAGTTAGATACGTGTGAAAAAATACATAAAAGCCAAAAGTTTATCGACCTTTAGATAATCCTACAAACGGATACCAATTCGATGGGAATACTATTTGGTTGTGAAACCTTACTTCCGGTCGATGTATAGGAGAGTATACGAATATTCGTGTAATGTATATGTTCGGAATATTTATAAAGCATGAGTGATCTTAGGGCTGACGTTAAAGTTAATTTCTTACCAATTGGGCCAAGTGCGATTCTATTTATTGAAGAAAGTAGGCTATGCGGAGACATCGGTTTCCTGCGTTAAGTATAAATATACAAATCAGCAAAATGCTAATGACGGTTTCCTTGCCGCAGGATTCTAACCTCTCCTTACGTATTCCAAGCTTGTAAGTCTGTACGTATTTTTCAGTCAAATGTTTCGTGTGCTACAAGAATATTTGGTACGTTAACCAATGGCTGTGGGATATATTGACAGTTATTCGAAGTTGAAATGTTGTCCGGTAGAAATTCTTTATAAATCCGCGCGAGAATAGCAAGAAAAAGATTAATACATTGTTGGCAGCAGTTGACAGCGGAATCTTCCGACTCCAAACTGGAAGAGCAAGTATAAAGTTATTGAATGATGATCGTGTAGCTTCGGGTGACGACCGACGCCAACCGAGGGCGTTCGGGACGCAATGGCGCCGACATAGATATATCGTAGACGTCGCATGGTGTCTCGTACGTGAATGGTGAAGAATGAAACAGTCTCGAGGGCAGACGCCTAGACGGGAAGAACATGACAGGTTTGGAAGAAATGGCACTCTTGGATATATAGGTAAGCGTGTAAAGGATATAGAATCTAAGACGTAAAAATTTAAGGGATTCAATGATTTAAAAAAACGCAGGCAATGCTAGACAAATGTTCATTGAATCTATAGTCAAGGATTATGGAATTGACACATCCTGTACTCGTATACTTATAACTTCATGTACAGGGTTATTCAACAGTATCGTACCCACCCGAAGCATGATACAAATAGACCCGAAGATAGTTCTACTATAGTAACCAAATAGACCGGCTAACTTAACGCAATACTCCTGAATAACCCTATATCGATAAATATATGAATGCAATAAGTTATAATATTTCACTAGCAATTCGCGCGTTGCTCCTGTAGATGTCATGATACATTTTTCGCAGATTTTAGTCTTTTGTATAAGGTCTGTGATTACGTATTTTTACTTTTATCCTTACAAGTATTTTTTTTTTAATTTCAGTTCTTTCATCATGGATATTCAGCGAATGAAGATGCAATCTCTCTTGGGAGATTTTCATTTCGTTTTATTACCTCTCACCTATGCTGTTCCAGCAATACTCTCAAATGGCTATGCACCCTATACGTTCTACATTCCTCAGAGTTCAAGTTCGCTCGAGAGTGAGGTCACGTTCTACAAGTTCGAAGTGTCATTCGAAGAATCGTACTGAGAAACCGAAGCCTTGTGAAATGAGAGTTTTACGTCTTGCGGATTTGCCCTGTCATACCTCGTCCATGTGCAAAGGGCGGATACGAGAGAATAATTGAAAATTAGCAATTTAAATTAATGAAATCTCTTAATTACGTATTGTCAGAAAGTACGAGAAACACGCTTATACATGGTTATAAGAATTCGAACGTGGGAATATATAGATTAATTTAGAGAAAACCTAAGTTTTCTCTTTGTCCAAAAGAAGAGAAAGAAGAATAAAACTCAGACAATTATTTTTCTCCTCTTCAGTTAGATTTGTCACTTTCTGGCATCTCGCCAAATTCTAATTGGCTGACCTTTGCCATCTTATTTTTTTCTCTCTAAGAATATCATCTGACCTTGTTATCCTATGCCAATAATATGACTATTTGAAGAAATGACCCTGTTGAGAATCCTGTACTGCGACTCACAATTTCAAGTCCTGTCTATAGTATTCAGGTATAGATATATTCCTGATACTCGTATACCTATATATCACGCGTGCACGTGTATGCCCAAGAATACATAAACGAAGAGTAAGAATGAAGAGTGCGGTTAAGATGAGAAAACCTGCTTCTTAGCAGGCAGGCCACCTGTCGACCCGTTATACCAACTTCGACGTTGGAATAACTTCGCTTCTTGCGCGAAGATCTTCGCGATGCCAGCGCGCCTGTATTGCGCCATTGCAGGGATACGATTAAGTATTTTCATTCATGCCAACATTATGGCCCCTTACAAACAGGTACGATTGTCAGAAAGATAAAGAAAAAGAATTATTTTTAATGATTTTGCATCAGTATATCCAGATACCATATCGTCTTATTTTTTTGTGTCACGCGGTCACTGGTGCATAATGAAATTTCGATACTGCGTTCTTATTTAAAAGGACATTAAAATTATCAATTGTGATATTTAAAAAGGTAACTGAGACGCACTTAACAGGAATTCAGAGCACTGCCAATTCGATGACAACAGGCTGAGATAATATTGTACTTCAAAGAGTATTACAAAATACGATCAGTGTTTTAAACTTGTCGAAACACATGATGCAATTTTTTAATTTATTTTACTTCGAGCCATCGCTACTTTATAAAAATAGTATTAATTTGTAGTCCGTTAAAATCGCGTCGTCGGCAGTCGTAAATAAGAAATATAGTATTTCATTCTGTAAAACGCAATAGATCTGAACATGTCGAAATTGATCTGTCAAAAGTAAAATTGCGCGTAATTTGAATGATGATTTTTTACATCCACGTTTCTTGTTGAATATCATTGTAGCTCTACTGTGTTTTTACTATGGTTTCATGCTACATCTTGCAAGCCATTTCTCATTGATTGGATATAGGTACTCTTAATTATTCCCAGAGACCTTGTGGGTGGTATCCAGTTTCCATGTGGTTGACACATCCCTGTCACGCGTGAGTCATCCTCCAGGGACTATGTTAGACGATATCCCAATAACGTACACTGACCCAGCTGTCCGCAGTACCTTCCTGCACTATACTGTTGCACCTCCATTATATTTATAGAAACATCTGTTGTTTGTCTCTCGTTCGTAAAACGACTGCTTCCTTAAATCGCATAATTAATCGCGTATAGACAATATTTTCTAAAAGAAGCCACACGGTCGCTTAAGAGACATTCCCAAGATCTTTGGGCGCCACACTCTTCTTCGTTATTTCTTTTTCTTTTAGCCCAATCCCGGATATCAAGTGTTGGATTTGCTTCTGGTTGTCCCCTTTTTTCGTAGCTTTCAACCTTTTTTTTTTCTCCTAACGAAGTCCGTGAGATAAAGTGAGTCTGGGGGAAACGGAACGTTAAAATATGTATCATATAGGATACATCGTAAATGACCGATGTGAACATTCGCTAATTTATTATCTCGACGATAAAAATGATAACGAAATAACTTCTTCCTTGTAATACGATAATCAAAATGATAAATCTCATATCTAATAGTTTTGCGTAATTCAAACAATCATCAGTTGTTAGAAATCTTAATACCTGAAGATCTTAGATACAAAAATAAATTATTAACGTCGGCTTGGAAACGTATGTACTTGTGTAGTTCGCTGAGATATACAAATTCGGACAAGAGATAAATTACATATGTAAAAAATGTCAAATTCACATGTGAATCCTTAGTAGAGTATTGCAACCAAAAAGTGCACTTTCATGATGTCTATCTGTATATACGCACAGATGTATAGAACATCTACATGGGGATCGATGAGAGACGTCTGCAGTCTGCACCACGCCCAACCTGGGGGGGTTGACCCACCATGACTCACGCCATGGAAAGTAGATATTCCATGGGATCCAACCCCCATAGAAAACCATTCCATTAACAGAAAAGTTGTAGTAGTAGGAGTAGTAGTAATAATAATATTAGTAGCAGTAGTAGTAGTAGTAGTCAGGCCAATGATTGTAGCGCGTGTAGTATATCGTGACTCGTGCAGTGTTATGTGTATGGATGAATATCTATATACTGCAACACATATGTACTCCCACACAATAGGTTCAGAAAGTGGGAGAAAAAATTAGAGACCATAAGGGTGAGATTTCAGACGGGGCCGATTAAAGGTTAGGTTCGTTCGAGTTGGGTTAGGTCAGATTATATAGGCTTGCGCTATAAAATTATATAGGAGAATCAGATGATTTTGAAAATTTTTACAAAAGGAAATCACGACCGAAGTCCAGCAGCATTATTCGTCTTTACCGTACACGTGCCAGATGAAGCGATAGAGTTAGAATCCGGAATTTCTTATTTTTTTCTGCTTATTTCCGAAATTCAAATACCTTTCGTAGCAACGGTTCCTCGTGAACTATTGCACGTCCGTTATTCGCGAAACGGTTTCGCATAACAAATTAATAGAATTCATATTACTAATTGCTCGCGGAGCCCGCAATGCGCTTGTTAGCGCACATGTAACCATACCAGTTTAAATTGGCTGCTATAGCGCAGTCGCTGGGACAGGACCCAATTTTCTGTTGGGTTCAAGTACCTGCGTATCTGCAAGTCGAAAAAATAACGAGACTCAAAGTCGAGGAAGCTTCTAACCTGAAATAAGACAGAAGAGAAATATCATTTCCCGATACACTTTTCGATTAAACCTAACCTCTTTTAATCGTCAGTAATCTGTATTCCTAAATATGATAACAGCAATGAATAACGAATAATAATTGACACCTGAAAGTATTCCATATAAGTATTCAATTCCTGATAAGATAAACAGTTGTGGATAAATTCGAAACTTCTACTATCTTAATCCTACTACTTGACCACGTGGCGTTAGTTATCGTTGGTACAAGGCCAGTAATACCAAAATCGCTTACGTGTCTATAGAATCAATTTCAATTTCTTCTAAGACCCGTCAAAAAAAAGGGAAACAATTTGAAAAGTGTACGTCCATCGATTTTGACAATGAGGTGATTTTAAACAAGGTCACGAATACAAAATGGCCCCGACCATGCTCATGGATGCGCCCTTCTATCGGTGCGTCTGTCGGTCTTTGATAGCTGGAGAAATTGGCTGTGCCAAAGTCATTGACTTCGTGGCTTGGTTTAATTGACTTGGTAGCGCGGTAGTCAGCCAGTCAGGCAGGCGGGCAACAGAAGAGGCAGTGACTAGCAACGAGAGATCTTTTCACAGCGTGCGAATCAAGGCCACTGGCGTGAATGTACGCGGGATATGGATGTATACAGTCTCACAATCAGGGATATACAGGGACGTCTACCTGCGCTCGTGCATATTTCATACGTATACGAAATACGATATCCTCGCGACGATATATATATATATATATATATATATGTATACATACATAGGTAAGGTACACTGTCTCCCAACTGCAAATTTTAACGTGGTTGCCACGTAGAGACAACGTCTTGTCTCGGTAGAGAAATACGAACGTTTTGATATTTGATTTCTTGTAAGCAACGCGCATACGTAAGTAAATGTTTGATTGTTCTTCCCTACGTCTTGATTTTGTCCGGTGTAATTTGACAAAACCGTTCTTTCAGGGTATAATTTTACAAAGCGGTTTTCACCCGGTATAGATACTGCAGATACTGTGAAGTGGAAGAGGACTGATTTTGTATCCAGAGTCACTTGGTAATCTTTGGTGTCGACCACGAGAACAGGACACCGGACTTTATCTTGCGGATGCGTGTATCCTACGCTAGATAAAGGATTTCCAGTTTGTTCGCTATATCATGCGGTTTTCGTTCAATACTTGTCCTCATATATTTCCTGAAATCTATATGCTTCTTGTACGAGAACCTTTACGCACCGTGTGTGTATACCCTTATATCAGGCGGGGAGGATAATTACATATGCACAGCTGATGTATGAAGATACGTGTAGATACGTCTATTTCTAAAAGCAAGTTCAAAGAGAGTAAGAGTGCAGAGGTGGATTTAAAAGACTAAGGTAAAAGAGAACATTTAAAATATTATTTCTAAAGTGTCCTTTCTAAAGGGGCCACTTGTACAGATTAGATATGTTAAATCTCCTTGGTTATACATACGTGTTTGTATCTATAGTGCATTCGTATTAAGGTAGTCCCAAGTAGCTATAGCCTAGCCAAATAAAGATACGTGGTGAGAATCTTACCATATAAGAATACGTGTCATGGCTCCTATATATGTACTATATGTGCTAGTCAGAGTATATCATATCGTCCGAATATTCTTAAGGTTAATTCTTAGCGAGAAACTGAATGGATCTAATGGTTTATATATACAAGATGAAATTAGTAAATGATCGTGAATAGGAGAAAGAATACATTTTTTTTTATATCTGCTAATGGATGGAACATGGAAGTGAACTTACTTTTCGATTTTTTAAGATATGTCTAGACTGTTGCAAAGATATCATTGAATGACGAGAATAAATGAGGACACTTTGGTATCCGATCAATACATTATACGAAACATATGCGACAAATAAACTTTAAATGTGATTTATTACATTGTATACCATTGGTATTTAAAAATATATTCATTCATATAAATATATTCATATAGTTTATATGTACCTGGATACTATACTATGTAGGTAAAGTCATCATATTGTTACCGGTGGCCGGTCGTGAGTAAGGCTGGAGCTATGAGACTTATGGGGTAACGACTAATGACTCACAGAAAATGCCGGACTTCGTATAGATGATTTCTCGTTTACCTAGAATTCGAAAAAAGAGAATGAAACAACGTATTTCTTAAGGTTTTACTACTGGTGGATCTATTATAAATAATAGTTCATCCTTTCTATTAACATTGGAAAATTTTCTATTATTTCAACGTACACTCTTAATAAATATCCAACTTCCGGCCGGCAATCGAAACGTACTATCAAAAAACTCACATATGGTTGTGTGTGGATATGAGTCATTTCACGCATCTGATACTCATGGATATCGTATAACGTAGAAATTAGTCCTCCTGCTCCTTGGTATTTGAGTCAGTTTACTGGGAACATATCGAAGAAGAAGTGAGGCTGCTGAATCATTAGAGTGTACTAGAACTTACTATATGTAGTTATTAAAATGTATGCACTATGTATATACTATGCATACCATAAAATCACTGCTATGAGTATAAGGAATCTTATGTATGAATCATACTCAGAGTAATTCACTAATCCATACGGCAAGTACTACTGAATCGAGAAATTAAGTTTCTGTATTTTCATTCAAAGTGCAATTAGTTATTTATCTATCTATTCTCTACAGAAGTTTATATTATTCAGTTGTTCCAAAAACATGATAGATTCTCACCCGAGATTCTCTTATCTATAGCTGGAGAATGTCGATGACGATGAGAATGACGTGCCACTTGGTCTTGCTGGCCGATAATACACTAAGAATACCATAAATGGGCAAGAGAGTCTTTATCGGGTTTTTCGTTCTCTCTATTTTTCTCTCTCTCTTTCTCATTATCTTTGCTTTTCGGTCTATCTCTTTTTGTGCTCGATTGACTGTCATTCTTCTCTCATCGACATGTTAGTCATGGTTGTTGAGTTTGAAAAAAAAACATACACAAAACATTTGATACACACTAGAATTCTTATACACTTAGATATCGCGCAAATGGCATGCCGTTTCCAATTTTTATGTTCAATGGTTATTGAACGTTTTATTGTACTACAAATTAACAAGTAATAAATGCCTTTCTACGTAGTCATGCCAATAATAGCCGGGAGCCATTTATAGTGGTAATTAGAAAAGTAATTTTAAGAATCCAGTGGGTCGTATTAGAATGTTACCGGTGTTGGTCAGTTTTACAATAAGGTGCATTCTTGCCGAACGGGATACGTAAGAAGAAACTTTTATGTGAATCCTACAATCGGCGAGACTACACTGTTTTTGACCTGCTTTACCAATCGCTAGTACAGCACATGGATAGCTTCTGACAAGTAGACGCAATAGACCGTTGACTGATAAGATGCTTAATCTGTCTTTATATCGACAGCCAATGTTGACTCCTGCTGATAATTACAATATATGCTGATAAATTCAGGTAAATTTCATTTTACCTCTATATGGTGGGCTCATTGTTGAACTAGTGGCGCTCTCTCTATGAAAGGATATGTACAAATGTCATCTAGGAAAATAGAAACGTTGCATAGCTGTTATGCGGTGAAAATGAATAAAAACTGAAATAATCACGTAATTACGAAAAAGTGTTGTGCATTGTACCAAGATAAATTTCTCATAATAGTTTAAGGGACTGATACGCAGAAATACATATATTGGCTTTAGTGGTGCTTCGGATGTTACGCATATTTTAAGATGTAGGCTTCTATGCTGCAATGTGATTGATCAATCATGACATAAACTAGGGTTTATCTGCTTGGTGAGTTGTATTAAAATGAACTATTTCTAGTCATACATTGTCCTATGTAAAACTTTCCTAATGGAGTGCTATAATTATCCTCATATTCGAGGAACAAGTAATTGACTTGTAGTTGCATATGTCTCGTTTTCCCTCTCTACTTGTCATCTAGGCACTTTGTATCTTAAATATTTCTTGTTGCTATCAATAATATCACGTATTAATGCTTATTATAGATTGGAATAAAATATTATGACGTTGAGAAAATGTTCGATTGTTTGGACCACATAGCCAATAGCAGTACCTGTTAAAGAACCATCCTGGAGTAATCACTGTTGTTTATGATGTGATTATGGTCTTTTACTTTCATTTTTAACTTTGAGCTGTCCACCTGCCTGAAAGGCAGTAAATCCAAAACGAAATTGTACTAGTTCTTGTATTCATTTGTTGTTTTATTAAAATACTGTTGTGACATCTGCTATCATAACATAGTATTTTATTTTACTAGACAAAAGCAACCATATGTCAGTACGTCATATTTGCTACTCTTACAAATAGGTATGCATATTACTTAAATAATATATCCATATCATATATGTCATATATACTTCAAATACATCTTTTTGTAATCATTTAAATGCATTAATTATTAAATCAAAATTATAGATATTTATCACTGAGAATTGAATATTTTGTGTTATATGTCACTGTTGACATCTGACGTATGAAGCAAACATTTAAGGAACTCAAAATCTAGTTCAAATTAGTCTTTATATGTATCTTTATCTAAACATCACCTTACACGACCACCAATGTCAATGTAATCTTCTAAATTAAGTTATAACATTGTATACTCCATATACATGCACTCATTGTTATATATTATGTTTTAATATACATATGTATATCTATGGACTACCAAGTATGCTAACTTCATTTAAATTTATATTTAGTATTTTCCCTGAATCATAACATGTTTCTTATCTTTGTCAAATGCATTGTATTTATATTCAACAACAACGAAACTCTGTGTACAGGGTTTCTAATTTGGTTCTAGTCACTAATATAGTCATGACACCATAAGGAAAAAGTTCAAAGGACTAGCAGAGGAGGTATGAGTTGCTCTGTAGAACTGAAGCAACGTAGACAACAAGGGATGGCGGAGGATCCCCATAGACTTGCAGCTATGATGAATAAGTCTCAAAGACTTGTTTTAGGCCTGTTGGTTCTCCTCTTAGTGGATATCATTTGGGTCTCCAGTTCTGAACTCACCAAAGTAAGATTGGTTTAGTATTAAAGCATTACAAATTTTTAAACAACGCTATCTTTATAAATTCATATTTTATTTTACTCTTTGATTATTTGTAGTCATTACTATGTATAAGTAAACATTTTAAAAACTATTTTCTGTTGCAGTATATTTATCGACAAGCAGCATTTGAAAAGCCATTTTTCAGTACCTACATAAAAACGTCCATGTTCACATTATACTTGCTGGGTTTGTGCTTTTGGCCTCCATGGAAAGATCAATGCAATAAACCAGCGACGTACATGGTATATTGCGTTATTTAATATCTATGTTAAGTGATATAACGTAATGAGTAATGACAAATTATATTTTAGTTCATAGATCCAAATGTAGAAGATGACAATTTTTATTCAGAGGGCAATACGAGTCTGGTGAGAAATTTAACGTTTTTTTAAAATTTACAGTATTTTTACATGTGATTAAGATTCTTTTTACTACTAATTAAAGTAGTTTTTACATTAATTTCTTGATTTATTATAGAGCGACCCCACGTTTGTTCCACTTAAAACACTGGATCACTGCGATCGCTCATCTGGCACAGAAAGCGATGATTCTTCGATTCGTTCTGTGAGGTTCAGCAAATTAGCAGAAGTTCGCCATATGTCTGAAAGCGATGCCACTGAAGCTCTTTTAGCTAGACTGAGTTATGAAGCGAGTGTGACAGCTGGTGAACATGCTAAAAGACAGGCAAATAAATTTTCTGTACAAAAAGTTGCAAAAATTGCATTAATGTTTTGTTTGTTGGTAAGCTATTATTCTTTAAATCAATTTAATAATATCTAATCGCCATATTGATTATATTTTATATTTACTGGCGACAGTCATTCATGGTATTTACTTTTTAGTGGTTTCTGGCAAATTATACCTATCAAACATCATTAGCACAGACTGAGACAGGAATAGTGACAGTATTGTCTTCAACATCTAGTTTATTCACATTGTTCCTTGCTGCATTTTTTCCTAGTAATGGAGGAGACAAATTTACATTGTCTAAATTCGTGGCTGTTTCTATTAGCATTTTTGGGATTGTAAGTAACTCTTTGTAATATTTTATTTTATCTAGAAATATACCGAAGTAGATTTAAATTGATTTGCCAATCTTTAATTTTAGGTACTAGTTGGTCTTTCGGATTTAGCAATAGAAACGGGTAGTAAGATACCAACAGGGGTAATATTAGCTCTAGTCAGTGCATTTTTCTACGCTGCGTACTTAGTATTTTTAAAAAGAAAAGTAGATCATGAAGATAAAATGGACATTCCAATGTTCTTTGGATTTGTGGGACTTTTTAATCTCACCCTTTTGTGGCCTTTATTCTTTATACTTCACTATGGGCACTGGGAGGAATTTGAATGGCCGAATAGTCACCAATGGACTTTTTTAATTATTAATGGACTGATTGGCACTGTTTTAAGTGAAGTTCTCTGGCTATGGTAAGAATCATTTAACAACAATTTATTACATTATAGATCTATTCAAGTTCAGTATAACACTTTGAACTGTATTACAGGGGTTGCTTTCTAACGTCGTCCCTCATAGCAACATTGGCTGTTAGCTTAACAATGCCAATGTCAATGATAGCAGATGTTTTATTGGAAAAAGTTGAATACCCGTGTATTTTTTATTTTGGAACCGTCCCCATGCTTTTGGCTTTTCTTACTGTATCTTTATTGTCATATTACGACAACTGGGATCCGGTAATGGACTTAGTGAAGAGACTTTATGTTTGGATTTGTCGCAGGAGTAGATCAATGAGGTATAATAATCTTTATTTTGATCTTTTTTTTAAATTGAAGGGTGCATATTATTCTTCTAATTACCATTGAAAGAGTTGTAATGCTTGAGTAGAGATTTCATTTTCAGGATACCAGATTTAGAAGCCGAACAAACTGAATCACTCATCGGCATAAATAGTGGAGAGCATGAAGCCTAACCCGACAATAATGTTAGATTTACGTGATACTTGTATTTCATGGACTTTTACAGTAGAGGATACTGCTACTGTCAGCGTATGGTATTATAGTACATTAATGGAGAGTTTATATTTAAATTACGATATATTATTACTTTGATACACTTCAAAAAAACTTGAGGTTGGGAGACTAATTTCTGAACGGTATACATTGTATTATTTGCTGTAGGTTAGACTTCGCTTTCAGTGAGAATAGAAGCATATTCCTTCATGGATAGGCATTCTATTCTGTTGGTAGAATTATTCAAAGAAGTCATTATATGTATTCAAAAATACTTTGCTTTATTATTGAAAAGTAATTGTTTTAAAATTGCTTAAGTAATTGATTTTAAAGATACACAACAAATGCGTTTCATTACAGCTTTTGTGAAACATTTGCCATAATACTGCCAGACAATAATGATTGCTATCCTTGAAAAGCTATACGGGCAACTTTATCTATCCAAGTAATAATATTTTTCATTAATTTCTAATTTGAAGAAAAGCATATCACGATTATTTACCAAAATTGTAGTAACTTCCTTAGTATAAAAATACTTGGGTCACCGTAAATAGTATTGCAAAGATTCTATATGTGCCATACACAAAAGTCTTTGTCTGAAAGTATATGAAAGTTGTGGACACCAGATTTGTGAAAATCTGTGATGCATAGGATATTCGATATCAAAAGATAGTGGATTATTGTAGTGAAACTACTTTTTCCCACCGGATGTGATAGTTTTCAATGGTGAATTGAATACAATTAAATACTTTGTATTGCAGCAATATGCTGGCACAAGTGATATGCTGTTACAAAATCACTCTCATCATTTTATTCAGCTATATTGCATTGCATTGTATATTGATGTTTGCATCACTATAGAAGACAAAGAGAGAAAAGAGTTTGGTGTGAGCAATAGGTTTTTTCAATTGAGCTTCACTAAAACTCAGTATCGTGTATAAAGCATAAAGAGATATAAATATGTTTGTGATATTATATTCATTGTATAGATTATATATTGCTGCATTTCCTATACTTTGCATAAACTTTGACTTTCTTAGTTCCTTATATTTTATTTGAACTTTGCATTCCTTATTAGATATGGCTATGTTACCTATGTTACAGTGTTGCGTCCATAGTCAAATAATTTGACATGAACGTACGGAATAAGCGGGAATATCTTGTTTTTAAGATATTCCTAGCGTATTCTTAACTGTATGAAGAATGGCAATTTGATGAAGTTTCATTAAATTATTTATAAAGCTTCTGTTTAAGTACCATTGTTATTCTTTAATTGAATCCGCATATCAGTGTACATTATATTGGTAATTATAGTACGATATCGTTTCATTACGTTTAAACTAAATTCTGTTGATTATATAATTGATTTGATGTATCATAGTTTGCTTCTGCATATTACTTAAAAAACAGAATTAGGCCATACATATTGTGTTTGCGTCGTATCTGCTTGGAATTTATTTACTTGCGTAATTTAAATTTCTACTGATATTCAATTTGACAGTAAATGAAGACTAAATGAACGTTGCTAATAGTTATATTTTATTATACGAAGTAACATTTATTTTTCAAAGATTAAAAATTTATGCTATGTAATTCTATGCAATTATGTGTTATATGAAAGTTCAACAGATGCATTACATTCTTATACGTTTTTGTTTCGACTTTGGCAAGTTAGCCAAATGTTTTGAACTAGACCTTAACTAGTTTTAAGACACTGTCAGTGAGATATTTCGATAGCTTTACATCTGTCGAGGAACAATAAAAGAAATGGTTACACTCTGGACCAATTAAAATTAACGTCTTTCGAGGATTGGCTGGATTATAAAATAAAAAGGAGAGAACGATGTGATCTGCAATTTTGCTACAGATAGGGAGATGAGAGGGTACTATTTGATGTAGTTTTTCAAAATTTTACGGAGACAACAAAGAGAAAAATTAACCCTTTTTATACTTGGACATTCTCTATCCACATATAATGTGGGAACTAATATTTTGATCTGGATGAGAAAAATATGGACCCATAAAATTCCATAATGTTGAGCATTTCAACAGAATCATGTCCATCGGTTAATGCGCACAATGTTATCGTTTATATTTCCAATATGTTAGTGAAACGTTATTACGCTATATGCAAAATACAAGTCTTTTTTGTACTTCGTTCCATTATAGTATTGAATATACTTCAAAAATCCCGAAAAATAGCTTAATATTATGATACAACAATTATGAGGCGCAAATAAAGGCTATAAATAAACACATCATTATAAGCCAATAAAAAGAGAAGTAATACTGTTATGCAGACTATACATATATAGCTGACTGTTCCTGTATGTAATATCGCTGTATATTTTAATGTAAATATTACATTGTACTATTAAGAATAAAATTATATATACATATTATATGAAATACAAACGATGCTACTGAAGAACAATTGTTAAACACCCATCTCTTCTTACGTAGCGATACGCATGCAAATGTCCTTTGCAGAACGTTTCATGTTACTATGGCAAAATGCAAAATATACGAAAGTCGAGAAACAAGAAAAAATCATTTATTCATAGATTTGCTCCAAATATCATTTAATTATTCTTAATGTTTGTATATAGATTTTGCATTTCCTACAAAGCAAATGTTACGGCTCTTTAAAAATAAGTGTTACCTTTATGGAGTTCCACAAAATTAATAGTAGCATAATATATAGTGATATGTGTGATTCTTTTGAAATGGCGTGTCATGATGATACAAGTGCTCTTCGATTGAACATTAAAGGTAAAAGTAGAGAATCAGCATAGTTATCATATTCATGTATTTCATAGAGACAACTAAACTTTCAGTAAACAGTGAAAATTTATTACCAACTCCACAGAAATTTACTGTTGGTTCATTGCGGTAAGTACACCGGCCATAAGTACTTTCATATGTTAAATGCAATTAAATTTTTATCATAGATCAACTAATTTTTACAATTATTCCTTTGAAATGCAGTCTTCCAGCAGATCCTTCGTGGCCTAAAATACCACGACGTAAATTGGCAGATGATGTTGGTGATATCATTGAACCTCCATGCGTTGTTGCTTTGACTGGTACACCAAGAAAAAGTCGTACTATCGTTCGACCACATTCTCAGTTTGTTGGCAGTTACAATGTTAATGAAAAATCTTATTTAACGTTCTCCTTATTTATTTGTATCATGTCAATCCAGATCAACGAGAGTCAATAACCTTGAGGAATCTCTACATCGTCCTCAAAAGATTCCTACTCTTATGCATCAACAAAAAAGAAGGCCAGGATGTTTGGATCCGCGTTTTAAACGGTACGTTATACTTCTATAATTTTATAATTGAACTTATCGTGTCTTATTGTGACAGGGTGACATCTGTTAAAAGTCAAATGACATCGACGGATCCATCGGAACGAGATAACGAAAAGCCAACGGAATTGAGTCGCTCGGCTTTAGTCATTCCAAGCCAGTCTAAGTCAATGACGGAGAAAATTGAAAAAACAGTTCCGGAAAAGGATACCAACACGTACATAGTCTTATTGAATGATTTGGGAAATATTGGTCATATGATTTTATGTTAAGAATTATATTTTAATTGTTGTATACAGTCCTCAAGTGACTCAGCGCGAAGCTGAGAAACCAGGCGAGATAAAAGGCATGGAGAGCATCGGTATTCAGACATGCTGTAATTTGATTGATGGGATTGACATAAAAGTACAGTCAGAAGCAAATGAAATGGTTAAGGATATACGTAATTCTAATGATATCAAAATTCTGGAGCATTCATCTCCCAGGAAGGATTATTATTCCGAAAAACTTGAAACGAAATTAATTGACCCTCAGATACCTCGTCATGATCGTAATACAATAAATTTAATTGAAAATGACAATTCAAAAGTTTCTCAAAAAGAGGATAAATTGTATCGAGAAGTCAAAAATAACGATCAACTAGAATGTATCGTTGTACCTAAGGATAATGGAATTTCAAATTCAAAGACTGTGCAAAATGTTTCCTCAACTTTAATATCGTCGGATGCGCCTCAACAATATTCCCAAGTAACGTTTTAAATAATTCAATAGTATAATTAGTAGTGATGTTTTTCAGTTATCGATTAATCGATTACAACTGCAGGGAAAGAATGGGCAATTTTTATTAATGGTAGAAAAGAAAGTACAGCCAACGTCCGCAAGCAATATGCAACTGGGTTTTTCATCGGTACCAAACTGTCAATACATGACGCAATGCTACAATGTTCAAGTTCCAGTATTAAGTTATCAGAATGTACCTGTTCAGATATCAACACAATCTCAAGCGAAGGTCGACATTCCACCAAAATCTTTGCAGACAGCATCATCCTTACCATTAAATCAAAAATTGAATAATATTGATAATACAGAGGAAAATGTATCGTGCCAAAGTTTCTCTTATGACCCAGAAGTATCCGGTGATTTGCACTTCCAAACAGCTGAAAATAATAAATTAAGTACTGAGATGGCAAAATATGAAGTGGAAACTGCAGATTCCGAATTGTGCTCACCAGACACTCCTAAGGGACAAATAAGGAAATCTGCTTTTAAAGAGTGCAAACTGAATGAGAGTAACAAGAATGCGCTCGATCAAGAAACAACTGATTCAGAAGTGTATACGCAACATAATGAGAAACATAAAACTCCATCGCGTGATAATCACGTTGGTCCAACGAAGCGGCAGCAGCTCCTTTCACATTCGGAAATGCAATGTGGACAGATAAGAAAAACTGCTGCTGCTCACTTGAAAAAAGCTTCTTCGTATGTTACCAAAAGTGAAGAGCCTTTGATAGCGGATTCGGACAGTAATATCGTATGTCCTGGTTACCATCAATGCTCCAAACGAAAGCACACAAATCATTATCTTCAGAAAATGGTGGATGAAAATAAGGAACTTTCCCATAACATGGAAAAAGCAATAAAAACCGTGGATACTAGTTGTATAACGAGGAATGTCAAAAGAATATGTTGTGGAAAGGAGTATCAACGATCAATGCATGATGCTAAGCGTACTCAAGAAATTGAAGGATACGAGAAACAACATATTGAGCAAGATAAATTACCTAGAACCAGTTTAGATATGCCTTTCGAACAGTCTACTGCCATTCCTGCAAAGACTCAGGAATTGTTGAATAAAAGTTACTGGGATTATTACAATAAATTAAAGTCGCATAAGCTAAATAACGGCGAGACTGCCGAGCAACAATATTTTTGTCAAATAGCAATGGGTGCACCGCAAATTAAAAAGAGGAAGGCAGAGGACCTCGATTGTCAGTCTTGCGAGGAACAATTGGCAATTAGTTCACCAGAAATTCGAACATTGGAACAATGTTCAGTTTTATCGAGCATGATTAACAAAACACTGTATGCGCATAAAATATTATGCATTTTTCACATAACGTAAAATAATGTATTATGTGTTTTTTTTTTAGAGATTCAACTCTTCAACATTCTACTGATACAATACAAACGAAACAATTATATATCAATGGCAATATGAAATCATCTTCCGATCCTACTGCTGGTACTCATAGCGCTGTTATCAAGAAAATCACTTCAGGGGAACCAAATGATTTTTATGAGGAATCTCTATTGTCGTCGTCATTTTTAAATAAATTTGAGCACAAACGAGAAAAGTATATGGACAAACGTCTTCTGAAACTTAAAACAATCAGTGAGTACTTATTTAGCACGCAGGTGTAATCTGTAATAGTCATACCGATGAAAATTAGATTTATAAAAATGTATGTAATAATTATTTTCTTTTATCACCAGTTTTCTTTGGATGTATGATGTATGCTATTATTGTTTTTTTACCAATGATATACGACTACTTCTTTTACGATGAATATGACACGTATGAAGATTTGTCTTATGTGGAACTTACATTGGATTACGTTTTATCTTCTTTCAAAGAGGCATTTGGTGGATTCTTCGATTCGATGAATAAAATATTTCTACGGCCGGTAAGCAGCAATATTACTATAATTCTGTTAGACATTAGTGAGCCATGTAATATTTTCTGCAGTTCTTCGTTATTTCCAGCATAAGTGTAGGAAGTGCAACAACGCTGGCTAACATCATAGCTTCCATATTTCTTCCACGACGTTTATAGATATATTGTAATGCATCATTTTTTTTATAACGTTATGTCTTTGTATACTTTATGTAGTTTTTGCATTCTTATTCATTACTATTCTTATTCATACCTATGTACATGTATTTATGATTAAACTTTTATTTCAAAACAATCAAAAGTGAGTCTATAAATTTAGTTACAATGTTTGACGGGCCATTAATTTAATCCTGGTACTTTTAAACCACCTGACCCAATTGATGACTGAAGTGCATCAGGAAATAAAAGCGGTCGTAAAGATTGTAATAAACCAAAAGATATTGGATTTCCAAATCTCAAAAATACGGGTTGCATTCCACCAAGTCTTGCTGAAAATATTGAGTGTTAAATTGTATAAACGGTGGACTACTATATTTTCGTGTTCATTGTATTGTCTGCCACATAACATTTATGCAACATTTTTCAAATTCAAAAAAAAGTTGCGCTGTAACTTCCGGACATGCTCTGTGCAAGAAACGAAGCCATTGCTATGGTCGGTGATTTGCAGCCACGGATATTGGAGGGGGAACGAACTGTCTATATAGTCACAGCGCGCACGTTGCGTTCGGTCATTTTGTCCCGCGACATCTGATACGTTGGTTGTGGTGTTCACTTGTCACGAAGAAGCTACGTTATCGGCAACAAGGAAGTCTTGTTCACATAGTTTCTAAGTCATATCTTATGATCATCGGTTGTTTGAAAACTCAAAGAATCCTCGTGAAAATACAAATACACTCAAACAATGGCAGACTATGTCATCTATGGCACGAAACCGACTGATGTTCCGGTACCCGATGATGGTCATTCTGCTGCTCAGTTATTCGCCTCAGGAGACGGTCTCACATACAATGATTTCATTATTCTACCGGGTTATATCGATTTTACTGCCGACGAGGTAGATCTCTCTTCTCCGCTGACCAAAAAAGTTGTAATTAAAGCTCCACTCGTTTCGTCCCCTATGGACACTGTTACTGAATCCGACATGGCCATTGCCATGGCTCTTTGCGGTGGCATCGGTATCATACATCATAATTGTTCACCCGAGTATCAGGCTACTGAAGTGCAAAAGGTAAGTGGATTTTAAACACTTTGAGAAATTCTGGAACAGTTAAAAAACATTGCTTTAAACATCCACTTATTTCACATTAAAAGTTAATTATGTCACGTGCGAATCACTTCAAACTTTGAATCACTTTGATGTATTTGATTGGCTGTCTATCATATGAAATTTCAAAGCTTCACATTTGACTCTGTATGAAATACCTATTCATAGAGTTTTTTCAATAAGTTATATGGTTTATTCTATAAGGTCGTAAGTTATTTTACACACAAATAACTAGTCATTTAAAATATACTTCTAAACTGGAGACATTTATACTCTTAGCTCTGAATATAATTGCCAACATTAAGTTTATTAATTACATACCTGATATATTATATGTGTTGCATATACATTATATTACATTAAATTACTTATGATGGATAATGCAAATTTTTATAATAAGGTTAATACCAACGTTTCTTCATGTTTACAATTGTATCTAATTGAGTATTACCTGTAAGTTGAATACATAAAGTCGTTAACCTTCCATCCATTCACTTAGCTCTATTCTCCTTGACAGGTCTTGCTTGCGAAAAAAATGCAAGGCTAGAATATACTATCATAATATCTATTTATATTTTTTGTAACTAGGTGATTAATATTATACTGAACTGTGTGTTTATAGGTAAAAAAATATAAGCATGGTTTCATTAGAGATCCTGTTGTATTATCTCCAAATCACACGGTCAGTGATGTTCTCAATGTTAAAGCAGAGCATGGATTCTGTGGTGTCCCCATCACAGAAAATGGAAAGCTTGGAGGTAAACTTGTTGGTATTGTTACATCTAGAGATATTGATTTTCTTGAAGATTCACCGAACCAACAAAATCTAAAGCTAGAATCTGTAATGACAAAATTTGAAAACTTAATTACTGCAACATCTGGTGTAACCTTGCAAGAAGCTAATGTCATTTTGGAAAAATCAAAGAAGGGTAAATTGCCCATCATAAATGAAAAATGTGAACTTGTATCCTTGATGGCGAGAACCGATTTAAAGAAAAATCGCAGCTATCCAAATGCTAGTAAAGATGAAAACAAACAATTGTTAGTTGGAGCAGCAATCGGAACGCGTGCTGAAGATAGGCAAAGGTTACAGTTGTTAGCATCAGCTGGCGTTGACGTAGTTGTACTTGATTCGTCTCAAGGCAACTCAAAATATCAAATCGAAATGATTAAATATATCAAATCGAAATTCCCTGAACTTCAAATTATTGCTGGTAACGTGGTAACGACGATGCAAGCGAAGAATCTCATAGATGCTGGCGCTGATGGTTTACGTGTGGGTATGGGATCTGGATCAATCTGTATTACACAGGAAGTTATGGCGGTTGGTCGACCACAGGCTACAGCGGTGTACAAAGTCTCTGAATATGCCAGGAAATTTGGAGTCCCAGTTATTGCTGATGGAGGTATACAATCCATTGGACATATCATCAAAGGACTTAGCTTAGGTGCTAGTACAGTTATGATGGGATCTCTATTAGCTGGCACATCTGAAGCACCAGGAGAATACTTTTTCAGCGATGGAGTGCGCTTGAAAAAGTATCGTGGGATGGGATCCCTGGAAGCTATGAATCGCAAAGATGCCAAAGGTTCTGCTATGGATAGATACTTTCACAATGAAATGGATAAAATGAAAGTAGCTCAGGGCGTCAGTGGATCAATTGTTGACAAAGGAACTATATTGAAATTCCTTCCCTATTTGCAATGTGGAATTAAACATGGCTGTCAAGACATTGGAGTAAAATCACTGTCAGCTTTAAGATCTATGATGTATAGTGGAGAATTAAAATTTGAAAGAAGGACACATTCGGCTCAACAAGAAGGAAATGTTCATGGTTTGTTCTCATATGAAAAAAGGCTCTTTTAAACATGGATTCAAACTAATCTGTATATTGTAAAAAGTACCTGCATTTCTTTACATGTGACTTACGTCGCAGGTAAAGGAAGAGACGGTTTGTAAGCGATCGAAGTAACTTGATAATATTTTTCGGATATTATTCTCGATTGCAAGTACAGCCGTGGATTTAACAATTCCTCGAATGCCAATTGAAAATGAAAAACTGACATTGGTGAGGGATTTTATCACTGTTAGATCCATTAGAATTGATAGCAAAGTCTTTCCATATTATAGATGCAAGATATTCTATAAGCACTTACATAATGATACATAAGAGCCTTTCTGTATATTTGTATAGAGTAGGTCAATTGTATATGAGATTTTATGAATGTCATGTTTTATCCATAATTTACCATGACCTGATTCATCTATGATTAGTAAAGCAGTATATGAACAGTTGATATTATGATAATAATTTTTTGGGCAGAGAAAGTATAAAATTATGGATCAGCTAAATTACTGAATTTTTGTTTGACGACTGAAGTATATTCATCAATACATTTTATAAAATTAACAACTGCTTGATTGCTAATAACGTTTACAACAATTACGGAAGTGCGTAATACAGTATTTTATCGTTATACCGTTATATTAATGTTATTCTTTGCAATTAGGTGAGCTTCCATTAAAGTGATTTCATATCCGATGCTGTTTAAAAAACAATTATCTCATCTTTTGTGTTTATTTTGAAGCAGATGGATAATCGGGGGTTAAAAAAGGAATCTTTTACACCGAAATATTTGACTAAGTCAATACATTTTATAATTTTACTATTGTAATGTGAAGCATTGTATAAGTGCAAATTTTATTCAACACTGCAAAACATATTTTGTAAAGATATAATGACCAACTGTATGTCTAAAATTATAAATCAATGTTGAAAGTATAAAATATGCGTTACGTGTTCTTTACCTTCCGTTAATCCAATTCTATCCTAATGCAATAGTACGTCAGAAAATCAATTCTAGATAAAGAAACTCAAGAATATATACAATACTGCAGAAAATTTCTAGAGACTTTGGATAAAATCTTTTTCCAAGAATATAGTATATGAATTATTGTAATTAATAACTCTTTACAATAGTCGAAAAATATTAGAATTTAATTTCTTAAAAGTACAGTGCTGCCGTCCGCGTCACTTTACATAAATAGTATTATATACAATACACGTAACCTTACGCGTAGAACATATTTTGCACAGAAATCGTATTGTAATTTAACATAATGGTTTTATGCAATGTAAAATGTGTAGAAAACATTTCCAAATATCTGAATGTTGCTCCTGGAAAACTATATGTCTCCAAAAATAATGTAAGCATCATGAATTTTATTTTATTAAAGAATAAATTAACATATGTCAATATGTGAATAATAGGTTGTTGCTGCCAAAGATCTATTAGAAAAGGAATCCCTTGAAGGTTTTAGTACAATAGTGCAAACTCTAGTAAAGCTCTCTAAGTTTTCTAATATACTTGGAAAGGATGCAGTTACTCAAGCTCTAACTCGACAATGGTTGGAGTATGTAGTTCTCAATGTAAACTACGCTGACAATTTGAAGAATGTAAAGAGGATCTTAAAGGTATTTCAGTTCAGGCTAGATAACCCTAATCAAAATGTTATTAATATGAGTTTTACATTATATTCACAGGAATTAAACTTGATTTTAAGAAAATCTACATACATAACAGGAACAGAGAAGACTGTAGCTGATGTTGTACTTTACTACGCCCTACATTCAATAATGGTAATAACCCAAAGTATAGATTGAAGTCTGAGACTAAAGAATCCATATAAAGAGATATGGATCAATGAAATCCATTATGACTGCCCTTACTTGTTACAGCAAGGATTAACCCATCAGGAAAAGGCAGAATATGTCAATGTGTCAAGGTGGTTTGATAATATTCAGCAAGATGAGAAATTGCGACAGGAATTGGAACTTATTAATTTTAATCTACTTAATTTGTACTTGTAATAAAATTAAGATACATTTAAATACATAAGTGCTAAAAAATATTATAGGACTAGTAGATCATTAGACCCCACGCAGTACATCTATAAAATTATTATTTCTGATAATGATTTCATTATTCTCCGAGTAGTATCTCATAAATATTCTTTCAAAAGAAATTGTGTAGTTTTATCGACACTGTGCAGTCTCTCGTTTTACCGGTGGAGGCATAATTTTAAGCATCACAGTAATATAACAGAGATGTCGACACAAGAATAAGAGCGCCGCAAAGAAACAAAGATGTCCGCCATATACGGCTCCGTTCAGAAATCCAGTCTAGTCCTTGGACTGGTGCGGGTATGATAAAGATTTCTTATTCATTATGAGGAACCGTTGAGCATATCGGTGGAATATTTTCGCGAGAAGACCTCGTGAAATATGTGGACATCGGCCTTAAACTGCATTTAATAACTCGTGCACATTCATCATCGCAAACAAGCACAGTAACAACTCTGTATTCGCTTAGCTTGATTTTTCCTGGTATTTCTTCAAGAAACTGCTTCACTTTCCCATTACTGTTAAAGTCGACAAGACTTACACAACAATCCAGTGAGAGATGGCTGATGATTCAAGCGTACGTGTGGCTGTTCGGTAAGTTTAAATATTAAAGAAATTATTATACACTTCCGTATACGAGCTATCATTTCCTGGAGTTAAGGTGCGTCAAGGGATACAAACTCTTATGGTGTTTGAACAGTTTGGTTATCAGCGGCTTTCTTGTTTAATCTGAAAACTCGTTATACTCTGTTCCTTAGATGTATTTTTTCTGCGCTCTATTCATGCAAAATACGTGATTTGTCAGTAAATATAGATTAGACCGTAAGCTCTATTCATTCGTCAATACAACTAAGTCTATTTATGGTAAAGGACCAAATCACAGGAAACAGCTCGTAACATTACACCCTTAAAAAAATATTCGTTAGGGTACAGCGCTGAGTATTTTCCGAATAAAAGAATATTCCGTGCAATTCAATACTACTCCAAATTACTATCCATTAATATTTATCTTTCGATCTAAATCATTTTGCATGACAACAATGTGTAACTTGAGATTATTCAAATTTAAATGTAAAATATTAGTGTTCTCACTATATTGATAAAGAAAAGCTTGTTCCGTTTTGGAGTTTCTAACATATAGTTAAATGGAAAATATTCATTATTGATTGTAGTTTCTTTAGTGCGCATAAACTCCCAATGTTATAGAGACCTTGGAACGAATTATTCATCTAGTAAACATCTCCTACTTTTCTAATTTTCCTGTACACTATCATGACCATAGCATATACGATAATAACGTATCGTTCAAAATTCATAATTCATACGCAACCTTATATTTTACATATAATTATTTTCTCGTATTACACGGTATTACATTTTAAGAATATTTGTCAATTCTTATATCCGCGATAACAACACTGTAGGCATTTACGATTATCGAATATCTAAATTAAACGACAATCAATTTTAATTACAAAACAAAAATTTTTACTTTGATTAATGCATAATTCGACATAAATACATAATAATACTGTATTCAAAAAGAAGCACATGAATACATCTAATCTACCGAAATGCCGAAACGTTTCCCAACTGCCAACATCCCGGATATAGCAACAGAAACATGTTTAAATAGTGTCGCATTAATTAACTTTTATTACCTACATTACGACGTATCATATATCCAGGACAAATGGAAAAGTTCGTCGCATTTGTCTGATTTTGAATATCAATACTGATTTTCATCAATCAATTTTTGATTGCGTCAAAGGAGATATTGGTTTCCCGTGTACGAGATCAGCTGATAGAATATAGTATATCGTACGTTTTAGAGTATCGGCGAGTTACTTGATATTCTTGACAGTGCGATGTCGTCACCCTCCTCTTTTCAGGTAGCGTCAGAGCATCGATGTTAGTGGCATAATATCTCCTTTTATATTACACGCGTGTAGGCTTAACTGCTGGCTGCATAATAAATACCTCGTTCTTGTATGAATGGAACGCTCTCGCTTCTCTGATACTTTCTGTCACAATTTTCCCAGCCTCCTTTTCCACCTTCCTGAGAGTCCTCGTTTTTTTATCGACGTGCGCATTTTCACATTGTTGACATTTTTCGTTGACGGTTTCGATTACGCAAGAAAAAATATGAATGAAATTAAGAACGCCTTGAAGTCAATGACTAATCGGTTAAAAATATTAATATAATCCTTGATTTTACGCAGTTTCTTACCTTTGGATATCTGCTGAAAGTTAGAGACGCCATGAAGATCGGACGCACGGCTAGTGCCAATTGACAAAAATAAAATTTATAAATTAACTTTGAATTTAACGAAGAATTTCGTATAGATATTAATATGCGTCTTTTTCGTGTATATATAATTAAAAATGGACTGGAATGTCTTTATCATTTATGAGATACTAATTCAGCGGCTTAAGCTTCCTGTTGGAAGTTATGAATATTCTGCTAACTAGTAGAGCATAAATTTGTACCGTTCGACTGTAGGCTTCACTGATCACAGACATTAGCTCCGCTAGTTTCTTTGTTACACTCTTGCTGAGAGTGAAGATTCTAAGATTAACTATTTGATTACAGGATACGGCCGCAGGTAGCACGAGAAGTGATTGATATGTGCCGAGTGTGCACTCAAGTACCTCCGGGAGAACCCCAGGTCTTTCTTGGACCGGATAAGGCCTTTACGTATGACCATGTTTTTGATACTGGTGTTGGACAAAGCACTATTTACGAGGCGTGCGTCTCGCGTCTTGTTGATGGAGCATTGGATGGTTACAATGCAACGGTTCTTGCCTATGGCCAGACTGGATCTGGCAAAACTTATACCATGGGTACTGGATTTGACGTGGAAGTAGACGATATGGTAGTGGGTATTATTCCCAGAGCGATTACACATCTTTTCAATGGAATCGCTGAGAAACAAGAACGCGCCAAAGAACGTGGGCAAATGGCACCAGAATTCAAGGTCAGGACTTACTTTACAGACTGCAATTACTGTCAGAAAGCATTAGAGCACGCTTATAAATTGCAATGATCTTTGCAACGAGGAATACCAGCTGAATGTTTAATAAGATCTCATTCATTCGTTCTAGTATGATAAAACTATCAGCTATGCGAGATGCGATCTGTTTAGAATACTCAGTTTACGTTTCTCCAATACCTATAATTGAATACAAAACACGTCGTAACTAGTATATGATCTGCCTACAAAATGCAGTTAAGCATGGCTGTGAACCTTGTGGTGAATGTAGATTTGCATAAGTATCAAAAGTCGTGTATTATTTGAAGTAATGAAGCTGTTGTTTTGAAAATGAAATTAATAGGTCACAGCACAATTTCTGGAACTTTACAACGAGGATTTGAAGGATTTATTGGAACCTGGTGGTCCACGTGGCGGAGCGCGTATTCACGAGGACACTGCAGGCAATATACATTTAGCCGGGGTAGAACCAAGGATCGTGACCAGTCCTGAACAAGCTTTGGAGTATCTTCGACTTGGTGCTTTATCACGCACAACCGGATCCACGCAAATGAATACGCAATCATCTAGATCGCACGCAATATTTACACTGTACATAAAGCAACAAAGATGTATCAAGGTCGAAGACCCGGATGCTGACGTTGATACAAGCGGAACAGAACCTGCCAATGAATTTGAAACTCTAACTGCAAAGTTCCATTTTGTGGACTTAGCTGGCTCTGAAAGACTTAAGAGAACAGGCGCAACTGGCGACAGAGCCAAGGAAGGGATTTCTATAAACTGCGGCTTGGTAGGTAATCAAGATATAGACAAATATCATATGAAGACGGATACGATAGTGTAATGATGAACATTGTATCCTGCAGCTAGCTTTAGGTAATGTCATTTCTGCACTTGGTGATAAAACGAAAAAGGCACTTCATGTACCATACCGGGATTCTAAGCTTACCAGATTACTTCAAGATTCTCTTGGAGGCAATAGTCAAACCGTTATGATAGCATGTGTATCACCTAGTGATCGCGATTTCATGGAGACACTGAGCACCTTAAAATATGCTAACCGAGCAAGAAATATTAAGAATAAGGTGACCATTAATCAAGACAAGAGTTCACGAACGATAGCTTCGCTCCGTAGAGAGATACAACAACTTCAATTAGAACTAATGGAATATAGACAAGGTACGTAACGAATTACTTTCTCTCAGTCTTATCCATAATATAGCGAAGCAAAAAGTTTGAAAAGGCGTATGAACAATTTGTGATAACTTTAGGGAAAAGAATCGTTGGTGAGGATGGTGTAAATGATGCGTGGCACGAGAACCAAATGCTTAGCAGTGAATTACAGAGCTTACGCACAAGAGTAAAAGCATTATCAGAAACGGTCGAAGCTCTTACAGCCAAAAACGCTCTTCTATTGGCGGAAAAGGCAGCTGGTCAATGGGTAGCTTCGGGTGGCGGAGGAGGAGAACAAGTTACAAGTTTAGTACAAGGATACCTTCAAGAAATTGAAGAATTAAGAGCGCGTCTATTGGAAGCTGAGGCCATGTATCAACAATTGAAAAAAAGACAGATGCAGGTTATTACCATACATTATCATTTCTACTAAAACTTGAGTCCTCCAATATTTTAAGACTTGATAAACAATTTGTTAAATATAGGTGAACGCAGCCCATCCGTATGGGGATTCGTCGTACATTCTACACAGTGATTCATCTTCTTTATTAGTTGACGCTAAAAAGGAATTGCAGAAAGAAATTGACGCATTGGTTACTCTCAAAGAACAGCAGTCACACAATGCAAACGTTAGTAGCAAAGAAGCCGAGGATGCGGAAGCAGATGATAACGAAAACGGTCAAGAATCTATGACCGATGACGACTCTGATGATGATTCAGATCGAAAAGGTATATCCTGTAATACAAATCTTTTTTCAAATGATACAATAGATGCGTGTATTATGATTTACAGAAGAGGACGAGGAGGAGGCAGCTATGGGTCGAGAACTGGAAGCACTCACGTCTGATATTGACGTTAAACAACGCTTAATTCAAGAATTAGAATTGTCTCAGAGACGATTGCAGACTATGAAGCAACATTATGAAGATAAACTGGCACAACTACAAGCTCGTATTCGTGATACTCAAGACGAAAGAGATAAAGTTTTATCATCCCTTCAACAGCAGCCAACGCCACCTACTGAAAAGGTGAAGAAATTACGGGATGAGTACGAAAGGAAACTATCTGCCATGCAAAAGGAGATGCGACTTCTTCAATCAGCGAAGAAGGAGCATGCTAGATTACTCAAGAGTCAATCGCAAAATGAGAATAGACTTAAAGGACTGAAAAATGAACTAGCGGAAATGAAAAGAGCTAAAGTTAAGTTATTAAATAAAATGCGCGAGGAGGCCCAGCGACACAAAGAAAATGAACTCAGACGTAACAGAGAAATTGCTCAGTTGCGCAAAGAGAGTCGCAAGAATGCGAATATGATTAGAACATTAGAAGCTGATAAGAGGATGAAGGAAGTTGTACTTCGAAGAAAGCAGGAAGAAGTGACAGCACTAAGAAAGCGAGATCGAGGATTGAGCCAAAAGGCAGCTGGTAGAATTTCACAGAAACCATTGAATTCAAAGTCATTAAAACAAAGATGGCAGACTTTCGAGAGAACAATTACAAAGCAGGCACTAGCGAAACAAGCTGCTGCTGAAACTGAAAGGGAAATGGAAAGACTTCTTCAAGAGAGAGAGGAGCTGGGCAGAGATTTGGAGCGACTACAGAAGCACAGAAGTATTCTTGCTGCTACAAGAGGAGATACGGCAGACATCGATGAAGAAATTGACAATGTGAAGAGTAAAGTCAGTTACTTGCAGGTAATTAAATTTGCTATTCTCCCTTAAGGCATTTCTGCGATCATTTTGATGATTAAAATAATTTTGATAATAGGATAGCATTGCCGAGTGCCAACGCGATATGATGGAAGTGGGTGATTGCGATGCCGAAGGAGAACCAGGTGTCGAAGCACTTGTCTCCACGATTAGAACAGTCGACGAAGCCCAATATCTACTCCAAAGAATGCTAGCATTTACAGTAGAGCAAAGCTGTGTAGCAGCACAAAAACAGATTGAAGTCAGAGATATGGAATCGCGACTGAACCAAGTGGCTCAAGAGAGTGACGTGCAGCATCAATTATTAGAGCATGTATTACGTGACAGGGATCTTTTGTCTCTTACAAACAATCATCACAACAATACAACAGCCTACAGTCCCCCTAGTTCAAGAAGTTCTTCACCCGATAAGTAAGGTTTCATAGCACTCAACATCCCTTAATTTACTCCGTTTTTTTTACAATGTCTACGTATAATTTGCAGCAGTGAAAGTTATAGTGTTGTGATAGCCGGAGAGGAAAGACAGAAGAACAATAAAGTGAGGCGAAGAACTACACAACCGCAGGAACTTCTTTACGGAGTCCATGCTGGCACAGAAACCCTCAAAGGAGAGGAACAAAGTCAAAATCACAACTATGCACTTACAAGGGTACCTAGTGCACCTGGAAGTTTAAAGTAAGTTTTCATTTTTTAGTACTAAATGTTGATACTTGTTGAAACTAATTATTTTTCTCTTCTATTGTTATATAGGGGTTTGATCTTAACAAGGTCTCAACATGGACCTGGAGTAACCGGAGGTTCACCGACTTTGAGCCGACGTGACAGCACCTCTCCGCGTCCTCTACGACGACCTTTACACCCGGGCGGAGGGTCCATGTGAGTGACAATACTCCAACTCGTCTTTACTTTCATATTTCTAGTATATCTCTGTCTCGATACTTTGAACCACGCACAGTTCACAACTATATTCACTTTGCACCACAACTAGTTGATCAATATTAGATGTTATAAGAATTACATAAATCGGTACCTTTTGCGATGAGAGGTCTAATGTCAATTTTGCAATATGAATATATGCATTACTTAATGCAGTATTTTTACGAGAACGTTAACACACATGGGATTTCGTAATTAGCCAAAAAATATAGATATTCGCCTTCGTGTTTTCTTTTTCTTGATTTCACATGCAATTTTGCTAAATATATTTTCCAACTTCTAATTTTGTAACACAGTAGTTTGTTAATATAAATAATCATTCCTTACATAATGTAAAAAGTAAACAAGAGTTAATGGAATACCTGTCTGTACAAACAAGAATACAAATTCACAGGATTAATCTGAGTTCGTGTATCCCCGAGTTTACTTTTGTATAGTTCAGTGATAATAAACACATACACATATATTCCTTATGCACTGTATGAAAATTGTACTTACCAAACTTTTTAGTCATGGACCATTATTTCTTTTTAAGAACTGTGTACCAAGTTTATTTGTATTTCAAGTAAAAATATTTTATTTACACAAGTTGAGAGCACTAACAGCTATACAATATTCGCACTAAACATGTAACATGAGATTGCGATAATTAACAATTAATGTATATTAATACCTTTGATTAATATCATCGGTAAAATAATGAAGTATCAAGTTTGCAGATGGCTACAGTATCTTTAAATAATTTGTAGTATTTCACATCAAGCTTGAAAGAAGTGTGCACAGTTCTTGTTAATTGAAATGGTCCGATTTACATACCTAGTGAAAATTGTACCTGCATGACTGGTGACCTTTACATATAGCAAGCATGGTTAATCAGCCTGGATTAGTACTCACCGTAACTAACTAACATGCTAACCTAACAAACGACCCAATCAGGGAACAGGTAGCACTCACGGATGTATCATCACCACCTGGATCACCGACAACTTATCGTCGGTTCAATAGTAGAGAAGAAAATGTATTTTCGAGATTGACTGCAAGTAGGCAACATCTACCTGTAGATCCGCAGCCTACCAAGGGAGTGATTTCACAGTATCAGGGCAAGGTATTCGTTCTTAATTTTATCTAATTTTATCCTATGAGAACGGAAGAATAAAATATTTTTATATTCTACAGGCACAACCTAGAGCAGTTTTGCAGTGTAGTCACGTAGCTGAGGGACACAGCAAAGCTGTCTTAACCATTTATGCTACCAGCGACTTGCTTTTTAGTGGTTCCAAGGGTATAACCAAAATTAATATTAAAGTGTATTTACCGTGATAATAATGTTATGTATTTGTAGACCGAACAATCAAAGTATGGGATCTTGGAACAGGCTTGGAAAGCCTAACGTTAAGCGGACACCCAAACAACGTTGTGGCGGTCAAATATTCAGTTGTGCACAATCTTCTATTCAGTGTGTCCGCAGCATACGTAAAAGTTTGGGATTTAAGAGCAGGCAACACTTGCGTGAAAACCCTATTTTCGTCGGGACAAGCGCAGAGTGGTCCAATTGCACTTTCAACACCTTCTCGGACGCTTCAGCTGCCAGTCGGGGAAACAACGATCAATGATCTAGCACTTGGTCTAGACGATCAAGAATTATACACCGCTTCTAGCGACAAAGTCAAAGTCTGGGATCTTCGCAAGCTAACTTACACTGGACGTTTGAGCACACCACACACTGCAGCTGTTATGTGTTTAGCAGTGGCTGAAGATGGTAGAGTGATTACAGGTAGTAAGGATCATTTAATATCTCTGGTTGCACCAAACGCGTCCGGACAATCTGTCAGTTTGGCGCCTCCTCACTATGACGGAGTTCAGTGTCTGGCTACACACGGATCCACTTTGTTTTCTGGTAAGTTTTTAATTCTCAAATTTTCATTGTACCAGAATTCTAACATCCAATGCGTTGTATAATACAGCTATGTATACCTCGTATAGGATCCAGGGACATGTGTATCAAACGATGGGATTTAAGTAGAATGGAATTAATGCAATCATTAAACAATGCGCATAAAGATTGGATCTTGGGATTATGTATCATCAATAGCGGCTCGGTTATGGTTTCTGGCTGTCGAGGTGGTTTATTACGAGCATGGTCCGTGCCCAAAGATCAGACGGGAGAATGCTCCCTTCTAGGAGAAGTTCGTGCACACAGCTCGGCTATCAATGCTGTGATAACTAATCAACAGCACGTTTTCACAGCAAGCAAGTAAGTAATGGTTTCAGTATGTTTATATATTTTGAATTAGGCTGTACCCGAAGTATGGTCCTAGTACAAGAGTTCCATAAAATGGTATGAAGATCAATTGCTAGTTACAAAAAATAACCGTTCGGGTTCAGCCGTGACAGTATTAGTACTTATCGTTTTCCGGGTGGAGTAATACGTGGGAAATTGGTTGCAGCTCTGGGGAGGTGAAGCTGTGGCGTATTCCTGATTCCTCCTTAACTATGTCCATGTCCACAGTTTCACTCTAACTTATTTTATTCTTTTGCTTTTTGTTATTTCTTAGCATTTATTTAGTATTGTTTTAACAGTGGTCGTAACTATAATGACTGATTGTCGTTGATGATGGGTGGGCCTAATTATATATGGTAGATAAAAATAATACACACATTCGAAGAAGTAATCTTTGTGCTGTTTGACAGTGATTTTTTTGTTGTTTTTGTGATTGGAAAAACCATTGAAGTATTAGACGTATTTTGACGTGATCACGAAGTATATCTCGTGCGCTAGCGAATGCCAAAACATTTTTATTATACGCCAACGTATAAAAACAATTTGCTAAACAAATTTATGCATGGCTGGATGTCATACCCGAGATGAATTTATTTGCTTGAATTCGAAGGAAGTTATGTAGTACATTCACTTCAGAAAATTGATATAACATATTATACAAGGATATCCGGCTTAAATACAATAGACAGATTTGACAGTTGTCATTCTCCTACGCTCCTTAGTATCCAGTAAATCCGGAATTAGTTTTATTATAATATCAGAAAGCTTCATTTATGTGACAGCTGTCGAGTTGAACTGTACTTGAGCTGCATAATCCTGTGTATGGGAAATATAAATTATGAAAATTCGAATATTTAAAAGCCTAAAGTGAAAACTGCTATCCCTCTATGCAATGATAGCATATTTTACAGTTTATATTTTTAATCCTTAATTTTTGCAATTTAAATAGAGCTTTGTATCTTTGAGAATGTAACATTTTTGTCACTTGCATAAATACAAATCAAAAACTATTTTTGTTTTAAGAGTTACTACTGTACTAAGTATTAAAAAATGTCATTATATTTAAAGTTTATGGAAACTACTTGCATTTAAGAGGGATTTCAGTGTTTCGCTGTAAAAGCAGTTTCACAATTTATTCGGATTAATAGATCAATTTAATTTAATTATCATTGTTTTGCTTATGTGTCGTTTATGCTCATATTTGGTGCTTTGCATGGTTACCATTGAAACAACGAAGTGATGGAACTGTGAAGTTGTGGAACTACTACAAGAGAGATCCAAGAAGTTTCCAGAGGAGCACCTCGCTGAAAGGCTAGTGCGCATAGCATAACAAATTGTAGCTATTATGTAATTATGAATTCTTTAATTTATTCTATTTGTTAATTAATATAAATTTATATTAGGATCTGTATTGAAATGACGGCGAACCATTCATTGCCTGTTTGGTGTCCCAATACTTAGATTGTCACATTATTCAGGATTATTTCTAGTTCATATTACGAAACAGTATCAATTTTTTAATTTATATGTAATTAATGTTAACTGTTAACAATTGTAATTACGTATACATTATACGTATTATATACAATGAGGACTGGGTAAATACTCATGTAGCCTATACACGTGAGTAGTAATTAAGTTGTTCCATGTTCAAAAGTGCGTTTAATGTTTTTTTTAATGCAACTTTCAACAGAGTAATGATTGGTCTTATTGCCGCAATTTGCCTAAAGTTATACCCTTAAAAAATAAAACCTATTTAAATAACAGAACAAATTTGGCATTGTCTAGCATCTATTTTATTATAAACATGGATGTGGTAATAATTACAATATTTACTCTTAGTACAAACAATAGTTGGATAATACTGTACAGTCTGAGGTCTCTGTAGGTCCTGTGCAGATGACATTGTCAGGGTTGGCTGTTGTTTAGTTTTCTTCTGAAAATATAATACATTTAAACAATGTATTCTCAAAAGAAAATGGGAGAGAAGAAAATTATTTAATATTCCGCACCGCTTCTTCTTTTTGTGAGCAGTCAGTGATTCTTGACCACTGTCATCGGCACTATCTTCTGACTGACTACTGCTACTACTACTCGATGAACTACTCGATGACCCGCTTGAGGAATCACTGGCCACGCCAGTATCCTCTTTCACGTCGATAGTCTCAGCCAAGGTTGCTAAATCCGGTTCTTTATCCCTAAGCACTTTCAACCATTTACGCGATAATTTTGGCCTCCCACGAACCTACAATTAGAAATTAAGATTCGTATAAATCAAACTATCATGATTTAAGTATTGATGAAAAAGAATAAGCGCATTATCAATTCTTTAATTACTGCATTATAATGTCTTACCGTTTTGTGCCACACCACCGGGAAGTTTGTTCGGGAGCAAAAGTTCTGCGTAACTGCTATAGTTTCATCAAGATTCAGTACAACGTGCCACCAACCCCCGGGAACGAAGACTGTTTCTCCAGGGTTTTGCAGAATTTCTATCGGTAGGCAATCTTGCGGCCAAGACGGTAATTTCGTACGAGGATAAATAACAGAAAACCAAGTGATTGCCTCGTCACGTTGTTTACCACCCGCGGTTGCAGATACCTTAAGAAGTTCACGAGGAGTGTGAGTTGGAAAGAGGCACCAACGCTTATGACCAGAAATTAGTGCATTCCAAGCACTAGTTCCCAATGGATCTATATGAATGCCTGTACCTATTTGAATCCCATTTTGAAGAGCGACATTAGTCCTTTTGTTTTCTTTGCGTTCCATAATGGTGCTAATATTATAGTGATGTTCCTGATATGTAGAAATCACGTACCAGAACGTGCAGGTCCCATAACGAACCAGCGATATGGTGGTCTTCGATGTTCTCCCGCATGTTGAAATAAATCATCTCGAAAATACATTGGAATCATATAGTCTTCAAGTAATTTCTGACGACGAGGATGCTCTCCGAAAGAGCTATCAAAGATGTACAGAGGAGAGTCATCTTCATTGTTCAGCATATAACGCACGTAATACTTCATCTTCATTTTTACACTATATCCCTCATTGTCTTCCCCACATTTAAATTTCTGATTCCGATATTTTTTAGCCAACCTCTATATACCGGTAAAAACAAAATTTTTACAGTCCAGAATAAAGGTACTTCTTTGAGTAAGAGTTGAATCTTATAAGGTTAAATTTGCGGAATTAAATATACCTCTATAGTCCACTTATGCTGGGCTTTCCAGTCACGTTGAACACCACGAATTATCACAGGCTTGTATGGTTTTTCATATAGTTCTATAAATTGTTCTGCAGTCACTTCAGACTCTTCAATTCGATCCACGTTATCTTTAAAATCCCAAAATGGTTCAAATTTTTTATTATAACCATGCTGTGTCCAAGCTATTTTATCCCCAAGTTCTACAAAGTAATTTTACATAAATTAGTTGTGATACAATCTAGAATTTATATTATATACAGTGATGTACAAAAGTATTGACACAGTGGGATTACCAGAATTGGAATAGTGTAGTAACTATGAGAGTACGATTAAGACTGCTATTTTCAATATAATAATATTTTCATATATCATACTTCATTACACCATAAAAAGATCAATTGCAAATAATTTACCAGTAGAAAAAAGTTATGAGCTAAACTGCAGAATATAACTCGTTAAAATTAGCTGTGGATTGTTTAATTTTTTTACATGTAGTCCTTCAAGGAGTCATATTCTGCAGTTTTACTTAGTAACCTTGATTATTTTTGGTACATATATGACATTAAACTGCTTCATTTGTTTGGAAAGATCAGAATTAATAAACAAAAAAGGATGATACTACATAAAAATATTCCTAATGCAGTTCTCATGATAAACAAGAATATAGGAACGAATATATAAAATTAAAATAATATTCTATAATTAAATATTAAAATAAAGTATGTTGCATGTTTATCAAATTAAATTAAAAGTATTTGCACGCCCATATCGAATTACAAAATAGGTTAAAGAATAGGTTATATAGGGACGACTTACCCGGTCTAGCTTTTCTTTTTACTTCTTTGATTCGTTTCTTGGCTCGATGATCTAGTTTAAGTTCGTCCGTCATAATTATTTATAAATTAATTACTTAATTAAACTATTACTGATATATTTACAGTTTAAAATCAAGTAACAGATAACACGTCACGCAACATTGACCGTAATAATGGTTCGCGTGATTTCCACAAGGTGTCGGAATTACGAGATTTGATGAAAAACGTGGTCCTAAATGAATATCACGAAAAAGCAAGGTACTCTCGAAGTTTCTACGATACCACATTGGCATGTAATATTAAGTAAAGTTAATACTAGGATAGGTCAGTCTCATTATCTCATTCCTGTTTACGCCTAACCCAGCATTTTGAATAGCGGTCGGAACTTTTCGTGACGACTCACAAAGTTCTGGCGCGTATCGAAAGAGGCGCTAGTGATCAAATGCCTACGTGACAAGGACCATGTTCATGCAAAGGTTTAACGAACAGAATAAAGCTACGAACACAATTTACATGACATCAAAATAATGCACAGTCGCTTTTGATAGCCTACTTTATGCGACAAATAAAAATTATAAGATATGACAAGTTTTAGTAAAATTTCCATAAAAGCCACGGGAAAGGAATTTAATTACTTTAACGCAATAAATAACAAAAAATCATCTGTTCATTGTGTTCAGAGCCGCACGTTTAATACAAGTGCAACACCACCATTCATAAACTCAAACACGTCCTTGGTAAAAGGCAAAAAACAATTGACGGAGTAACGAACTTTAGAGGCACGCTGAGCAGTTGCCACGTTGCAAAGAGAAAAGGAGTTGGGCCATCGACACGGCTAATTATGAGTAAACCCAACGGGATCTTCACAAAATGTTTAGACAAAAAAAGGCCAGGCCAATATCATCGTACTTTGGAATAAAAAGGAAAGAAGTCTTTAATGGATAACGTCAGAGATGAGATAAATAAAGTTGCTGCTCATTCACCTTAGGTAATACTGGAAAGTAATAATTAGTTCCAAGTTCACATTTATTTAGTGATAGTGATCTTTTGAGTCATCCTGTAGCCAAGGTAGAGCGGTACTTTCGATAGATGCAATTGCGTCTGCAACCTAACGTAAAACGGTGCGCGGGACGCATGCGCAGTGCTGAGGATCAGGGTTGATCATCCGGATGGTAGCCGTGCCAGAGCCCAAGTCAGCCCAAGTACATACGGATACTGGAGGAAGGCATGACGCCATGTTTTGATGTCGTCATCCCCCCCCAAAGCACTCTACTCCATTCCACCAGTGTTTTCTGTTGTGCGGTTGTGCTCTGTGCCGTGAAGTTATTTGGCGAGGCCTCTTCGGGCCGATTTGCATGCGACTCGGATCCAGGTTGCGTTTTCCTGCGATTGTACGCGCGGAAAGGCTATTTTCGCGGCGTTTAATGTGCGGGAAAGTGGCCGTGGAGCGGGGGGGGTCCGCGAGCGTCGTCTACGTGGTGGTGGTGTCCTAGTGCACGCGCGCCAACGGGCTCAGCGGAACTCCGCACGGTTACGTCACGGAACGAAGCTTTCTCGAGGTTCACCGAACGCCCTGGGGATACTTTGCATTGCCGAAGATGGAACTGCGCTTGCATTCTCCGGCTGGAGCAGAACCTATCATTTATCAGTGGCCTCTCACCTCCGGATCGGGATCCGTGAGTTATCCCGTTTTTACGGGGAACCAAAATCGTCTGGTAATGTGCTCGTCTCGATGTTCTCATGCAAAAAAGTATTCTCCAAGAACAATGCCTCTGTCAATGAGAGTTTTTATTTAGATGCATGTAGTACCATGTGCATATATAAACCATGTACTGTAGAACCTTTAAATGACAATGTAAATCTACTATCTGTTTCTAATTATTCTTTCTATTTTTATTGTTTATCATGATTTTCTTCTTGAGTATTTAGCATACAGTATATCAGATGTATCGCTAGTAACCTTATTTCCTCATTTCCAAGTAAATGATTAATTTGCTGGATCTTCATAGAGTGATTTTATTTCTGGATATTTTTTGTGAGTCATTACTTGTAGTTTGTTGCTATTCTGGTAACCTTGGTCGATAAATAATCTCTTTCTGCCTTGACCTATAATTCTCGGCTCAAGGTTTTTAGCCTAAGCAGGCCATTAACCTTAAGCTCATCTTAAAGTTTATTTCTACTATGATTTTCACTTTGATGATCTATTATCTATAGCCTGCAATAGTAAAAAAATTAATAAATCTTCTTTCTTTAAATATAATAAGTATAATTTGCTTATGTTTAATGAATTCAATGAATCTTCGCACATGTATCTTCAGTCATCTTTGACAGCTTTGGCTTCATCGAGAGACATCGCAGACGAATACATTATCTCTTTTTAGATTGTGACCTTTCCAGATGCTTTTTAAGATAGCAATTTTCTGAACCACTTATCATTTGGCCCTTGGACCTCTTTGTTACTCAAGAAATATAATGCATGTGCATTTATAAGACTGTAATATCCTAGTAGGTTATTTTTATCCATCAATGACATTAAACAGCTGAAAGTAATTTGTAATTTGATATAGTCTCCATAGATATCTGTTACATTATACTATTCTATTCCATCTCATAAAGTATATAAGTTATGCAATAATAATGAATAGATCATGTAACATTTTTATTTTATTCAGTATTATGTAATATGAACCTTAAATGATTTATTTAATTCCATTAGATAAAAGGAAATTGGCTGTCAAAGTAAGGTACTATATATATAGTAACAGAATCTCCATTTTTTTTGCATAGCTTACTGTTTCCAAATTTGCTTTGAAGAATTTCTGATTTATGATTTTTGAAGCCAAAAAAGTTTTAACTTACAGCTTGAAATAAATTACCCTCAATAAAACTTTCCCAAAAGCAACTTTCATTTTTATTTTATTCCACAGTCACAGAATGCTTTCAGTCATATTAAAGGAAAAGCTGACGACTAAATTGAACTATTTACCACCCAGTTATAGTTAAATTACCTCTTTTTATAGGATCGGCATGACGGAGCTCTGGACGTCGTTGAAACTATGAGATGGGTTTGCGAAGATTTACCAGATTTGAAACTGCCGTTGGAAAATAATATTCTTTGCAACTACGATACCCGTGATTACGAGAGTATGAAAAACTTGTGTGATAGATTCAATAGGGCTATCGATAGTTTAGTGCAATTGGTAAGTCCTGTTACTTCGTTCAGTATCTATGGCAATCCCTTCAGGTACCCATACGACAATGATAATTTAAATCAAATTATGTACAATTTCTCTCTTTCTATGAATGCAGGAAAAGGGTACCAGTTTGCCCTCGCAAAGGCTTAATAAAAGACCCAGCAGAGGCTTACTGCGACATATATTGCAACAGACTTATAATCAAGCTGTAGTAGAACCTGATAAATTAAATCAGTATGAGCCTTTCTCGCCAGAAGTTTACGGCGAAACTAGTTACGAGCTCGTTTGTCAGATGATCGATCAGATCGACGTAACGGACGACGATGTCTTCGTCGACTTAGGTTCGGGCGTCGGTCAGGTGGTTCTGCAGATGGCAGCGGCCACACTTTGTAAGATATGTATTGGCGTCGAAAGGGCTGATGTACCTTCCAAATATGCACAGGTACATATGTTTTTATATCCTCATCATTAAACGATTGACATACGATTAATAGCTGAAATAATCAATTTTGAATTCAAAAAGTATGTTAAATGTACACTGATTTTGCAGAGCATGGAAATAAACTTTCGCAAATGGTTGAGCTGGTACGGAAAACGATGCGGCGATTATCGTTTAGTGAAGGGGGACTTCCTAGCCGACGAACATCGAGAAAGCATCACTGGCGCTACGATTGTATTTGTTAATAATTTTGCATTCGGTCCGACAGTGGATCATCAGTTAAAGGAACGATTTGCAGACTTGCGCGACGGCGCACGTATCGTTTCGTCGAAGTCTTTCTGTCCACTCAATTTTCGGATCACTGATAGAAATCTCAGTGGTATTGATCATTCCTTTATTTATCTCATTGTCACGTTACGCCGTAATGATTTAGCGATTGCCGTTATTCTCACTCATTAAATCACGTATAAAAAATATTAAAATTTTTTTCTTATCCGCAATCGTTAAAAGCGTGCGATTCTTTTAAAGAGAAAGAAAATATTATGAAATATCATTTATTCGTCATGTTACGATATTAATAGCAAATTTTTATTCACAGATATAGGTACAATAATGCACGTGTCGGAGATGTCCCCGTTGAAGGGTTCCGTCTCTTGGACCGGTAAACCAGTGTCTTACTACCTCCACGTAATTGATCGAACCAAGCTGGAACGATATTTTCATCGTTTAAAGAATAACAAGCAAGGAGGGCTAGACATTGAAAATTCCGATTCTGTGATAAGCAACACTGCCAGCCATAATAGTAGGATGTCTAATAGAGGGGAAAGAGGTGACAGAGCAAAGAGGGATCTTTCAAGGCAACTGGACAGTCCCAACAATTCGGAACAGCAGGGAACTAACAGTGACTCGGATCTTGATGATGGCAGTATAAAGAACCGTCGGCAACCCACTAAAATCCGTAGAAAACTTAATAGAAAAGCGACTAACGGTATCGGAGCGAGGCCTCCGGCGCGGGGCAGGCAGAGGGGCAGAGGTGTTAAAAAGTCGAAACCTAAAAAAGCCATCAATATCTCTGGTTTGGATTTACTACACAGTCAAACGTTACTTAGTACTTCGCCTCAAGCTTTAGGGAAAAAACCACCGCCAGCGCCTGGTTGTGTCGATCAGCAACTCTCATCACTCTCGCTGTCACTCCAACCACATTCTACTTCTGTACACGAGGAATTAAGTATACCTCCTGCACCTTCTGCGACTCCTTACGCCCTGCAGATTCTTTTGGACTTATACAGGTGCGTGTGTAATGTTAAAATTCTTCTATGAAATAAATCATAGAAATTAAAGTGTTTCACGATAAGTAAACCATCGTTTTACGTCGATTACAGGGACCAATTTATGGTTATGCTGGAGTCTATGAGAACACCTACGTATAGAGTGTCAGTAAATACAGATATCGCAAAAGAAAGAGAGAGAAATTCAAGATTGCAATCGCGAGCAGCTCAATTAGAGAAGCAAATAAAAGTCTTAATTGACGACAGCGTAGCATTATTAAAAGCCCGAATGACCGAATTGGGTATAAATGCAACGTCGCCAGGAGACTTGTTAGCGAAAGCCAAGGAAATTGTTCTACGGCATAAACAGTTGCAAGCTAAAGCAAGCAAATTACAGGCACAAGTATCATCAATGGAGGCTGAGCAGACAAGACTGACCGTCATTAGGCATCAAGAGCTGCAAGAAAAGTACAATAGCCATGCTAATGCAAATGGCATTACCAATCCACCGCAAGCACTAACACAGGATTATATACTAAAAGAGATCTCCGCCACATTATCGCAACGAAAACGATTGCATTCTCAGGTAAGCTAGCTGCTTTCATTTGTATGCGCGCAAGTAAGCAATTCATTTACTTTAATTTAATATGGTCTAGAATTCAATTGATGCAAACGTGACTATATAAGAAAATTTTTGTATAATGCAGGTGTCTAAATTGGAACATGAATTGAATGTATTAGAAAGAACAAGTAGTGAAAAACAGGCAGCCACTATGGCTCAACAACAACAAAGGGATGCGATCAGTGCAAAACATACACAAAATCAACATATTCAGCAGCAACCTAGTGGGAAGGGGGGGTCTCGTAAAAGTAGGGAGGGTCGTTCCAGGTCTCAGGAATGGCCAGACGTTCCGGATATTGGTAAGATACAGGAGAATAATCCTGAAATCTTAGCGCAAAAAATTCTAGAAACAGGGAGGCAAATAGAGGCTGGCCGAATACCGAGTAGGCAAAATTCTAACGCGTCTAATGCATCGAGGGCTAGGCTCCCTCAGGCAACACTTAGTTTTTCATCCTCATCATCCTCTTCATCCTCACAATCACAAGTCAATAGCAGGGATTCGTCAAATAGAGTACAAGAGCCTCCCAGAGTAGCTAATTTTGAAGATAGGCTAAAGAGTATCATTACAAGTGTGTTGAATGAAGATCAGCAAAATAGGAGTAAGCAGCAGCAGCAAATGCAGCTGCAAGTGCAACAATTACAACAACAGCAACAACAAATTGAGCCTGAAAGAAAGCGTGTTGCACTGCCACAAAATGTTACTACGCCAGACTACACTCAGGTATTTTTTATGTATTCAATTTGCCTCTTCGTCGAGGTATATCCACTTCAAGTTGTAAATACCATTGCACGATTCGCATTTTCTATTATCTTCTACTATTAACCTTATCATTTTACTCACATCTGCATGTAAATTTTCACAACTCTGATAGTGCTGCGCTTGAAAGTAAAATGAGCTTCATTTTAGGTTTCACCAGCAAAGTTAGCCTTACGAAGGCATCTGTCTCAAGAGCGTCTCTCTTCTCACTTAACGATCTCGGACAGACCCACGTCTGACACCCGACAATCGAGTCACGATAATCGAATGGCTGCAGGAGGAGGAAATACAGGCGAAAGTGGGATACTGGGGACTCGCACGATCGGTGATCTCGTCAGTGGGGAAATTGAGAGAACTCTTGAGATATCGAATCAATCAATAATAAACGCAGCGGTGGATATGAGCGCCATAATACGTCCTGAGGCTGTATATTCACCTATTAGTAGACCTGCTAGTGCTGAAGGAGACGTGGGTTTGGCTACGTTAGCGCATGTCGCCAGTTATGCACCTACCCCTACGGCAGTGTCGACACCGACACCAACCACGGCATCTCGTTCATCTGTACTCTTCACCCCAGTCACACAGCCGCAGAGGTGAGCATCTTGATAAATCATTATTTTAAATCTTCTAAAACTCGTCTCGCGGTAATAATATAATTGGAAAACGAAATTGCTTAGGTATACACCCGTACAATTACCACGGGCGGACATTAAGCCTTACCACGAGTCATACTTTGCTGACAATCCATCTCAACCCTCTACGCAACCTCATCCACCGACGAGTCTACATTCGTCGCAAACTTCGTCAAACGGTGAATTGTTGCCAGTAGAAGGCTTGGCAGCATCCCTTCATGCGCGAATACTCAACAACCACAACAGTAATAATAGCACTGCCAAAAGTGATCCTTCGGTTGCCAGTAGTAGAAGGTGTGCAGTATATACATAGATATTGAATGAATTTCAAATGCGAATGGACATGCTTATAATTTGGATTACAGATATCAACCATATCCCCGTTATACGAGTGGGAATAGTAGTAGTAGCAACGGTAGCAACGTAACTACGACCCAGTTGCAGTCGGTGATGTCTGTAAAGACAGAAGCAGTCATATCAACGGTTAGTACGAGCGGAGCACCTTTAAGTCCTCTTGTGGAGCCACATTCGAACACATCCACGCCCCTGGTCGACGAGCCACATATGACAACGCAAAGGCAGCGCAATGGAAACGGTGAAGACGGTGAGTGACCCCTTTTGTTACTAGGCACGATTCCCAACTGGAATATATCTTATCTTTTATTTCTTGGTAGATCTTTGTATGCGTGAGTGTATGTAAATTTAATTTGAACCGAACTAGAAAAACGATAGAACAATAAGTAAAAATGTACAGCTAATTAAAGTTTTATAAACTTTACGGAATTTAGGTCTGTTTGATGTTATAAATATTATGCAGTCATTGGTTTATTGTTGTTGCAAGACGATTACGATATGTTATAATAATGTTATCCTATATTTGCTCATGTTTATTCTAATTATAGAAATTTATATAATGAATATATATTTACTATGGAACACCCCATGTGCCATTTACAAAGCGATGTCCCAGTAAAAATATCATTCGGAAAAGTCATCTTGTTGTCGTGCGCCAGTTTTTTTTTTTCGATGATAATGCATCTAGAGAGACTTTAGCGAATTGTGACATATTGCTAAAAAATTACTCGTACATCGCTTTACGATATATTTTTACTAAAAATTTCCGCTTTCAACTCTACATAGACACTGTTGTATCTACTTTCTGCTATGCATCTTACATTATTTTATTTCGCTAACTAATGGTTTATTATTCATTACCTACAGTTTACCTTATCTTACCTTACGGAGCTGGCACCTGATCTTTATTCATATTTATTTTTGTTGTTGTTTGATGTATTTGTTAGATGCACTGTAGCTGTTTGTTGGTTAGCTCTGTCTGTCACATACTCAATCTCACTCACAACCCCTGAAGCTTGTTTTGTTAGAGATTGAGAGGCACAGATCAGAGGGAGAAATCAGAAAGAATGGCTGCCTTTGGGTTGGTTCGTGGTTGCTGGTGAGTTGTCCCACAGGGGTTGTTCCAAATTTTCTTATTATTACACTCACAAATCAATCGCTATCTAATGCCTTCCATTCTCGCATTCTCTCTATATATAACACTTAGCATTATTGCTATAAATTCCGAATATCCACATAAAAGTGTATCGTCGTAAGCTGTAATATTTCCATGAAAATAAGCCAACCAGAGCGGTACGTCTTCCGTGGATGCCATTCAAGACTTTAATGACAATTAGACCGTTGACGCAAAGCCACATCTTTAAATGAAGCGACGATTAAACTATCTCGTAGAAACAGGTGCACGGTTGCATGAGTACAAACTTGTATTAAATCAAATAAATTACATTAAATTTTTCATACAGATCATAATGAACGTGTAGTTCAGTTTTTGTAGATTTGGCTAACGTGAACAGAAGAAGCCAAAGTAAGGCTGACGTGTATACAATATGTATACACGTCATATGCTATATGTATACAATATGATTTAATGCTGTTGTGCCTGAAGCAACAAGGTAACGTGCATTTGGAACACCGAGGGTGGCCATTCTTAAGAAACAACTGAGACGACTTTAAGTGATAAATTAGTAATGTATAACAACACTGCATACTCCACGGACCTAAAATCTGTATGACGCATAACACTTTGATAGCCATACGTAGTCGTTCGACTTTGGTGAATGGTAAGAGACTGCATGACATACCTATCGTAGCGAAATGCTAGGCTCGTAACTCTGCTTTTAACGGTGACGGTGAGAGCAGCAAGGTAAAGGCTTATTTTTATGAAAATATGTCAGACTGTTATTCGTGTATCGCGGCTATCAGGCGCTGTAGCTAGTTTGGCCTTACAGATGGAGAAGCTGACTGGCAGGACCGAATCAGCTCAGGATTCGACAGGCTAGTCGCATTCGCTTCCACCGAATTGGACAAGAGAAGGAGATCCACGGAAGGGGTGAACACCAGCCCTGACAGTGGTTTAGGTTCAGATAGCGCTGTATTAGGCCCTCCACCGGTAGTTCCATCCCCCGACGAAGCGATTGGGCCTCCTAGAACACCTTCTCCGACTAGTCCACGTCCTCCGAATCCTTCCAGTGGTACCAGCAGCAGTTCGGTACCTCTGAAGTACCAGCGTCAACCGGATCCCGAGAGGCATCATTTTAAGAAAAAGTTTTTTCATAGAGACTGGAATAATTCCGGCAGTACAAGTAAATTTCGTCCTAAGGGCAAAGATTGGGACTGGCACAATTCGGGGCAGTGGCCTCCTAATGGCGAGCAATCCTAACCCATCTCACCTTTTACGATATGAGCGAACGATTACCTTGATTTAGCGGTTCCAAATCATATTAAATGATTGAGAATGAGTCTTGAAGTGTACAGATCAGCACGTATATGGATGCACGTATGCAGACGAACTTTACATATGATCATCTAGTTCACACAAGTTAGATCATGATAAATCTGTATCTGCGATTTTGTAATACTACAAGGAGTAGAATGTATGACTATGAAAATACTCTTGAAGGGGGGGAGAGGGGGGGGTGTCTAGATTTACTTAGGTGGTCCAGTCTCTTCTGGATATCCCCGTTAGGTTAAAGTAACGACATATTGACTGGGCAGCAAGATTAAATCTGTATCCCTTATCGCGAGGCTTGTATTGGCTTTTCACGGCCTTGCGTATGTATAAATTATTTGTTATTTGATTTAACGTCAGATATAGGCGAGGGATGCTGACCGAATGAATAAATGAATAAAATTGCCGGTGTAGCTTATGATGGGAATGTATGTATTCACAGTAAAGTACCATCGAGAGTAATGTTAAACGCTATCGAGGTCGCGTTGGCTGATAGTCTGTGCACCTATGGAAACGATGGATAGGACGCCGGCGTCTAATCAGCATTATAAAAACATTATGTTCTATGTTCGTTGTGCCATGTTCCACTGGTGTGTGGACTGACGTTGACTAAAAAAGCGAAACTACCAAACCTCTGTGTGTTCGTTGTAAATTATCGCTGTGAATTTTCTACGTAGCGACATCTCCCATTGTTCATGGAAGATTTTTTACTCAAGTGTTCACTGTCGACCGTAGTGACGTTATGGCGACAGACAACAACGTAGTCATTTCACTGCAAGTTTCCAATATTTGAACTCTGGCACAATTACACGAATCTGTAAGGATGCGCCGCAAATCCAAAGAATGATCTCCGCGAGTACTGAAGTTTTTCTAGGTGATGCATCTAGACGGGCAAATTTACGTTTTTCAAATTTGTCAATGAGAATGGGTGCGAACGTGTTCGAATTTGTGCGTGAATGTTAAAAAAAAGTATCTCTTAGCTATTGCGCAACGTAATTGTATAAAAAGAAACGTGCTCGTTTTTCAGTCGACAATGTAAAAAGCGCTTGATTTGTCATACATAATTGTAATTAATGAATGAATTATTTAATAACCCCTATACATCAGTACATGATAGTTATTGTAATGTAGGCACCTGCCGACTTTAGCATGTTACATACACTGCCGAATCTTCTATTAATTAATTTTATTATTATTGATCATGATTATTATTTATTGTTTTTATTGGAATATTTTAATACTAAGGTTTTTGTAACAAGCAACTTTCATCTTCTCTTTTACTCCTACCTCTCATATTCGATTTCCAATTTGTGCTGTACTCGGAAACAGGATCAATTACCGTTTTAGAATTAGTACACGTCATAAAATTCCAAGAGAAATAGCAGTCTTAAATACTGAGATGAGATTTAGCCAAAGACTATTTTTGAGAGACCAATATCAATGAATTTTCTATTCTATGGCGGTTTAAGTTCTAGGTTGGATAACTAAAATTTTACAAAATCGTACATGCATACATAAAATGGACAGGAACTTTTATGTAGTTGATTGCGTCGGTTTTCATTACGGTATAGAGCAATGATGGGAAGAGTAATTAATTTATTGTACATTATATCTAAATACGTTTGATTTATGGACAGCTATTCCCGTTAGTTGCTCATAAACTAGTCCATTTTCTACGTGCGGGTGAATAGATTAAGGCAAACATCGGCGAATGTATGTACAAGCTATAACTTCATAGTTAATTAAGAATGTCAATTGAATATTAGACGCTGCTGTAGCTTTTGTACGGAAAATTAGAAATGCGACTAGAAAAATGTATAAAGAGATCGTTACCTGTCATGGAGGATTTATTTTATAAAAATTTTGCAACTTAGGACATCGATGGCGAAAAAATATTATATAATTTTGTCTAAACGGAAATAGATAAGGGATATCGATTTATGACAAATAACAAAGTGACAATGATACTCGAGGAATAATGAAAAGTTATTGATTCTGTATATACTTCGTAACTGTTCAGTAAGATTCAGAGAATTGAAGTATAATATTGTATCACAAGACTAAAAACGCAACACAGTGCTTTGAGACGACGTACAACTTTTATATGATTCACTGCAGCATCGAACCCTTTTTCATTCTTAAATAAACTGTTGATCTTACTTTATGAAGTAAGGTTTATTATAAATGTTTATTCGATGCTTGAGGGGTCAGCGACATGGTAATGGAGGCACCAGCATGCAATTCGTTTCGTATGGATTTCCATGACAATCATATATATAAAGACTGCGGGTCTTCCGCATGCCCATATAAAATGTCTGTTCTCACTGATAATTCCATTCATTTGAACTTGAAACTGGCTGAACTCAACATGATTCTCAAAGTAAATGTACTCTTGTTAGTAATACTTAACGCGATACGCGGTCAGGACATCAATGACGACGTGGAAGTAATTCTTCTACCAGTGAGGAATTCATACAGTGATACTGAGGTAGATAATGGTCATTAAATACGTTTTATTGCCCCTTCAATCTCCAAATGTTAAACATATTAAACGAGCTTCGCACACTGTAAGAATCGGGATTTAACCTACTGTTGACCACAACAATAACTTTGACCAAAGTTAACTGTTTTTAGGTTCCGCTAAGATTTCGAGTCTTCGGGCAGACGATCGAGTTGAACTTGCGAAAGAATGATAAACTCTTAGCACCTAGTTTCAAAGTGTGGCGGCACAATAGCGAGGACATTCTGGAGGAGGCACCCGAATTAAATAGACCCGCGGCATGCCACTACCTTCACAGAAATCATTATAGCTCAGCAGCCATTAGTCTTTGTCGACGTCGTGCAGTGGTCAGTATATTCTTTTTAACGTTACACGAGTGACAGACGTGTGTACTACTGGAATAGCAACATGCAACTGTGACCCCATTCATTTTCATACACAGCACGGTTTTGTTTTTTTGGAAAACGTCACTCTCGAAATAACTCCATTGCGCCATGCAGACACATGGTCCTTCGTTGATCATACAATTGAAGGACGTTCTGGAGACCTTCTTCGAGAGCCCCATGTCGTGAGACGAGCCTACGTCACCCCGGCGATAAAATTGCACGAAGATTACTTGAGAAGGCGTGATGGATTATCGATATTCAAAAATGACATACCTATTGATAGTGAACTCTTCTCCAGACCAGCTAGGGGTCGTCGCGAAAACGGTTTAACACTAGAGCTGGCGGTATTCCTGGACGAAGCTGGGTACAATTTATTCTCCCCTTTCTTTGACAGAAACGAGGAGAAGTTGTGCGATATGTTGTTGGCATACATAAATGGAGTGCAAGCTTTATATCATCACCCAAGTTTAGGGGCAAAGATTGACATTGCTCTTGTGAGGCTGGACATGATGAAGAGGCAACCTTCGGATATGCCCCATTACAATGGAGAACGTGGCAACTTGTTGGATTCTTTTTGTCATTATACCAAGAAGCATAATCCGTCCAATGACAAGGATCCGAATCATTGGGACATGGGACTGTACGTATCGGGTTTAGATTTCTACGCCATGGAAGGTGGCAGGAAAAGCAGCGTGACCATGGGTCTGGCAACTGTCGGTGGCGTATGTCTAGATCAGTACTCATGCGTCATTGCGGAACTTGGAGTAACTAATCGCTTTGGAAAGCCTTATCCGTCTGCTGGTTTTACCTCCGTTTACATAGCAGCGCATGAAATTGGTCACAAGTAAGTAATTCTGTGTGATCGTAATCGTTGCTTCTAGTTTTACTTACCAATATAGAGATCAACCAGTATCCTTTTAATTAAAGTCTGGGCATGCATCATGATTCGACCGGTAACACCTGTCCTAAGGATGGTTACATCATGTCACCGAGTAGAGGGACGCAAGGAGAAACGATCTGGTCGCAATGTAGTCGAGATGTAGCTAGGAAGCTTTCTCAGACGAAACCTTGCCTACTGGATCAGCCGCCTGTAAACAGTGAGAAGTCTTTGGACCATGGCAAATTTATTGATCTACCCGGAAGGCAATGGGATGCCAAGAAACAGTGCGAATTTCTTTTGCGAGATAAGGATGCTGTGGTAGTAACTCTATCTGATGCTTGTCAAGCGTTACAGTGCAAGAGTCCACATCGCAGTGGGTACTACTATGCTGGACCTGCTTTGGACGGGACCCGATGTGCAGAACGAAAGGAGTGCAGAGGTGGAGAATGTCTGCCGGCACTCCAACTGCCCAACGGTGGACAGAGTGCTGTCATTAAGAAAGGTGGATGGAGTGCTTGGAAAGCGGAAGGCTGTAGGAGTGGTTGTATACAAAAATGCAAAGGAGCTCAGCCCAGGAGACGTTATTGCGACAACCCACCACCGACAAATACAGAAGCTGGTTGTGAAGGACCGAGTTACGATGTTTTGCTCTGCAGCGATGAGAAATTGTGCAAGGCCAAGCGTAAGAGCGCCAGTGAATTTGCGACAGCCAAGTGTAGCAAGTTCAGCGAGAAGTTGCCTGAATTGGACAGCAAAGGAAGCGGACTCCAGGCGCCTCACGAGACTGAACGACCATGGATGGCCTGCGCCATATTCTGTCGCCGTAAAGATGGAGGCTCCTACTACACACCACGCATAGAATTAAACGACCTTGGCCTTGACCCATATTTCCCAGATGGAACATGGTGTCACACCGAAGAGGGACAGGATTATTTCTGTCGACAACATCATTGCTTACCGGAAACCTTTCGCTTTGGTAAGGAATTGATCGAGAGTCATGGAGACGAAGATATGAAACTGGGCCCTCAGAATGCTCGTCCGGATGGTCATAAGCTTCCTGATCAGCTGGTAAAGTATCTCAGTCTAGGCCCAGATGGGCTACCATTGCTAACGACATTGTCGCCGGGTGTTGCCTCACCTCCCAGCGAGGACGACTGGACGGATAAGGACTACATTGAGTTGCCAAAGCCTGTTGAGGAGGAGGACTCCTTAGAAATGAAGGAGGAGCCGCAAATCTCTCAGCCACGCGTTCCAAAATTGCTCGACCTCGACACTATGTTTTCGGATCCTCTTTGAGTAGGGCAGATACCTCAATCAGCGACCTCCACCTATTTTTGTGTAATTCAATGCTATTATTATCTTCAGATGTCTGAGACGTTTGTATCGTCGATCCAATAAATGAACCGATACAATACACCTACATTATATTTATATATAACCGGATGGATGTATTTGCGCGTCTGCACTCACGGCGCATGTTCCCTACGTTACGTGTAAAAGCGTGACCCCTCTTGCTCCTCTGCCTTTCCGAAGAGAGACATAGCTCGATATACATATGTAACGGGAGTAGCGTTGTGTGAGTTGCACGAGAGAGTATCTTGACCGGTAGGCGGATGACGTCACCCACTCCGCTGACTATTTTAGGAGTGTCTCGCTGCTATCTCACACCACGGAACGAAGAGAGAGAGAGACACCTAAAGGAGACATCAATACTCTGGTGAAGAACAAAGCCGCCAGGGCGAATGTGCTACCACAACACGATGAAATAATATAACTTGTGATGCATTTTTTATATTATTTGGTGTACAAATAATTAACCAACTTTTAAACTTAGGTTTCGCAATTGAAATTACAATAATAAACAAGAAATTATTTTAATTGTTACAAATATGCAGGATTTTCATACACAAAGGGTTGACAGTATAAATGAATTGCATAGACGCTTTTCTCATTCTCACGACATATTATACATTTACTCGCATTCATAACCTTACATAAATCGCATTTTCACTATACACATTTAACTCAACAAAAATCACATAAATTAGCATCGATATACATTCTCACTAGGTAATTGCATATAACTTAGCGCATCGAACATCATTCATACACTCGTAATTTTTTTTATCGTTTAGGAGTAGTCTTCCAAACATGGAAGAGTTAAAGGGATTTTTCGCGAACTATCTTGTTCAATATATGCAAGGTATCAAATTAAAAGCTTGAACAAGTTGAAATGGCTCCAGAAATGTCAGATAGGAAAAATTAATTTCTATGCCGTTTTGAATACCTCGCAAAATTGTCTTATGAGAGAAAACAAAGATAACGATCGATATCTATTTTTTTTATCGTCACGTTTACGTTAAATTCTCCAATCGTAATATATCGTTAATGTACTATAACGTACAAGAGTCTTTAGTCTCGTTCATCAAAACCGATCAGAGTCCTAGAGTTATTGAGATATTCATTCGCCGACTCTTCTTCCTTTACTTTCGAGTAATCAATTTGGTAGAGTATCATACAATATATCCTTTACACTTTGCGTTAACGAGTCAGGGAACTTAATATCGAATGCAACCAGAAGATCTCCTTTACGCGATGGTTCCTTAGGGAAGGGAAGACCTTGTCCTTGAATCCTCTTCACCGTAGTCGGCTTCACAATTTCCCTTGTCAAGTTCAAAGTGATCTTCTCTCCAGACAAAGTGGGAACTTCAATCACTGTTCCACATAAGGCCTGCTTTAAGCTCATCTTGCAGGCATACCTGATGTCACTGCCTTCTCTCCTGAACAGAGGATGTGGCTTGTCTCGGATGATGAAGACGATGTCAGCAGGAACTTTACCACGGCCCTGATCACCCTCCTTCTGGAAAGTAATCTTCGTTCCCGCTTTCCAGCCTGGCTTGACATTTATCGTCAAAACTTTGTCTTCCTTTTTGGTGGTACCGTCTGGTTGTACGACTCGCCTTGAAATCTTCATCTTCTTTGTGCAACCCCGTGTGATGTCTTCTAAACTGACATACAGGTCGTGCTCTATAGGTGGATCCTGAGCACGATCCTTCCCACCACCTCTACCAGAATTAGAGCCAGCGAAATTGAACGAGTGAGATCTGAAGGCTCCACCAGGACCGGCGTTTCGTGCAGGACCCATTCCCAGATGGAAGGGATCGTCGAGGTCCATTTCGTCATCGTGGAACCCAAAGACTCGATTGCTTCCGCTTCCGCTTCCACCAAACTCAAAGAAAGTCGAGAATGGCGTAGCTGAGCCAAAGAATTGAGCGAATGTGGCCCTTGGATCTCCGTGGAAGGTGTAGGTGCCACCGCCACCATTGCCGCCAGATGATGCTCCTCCTTTCAGCCCCTCTTCGCCAAACTTATCGTAGACTTCCCTCTTTTTAGTGTCAGATAGAACTTCATAGGCTTCAGCAATCTCTTTGAATTTTTCCTCGGCTCCGGCGCTTCTGTTTTTGTCAGGATGGTATTTTAACGCCAGTTTCCGATAAGCCTTCTTTATCTCATCGTCACTGGCACCTTTGTTGATGCCAAGCGTTCTGTAGTAGTCTTTACCCATGATGTAGATATCTGTAAATGATAACAAAAGATTTAATACTGCACTATCCCTTAAATAATAATTATTTTTATAAATAATTATCCAACTGAGTCATCCTCTTTATACAATATTTGTTAAATAATCGATAACATTTTAGATCACGCGAGAATAGTCTAGAAAATAATTACGATCAGAAAGAAAAATTAAATTCCAAGTGGGACTGCCTCTGCTTCTCGGTATCAGGGAATCACGTTATTTGACTTTAAGTAGGATTAAAAAATCATGTACTTCCCATATGTAATCCTACTTCAATTCCACACGATGGAAATAGTCATTGTTCACTTAAGAAACCGGGATATTTATACATAATATTTCAATTTCGTTGCGGTATCTATTAATCTACTACTTTTCTGAAGTTTTACTGTAGCCTTACGCAAAGGAGTAGTAACTATCACCAATCTCTGTATCTCCACGCGGCGACCCCGTATACTCGTGGCTTCACACGTATATACACAGACAGCCGACGCGAACGAGTACTTTCTCGATCCTTCACTATGGATTTATGAAAGCCTAAAGAGAACCCACACGAGCAATCATTTAAAACGATATGCCTACACAACCTCGTATTCGCAATCACACGACAGTACATATTCGCGTCTTCGTCAAGGCTGTTTTTTAGCCTCGTTTGGACAAAGAATACTTGGAACAGACCAGGGCTAATGTTCGTACCGTATGCTTCAGAATAAGACAACGATCAAGTGAATGATCGTAGATACGCGGAAAAAAATCTAGTTTTGTCGATGTTTGAAATTTTCCCGATTTTTCTTCGGTCTCCCTGTTACGAGGATATCGGTGCCCTCCTAACACACCCACGTACGTATCACATATCTATTTCGGGCAGTGATGATACCAACGCGGCAACGAAGATCTTTTGAGCGAGCAGCGATTCCCCAAACAACTCAAAAATAAACCCACAAGCAAATTGAGATCAACGATATTATTTATTGATAAGTTGAACGATAAAGATCCACGTATCTTCTTTCCAAGATCAACTCACTTGGCTGATTCCATTCGATAAATTCTTCTGTGCCAGAAGTTACGTTTATGGTATTTTATTTGATATGTACCTTTATCTATGGATATATCCTTCCTCTTTCGTTCTTGTCAAATATCCAGTTGGCACTAATAATTAAAACTTGCCTCCAAATGGAGATGTAATTGCTCAAGGATTCTGTATAACAGATTCCGCTTAGACACGTCCACTTCACAAGTCTTATGATGAACTAAAGAGTCGCGTAGGCTGCGCAGCCCATATATACAAAGGTTCGTTCTAGCAGTTTCCGGAACTTTCGAGAAATGGCTCGATGATAGTGCGATCAACTTCCGTGGCGCTTTTGCGACGTCACTACCCAGAGTATGACAATATATTCGAATGTATCGCAAAGAACCTGATTGATTAATATGAGAAATAAATTTTGTAATAATTATTTTGTAAATCTACTGACAAAAAAATATGTTTATAGTTAAACGTAAGTTTGATAACTTAGCGTTATACCCGATGGAAGATTCGAGTTTGAAATATCTGAATGCGTCACTAGCGCCGCGGCTTTTATACCGGCGATCCCACCACCAATATACCGGGTGTTCAAAGAGTACCGCTAACGTATCTAATGTAAAAATAAACAACTATATTTATATTCGAAGTAATTATAAGGATAGTTTGCCAAAACAATTTATTGTAAATACAATCCATCAATGCGTAACAATAATCAAGTTATAAAAGATAAATTAAAGGCAACAAAGAAATGTTAGGAAATATTTTACATCTTACCATTTATGAATTTAAACGTACAATACTGCTATCGGCTTAGCCGTAAAAATAATGCGTGTTTGCAATCTCTTGAATTCGGTGACATGTATTTGTCATAAAAGTCTTGTATAAATTCTTCGACTTTGAAACCAAACTTTTGATATAGAATCAATGCTGGATTTGTAGCTGATACGTGCAACGTAACATCTTTACCCATGCACGTTTGTATTAAATGATACAACATAAATGTGCCGATACCAGCTTTACGCCACTCAGGTCGTGTTAAGAAAAAAGAAATGTAAGCTTCGTTGTAACCAACATCAGGTACCAAAATAGCAAATCCGATGACCAACTTTTTGTAAAGCACGACACAACTGAAGTCTGGATATTGTAGACACTCGGTTACTGAAATCGATACAATCGTATATCAAAAATATATTTTTATAACCACTTATCTATATTTTGTCTATTGCTTTCGTTTTCCAATGTTTAATAATATACTTACAATCAATGCCAGGCCAAAAGAATTGGTTGCACAGACTATTAATGGCGGGAATGTGTTGTGGTCTAACATAAGAATAATCAATTGGTGCTATTGGAGGTGGTTTCCAATGCGGATTGGTTCTATTAACTTTGGCACGAAGTTCTTCCATCAATCTTAACCAAACTGGTCGACAAGAAGTGTCTCTTCTTATAAATGGTTTTAGAAGTCTATTTGTGTAAGGACTATGAACGGATGTTGGCTCGTTATAGCCTTGTAATCGTTGTTCAAAGAATCCTTCTGTATTATCATTAAAAAATCTATCCAGTACACGATTGCTTTTTTTGTGATTTCTGTGAGGCACTTCTGTCTTGGCTCCAAAACGGTCGATATCAAGAATCGGTAAACTATAATCTCGCTTCAATTTTCGTATAAACAGTTTTCTGTACAAACGACGAATGGATGATGGCGCAGAATTCAGTTGAGATTTATCAAATTTTTGTATAAGATATGCCTCCTCGTGCTCGCTTATGCGTGGCTTTTTTTCACCTGTAATGAGATGTTACAATAAATCAACAATGTTGTATGTTTCTAAATTACAGCTATACGAATATATTTACCATTTGTAATACTTTTTTCCCATGGCCAATCTCGACGCTTTTTTATATTGAAAAGTGATGAGCGCGGTTGTTCCTGAACGGAACTAAGACTATCACTACTATACTCATTGTATTGCTCTTCCTCTTCACCATCTCTGGTTTTATCAATTTTGTTAATATCATGATTGCTAATCATGTCAGGTGAAGTGACAATATTACTTGTCCATTCTGGAGAAAAATTATCTAAAAGTTGTGAAAAATGTGTATTGCTATGTTGGTATGGTTGATAATTTTGATTATGAAAATCAGACATTAGTTCTGTCAGAGATGGTGTTTCTTGTTGAACATTTAATTCTATGCCGTCTTCAATATCTAACATATCCATATCTGTAAATATATATTCCATTCAATAGGTATGATCTGTTTATTAGTATTTTGTATTAATGCAGGTCCCCCTACCTTGGATATCATCTTCAGCTAATAAAAAGTCTGACAGCGTCTCGCTTGGTTGTACATAAGCTCGTGAGTACATTGATGGTCCTTGACTCCTGGAAGACTCTCCACCATAATTACTATCTTCACCGACTGATATGCTTGATTCGGATGGTGTGGGGCTATCATATCGTTTATTACTGGAATTTTTAACTGGATTGTTTACTTGTTTCTTACGATCCATAATCATTTTTCCATCTAAAACAGATTCATATATATGGTTACAAACATTTAACATGATTATTATATTTATAATTTAAAGCAAGTATGCTACTCAGCATCAAAACTTACTTTTAGCTATTAAAATTTCAGGAGGATCATTGTCTAAAAGTCTCCACCATCCTGACTCACCAAGTTCCATAGTACCTGACTTGAAGAAGATTCCACTATAATGAGATAATGTTCCTGATATGGTTCCAACCCAATTTTTTTTCCGTTTCCTGAAATGTAATTTAATTCGCATGTTATAGACTTTATAGTAAGATTAATAGTGAAGTATCGAGCAACTATGTAGAATTGAAACTTACACTGTTTTTTTGAATAAATAGTCCCAGTTACGATCAACGAATGTACTAATATCAGACTTCCAATGAAAATATCCTCTTTTACTAATGCCACTAGATTTTTCACGTAAATTATACAAGGTTAATATAATTATATTTAGCCACGACATTTTATCTCTGGTTATTACTTCTTCCTCGCATGAACTGCAATCAGTACAGTTCAATTCGAAGAATACATCCCCTATGAAAGTTCCAGGTATCCCTCCACGTTTTAAACAATTAACGTGAATTTTTCTATCACAACCTCCTGTACATCGAAGTGCTGGATTTTCATAAGGATCACATGCGATTCCACAAATTTTACACGAATGGATTTCTACTGCATCTGCATTTGTTGTTGTTGTAATCTCTGAAAAACTTGCTTCAGTCATATTAAACAAATGCAACAATCAGTTTAAGCGAAAATGGTGTTGGAAAAGACAAAAGATTTGCTCATTAATATTTATCACAATGAAACGGTAACTTTATTTTTATATAGCATTACACTTGACAATCAACGTATCGCTTAACCTTCCTCCTTTCCTCACACGAGGATTATGAGACATGTACAGAAATCTGTCGCTTAGCGTCTGCTGGTGCCTGCTGAGCACACAGCTGAGCAATAGACAGGGTGGGGCTGAGTCAGGCGGAAGCGCAAGACTGCATGAAGTGTAAGAATAAATGGACGAAAATTTGATTAAAGAGATGACAAGTTTCATATGAAACAATAATATAGATTTAGTCTGTGTTTATCATTTAAAAATAATTATTAAACAAATCTGACATCAATTAATAGACCGATATTTATTTAAATTTTCATAATCTTTTAATAGATCATATATTGTATTTTGTTTTAGTAGAAATATAAGCCTTTCTTAATAAAATGATTGAATAGTTTTCTATGAGAACATAGATATCATACGTTGATAATTTATGAAATGTTAAAATTTAATGATCTGATGCTAATCATTCCATCATGATATCCTGATATATGTATAGTTGTTGCCAAGGAAATTCGGATAACAATTACGAGTTGTAATCACGTTTCTGTTTGTATGGATATTTGACAGTTGTGTAAACTTAGAAGTTTATTAGACTCTTTACTTTAAATATGGCTATACCACTTCTGCAGTCCCGAGTGTTTTATGGTCTGAAAACAGACGTTTCCGGAAATGCACATTACATTACAGATGCAGAGATTTTGTATCCCGTTGGAAGTGCATTGTCTGTCCACAATTTTCCTCAGCGTCGGCAAAGATTAATTCGTTTGCCAGAAAAGCATCTGATAAATGTTGTTTCAGTAACTCCAAATAAGTAAGTAAACCTCCAATTATATTTCATTTACATTATAATTTATCAATACACGAATAAGATTGTTTTTAGAAAATATGCTGCTGTTTGCGAGGCTGGAGAGAAGCCTACTATTTCTATTTACGATCTTCAGACTCTCAAGAAAAAGAAATTTCTGGGAATACCTTACGATGCCCAAGGAGTCACAAAGTTCTCTTGCATCTCATTCAGTTTTGACAACAAGTATTTGGCAGCCGTCACGGGCGAACCTGATCAAACGATGTTGTATTACAACTGGGAAAAGGGCAAAGTTGAATCAAGTTATAAACTAGGCAATCAGCAAAATGCAATGTCAAGTGTTAAGTTGATAGCATGCAATCCTGGTGACGTGGGGATAGTAGCCTTGGGTGGACCGTATACATTTAAATTTCTTACGGTCTCGGAAACTGTATGGCGTTCATACGGATTTGCAAAGGCCGATAATATTCTGATTTGTTCAATGACTTGGTTGAATACGGATAGACTCTTAGCCGGTACGAGAGACGGAAGGATTCTCTACTTAGAGAATGGTGACTTAAAGAATATCTACAAAATGGTTGATACTGAAATCATGAACTTGAAAATTCGTGAGGAATATATCATCCAAACAGCTGCATCTCAGTCTAGCCTAGAGGGCGGCGACGAAGCACTCTGGGAACACGATATACGATGTTTAATATCGTTTCACAAAGGATTCGCCTACGGTTATGGCTCTGGAACAATAGTAGTATTCGAAAGAGATGGTCAACACAAATATTCAAAAAGAAATATCTTTGTTGTACCGTTGCAAGTATCCAAGTATGATAGCACCGATCTGTATCAGATTAACTGTATAAACGCGAATCTCAGTTCTGATCGTTTGATAGTGACTACAGGATGGTCACAATTATTTTATGCAAAACTATGGGGTCCTGATTTAAGTATGGACCCAGAACCACAACAATTAAAGATCATGGGGCAGCATTTGCATCATGGAGCAATAAGTGGTCTCTCAATGTGTGCCTGGAAACCACTTTTCATGACTTGTGGAGAAGTGGATCGTAGTGTGCGAATGTGGGATTTCGAAACTGAAAGTCTTGTCATGATTAAGCAATATTTAGAGGATATTTACTGTGTAGGTTTACATCCTACTGGACTCTTTTGCCTGATCGGGTTTAGCGATAAGCTACGGTTTATGATCATATTAATTGATGATCTGATATCGATGCATGAATTTCCTATACGAAACTGTAAAACTGTTGCCTTTAGTTACGGTGGCCATTTGTTCGCTGCTGTTAACGGGAATCTAATTCAAGTGTACAATGTTATTGGATTTCGGAATCGATTCATTTTAAGAGGTCACACTGGAAAAATTAATCAAATAGCCTGGTCACAGAGCGATATGAAATTAGTAAGCATTGGATCTGAAGGTGCCATTTATGAATGGGATATGAGCACTGGGCAACGTTCAGTAGAAGTTATACTAAAAGGCATTGCTGTAAATAGCATTGTAATTACATCGGATGGCTCAACCTGTTACTGTATTGCAAGTGACAACCAGATACGAGAAATTAAGGAGAGCGCGGTAAAAAATATCTTCTTTCTATTACAAAATTTTTTTGTACGTTATCCGTTCTTGCTATAGATGATCATAGCAATAGTTGAATTCTCTTGAAACTTTACAGGTATTACGCGAATTCGACTTGCCAGGAATAGAAATGAATTATATGATCATTGGAAGAGATGACGATCTTATGATGTTCGTCACTTGTCCCGGTGGTATTATTTTGTCCCTCAAATGTCCTCTTCAAGAACCCATCGAATATTCAGAGTTCCATATACACTGTAATGACATTACAAAGGTATCTTATGGTTTTGAAAGTATTGGGCATATCACAAATTATTTTTAAATAATATATACTTAATTATTTTTTAGATGGCTCTATCATACAACGAACAAGTTTTAATCTCTACCGCAATAGATGGTACATTGTGTTTTTGGAAATTACATTATATTGAAGGAAAAGCTGCTGATGTAGATAAAGAATTCAGCTATAGTAAAGAGGTGCTAATAAGTAAAGTCGATTTAGAAGAGAAGGTACAGATAATAAAGGACTTGACAGTAAGACTGAGGGAATTGGAAACGGAGAACGCGTATAAAATGAGACAAATGGAAGTGCAGCATAATGACAAGACACGCGAGATTCATCAAGGATATTGCGAAGCGATAGAAGAGTTAAAGGATAAAATAGATAAGCTGCAGGAGGAACGAACGAACGAGTTGAATAATATAAATGTTGAGATAGTCAAGATGAAGGGCGCCCATGAGAATGCTCTGCGACAAATGGAAGTTACTTATGATCAGAAACTCATAACAGAGTATGACAAATATCATCTCCTTGAGGAACATAACAATGCAATGCGGGAAGATTATGAAAGACGCTTAGAAGAACTACAGAAAAGTAAAGACGAGGATATTGAGAAGATACGAAAAACGTATGCAGCACAGCTTCACGAGAAAGAAGTTCAGTATGAAGAGATGAATGAGGAAATGGCGCATCAGAATCGCATTCATGAAAAGTTAAAATCTGAAATAGAAGACGATGCCGATCGTGAGATTATAGAAATACGTACAAATTATGAGACTCTCTTATTCGAAGAGAGGCAGAACAATTTGAAGCTCAAAGGAGAGACTGGAGTAATACGTAACAAATACGTATCGAGTCAGAAAGAGATTGATGAATTGAAAAGGCAAATAAACCATTTGCATGGGGATCAACTGCAATTTCAAAAAAACATACATGGGCTTGAAAAAGACGTGCTGTATCTGAAAAAAGAAATTACCGAAAGGGACGCGACTATACAGGATAAAGAGAAGCGAATTTATGATCTTAAGCGCAACAATCAGGAACTGGAAAAATTTAAGTTTGTATTGGATTATAAAATACGTGAATTGAAAAATCAAATAGAACCCAGAGACAAGGAGATCAGGGAACTTAAGGAAAAGATGAAAGACATGGAAATCGAACTGGTGAATCTGCACAAAACAAATGTAAGTCTAGAATTGCAATTGTATGAACTTCGTGAAAAGTTAGCCGCTGCACGACGAGAAATACAATGTGAGGTTCAACGAAACAAACGGTGTCAACAACTTCTCAGAAAAATGCGCATCGATTTACACGACACTGCTGGACTTGTACAAGAACCTAAGGAGTTGAAAAATGCTGTAATGAATATGTATCATCAATATAACGATGACGATGAATTTTTACGCAGCCGTAACGCAGATTTAGATGCTCAATGTGAATTTTTGAAACAAAGAGACCATTTGGAAAGAACAGTGGCATCTTTGAGGAAGCAAGTCTTTCGTGACCCTGCTAGTGGCAAGAAGGATCTCGACAAAATGATGGACGAAAATGTTGTGCTCATTACTGAATTGAATATCTTAAGACAGGAATTGAAGACAGCACAAAAGCATATTGTAGATTTAGAAAGTATATTAGGACTTGCTGGAAAGGATATCGAACCGGTAGAAGCTAGAAATAAATTGGCAAAGGCTTGCCATGCACAAATTGAATTAAAAAATACCTATAAACTCCAAATGGAAGAATGTCAAAAAATGGTTTCAATTATGAAGGAACACATTGCTAGGTTGATAGAAAAGTTACCTAATGAAGAGACATCTGGTGTAAGGGAACCTTATTGATAAAAAGTCTGTATATATTTTAATAATAGGTTTATCATATCTACGAAAGGCCAGTACTCAATTTCCTTTGAAGGTAGACGATAACATAAAAAACAAATAATATACTCGCCAACTTCATTTAATCGTAAATATTTATACTTTCAAAATAAACGAAAGTATGGAATTTTTATTAAAAAAAAATTATTTGTATAACTATACCTTCAATATAAGAAAAATGTCTATTCCGTTGTATGACAATGACGCGTTTACACTGCTAATTATCATTAAAATCAGCTTGATGCATCTATTATAGAACAAAAGGTATAATGGCTTTACGATTTTTCGGATAGTTAGGGAACTCCTTCTTGTAAGCTCGGTGCTTTCCTAAAGCCCAAACGGTCATCTGATATGCACCGGCAAATGCGAATAGCCCCGCTAGAACAAAAACGGTTTTATTTATCACCTTAATTAAATACAACAATGCAATCACTATATAAACAAACCTGGAAGACATTTAGTCATTATCGTGAATCCAATCCAGCTACCAATTTCATATGTATAATTAGGACATGACACCATGTTGAATAATGCTGTGAAAGTATTTCCAGTCGGTTCTGGAATTTTTCTCACTGTAGTTCCTGCTGGTCTTAAGTTTCTTAGAGCCAAGTGTATGCTGAGATTACCCAACTCACACAATGCGAATATAGCTAATCCAATATAAGATTGAAACAAACTTGGCGCTGTATACCAAGGATGGTTAATATGGTATGCTACATACATTGCAAATAACCAATAATAGGAGCTGTTTTTGAAGAGGTTTCTTAGAGGCATTGTTGCATGACTGAAGCGATGTACAAATAAGGTCTCCAGAAGTCGTTTCACATAATGTACAGACCAGCATATGGCAGCCCAACTGTAAATTAAAATTATATTATGTTTAAAACTCTTCAATGATATACTTCTGTATGTAACAGAGGTACAAAGGAAACAATTAATAACTTAATCTTCTTACTGAACTACAGGTTGTACTTTGGCATCTGCAGGGATGGTGCCATAAAACAACCATGGTCTCTGATATAACCAAAGGTAAACAATTAATGGACCGGCATATTCAACCAGGAAAACTGTTTTCCATCCAATCTGAGGACCAAGATCTTTATAATATAATTTAGCACCATTCGTAAGTCCCAATGACTGCACTGTTTTAGAGTCAGCTAATGCTTTGCCTTTAGGCTCAGAACGCAGGCTTTGCCTTTGAACATACGGAGCTTTCTTTAATTTAAACAACTGTTGTTTAATATCTCCTACAGTGCTGCTTGGACTGACCTGTGAATTAAATACATTGTACAATCCCTAATAATTTATTGCATAGTTATTAATTAATAGTAATCTCTCACTGAAAGACATATGAATGGCCCAAAAATATGAGAACAAAATTTAGAGATATTAATTTCATAATTATTAATCTATTTTACACCTTTTAAAGATGAATTACATATTCAAATATAGGTATTATTAAGAACTATTTACTTACATTCACAGTAGCTACAGACTTTGAACCGCCACCCGAAACCACTTCGATCTATATGAAAAGTATTTTGACTTTTATGAATAAAATTCATTATTATGAATTATAAATTATATACTATGAAACTTGTTTTATAATTACCTCCATCTTCACTTGATAATACGATTTACTGAATTGGATTAGAAAAACAATATTAGAACACCTGAATCGTGGCCGTGCACGTTATTTTCTCGTGGTACCGTTCTGCGGCGCTGTCGTAAGACTGCGGCCCGGTTGGTTTGCAGTCGAGGATTGTCGATGATAGAGAACTAAGTATCAGTGTGATGGAGCCAATCATGACAAATCAAATTTCATTCAAATGAACGTTGCTACTGACGGAGTCTTATGGAAATCGTGTTTCTTACAAATCCAATCACATTTACCGCATGCATACCTTAGATTCAAGGTAATTTCAATAACTGGCTATATAAACTAAATAAGTTTTTTATTAGGCTTAAGTTCAAAGATCAGGAATATCTGAATGATTTTTACCATCATTCGATCATTCGACCTGACCCACTGAGATAACATTTTGGAAGGTTTATTTTATCATTTAACTTTATTCTAAGTCTCCGGATTACCGAATTTCATTTATCTGATTTAATAGCAGAATATATACACGGAAATAAAATGCTCAATCAAATGTGTTATAGCTTATGAAGCTACTATGATGTGTTTTTTTAAGAGACAACTTTCTGATTGCTGCGACTAAAATATGCGTCAGGAAATGTAGTCAGCTGGGAACCTTTGACCGTAGGTATAACTACGTGAACATAAATTTGTGCATACGTCGTTATAAGAAAGTCGTTCAAGGAGAACGAGTTCTTCTTTTACATTTTTACTAATACGACATAGCCAATATGTGCGTATGGTCATAAGTTTTGTGATATTATTCATGTTTATATTGGAGGAAATGTTTATTTAAAGAAATCATTATTACAAAGATCTTTAAAATCAAACATCTTGTATAGTTCGTAAAATAGCATGAAGGTGAATTAGCGAATTTGATTTTGCTCCGAAATGAGCAAACATATTGGTCACTTGGTGAATTTTTCTTAACTAAAAATGATGAACAAAAGGGCATGTGGCAGTTGACTTTTGAGAATTTTTTTGGATAAAAATAGAATGTAACTAACAGCGTATACATCCTTCCTTCCTTTCCTTATGGCTGACTCCTCCAATGAGGAGATGTGCCAGAACAGCGTATACACTCTTTCGCCTCATCGCGAATTAAAATCATTGAAATGTTAAGCGGTTGTCACGCGCCACTAGTGCCATCCATCGATAATATTAACTATGATTACAATCCGGAATCATTACCAGATCTGTGAATAACGTCGTACTCTTATTTACCAGTATTCGTTTAATGACGGTTTCGAATCGTTAAATTTAGTTTACAGGTGTAAGGTGTAGCTTAGTATACTTTCGATTTGTAAATCTTTACATGCAGTTCTCGAATATGATGCGGTGCAACATTACATTGGTATTATGAATTCAATTGAATTCAGTTTTAGAGCAAAATCCGACGCGTCCGTTGTGACAACGAAAGGTTTTTTTTTTAATTCGGGTACTGAAGTAACGGTTCGATGATATTGAATTTTGAGACCGACGAACTTTACTTAAACAAAAAAAGTATCTCCTTTGTACACTATTACACTATTCATTTGTCTGCGCGTACGAAAAGGTTAGTGACGATACTGGTGTAATTACTTATACGGCTGAATTAATAATAATAGTAATAAGATTCACGTAAAAGTGAATTGAATTTAAATTTACCAGATCAGCATAGAAGGCCTACCTTATCAACAGCAAGGTATAATACTAACTGTCAGTATTGCAGACTTTGCTTTTCCTCATGGAGCCGTCAATGCTTTATAATAGCAACGATTCGTATCAGACATATCCTGGGCAGTTTCCAATTTGTCTTACGCGTGCATGTAGTTGTTTTATTTTGCCTACTAATAATTATTAGTCTTAGTGGTAACTTCTGGAAACGTAGTGTCATGTTCCTGTACAAACATCAATTTGATATTTATTGATTGTGAGTTTACGGTTTCTATCAAATACAAGTTCTGTATTTTAAGGACTAGGGGGATTTTATTTTCATTGTCTGGTCACTTTTAGTAACATAACATAACTCTCGGATGAACTGGGATGAACTCATGTTACCCATTTATTTCAAATTACAAGAAAACATAGGTGTTAATATATCAATTCATTAAATTAATGAAATATATATTAATATTTTAATAATGGTTTATTTAATATTTCAATTTTACTTCAATCCATTTTCAAAATTGTACCTACATATAACATTTGATTTTAATTTTAATTCACTACGTAAAACTTCTACTGACTACTAGTTGCGTAGTTGTGTGGCTGAGATTATTAAGTCGCTGACAACGTATAGCTTGCATATGTGTGAAGTTTTCAGGGACTACAGTGCGGAAAGAATTACTACACGCAACAGTGAACAAAGAGACTTTAAACGTACAGTGGTATAACTTGTACAGGAATTTTATTATCATCGCTCGCAAAAGGTATTTTAAAATTATTAAACGTAAATATAAACTTAACCTAACCTAACTTTATCGAATTTAAAAAGTTTCTATTTAAAAAATAAATTAACTAATAGGGTAACATTTTCATGTTTTGTTGTCTCAAATATTGTAGCAAATACAAAGGTAGAGAAAATTTCCAGGTTGTTTCAATAAAATTGTACTTATTTAGATAAGATAAGTCTCGGGTAACGTGACCGGAATGATCAGCGATCCGGTATTCCCCTACGGCTATACAAGGTGGTCAAATGTGATCAGTAGAATTCCAGACGTTGTCCTAAATATATAAAGGTCACAAGAACAAAATTTCTATAATTGTCCTATTTTTGTTTATATAACGTAGCAGAATTATTATTGTAATTCATTGAACATAACGTATAATATTTTGATTGAATTAAAGTTTCCATCTATTGAAGATGACTTAGGAAGACATGTTTTATTTCATTGAAATTTCGTACAATATTGAATTTGTTTATTCACTTCATGTGTTTCGTTTTTAGCTGGACAATACCAACATGAGGGAAATGCAGTATATATTAATCCTCTTACTAGCCGGTATTTACGATACTCAACAGGTAATATGTAGTCGTATTATACGTATAAGTGTATTTTTTAAATAATTTTTATTGAGTTATTAATGAATGATTATTAAATTCTATGCTTGCTGGACTTTCCCAGCTTTAGTAACATTTAAACTGTACTTGTATGGATATTTGGCTATATGTGATTTAGTTCGAAGCACATAGATGGATGCACTGTAGCAGCTATAGTTCGGAAGCAAGTAAAATAAAATGCCTGTCAGTTATAAATAGCAACCCAACTTGCTTCAGTATTACTGTTGCAAATTGTTGCCGTCTGTTCAGGAGACAGTTGATTTTATTGTAAACATAAATGGTTCCCAATGAAGTTTATAATGAAAATCATACTTTCAATTCCCGACATTCAACTATGTTCTAAATAATTGTTAATTTGTTTTCTGTGGTATATGTTTTCATTGAATAATAGAGATCTACGGCAGAATCCGATACTTACATGGCAGCTGTGGTGGAGTTTCCGCCTGTATTTTTTAAAGACGATGCTAATTTAACCCTTTTGACAAATGCAAAGTCTTACGTTAATTACATTCACCGAGCGGGTAACCAGGTAAGAAATAATTATATACATTAATAAAGCGTTTAAGTAAACGATGTAGTGATTAATATATAATGTAAAGCACAAAATTTATATGAACTTAATTGTTACTCTCGTTCAGTGTTTTATTAATAATTTGTTACAACTAACTTTTAGTTTACCTACATAGCTTAAGCTTTATTGTCAATGTAAAATTTTACTTAAATTATATTATCAACTTATTACAAAATTTAATTTTTAATAAATTTACTGTTACAGAGTGCCGATATAATTGTATTTCCGGAAGATGGCCTAACGGGACTTAATCTGCCCAACAGAAAAGAATTAGACCCGTGGATGACTATTATTCCTGACGCTGTTGATAATTATACGCCATGCACTGGAAGCACTTTATCTGTGAGTGATGTAAGTATTATATGATTTATTATTATGATTTAGAATTTTATTAATCGATCTTCATGATTAAGAACTAATTGAGAGTTACATTGCAGGCATTGAAGCTCATATCTTGCGCAGCCAGGGATAATCAGATTTACGTTGTTATAAATATTGCTGAAAAATTACCTTGCGAAAAAGATGGATGTCCAAGTGACAAGTTTTTGTATTATAATACTAATGTCGTTTTCGATCGAAACGGAAAAGTGATTGCTAAGTGAGTAAAAGTTATAAACTAATTGCATGTATATATGTATAATTAAAAATTTTTTCTGCAGTATCATTATTGTAGTTTGAAGTTGGTAGTCAGTCTTTAATAAATAAAATTATTAATTACTTTGTCAGGTATCGAAAAACGAATCTATTCGGCGAGTACCAATTTAATGTCACGGAAATACCGGAAGTAGTCACTTTCGATACAGATTTTGGCGTGACTTTTGGGACGTTTATTTGTTTCGACATTCTATTTAAAGTGCCGGCTATGAATTTGACAAGAGTATTGGGTGTCAAGGATATTATTTTTTCTACAGCCTGGTTTTCTGAATCGCCTTTCTTGACAGGTAAACTATGAAAATGTTCCTTATTATTAAACGTCACTAATACAGCGAATCGCACGAATTTTACAGTTTGCTACTAAAATAAGTTTCCCAAATAGATTCATAACAATAATTCTCAATTATTTTAGCCGTGCAGACACAATACGGTTGGTCGTTCGCGGAAGACGTGAATTTATTAGCCTCAGGATATAATAATCCTCAAAGGGGAAATGCTGGCAGCGGAATTTACTTGGGTGAAACAAAAGTTTATGTTCTAAATACTATGTGTATATGAATCCTATGCATATTTATTGTAATGTGATTATTTTTAGGTCGTAACGGTGTGGGTACGGCTATAATGCCCTTGCAGAAGAAGGAAGCTCTATTGGTATATGAAGTCCCCAAAAAAATCAAATCAACTGTAGTAACTAAAAATCAAGATGATATTTCAAACTCGAAAGAATGCTCAAAGGCCGACATCACAATACCGTCACAATCGCAGAAACCGCTAGAATATGGAACTGTTTATGATTTAACTCTTATCTACGATAATCTCGACGTTTTTGAAACTGCTATATTGACCGAAGGGGTTACAGAAACAAAATTATGTCAAAATAAATTTTGTTGTGACTTTTCTGTAAATATGAGTAACGCCAATTCCAATACGACGTACCTTTTGGCTGTTTTTTACGGTACTCGTACGTACGTACGTACTATAGTAGCTGGAACTGCTTCGTGTGCTGTTATTCAGTGCTCAAATAAATCATCTACTTCTTGCGGTCGAGTACAAAATTCAGATACGGTTTTCAATTCGCTTGTAATTACTGGCACATTTGAGAATTGCAATGATGTTATTGTGATGCCAATGTCTCTCAATAGTTCGATACTTCCTATAGCTCATGATACATATATGGAAACCATTCATGAAGAGCATAAACACGTAACCATATCTATTCAACCATCGACGAAAAATCTTGTTACCTTTGCTTTGTATGCCAGGGACTTCACTAGGGATGGTTTAGTTAGTTCAGCGAGTGGCTACAAATATATATTTTACAGTTTTATCTTACCAGTTAGTATATTTTTGTATTTATTTACTTGGGCTTGAAAGCGTCTTGATGCCATGCTATTTTTAAGTATTCCCTATGCCTACAATTACTTTTGTATTTGAGATTATTGGAGAAATTTACAAAGCTGTATAATGATATGTATATGATTTTGTATTTTGTTAAAGTAAGACAATTAATAATTGTATACTGAATAAAATGATATCGTTTTATAGTTTTGTACGGAAAGTATGTTGTTTTAATAATTCTTTTGATTCTAAGGGTTGCGGTGGAATGGTAATTTCCGTAATGATAACCGATGCCAATGGATAAAAGATAGAAAAGATTGTTAACTTAAAACGTGAAATCATAAAATTATAATTTATTTCCTGGTGCCTACCCGAGTTCAAAAATTTAGTACAAAATCACCTAAAATGGTGTGAAAAGTTTTTTAAAATTTTATTGTACCCGATTAGAGTGTAATTCTGAAAAAGTTGGAGAAGATAACGCCAGCCGATAAGTTAATATATGGAGGCCAGTTGGGAACCAGGTGGTCAGAACAACTGACCTCATGTCTTTCATTCTTTTCATTTGTCACCCATATTTAAAATGAGTACAGGCCTAGATTCGTAAAATCAGACGAAACTTATTGAATCTTAGTATTCTTGACCTGATGTATTCAATATTTTTATAATTCCGGTACATGTACGTAGTATTAAAAAAAATATATATTTTAATAAAGCGAGGTTTATCATAATCTTAAAACGACATATCTTTGCAAGGATCTGCAATTGCACGATAACCATCTTACGGCTAATCAATTCTTGTATTTTCACCTCACTTGCCTAATGGGAAAATCCAAACACAATATTGCATTTCGATGACCCATTTAGTTGCGATTTTCCATTAAATCCTGTCAGCTCAGTAACTGATTAGATAACGGGATAATGTATATAACGGTCACTTATTACTCTGCTAAATTTTGAGTATAAATACTCCAACCTATGGATAACGTGAAAGCAGATAATTTCACGTCCTGTTAGAGTCTACACGTAACTCTGCAACTTTGAAAATGAAATTGGTAAGTAAAAAAATTGTATCAATTCCGTCGCATAAGTAATACAAATTATAGTATGTATAATAATTTTACAGCTCCTTCTATTTCTTCTGGGTGTACTGACAGCCTACGCTGCTCCACAAGTTCAACCTGCATATCAATTTGACTCAGGTTCTCTTATGGTACCAGAGGAAGATATTAATTTGGATGACGACGGAAATTTTTCGCTAAGGTAAAATCTTCTGTACCGACAAATTAAATGAATAAATGTAAATACATTTACAAAAAGTTTAAGCAACTAATTTATTGTTCTAGATTCGTTAACGCTGATGGAACCATGATTCAAGAGGAGGGTGTCCTCGTAACAGATGAAGATACTGGTGAGGATCGACCATTAATCAAAATGGGAGTGTATTCTTATACCGGAAATGATGGGAATCCCGTAGCCTTTGTTTACGATGCGAATCTAGCGGACAAATTAGAAACGCAAAAGCAAGAATTTTCATAAATATGAAATTTGCCTAAATGCCAATATCAATTACAGTGGCAAACCTACGTAAACTAATTATTGATATAGGAACTGTAATTATGATTAAAAAAATACAAAGTTAGTCAAAGTATAAATAAATCGTAATTTGATTAAACGTTTTATCCGCAAAAATTGTTTCATTGTGTCCTTTTACCAAATAGCAAAAACAATATTCTTTGAAAATATTGTAACAGACTGCATTGTCAAATGTTATCTTCGGTAAATACGCTCGATGCATTACGGTCGTAATATGAGTATATTTACCTGCCATCATTAACAGTCCACAGCGTAAAACATATTGAGATAATGTCATATGGCGTTCATATCTGAAGGGCAATGTTGAAAATTTTCAAGCATGCAGAGCGTCAGTGACTCGATAACAGTTATGGCAAATAGTATGACACTCGCGTTTGTGATCACCAGCTCCAGTTGGTTCTTTCTCTTGGTTGAATCTTCGCCACGGATTATATTCCCCGATGGTATTATAGAGGGTCGTTATTTTATTACCGAGAGTGGTAGGAACATATCAGCATTCATTGGTATACCATATGCCGTACCACCTGTGAATGATCTTAGGTACGAATTAAATAGTAGAGTTCGGTTATTACAGAAAATAAATGTTAGTCATAAAAATTAACAATTACAATTATATTTAAATACAGATTCAAAAATCCTATACCTTTTGGGTCTTGGAATGGAACGTTATTAGCAAATAAGGATGGTAACATGTGTCCACAATTTAGGAATGGTGTTGTCATCGGTGATGAAAATTGTCTTTTTCTGAACGTCTATACCCCATTGGTATTAACAATGTTAATAGTTCTGTCAAATGCATTTATAACTTTAATAATTTATAAAGATTGATATACTTATTTTATTATTCAAATAATACAGTTACCAGGGAACGAAACAGTCATAGAAGAATTATTACCAGTCATGGTATGGATTCATGGTGGAGCTTATACAAGGGGTTCTGGTACCTTGGCGGATTATAATCCTTCATATCTCATGGATAAGGATATTGTTTTAGTTACGCTGAATTATCGATTGGGTATCCTAGGCTTTTTAAGCACTGGAGATGATCAGGCATCGGGTAACTTTGGTCTGAAGGATCAGGTCGTTGCTCTTCAGTGGGTTCAACAGCGTATCAAGTATTTCCAGGGTGATCCTGATCGGGTGACAGTTTCTGGGACAAGTGCTGGTGGTGGTTCGGTTAATCTATTAGCCCTCTCAGATTTAACTACAGGTAAGTTAATCAAGGATCAATTATAACTCTACAGGTAATTTCTTCGTCGAATACAGTGTATAAGAATTCCGTAAACCTGATATTGCTGTCTGATCGTAGCGATTAGAATGTCAAAATCTTACGTGATTGGCTAAATTATTAAATGGGCATGAGTCCTAATTGGCGTTGATTAAGAATGCCTTTATTAAAGATATCTCAATATCAGTTAATTATTGCCAGGACTTTTTCATCAGTTCATCATCCAGAGTGGATCAGCTCTTTCGTCTTGGGGTTATTATAAAAATTCTAATTACGTCGAGAAAGCGAAACTCGTTGGGAAGTATTTAAATTGTCCCACTAAGAATTCATCCTACCTGGTCACATGTCTTCGTAATATCAATGCTGATAAAATTATCGATACACATTCTGCTTTTGATATGTTGTCGTCACTGTCGAATCTTATATGGGGACCAACCGATGAACAAGAAGGAGAAGGTGCCTTCATAACAGATGATCCTGCAAATCTATTAGCTAATGGGAAATTAAAGGATTTTCCTTTTATTTCTGGACTAAATAGAGACGAAGGACTACTTATTACTAATTGCAAGTATATTTAAAGAATCAGTGTATTTTGAAAAAAAGACAGTAATTTAATTTTTTTATTCGTTTTACTCTAAGATCTCTACGGGAACAAAACAATTACCGGTTTTGCAATGCGCCATTTGGATTTAGTTTTACAATTCGTATTGCGGCTCTACGTTAAGTCTGACAATATTAAAACTGTCACGGCTCAAATTAAAAAGTTCTACTTTGGCAATGGGGAATTACAGAACGAGACTTTGGTGAGTGAAAGATTAAATATTTGAACGTTGAATATTTCTTTGTTAATTATTCAATGTCTTTTCAGTTTATCAACAGCTACACCAAGTGCCTTGAAGATATCAGCTTCTTTTATCCAGAAATAAGACTTTTGGAATTTCACTTGAAAAGTGGAAGCAATCCTTCGTATTTCTATTTGTTTAATTATAGAAGTGTTTCTACTATGAATCCTATTTATAAGTACTATGACACTAGTAGAGGAATTCCTCATGGCGTTGAGGTTATGTTTCTATTTCCTCAACAAGACCCTTTCGTTGTACTTAATGATGACGATCGAATGATAAAGAACCTCATGGTGGAAATATGGACGAATTTTGTTATAACTGGGTAAGACATACGAAAATCTTAATTCAACAATTGTAATTTAATTAATTGAGCATTATTTTTTTTTTACTTTAGCTTTCCACGATCCGACGCATTGGGTGATCCAGATATGTGGAATCCATATTTCAAGAAGAGGAGTTATTTACAAATCGGAAATGATACAAAGCCAACAATAAGTTTACATAACAGTTTTTACAATGATAGAATGGATTTCTGGAAAGCTAGCATGGAACATGTCTAGCAATATTTCTTTAAAAAACGTAAAACATTAGATAATTGAAAATAAGCGAACTAATAATTAGTCTTAAGTAAAGAAACAAATAGAGCAAAGTAATTTCTTAATCAGATTTGAAATAAATTTTACTTTTGCAAATGCAATAAGCAGAAGACATTCGCATCAGCTCGATGTCAAAATGTACTATATAAAAGAAAGGATCGGTCGTCAAAAAGAATTTCAAGATAATTATCTCATGGCAATTTTTTTTAATTAATCTTCATCACTTGGAATTGGATGATCAATTTTATTCCATAGTACAAAAATGAAAATTTAAGCAAGTGGGGCCTGTGGCACGTGAGTTCCGCTAACACGGAAACCATCTACATCAGCTACGTAGCTCAGGCTGACGGGAGCTCCATCAGGAGCAGTGTACTGATAAGATCCAGTGTATACAAGAACGTTGTCCTTTCCATCAGCAGTGGGTTTCAAAACACCCTTGGAAGTAACAATAGTACCGTCTCCTGATACGTATCTGCAATTAAAATATAAGGAATTTATTAAATATAATTAAATAATTAATCATTTCAATTTCACTCTATGAAGAAAAGAATCAGTTACTTTAGGTCGTATTGTCCATCGTCCGTGCGTTGATTAGTGTATTCCACAATGGGAACAGCTTTCGGTGGTTCAGCGAGGGCTACGGCCACAAATGCAGCGAGAATGAAAGCCTGATATGAAACAGCATAAATATATTGATACAGTAGAGAGATTAATACTTAAAATAATTATTAACACTTTTTTAGATTCAATATAATTTTGTATTACACCTATTAATTCGCTATAATAATTCTCCAATAACTTACGATCTTTGCCATGCTGATAATTGGGAGATAGTGTTCACTTTTAGGAGTGGACAAAATGTGACTGTGCTAAGAAATAGTAAAATCGTTAGTATATATACAAAGATGAAAAGAGCCTCGGGATAACTAAAAAAGCAGCCTATGCCTCAAGTGGTAAACGGAAAATCTCGAACAAAACAGAATCAGTAAGAAAATGAGCATTGCGACAGATTTCAATGATTATTTAACTATAAGCAACGGACATTATACTAAATTTAGAAGAGGATGTATACATACGAGGATTAAATATAGCAAAACAGTACATGAATGGTCGTGACGATTAACCAGTAACGTATACTTGTGCTATAGAGTCAAGATTTCATAATTTCTTAACTGTACTGTACCGATGTAGATACACGTTTGATCTTTACCTTGTGCAATGTATTATAATAAATAAGAAGTATCCATAAAGATTTAACGTAGATATAGGTTCCAGCGAATGACAATGGCCGGAAAGAAAAAATAGGCGCAGGAATGCAAATTAACAATAGACGATCGACCAAAAAAGTTTTTAAAAAAATAATCGTATATCTGTTACATGATTAACGAAAATTAATAACTCATAGCTTCGTATTACAGCAAATGTCATGCACGGGTTATGCAGCAGCAACCGAGAGCAACTCACATACGATAGCAATATTTCACCATTTGAGAGAAGATTCAGAATTTAATCGTACTGCAAAGTAAATATGCTGAGTGTTACCGAGATTTATCATGCATTCAGGAAAAATTTTTTTAGGTTATAAATCACAAGAAAATTATTTTTCAAAGTGGAACTAATATTATGGCTTGGTCATGGATAACATTTATTATTTGTAACGTCTCTAGTGACGTCTGAGCAATGCTGTTTTTTATCAAACTTTTTGCATTCCAATACTTTCCCATATGCCTAGAATAATTCTATTGCAGGTCACAAGGTCGTGACTGAAAAGTATCTGTCGCCTGGATCGTTCGAATAACACGAGGTACGTGCGATAAGATCAAAAATTGAAAGTGGCTAATTAAGAACAATACGTTTCCATATTCCGTTGTCAATTTTCAACAATGTCTTTACCCTCGGGTCACATTTCACCGTAACTATGTAGACTTTCTGTCACTGAGAAAACTGGGGTAGGAGTTGGTTTGCTTATCCTTGGGGCTATTACCATTCATATATATATAGGGGAAATATTGGTATCCAAATCACCAGAGTCTACTCTGCAAGTGTAGAGCATCAATCAGCCAAACGCACCTACACAAGAAGTCACCATGAAGTTCGTAAGTAAACGCGAAGCTTGATCGAAATATTAAACTAATAAGTTTTTTCGAACCGTTAACTTATTATTTTAACGTCTCATCAATCAGATATTCATTATTGGTGTCTAATTTTTTGTAATTTAATATTTTTAGACCCTCGTCCTCCTCTCCGCTTTCGTAGCAGCCGCGATCGCTCGTCCCCAAGAAGAGTCAATCCCAAAACCCGGAATCATCCCAGTTCTCCAAAGAGACGAGGTCCATGATGACTTTGGTCAGTACGCTTTGAGCTATCTCTCCGGTGACGGTACCAGCATGACTGAGCAAGGTGCACTCAAGATCAACTCCGAGGGTACCGGACACGTCCTTGTCAAGCAAGGATCCGTCAGGTACTACGCACCTGATGGAACCCCCATCAACCTGGAGTACACTGCTGATGAGAATGGCTTCCAGCCTAAGGGATCTCATCTCCCAACACCACCCTCAGTTCCTGTTGCTTAAACTTGAAATACCTACTTACTTCATGGATGATTGGCATTTGTTAAAAATACAAAGTTGCAAATAAGAAAAATTGCATTTTTTTTTATTTCACCAGATTTATCCCCTTATCTAATTCTTAGTATTATCCTTCTACAGGATAATCACATATTATTACACTTTCAAACGGATCTTGCGGCAACAACGCGTAAAGTACAACCCAACCTAGAAACAGTATCGCCATCTATCATCAGGGCTTAGTTTCTAAGAAGCGACACTCGACCTTTGGTCGACGCATGTACCGTACTTGAGGACTTAAAGTCTGGAAGTATGTAATGTATAGAAAATGTACTGCAACAAAAGTAAATATAACATAATAGCTTTATTATATCGAAATAATTCAAAGTCGACTTGGCACATTCGATTAGAATCATTTATAGACATACAATATTTCAATTTATTAAATACAATAATATGTCGTCATATACTATATGGAAGGTATTTATCGCTATAAATGATTGAGCTTTCACCTTATTAGTGGGAAGTATGCGAGACGTTAGATTATTGAGAATTCGTACGATAAGCCACAAAATTAATAGGGAATTTAAAAAAGAGAATGCCGAGCGTTGAAGAGAGATCAACGCAAACCGTTTACATTGTTCACATTTAACAGATTGCGTGTCGTCTGTCCATACCGCAGAGCCTCGTGACATTTCGACAAAATGTAGATTGCTCAACAAGAAATTCCATCCATTAAGCATCTTTCGAGCAAATCAACCAGGATGTTTCTCGTGTACCACTAATAGAATTACAACCATTAAGGACAAAGAGTTCAAGGAATATTCTTTGCGGTTTACGATTTTGAACGATCTTCCCTTCTCCCGTTAACGATTAAAATGTCATTGGACCATTGCTATAAAAAAGTTTTATCCCCTCGTCAAGATCTCTTTATACCAGTCGTTCGCCAATCGAGAAAAATATAGTAAAAATTTATAAAAATCTATTGGCTCTATCGAATCAATAGGATCCTACCGATGAAAAGATGATGGACGCTGAAAAAGCGGGAAGGGATAGGCGTATGTGTTCACGTGTTGATAAATAGGTAAATATATAGGTGTATACATAGGTAGAAAATAGCAATGTTAAAAGATGTTCACGAATGATTTAGGGAAATATCTTCTTGCCTGAGAAGATCCGGGTACCATTTTGGCCATTCTAATGTATATTAGCATATTTATCGTTTTACCTCATTGTAAAAGTTTGTGGGCAGTCAGCTTAAAGGTTTAAGAAGAAGCGTCGGTGGATCCACTGTTTATAGATCGACCACCGCTCCTCGAATGTGAATTCCATTGGGATCAGCTAAATTTGATTATTAATATAGGCTCTACAGTGTTTCGACAGCGTGGAAGGTTAACGTGTCTAGTAAATTTTTGGCGATTACAGGAAAACCTTTCTGTACATAAGGAACTAGGTGAATTTTAATTGGAAGAGACTATGGGAATGCTAGAATGTCCTCCTACGTATCGAAATAGCAAAGAATTTCTCTGCATCCGCATATGCGACTACCAAATTTCTCTCTATTTGCATAATCTATCCTCAGAGAGTGAAGAGAGATAGTACTTGGTATACGGTCTTGGATATTACGTAATATGATAATATCGCAGATCTTACGTGGGCTTACGAATATTCCGACATCTTCGGGGTCCCCGTCGGATCGATGTATCGGACGACATTATGCAATGGATTTATTATTCTCGTAAACTGGAAAAACGTTAAAAATAGTTTAAAGAAATGATCACTTTCAAATTAATCATCGACGTACGGTTGACGATTGGAAACTTGTGTGTATCGTTCACGTACCTTAAAATACGATCTGTACATTTTTCGCTAATATCGGATTAGGTATGGTCAGGTCAAATCAGGTCAAGACTGTCCGTCAGGTTTAACAAATTTACGAGCATTCATAAATCTCTATATGTACAATCGTGTGGGATTTGACACGAAAAAATAAAAGAAAGGTAAAAGATGCTTTGGTTGTTGTACGTTGAAATTGCAATGAATCCTGATGCCTAAGATTCATCAATATTCCCAAGAATCATTGTGAAACCTGAGAACGTCGTTCGCCACGGCTGTATCTTTTCGTACCGTTATCGGTCGGAATTGATCAATTTAAAAAATATTTTTGTTCTCAGACTTGATAAATTTATACATGTATTTCTGTAGATATTTATATGAACATTCTTGACCTCGGCATCTTCGTCAGCATTTTTATTCATAAGTCACGACTGATGACTCGAAGATTACAGTAATGCTGGAAATACGTGTAAACTTAATTTTCACGATCCGCACTCGTACAAGTAACACGTTCTGAGTCGAATATATGAAGAATAAAAATTTCAAGTGACAAATATACAAACATTAAATTGACTAAGAACACGAGGAAGAACGGGTAGCTAGAATAGTAAATGTCATCTATTACTGATTACTTGTTCAACGTCTCGATCAATTACACTCAACGAGCTAGGGTTATCGGGATGGTGGCCAGTCTAATACATTAAACCTGTTTTCGAACGAATAGATAATTGACGAAAATTTTGTCAAATTTGCGAAATCAATTCCACGAGGTATAGGAATTTCGGCAAAGCTAATGTTATTTCATCCTTATGCGTGACGCAGAGTTATCTAAATATTACTCGTAACCGTATACAAAGCAACCGCTAAGAGTTGGTATAATGTCCATAGGATATCCACAAATCGTAGATATTGGGTATCCATAAAAAGACATACAAGGGATATCTGTTCGATATTTATACTGTGAGCTATTGCTACCTATTTTCTGGTGAGCTTAGGTAAGCTCGGCCGGTAAGGAATGTTCTAAGCATATTCAGTTACTCTATTCTCCTCGATAATTGACAATAACGTTACTTCTCTTAGGTGTGAGATCATCCGAGATCCATTTGGATATTCAGCATCCAATCGTACGATCGAAAACCAATTTCTGTGGTAATAGTTATTCTACGAAAAGAAAGAATAGAGTGCATGTTATTTCTTACGAGTCTTGTACGTCTGTCAACTTCGTGACTTAATTGTATCAGAAAATATGTGAAATCTATTGGGTTTTCCTTCGCGAAAGATATGAGAACTGTAGACGTTAATAAGGACGGCACACGGATACGTTGAAAGGCGTGAACGTTCGTGACAGAGGTGAACATGTCAATTGAATTAAAGTGCGCGATGACCGATCTTACAGAACGATATATCATGCCTAGGCTTTCTCATTTGAAGGTTGTCAAAAATAATGTTCAATTATATATATATATGTATATGCTTGAAAATCGTTAAGATTCAAAATAGAACAGGGAATTAGAAAAAGTGTCAATAAAAATAAATCATGCTAATGAATAGCGACTATGGGAAATGATAAGGAAACTTTTGCTAATGTGGTAATAATGAGGCAGAAATAGAAGTGACAAAAAAATATTTTATTCAACACTAGCGCCATTGGCCTCCGCGGATTAATAGTTCGGTGATTCTTTTCTTACTGATAAGAAAATCTTTTTCTTTTTTGATTTCTTGTATCCTAAGTTTATCTTAGTTTCTTCCAGGTGTCAAAGATGTTTCATGGGGTATGATAAAAAATTACCAAAAATTTCGTAGATAAGATATCTTGATTGCGGGAAAAATTAGTCAGGCGATTAAACATTTTGATATTCTGGTACTGTGGGATGCTGGATGAAGCCGGTTCTCGCTAGACTTCCTAGTGCGATGGAAGAAGTTCGTAAAATTGTAAGACATTCCGAACTTTGTGGAGATGGGTACTGATGGTCACGCGGCTGGTTGTTTGGAAACCGGCTGCAACATCATTGCGACACGCGCTTTATCTGATGCTACTTTGCATCCGAAATTTCCTGAACGCTTTCTTATATTGGTAATACATTTTTCCGACAGTTTTGAGCAATCCGCGACATAACAGGTAATCAATGAAGTTCACAGGTTAAATTGCTAAATGTCTTTGCTAATCCGATTTCCGATTTTCAATAAAAAATAAGATGTTTAAAAAAAATTGTATTTTGATTTTCGCTTAAGAATGCTCTTTTATCTCGTGTCATAATCTTTGACTCGTAATGGTTTGACTTTTTAAAAAAATTAACAAAATTTTTTTTTAAAAACGGTTGCCTTTGCAACAAGTAAAACTCGAGTGTCAAATGCATATGGCCATAGAATGCGCCAAAATTCATAAATTTTGAGTTGAATAATATTTGCGAAATGCCTAGTCTTATATAAAGCTTTTGGTATTTATCGGTGTTGAAATACAAAAATTTAATGGAATTTCACGAATCCAATAGGAATGTACAGTAATTTAAATATATGCGTTGTCAATGTAACAGATTTTTTTTTTTCTTACTACTCACATAAGCCACTTCGTTCCTCCCTAGCATATAAAAATTTAATAAAAAGTCATTGCAGCGATAACTCAACATTGAATTCAACGTAACTACGAGATAATAAACCATAAATGACATAGCTACCGTGACCATACATTTTTTTCGACAAATAGAGATCACTTATGATATACATTAATACGTGAAAAATTAGCATAAACGTAATTTCCATTAACCAATTCAAAATACCAGTCTACGAATTTACTCGTCTCCGAACTTACCCACAGAAGTCATTGAACCATGCAAATGGTACCACTTCGGTAGAAGGAGAAAGAGAACACACGTGGATAAGGGGGAATAAGTAAGAGGCAAAGAAAGAATCTGCTAACTTGGTTCTAAAAATTCACGAAGCGTGGGGTCAAGCGTGTCCAGCATGAAAAGTAAAATCAGCGAACCTGGCGGATACTAAGAATTATCCAGCTTCACGTAGTTACAATGTAACCCGCAAGCATAATATAACAAAGAACAACTCTGAAGATTCTTCGAATAAAATTACTTAATTTCTCAAAATAAAAACAAGTTTAATTGCCCTGGGAAATTAAAAATAAATAATCATCTAACTTCAACGATAGCCGTAGCTTGTCATCGCCTTAAAACCATATAAAACGATTCACGGCCACGGCAAGGAATGACAAATTAAGAGAAGGCACAACTAGAGAAAAGGAGAGATAAAAAAGACGAAAGAGGATTCTACTGAGTAATACCTGGTTGGTAGGTTCGTCTGCCGTATGGTTTGTTACATGGTTGGAGACCCCCACCCTGTATAAAAGCCACCTACGGTCTGGCGCGACTTCAGTCTACTGTTCGAACTTCACACAGCGATATAGTCAAAAGATCATCTTGCGCTGCGGTGAGCAAGTTGGGAGGATGGCTTCTTAGAGAATTCAACGACTAGCGAGATGCTCGGCCGTGGGAAATCCACCCTCTGCACCCTGGTACGTCCAAAATCCATCGGCTTCGTCATTGGATTGATTACTACGTGTTTACCGAACTGCCTACTAACCCTTGGACGCGAGTGTGATATAGGAAATGTGAACCAAGATCAGATTGTGACATTTAATTAAGATCCTATGGATATTATACTTATTATGGATATTCATCACGAAGTTATTAAGTGCTGCTGCAATTTTTTTTCTTGCTCGTCGAACATCATTTTTTACTTCGTCCTACTTGTTCCAATCGATCGGTAAAATTTCGGTCAGACTATATTAATTCGACTCTCTTTTGTAATTCACTTTCTAATTTCACTCTGTCTCCCTCTTTATAAGTTTTATTCATTGTTCCAATCATCGTGACGAAAATGAATGTGATAGTAAAAGCTTTCATTGATCTTGGTTCTCATTGACTGCCACTGCTGCACTACATTTCATTCATGTCTCCCCACCCTGACTCGAAACCAGTAATATTAGATGGCTAAGGAGCTACCCGCAACGGGGCTATTACAATCGCGTGCTATTTACATCAGTAGATAGCATTGCCAAGGATAATGACACTGCCTTGAGAATGCCAGATGATATTGTAACTTTGTCCATAGTGTCTATTCCAATAGACAGGTATAGAGTATCAGTGATGATTAATGACAAATCGATAACTTTTGAATACCTTAGAAAATCTTGTAACAGAAGGAAACTCGATTATACATCGGTATAGTGCGGGTACGGTATTTTGGATTTATTACCCGTTACGACATCAGCTAACGAGCTCTTAACTAACGACAGTAATGACCAATTTCCAGGATAAATAACGCTCTATCGAAAATCTAAGCAAGATTAACGGCTACCGGCTGTCTTTTTCTTAGTACTGTTTTTATCTTATCCGATTCTGTACCATCATCTTACGCAATCGGCATGTAAAACAGTTGCAATTCCATTCTGACAATCAGATTCAAAGTTTAGTGCGTTGATATGCCTCGTTAGACGCAAAGCTCAGCTCGTTTGTTCCGCTCCGTAGTCTTCTATAAGATCTCTAACCTCCTTAAGAGTCAGTTGACTAGTAATCCCTGTTTAAAAGAAATAAACAAATACTGATTACACGTCTAGCCAATTCTCGTCTTTATTTGATTTTTTTGGTCCTACGTAGCATCGCCGTAAGGTCCTTGGCACTATTATTGTTTGCTAACAATTATTACCTCAAAGGCCATTTCCTGACCGTAGTAAATTACAGGATCAGTTCCATCTATTAGGTTCGATGTTTATAAAAAAATTTAAATGAAATTAAAAGTATCCTTTGTGTCAAGTCGGGATATGGACTATATACCTCTATTTCAAATTTCGTCAAAATTTCTTCAGTTGGTACGCCGTGATTGGGTAATGAATATCCAAATACACTTTTGGATTCATAATATTAGGATTTTGATTTTTGTATTAGAAGCCCATAACAGAGATACGCGTGGTAAGGTCGTGACATCAGAGCAAGCTTCAGAGGACTTATTTGCATTGAAATTCTTATAAAGATGGCCTCTCATAGTGGAGCCGATGTCGAGGTTTGACTATACGCCTGTTTCATAAAAGTAGTACATGGCTCACATAAGACAAACAGTTACCTTAGTATCTGTCGGTCCATCCGTTTAGCCTCTGGCAGTATCGACACCTTATTACACAACTTTAGAACTGGGAGACTTTCACTGATGATGATGCGTCCAAGAATCTTCTTCGAATCATGGAATGTATTACTTTTATTTATTGAGGGTCAAATCTTGTCTGGGTCATAATACTCTATAGGTATTAACAGAAAAAGATAAAAACTGTTATTGTGCACCTTTCACTGCTTTGCATTAATGTAGAATTTGAATTTTATGGGAAAGTAAAAACGATACGTAGATCAGACTATTTTGAAGGTTTGAATAGGCTACATAATAGAAATAACTGCATAAATTAAGCTAATCAATTGATGTATTTTTTAGTAGCTTTGTCTTTTGTAATGAAAAATAAGTTTTGCACATACATTGTAACTTTTACTCATTTTTCTCTTGCTATATCTCGACAGCTATTGCTATTAGCTTGTCATAATATTACCATTGTCTACTAAAATACCGTGGCACAAATACCATGGAGATTAATACTAGCAACACTTGATTCATGGCACGAGGTTCACCGTAAGCCACGGCATATATTAACCTTTTGTATCGTGAACTCATGCGCCCGCCAACCGCAAGTGTCAACTCCGCCCGCTAGATGGACTTTATGATCTTGGGTGAAGTAGAAGGAGTCAGCTTGTGATCTTTTGCTTTTGAAGCATTTAAAAAGAAACTGTAAATCTAACAACATTTTTGAAGGTTCAAAATGTAAGAAATCAGTGTGCATATACAAGGCTGCTTGATAAGGGAGTAGTGAGAAAGAGAGAGAGAGGATATGCAGGAGAGAAATATTGTTGGTTATGTCGAGAACAAAAAAAGACGTAAGTTCACTCTCTTAACGAGTCTTGGCAATACTGAGACCTTGTCCTATCACCAAAGAAGGATGCGATACAAAAAATGCTTCTCTTTTTCCTTCTCTTCTTCTGTCGTTCTTGAAAATGTCAAGGATTTCTGTCATGTTCCCTTGTCTCGATTGTAAATTTCTCTTGTGCTTTTCTTTATTATTTTTCGTCTCTCTTTAATACATATCCACTTTCGATCTACCATCGAACCCTTATTCAAGCCCCTTCTACCTAGTTCTACATTTCTTAAGGCTATGGGAGTTCAATTAGAATTACAAGTATCGACGACAAAAGAAAGTCAAAGAATCGAATGAACTATTCAAATAATCATGCATCAATTAAACCACAAGTCGCCGCACCTACAGGCTAAACGTGGTCGCACGAATTTACATCATTTTTAAATAATTTATTTGTTCATATTGAGTTTCTCTTTTCGTTTTCACCTACTCGCGTAAGGCGATCCAGCACCGTCGCTACCGGTGCTGATATTTGCAATCGTAATTCACATTTCGCGTCAAAGAGATTTCACAGTGCCATGGCGTATCGCGCCAGTCTACTCTTCCAGTCATATTAGCAGGTCCAACTGTCTAACTATCAAAGGTACATCAGTTTTCATTTTTCTAAATTCTCTTCGCGAATCGCACCATTGAAATTTTACTGTTGAATGTAGAAATTAGATATAAATAAAAAAATTTAATTTACCAAAGGTTAATTCACGTCTCTTAAATATTTATCGCGTCTATACCAAAGAAGGAATAAGAATATAAATACGAGTCATAATAAGAGAGATCAGCATCCACCTACGCCCATTCAAATATCTCGTGTCACTTTCATTTCACCGAGTACTCGATACGCTCTTTCTAACGAGAAATCTTTGAGATCGAAAGCTCGACGCTTCGTAATTTGCATAAATCGTCAGACTATTACGAGAAGACGTCACTTGACGCTTGAAAATAAATGCAAACACTTTCTCGAGGATTTCATAGCCTTCATCACAGCACAGCTCATTACGATATGCGTATTGTGATAAATGATGTGGAAAATGCGAGCGGTGATCATCCGTAATGTAATATGATCTTACGATAGGTTCCGTTATGTCATTCTTTCTATAACGTTACCAGTTTCGCGTAGGCATCTGCATTGGCATATTTTTATCCTCCCACTAACATGACCGGACTGGTTGATGACTAACGTCAACCATTTTTGCAGTATCTTCTTCGCTTATTTGTATTTATGAAAATGCGAGTATTCCGTATACTGAACTTGCTCACGCATACCACCTCGTATACGTCTTTCGCTTACGTTATTATTAGTTATTTACGGAAATCAACTATGCTTACGAGACTAATATGACGATAATGGTGTGACGACTTTTTCCACATTTCATAATTTTATAAGAATAATTCAGTAATTTCCGATGTACGTGCTACTGATTTTTTTATATGATAAAATTATATTGGCATTGAAATTACGTAGAATTTTTTTTATCTTTTTCACATAATTTTCTATTAATCGGATTGATATAAGCTTCGAGTGTACTTTTGTCTACTAATTGCATACTAAACTGGAGAATAGACTATCCGCGATAAATCTCTGAATACACATCACTTTTACTTTTGCGAAGGCCACAAGGATGGTCAGCTCGCACGCTATTAGCCTCTGGGAACAATTTCGTAAAGAAGATCCGCTGATTTTGCATGGTGAAATCTGTATTAATCGTTACAGGATATTTGTGCCATTGGAATCCATTCCCTTCTTATGTATGAATACGCGGTGAAATAAAAAGTATAATGATTATACAATCTCAGGAAATAATATCTCTGTCCTTTCTTACTGATCTTAAAAATTGTGGGACGCTTTCGTTACGCAAGTAACTTAATGAGAACTGTTCGCTCGCATGTAGAAATTTATGTCAGGCTTTGTCGCGTGAAGTTTATGGGGTTTTGTAAAACTGCAAGAATTTATAACGATATAAATTTGCAACTTCCATGGCGAACAGTAAACTTGTGAATCAGAAGATTTATATGGCTTCGGAAAGTGAGGCCACCTTCTTTTCGTGACATCGTTGTTTCTTTTATTTCATTTCAAAATGTAGTTAGGAATTTGCTTTTTGTTTGGCAAGAGAACAGGATGAAGAAATTAACGCACGATTATTTGTGTGTGTATATATAGTATATATGTTATTTGTATCCTATGTACGAATCATGTATGAACTAGGCATTCTTTAAGCGTTACATAAGTTTTTGCTCAAATACCTAACGACTAACCATCAAGGATATTAAATGGCTTGACTGACTTGACATTTAGCATCAAGTGCTCCGGCATTAGAGGATCTTTTGACAGTAAAGTTTTGAAAGGTGAACGAGGCTGCTCTAACTACGGCAGCACGTGACCTTAAGATTATACTTATAGATACGCATATATCTTTGACTTCAAATCATTAAATATACGATGCCTATCTACTACTGTAAGATAATTCTATAAAAAATAAGAGTTTTAATGCCTTATTATCTGGCTTGTTTTGTATTTACGAAAATAAATATTATTTTCTTATATTTCTTGTATTCAACAGATGGCCATCGGGATTTCTAAAATCGATTATTAATCTTCTTTTTCGACTCATTGTTTACAGGTGATTGCAGCGATCATTCTGCAAGTTACACAGGCGCAAAATAGCAGGGAGGGCAAGGATCTCATCTTCGACATAAGCGACAAACAAAAGTCACAATATTTGAACCAAAACTTTGATACGAGTGAGTATCTTACAATGTATACTATTCTTCGTATCGATAAGAGTTCCCTTGTATATGATAAAACACGTTTTAATATAATATTACTTAAAACTTATTTACTTTTTATAAATTTTAGACGCATACAATTATGGATACGAAGTTGGTCCTAATGGACAGTTCCATCACGAAGTACATGGTCCTGATGGGGTTACTTATGGTTGTTATGGATACGTAGATGCTTTTAACAAGCTCACGGCTACATTTTATCTAAGCGATGGGTGGGGCTATCGTATCGTCCATCCTGGAGACAATGTAGAACTATTCCTTCATAAACATGAACATCACGAGCCGGGACATGATCATCACGAGCATGATGAACACCACGATCATCATGATCATCATGGTATCCTGACTGCATGGAAGGATTTGTATTTCCCGCCAGTCTGTGGACAATTCGAAGGTCTTATCACGCGGCCAATTATTTCACCACCTACAAAACCAACTATACCAGATAGTATGAGATTTTAATACTTATGAAGGTTCACTTATTAGTGTAATACTTAAATGAGTAATAATTATTTATAGAACCCGGATCGACAGGTCCGGGAGGACCGACGGGACCAATAGGTCCGACTGGACCAACAGGTCCGACAGGACCAACAGGCCCGATTGGAGGTGATGGTGGTATAGGAGGAACTGGGTCACCTGGACCATCGGGTCCTTGGCCAGAAGGACCAACAGGACCTGATGGTGTTATTCGTCCAGAAGCAGGACAACCTGGATTTGGTGGTCCAAGTGGAAAACCCAATAAACAAGATGCACCGGGGTCAGAAAAACATCCTCGGCCTATAGGTTTTCCTGGAGGTCCAGGCACATCATTAAATCCACCCAAACCAGGAACATCTGGGAAACCACCTCAATCAGGTACTATAGTTACCCTGCAAATAGTAAAGCAACAAAATTTCTTTGCGGATTTAGTTTAATAGTGCAGTAGTAGTAACAAAAATCATAGTAAATTATTATTGAAACAGGAGAAGTGCCCGGACTTCCAGGATTTCCAGGTACACCCGGCGGTCCGGGAACGCCTGGCACTTCTGGTAGACCAGCAACTCCAGGATTCCCAGGCATTCCAGGTACTCCCGGTAAACCAGCAACATCAGGATTCCCAGGCATCCCCGGTACTCCCGGTAGACCAGCAATACCAGGAACTCCTGGTGTACCAGGCATACCAGCAACTCCAGGATTCCCAGGCGTTCCTGGTACTCCGGGTAGACCAGCAATACCAGGAACTCTTGGTGTGCCAGTCATACCAGCAACTCCAGGATTCTCAGGCATTCCTGGTATTCCGGGTAGACCAGCAATACCAGGAACTCCTGGTGTACCAGCAATACCAGCAACTCCAGGATTCCCAGGCGTACCTGGTACTCCGGGTAGACCAGCACTACCAGGAACTCCTGGTGTACCAGGCATACCAGCAACTCCAGGATTCCCAAGCATCCCTGGTACTCCCGGTAGACCAGCAACTCCTGGTGTACCAGCGATACCAGCAACACCAGGAATCCCAGGCATCCCCGGAACTCCCGGTAGACCAGGAATACCAGGAACTCCTGGTGTGCCAGCCATACCAGCAACTCCAGGATTCCCAGGCATCCCCGGGACTCCCGGTAGACCAGCAACACCAGGATTCCCAGGCATCCCCGGGACTCCCGGTAGACCAGCAACACCAGGATTCCCAGGCATCCCCGGGACTCCCGGTAGACCAGCAACACCAGGATTCCCAGGCATCCCCGGGACTCCCGGTAGACCAGCAACACCAGGATTCCCAGGCATCCCCGGGACTCCCGGTAGACCAGCAAGACTCCAGGATTTCCAGGCATCCCCGGTACTCCGGGTAGACCAGCAATACCAGGAACTCCTGGTGTACCAGCGATACCAGCAACACCAGGAATCCCAGGCATCCCCGGAACTCCCGGTAGACCAGCAATACCAGGAACTCCTGGTGTACCAGCGATACCAGCAACACCAGGAATCCCAGGCATCCCCGGAACTCCCGGTAGACCAGCAATACCAGGAACTCCTGGTGTACCAGCGATACCAGCAACACCAGGAATCCCAGGCATCCCCGGAACTCCCGGTAGACCAGCAATACCAGGAACTCCTGGTGTACCAGCGATACCAGCAACACCAGGAATCCCAGGCATCCCCGGAACTCCCGGTAGACCAGCAATACCAGGAACTCCTGGTGTACCAGCGATACCAGCAACTCCAGGATTCCCAGGCGTACCTGGTATTCCGGGTAGACCAGCAATACCAGGAACCCCTGGTGTACCAGGCATACCAGCAACTCCAGGATTCCCAAGCATCCCTGGTACTCCCGGTAGACCAGCAACTCCTGGTGTACCAGCGATACCAGCAACACCAGGAATCCCAGGCATCCCCGGAACTCCCGGTAGACCAGGAATACCAGGAACTCCTGGTGTGCCAGCCATACCAGCAACTCCAGGATTCCCAGGCATCCCCGGGACTCCCGGTAGACCAGCAACACCAGGATTCCCAGGCATCCCCGGGACTCCCGGTAGACCAGCAACACCAGGATTCCCAGGCATCCCCGGGACTCCCGGTAGACCAGCAACACCAGGATTCCCAGGCATCCCCGGGACTCCCGGTAGACCAGCAACACCAGGATTAGACCAGCAAAACCAGGAACTCCTGGTGTACCAGCCATACCAGCAACACCAGGAATCCCAGGCATCCCCGGAACTCCCGGTAGACCAGCAATACCAGGAACTCCTGGTGTACCAGCCATACCAGCAACTCCAGGATTCCCAGGCATCCCCGGTACTCCAGGTAGACCAGCAATACCGGGAACTCCTGGTGTACCAGGCATACCAGCGACTCCAGGATTCCCAGGCATCCCCGGAACTCCTGGTAGACCAGCAATACCAGGAACTCCTGGTGCACCAGCCATACCAGCGACTCCAGGATTCCTAGGCGTTCCTGGTACTCCGGGTAGACCAGCCGTACCAGCGACTCCAGGATTCCCAGCTACCCCCGGTACTCCTGGTAAACCAGCAATACCAGGAACGCCTGGCGTACCAGCCATACCAGCAACTCCAGGATTTCCAGGCATTCCCGTTACTCCAGGTGAACCAGCCATACCCAGCACACCAGTAATACCAGGCGTACCTGGAACACCAGGCAGACCAGCAATACCAGGAACGCCAGGTAGACCTGCCATACCAGGTACTCCAAACATACCAGCTATACCAGGAACACCAGAAATACCAGCTATACCAGGAACGCCGGAAATACCAGCCGTACCAGGAACGCCAGGCAGACCAGCCATACCAGGCACTCCAGGCATACCAGCTATACCAGGAACGCCAGGCAGACCAGCAATTCCCGGAACACCAGGCAGACCAGCCATACTGGGGACTCCAGGCAGACCAGCCATACCAGGTACTCCAAACATACCAGCTATACCAGGAACACCAGAAATACCAGCTATACCAGGAACGCCGGAAATACCAGCCGTACCAGGAACGCCAGGCAGACCAGCCATACCAGGCACTCCAGGCATACCAGCTATACCAGGAACGCCAGGCAGACCAGCAATTCCCGGAACACCAGGCAGACCAGCCATACTGGGGACTCCAGGCAGACCAGCCATACCAGGTACTCCAAACATACCAGCTATACCAGGAACACCAGAAATACCAGCTATATACCCGGAACACTAGGCAGACCAGCCATACCCGGAACACCAGGCAGACCAGCCATACCTGGAACACCAGGCAGACCAGCCATACCCGGAACACCAGGCATACCAGGTGTGCCAGGAACACCAGGCAGACCACCTCTACCTGGAACACCAGGAATACCAGCCATACCCGGAATACCAGGCAGACCAGCCATACCCGGAACACCAGGCAGACCAGCTGTACCTGGAACACCAGGAATACCAGCCATTCCCGGTACACCAGGCAGACCAGCCATACCCGGAATTCCTTCACAATCAGGTCTGAGTTATAGGCAATGGAATTGCGTTGATTATGTGTAGATTTTATTAGGATTTTTATGGAGATAATGTTTATTCAAAACCTTGCTCTATGGTAGGGGAAGCACCAGGCTCATTAGGACAGTCAGGAAATGCGGGTATTCCAAGTAGACCAGGATCATCTGGAGTTCCATTGCAGACAGGTATGATTCGTAGTTACTAAGTATTGTTTTTTTTTTTTTTTTTCTTTTGTAAATAAACTGTAATACAGTAGATTCAGAAACCTGAACACTCCTATTTTCGATTTCCTTGTTATACCATACTTTGTTATGAAATGCATAATAATCATTGAGTTTATAAATTTAATTTATGTATTTGCCTTTCATAATGTATCTATAGTAATGAACAAAAATTAATTCGTTACAGCATTTTTACATTTTATTATAATTTATAATTTGTTGTTCCACACAGGTCAATCTGCATATCCCAAACCAGGATCTTCAAATTATCCAGGGGCACCTAACGGCCCTATTGGTGGAATTGGACCCACAGGTGGTATTGGGGGTATAGGAGGCGATGGCGGTATTGGAGGTATTGGAGGAACCGGACCTGATGGTCCCGATGGTCCTTGGCCAACAGGACCACCAGGACCAGATGGACCATGGCCAGGCGATCCTGGATATGGAGCTGCAGAAAAACCATCGATACGTCCTCAAACCTCTGCGAACAGGCCTAATGTACCTTATACACCGATAACGGCAGGATCTTCATTTCAGCCAGGTGTCCCAGGAAATAATGTTCTTGAACCGGCAAAAAAGCCCTCATATCAATCACAAAAACCAGGGAGTCCAGGAAAACCTAACTACACACAATTTAAACCCGACTTATTAACTCAATTAGAAACGCCTGATAAACAAAATAATTTTGGACGCCCATTAGTTCAGAACGGAGCACCAGATGCTAATAAACCTCAACAACCTGTTTACGGTCAATTTGGTTTCCAACAGCAAGGGCAATATGGACAAAGTAATAATTACCAGCAAAATAACAAATACCAACAACAGCAAATTACTATAAGCACACCAGGGGAACCAGGTGAACCCGGTGAACTTGGAACACCAGGAACACCTGGGACACCAGGAATATCCGGAACACCGGGCACACCTGGTAGACCTGGGAAACCTGGAAAGCCTGCAAAACCTGGACAATACGGTACGATCGTATTTGGATCACAACAACAGGGACAACAGCAGCAACAACATCAACATCAACAACAAGGATTAACTGAAATACAACTCAGTCAAATTAACCATGGAGGAAAGCCAGGGGATAGTCCAAATCAGATTGTCTTTCAACAGCAGGGCCAGTATCAGCAATCCTCTAGTTTCCATGGAAGCAATAACTATCAACAACAACATTTTTTCGCAAGTAACCAAAATTTACCAGGAACACCAGTGGCATCTAGTAAACCAAGTAGCTTCGGTGTATCAGGTCCTATTGTGAATGGCGTACCATCATCAACACATCAAGTTACTCAAGTTCAAACAAGCTTTCAAAAACCCGGAATATCAAACATTGCGCAATACCAAGAACTAAGTTCAGGAATTGGTAAGCCAGGAAAACCAAACCATAGCTTTAGTGCTATTGGCGTGCAACCACCAGGATCTGTGAAACCAATTCCGTTTCCAGTAGGACCAGATCCTCAAGCTTGTCCCTGTTACGTAGTAGAACCTAACAACACAACAGCGCCAGTTACGAGTACTACGCCCCCTGCAGCTTTAGTAGGTCAACTGGGCTTTATTCCTGTTATATTTGTACCGTATTGTCCCGGGGCTACTGCGAACAGTGACAATATGAAGATGGTTTTCCCTTCAGCAACACCTGTACCCTACCCATGCAACGTATGTGGTCCCCAGGGTACTGGATTCACAACAAAATTCTTGAATATCGAGGAGCTGGGAAACCTCGAGCACTTGAAGAAGGCATTGAGTCAGGCTAATCTTGGATATCTAAATGTTCCTGTGCAAAGTCTCACGCATCGGCGGAAGGTAAAGAGGAGGAAAATCGAATGAGATTCTATAAGCAGCACCCGCTCGCATCTTGAGCGTTAACTTATTCATTATTGAAAGAAGTGGAATTGGTGGAATAAAGACGAAAATGCCCGTCCGCCAGCTGCTGGACAGCTGATGGATGGCCATAAATGGCTGGATGGCCGGGTCCATTTCGAGGACTCTACTTGCAATCATACATCACTAATTAAAAAGAAGCGCTATGGGTTTATTTTAACTAAATTTCATATGAATATTTCCATACGCTTCTTCTGTAAGAATCTTTCGTCACCTTGATCGCGTCTTTATTCATTAAATTCTGAGTGTTGCATTAGACTAAGAGACATTTGAATCCCATGAATGATATTCAACTTTTGTCTGCTTAAATGATGCATCCTGTATTACATAGGAAAATGAAGAAAGTTTTTGTGCCTTCCGTGAATAAATATTTATTCACTTTTTTAAAGAAATAATTGTATTTGGCAATAATATTTTATTTTGTGATTTGAAACTTAAGATGATTTTAAATGATCATTGATAAATAAATTGTACAATTTTACAGTTGTGTGTATTTGATTCTTGTTGAAAACAAATTCTATCCTACAAATAATTACTACACTATATTTCATATTTGTCACTGTTTATTGTAATTAAAAATTACTGCTCACTCATCAAACATATAAATGTATCTGCTCTTGGTATTGGCTAAGTTCTATAATAGAAATTCATCACCGTCGGGAATTTAGCGGCAAAAGATACAAATTTATACTTTTAATGCCTAAAAATTGCTCCTTAAATCCTCCTTATGTTGCTATTATACAATAATTTTTAAAATATTCATTAAAACAGAAAATTTTTTTTAATGCTAATCCAAATAACCAAGCAAATTTTCATATGATTTTATTAAGGAATCAGCTGCTCTCAATTTGATCCATTTCATTTCACAATTTGTTTCTTATTTTATTAAAGCATCCTTAAGTAACAAATAAAATTTGATTTTCTTTTGGCCCGATTGCAAACGTAAACAATATGGTTCATTTTGGAACATACCTGGCAGGTGCGTTCGAAAATGAGCCGAGGGCGCTGAGAACATAGTTTATCTGATTATTGAATGCTAGATCTTTATTAAGATGCAAGTAAATGCATGGTTTCGTACAGGAGCCCGGTGAAGTCCGGTAATGACAATTGATATCTTACTGTGTACGTCTGAACTTTTTCATGTTGACAAACTCTATCTGAATACGTATTTAGCAGCGGAGCAATTAAAATAACGTAAGGAGCATTTAAGGAGCAATTTTTTAGGTATTAAAAACATAAAATATTTATCTTTTGACGTTAAATTCTCGACGGTACTATACCGACTTCTGCACAGCTTCGTTCATTACCGCACTCTATTCAAAATTTTATGAGCGCCGCAAGTACAGCCAGTACTTACGGAAAAAGATTGTCGTCAGATTGTAATACGTATGAGTTAACTCTATCAACATGGTGACTACAATTATCCTTTCTGCAACATCTATTATCGGATTTACACTATGAAACTATGTATTCAGAGTTGCTGCAGAGAAGTTATGCAAAGTATGTTTGAAGTCAAATTTTTCAGCCAATAAGAACACTGCATTACTAGGGAATATTTTTGAAGATCTTCAGTCCCTAAAAATTCTGCTTTGCTATTGGCTAAGAGTTCTTGACATGGAATGTCTGATGCTATCAAAATTCGGGCTTATAGGTAAGATTAGTAGCGACTGCTTTGTGAACGCGGCGTTTGCGCTCCAAGTAGCGAATATTGTCGATAATGTCAATACTTGTAAAAGGACGAGATTTTAAAAAATATGTGATGCTTTGAGAAGGATTAAAAAGCAAAGTGGTGAGTGAGAACGTAGTCTCGGTAGTTAATAGGTGATGAAAAAGTCGAGTAAGCAACGAACGGGCGTGGGTAACATTTCGAGCGTGTGCCTGTCCGAGGTAAAGGGCGAAGGCGGTGGAGACCATCTGGAGAATTTCACGTCCTTTTACATGAAGGAACAGGATATTCCCGAGTACTTGGAGGGTTGCGGTCTCAGCACCTGTTCTGCTGGCGATATGCCTGAGGCTGTCGAAGTCCTGCGGGACACCGCCAAAGAGAACTTCAAGGAGAAGAAGCTCTCTGCTGCCTCCATAGCTGGCAGTGACACTAAGAAAACAGTGACTGTCAAGCATCCAGAGTCCAACAAGCCAAAACCAACAGCCAAACGGGGAAAACCAATTCAGGCAGATTTGGATGTATCCAAAGAATTTGTAAGATGCAGAGATGAGTGTGTAACACGACTTGATCTCAGCAAGTCGAGCATCTCAAATCTTCCCAATACTGTACGTGACTTGACTCACTTGGTTGAATTCTATCTTTATGGCAACAAATTAACCACTCTACCACCAGAAATAGGATGCCTTGCAAACTTGAAGACACTGGCTCTGAGTGAGAACTCATTGACTAGTTTACCTGATACTTTGAAAAATCTGAAATGTCTAAAGGTACTCGATCTCAGGCATAACAAACTGAATGAGATACCTGATGTAGTTTACAGTCTGACATCACTAACTACTCTATTTCTTCGGTTTAATCGAGTAAAATGCGTTGGAGATTCCATAAGAAACTTAACAAATTTGACAATGCTAAGTTTGCGAGAGAATAAAATCAAGGAGTTGCCAGCTGGCATTGGACAACTCGTTAATCTGATAACATTTGATGTATCGCACAACCACTTGGAGCATCTACCTGAAGAAATTGGAAATTGCATTCAATTGTCAACACTTGATTTACAGCACAATGAGCTTTTGGATATCCCTGAGACAATTGGAAACTTAGTATCTGTTACAAGACTTGGACTGAGATACAATAGACTGTCGAGCATACCACAGTCACTGGCAAACTGTAAGCTGATGGATGAATTTAGTGTGGAGGGAAATCAAGTGTCTCAACTGCCAGATGGATTGCTGTCAAGTCTCTCAGACTTGACGACAATCACATTATCGAGAAATGCATTTACTGCTTATCCCTCCGGAGGTCCGTCCCAATTCACAAATGTCTACTCCATTAATTTGGAGCACAATATTATTGACAAGATACCTTATGGTATCTTCTCACGAGCTAAGAATCTTACGAAGCTCAATATGAAAGAAAATGAATTGACTGCCTTGCCTTTGGATATTGGAACATGGGTTAATATGGTGGAACTTAATCTTGGTACCAATAAATTGACAAAGATTCCAGACGACATCCAATGCCTTCAAAGCCTTGAGATTCTGATACTTTCAAACAATGCTTTGAAACGTATTCCAGCAAGTATAGCAAACTTGCGCAAGCTTCGTGTTCTGGATTTGGAGGAGAACAAGATAGAATCTCTTCCAAATGAAATTGGTTTTCTTCGAGATCTTCAGAAACTTATTCTACAGTCAAATCAGGTGACATATCTACCTAGAGCCATTGGTCATCTGACCAACCTGACTTATCTCAGCGTAGGTGAAAATGATCTGACTTACCTGCCTGAAGAGATTGGCACTCTGGAGAACTTAGACTCCCTTTACATTAACGATAATGCCAATCTGCATAATTTACCATTTGAACTGGCGCTCTGCACAAAGCTCAGTATTATGTCAATTGAGAACTGTCCTCTCTCTCGGATTCCGGCCGAAATTGTCGCTGGTGGTCCATCGTTGGTCATACAGTTTTTAAAGATGCAAGGCCCATATCGGGCCATGTAACAACAGTGCATGTGTACAAGACTGCGCATGATATATCAACTTGCGTTGCAACTTTACTCGCACTTCTGTTTTTTTAGCGTACACCGAACCGCTGCGAACCGACGCCAACCTAATCCTTATTTAAATTAGTACAGTTCCGTCGATACATATTCCCCAAGATAATTATTACATTATTAAATATTGATCCGCGACTGTTATATCAGCTTCAAATTTTTATTTAACCACTTGACTTCCTCGCAGCTATGTGCACAGCTCCAAATGTCTTCTGCCAATTGTATTATTTATAAGTAGGCTAGATATAGTGATAATCGTTTCAACAGTTTTTGGATGTTTCAGCGTTCACGCTAAAATTTGTCATTTAACTGTTGAAATACGTGCGTGATTGTCAATGTTGTTTTTCGAAGTCAAGACCTGTTACGGTTCCAATTGTTGTAAACGCGGCTACGATATCGTCGGGCAAAAATTTTTAAAATTATACATAGTCGTACTACGAGATCAGTTTCGTATTCAAGGGACATTTTTATACTGTATTTCGTAACAAGATGGCCCCTGAGCATGAACTTTATCTTACAGCACGACTATACATGATTATCCTACTTTAACTTGCAACATACGTGAACTTGAATATCGCGACAATGTAAAACTGCGCCAGAACCGACAGCGTGCCATTTCAGTTGGACCAATTTAGGTTTAATGGTTTGCTACAAATGGATATTACTGGTTTATCATGAATAATGAATAACGTACGTGCGGTTGATCTTGAAGTAAGAACGTTTACCTACATCTTATAATGCCAAACACATTCAAAAATATTGCCAACAAAAATACAGTATATTCCTTTAGTTCTTTTTCTTTTGCTTGATTATAAATACTACAGTACTTCTTAGTAATACCTTATCGACTAAAGAGAAAACTGATCATGAAAAGTGTTCACCATTTTTTTTTCTCCAACCAATGTACTTGTTCATTGTTCATGAAACAGTAAGACCATCATCGCGTTTTTTATATGTATATGCATATAATGATGTTAAACGTATTAAGGATACATAATAAGCTACACATGTAACGTATGCATCCTTAATGACGGTGAGTAATTTACAGAAACTAAAAGTATCATTAAATATGTATTTTGACGAAAAGTGTTAGCCCTTATCCCTCTAGCATCGAGATATCGATGATTCAATGTCGTACTAACGATTACGATGACTATGATGAATATAATGACTTCATTTCGTGGCCAAATTCTTACGCTACCCGAAGTACCTCCGATTGGCGTATTTTTAAACGTCATTTTATTCGGGAGTGTTTTCGCCAGTGCTATTCAGGAAAATATATATTAATAGAATCGAGAGATAGGGGCTAAAAAAAGGGATAAATCGATCGCATCCAAATTAATTATTAATGACTGTACTCGATTGAGCGTTTGACGTTTTAATCGTACATTCGTAATTTTGTAATGTTATTGTTATACCGGATGGTTGAGATATAACGGGTTGCCATTTCGTCGCTGAAACGAGTGCAACTCGTATTTTATATTGCCTGTTAATGTAGTAACCGACGTTTAGGCTGGATTTATCGAATAAATGACAGTTAGCGAATTAGTGATTCGTACAATGCAAAGAGTATTACATGCTGCATTTTTCAGGAAAATTTGCGGTTAATAGTTATGAACAAATATTTTGTTATACTTACGCAAAGTCATTTTTGTATATGCATCTCTGTTTGAATCGTTAACGTGCTACGTATAATTTTTATATGAACCGAGCCTTATCTTCTGAAATTATAAAACCTAATATTCGTATATTAAACGACACGCGCTCATCCTCGATGTCTTTGTAGACTACGTATCTCTGATCTTGTTTAAGAATGAGCTACAAGAACTTTTGTAACGCACCGTGTTTGTGTGGTCTCCGCTTGGAGATAAACGCGTGTACGGATTGCGACTCACGTTCTATATTTCTAGAATCGCAGGGTTAGATCGATCTATCCTTAAATTAGCCGTCTACGTAGTTTACGTGTATTCTTATATGATCGGAATGAATGCGCATAAAGGGTAAGAAAGTATAAAGTGCAACGAATAAGCCCAACACTTGGAATCGATATTTATTCCTACAATTTTACTAATCTATTTTCAACATCGTGCATAAGCTTGACCCTGAACACTTTACACGTTCTGTAAACAATTTATTTTTTACTATATAACCATATACGCAGTATACAATTTATCGTACATATATCTGCTGTCTGTCGAGTTTGTACAAAAGTTCTTGTAGATCGAGGCTACTGAAAATTACGGTAATGATGATGACGAATGCGACGAGATAGAAAAACTAAGGAAACGCTTTATCAACATTGTTACGGATAAAAGTGCATTTGTTAAATTTACGATTGTGGAGAACGAGTAAGGGAAAGCCATTTTTCGCTTGCCAATCGTGTGCCCGATGAGTTTAATAGCGCTGAGATAGGTAGGAGTTTACTGACGATCGAATAATGTTTCAGGATAATATGGAGTATGATGGAGAAAAACGAAAAGTCTTAGGTGTCGTGCGGTCCTATGGAGATGATGAATTTTATGTGGATATTAATAATGGATAGCGTATTATTCGTAAATCATAATCTTGTTGAAGAGCACGCCGAATGGCTCCATATTGTATATTTCATTTAAAGAATGTAATATTAATGTAATTCAGTGTGTATCAAATAATAATATAGTTTACTGTATAAATATTTCTAAATATACCGATGTATTATAAAACGATCGACCGTATACGCCTCGTTTAATTATTTTCATGATGGTAAGAGAAACAGGATTAAAGTCCACCGAATTAATTAAACGATATAACGACAGACTATTAAAAAAACTAAACTAAATATTTTAATTACTATACTGTGTCCAATGCCACCCTATTACTTCCAACTATTTTGTACAATTTCATGGAAATGTATCTATTCATTAAAGTGTAGCGCATAGAAAATTGACGTTGAATTTTTATTCCGTAATTATTATACTAATAAATAATATCCACGAACATCCTTTCGCTTTTTTCATTCGTTATTTAAATACAGGAGAATATTTTTTTTACTTTCTTCTCATTCGCTTATCTCTTGAAAGCCACAGTAAGATTTTCTAGCTTTACATGTCTTGCGGTATTGTGCAATGCAGTGCACCACATCCTGTAGATTAGATGAGTTCACACCGCATATTTTCTCCTACGCATACATAGCAATAATAATTTTATGAAATAATCGTGAGGTTGAAATTTAAAAAAAATATTTTAGTAGTCAAATGATATACCTACTAATGGGAGTGGTACGTTTAAATTAAAGTTTGAATATTTTATCAGATTTTATACTCTGCTTTTTTATTTTCACACTTTTCTCAATTTCAAGTACTTTCTTGAAGTAAAATCGTGGCACGTACGCGTATTACTTTTTCTATTTATTAATCGATATACAATACCTGTCATCAATTTTTGCCCAGCAGTTGGTTCAAATTTCCATTACAAGCTTTTATTGGTTACCTTGATAACGGAAAACTTTGAACATTTGTAAGCACTTGACATTTTTACCGTTTTTATTGAACCCATTAGTAGAACCTAAGCAATTCATGGTCAGCATATGGCTCTTTGCTATATTTCGTATTACGTAGGAATATATGACGTCTGTTCTAGGACATAACATCAATATCCAAAAATATCACGCGACAAAATTTTCCACTGAAATCAATCGAATATTATATTATATAAGATATATTATACAATATTTATTAAAAGGAAATCTTTTTACGATTAAAAATCTTTAACATTAATGAAATCCACGCGAAATACTTGACAATGAATGAAGAATGAGAATGATAAAAGTTTTAAGTTGGTGCGTATTTTATCTTTACCCTAATAAATGAAACTACCCAGAATATATGCACGCTTTTTACATATATTATTATCCGTGTCATGTGCATACGAAGGATAGTGGATACAACTTAATAAAATTCATGGATGGATTCCGAATGGATGCCGCGTCTCGGTTCAGCGATTTGGCGATGTTTTGGAAACGTTCCAGTTTGCATCATCAGGCTCTAGGTAACTCCGATACTCAAGTGCCATGTTTCAGGCAGTTCTTAATTACTCGTGTTCGTTGTTCCGTAACACTTGATTCAGCTAATTTAAGATTTTTAATTGATCAGTCGGTCAATTGATGCAGATTGGAATGTTTGTGAAACGTTGAAGGTACGCTGAAATTAGATGCAGCATCCATCCGATAGCCATGAGTTTTAATAAAAATTCTATCGGCGAAAGCCATAAAACTAAAACTACTTAAACTTATTGTCAATGCTCAGGATATTTCGAAATTCCACGGTACGGAATACGTAAACAAGGTCCTTGGCCTTAGGGATACGTACCTTGCGTAGGTGTCGAACGTTCCTGAATGGGTTTTCCGATGACGTCATCCTCAGAGGTTGAGCATGATAGTTGAGCTTTCGCCGCTCGTAAAGACGGTTGGTGCGCGAGGCGCGTGCAAGCGCGCGATCCATGAATATGCGCTTGCGCTTTACTCCCTTTATCCCCTGACAGCTTGACTACCTATTCTGTTACAAAGCTTCCGAGTCGCGATTTTGCGAATCCGGTTCATTCACTGCCCGAATTCTATTCCAACATCCGACCCGAGGATGTGAGCAACCAGTAGGCCGGGTAGCTAATGTACAGTCGAAAATGAGAATCAAACCTGAAATCATCAATACATTCACTTCCCCAACCGAAAACTAAGAGATTTATATTCGTTTGAGTGACTCGCGTCAAGACTTAAAAAATATAGAGGTTAATTTATTAAGATTAGTGCGTGTATCGTTATTTTTATCTTGGTCATATCGCGGTTCCGCTTTGAAAGAAGCTTTTGGGGTTAACGTTTCTTGGCTGTTTTCTTTCAAATAAAATACATTGAATAAAGATCAAGGCATTTGAAAGGAAAGATATTCTGAATAGTTTTGAAATGTTTAAAAGCTTGTTGGAGTTGGTTGATATATGTGGTGCTTTCATCGGGTGGTTTTAATTAATCAATACGAAAATATAGGGAATTAGGTCGACGTGTTTATCGTGGATACACTGTGTCCCCAAAAAGGGTTTCGTGTTACGGGACAATATTAAGAGTTAAGTGTTGACACAGGCACCAATAGGAGTGCCCGAAAAAGTTTTACATGCCTTGGGTTACGTCTACGTATATGATGAAATTACAGTTGCTCGTCATTGAAACGGATTACTGTTGGAGGAAAGCACTACTTAGGTAAGTACGAATGAGCTTTTAAGAAACCTATGACAATTTGTTTTGACTGAATGGTTCGTAGCTACATACTTATGTAGTGCTTCTGGGAATGTGGAAAACTTTCACGGAAATCTGCTGATGTAATTCTTGAGATGTAAGCTTTAAAACTATGCTTATATAGCTAACGAAGTATATTGGAATTAAATTATTGTAAAATAAACGTTTCTTGTATATTATTATGCGCTTGTATATATACTTCTTATAGTAATATTATGAATGTTTCAAATATAGTAGATTAACAAGTACTTTAATTATTTAATAAAAGTATGGCAACAGACAGGTAGCATAAAAATACACGCTTGAAAATTTGTTTAAATTGTCATATTTTATCGTTTAAGTCTGGTACAATACAATTTCAACATAGTTCCAAATCTAATATCGATTTGACACCGTTGCATTCCTGTGAATGCATACAACACATTGTTGAAAAGGACCTATTTACTTTCTATCTATGTTTAAATTTGCTATTAATAAAGAAACAGTAGTTAATTGCTAGATAAGGAGCAGTAATATAATATTAAAACTATCAGAATAATAATTTCCAAATTTTTTAAATTCAATATGAAGGCATCATTACGTCTCAATCGTTAAAAACGATAAACAGTACAAATATTATCATTGTATCAAATTATACATCTTTATCAAATGCTGTCATAGAAATCTGCCGATAAAATGATATCATATTACTACGTATAAGTAGAAAAATAAATACCGACTTCTTTTTCGGCCATCAGAAATACCATTTGATTCACAATTATTTATTATATAATTTGTTCCCAAGTCAAATTAATAATTAATGGTAGGATCACTGAAATCAAATCTGATCTTTATTCTATGAGGAAAAGATGGTTAGAACCGATAAATGTGTTCAAATCGACCGCCAACGTCGGTTGTCGATAAAGAAGAGTTCGTCCTATCCATCTGTTTACGTCAAATCTCAAACGTTTAAACGATTCTAGGTTCTCGAATACGAAGGGGTTCACGTGTACTCGGCCATCGCTGACATGCGTGTCAGCCCTAAGCTACCCAAGTCTTCTGAGAACCAGATAAAGTGGAACAGAATGGCGTATGAACGGAGCGATACCAGTACTCTCGACGTCAGAACGCAACCATCATCGCTCCATTCTCTTGCTTTGGCCGCTCTTTTCCTCCCACTCTGTCCTCCTCTCTCTACTTCGCGAAACGTGAGCGGCCATATTTATTTTTTTTAAGTGTCACTTTTCTCGATTTCGAGAGACTGAGAGTCATCGTGAGTTAGTACTGTTGTATACTTAATGTATGTATAAATCTGTGCATACGACGTCATACGAAACAGCAAAGTTTAGTGGAACTTGGACATGTTCAGTGATTCGTGTTTCATAATATGAGTTTGCGTGATAGATCCGATCCTGATCCATACGCAGAAAAATAACAGCCTCGAAAGAAATGCTTGCCGTAGAAAAAGTGTTCATACAATATAATCCATTTGCTCTGATTTAGTTGGTTAGTTCTTCCGTCATTTACCGTCATTCAATATTTCTAGTCGTTAAATCCCTCAATTTCACTTGAGGCTCCTCGTGTCTCCTCATCTTTCGTGTCACAAACAAAACTGAGTGTGACGTCGTGAAAGGGATACTTGGTTATGTTATCACAGTTCTTATTTGCTCTCAAGTAGATTTGGAAGATTTCGCAATAGTGATAAAGTAGTGATATATTTAGTAGTGCGCGTATAAGTGTGAGTAAAATGCATAAATTAAGGCTACCTGTCAAGGTCGAATTGCCCACTGCTTTAACAAGGTATGGGGAAGCCTAATTAACAGGTATCAGTATTAGTATTTTCACTATGTTATTGATATTAAATCTGTAAGCACGAGGAGACTCAGTACTTGAATACTCGAGGGAGACTATTATGTTAAATGCAGTTCGTTGCTTTAATGCTTGTGAATTTGCAATCGAGTTAATAAGTTGATTTCAGTTCTAATTCAGGATAAATCTCCTCGAAGTATGCTGAGAAATTCCATGAGCTATTTCCAATAATTACCCACTACCTAGATAATATAATTGTTTATTGAGCATGTTTATCTCATATCTGTGAGTGTATATCAAGAAGCATTCTAACTTTAATGGTTAGATTGTTAAATCTAAATGTTGTATACTCAAGTATTATGATATCATCTTATCGTTTTCAAAATTTATATCTAATTTATGTGTATCATTGTGTAATGATTAAAATGTGCTTGTCTTATCTTTGTTTTAGATGGATAAGACAAATACATTTCTATAATTAATGCAAACAAATTTAGAATAGAGTTGTATATTGATTCTTGGTTAAATGTCATTTCACAAATATATACATTCACAGTGAAGTTATTACAAGTATTCTTATATGATCATTTAACAATGAACACTTGTGTGATTCACTGAACACGAATGCTATTCCAGAAGTTTCCATTTATCTACAATATATCAGGAAACCTAGTTAGACTATACCACATTCTGTCTATAATTCATACCATGAAATGTATACAGCAGTATAAAGCTCACATTGATCTATAATTTATTAGTTTTATAAAGAATTTATCAGGTCCATACTTGTACATGTTTTGTATATTCAGGGCAGGAGAGTATAATGTAAGATGAAAGATGTCGCAGAAGAACTAAGGACACAAATATTTTATAGTACTTGTACTTGCATCTAACTCATTTGTTTATCCCCACAAATGCTTTTACTATAAGGAGTGATAAAGTTAATGGTCTGTAAATGCTAACAACGTATTAAGTACAGCAGTAATGGGAACCTTCCATAATGTGAGTAGAACTCCAATGGCAGTGCTGCTATAAAGATGCGACTCATAATAGTGCTTGGAAAATTTATGTTCTAACGTATTTTTTTCAATTGAACCTCTGTATCGGAATGCTCATATATCTATATTGATGGATAATAGTCGACCTTGTTATCGTAACACAACCTACTACTTTGTCATAGTACCTAATTCGTACTTAATACTATCCTACATTAGAAACAAACGTATTTTTACCAATAGTAGGCATAGATTTAAGAGCTTCAAATACGCACAGATTCTTGTTTTTTACATCAAATGGTAGTTCCCAACGGGAAACTTTAAAACTGATGACAAGTCATTAGTATCGCGAGTTGCCAAATATGTTGTGGGTATCTGTAAAACCATATAGAGAGTATCGAGAACAGCGCCGCAATATTCAATGTACGACGCAAGCCAAGATAAGATAAAAGAGATTAGAATAAGCTATCCTTTCCTAAGTACGACTCCTCAGAATCTTGTTGTTATTCCAATCAGGGGGCGAGTTTGTACTACGTTCTCATCGGTAATGGACGTCTCTGCGTTATTTTCGGGGCTGTACCGTACGAGGCCTTGCGCCCGCTAATTTGGCCTTTCACTTGATCTTGACAAATTGAATCTACTGCGGTTAGTCTACTGTTCGCCGTTCGCCGGCGAACCTATCGGCTGCGCTATGAGCCGGGATACCTCCGACATTTGCCGTGTTGGTTCTGTTCATCGTGCGCGTCGGGCTCATAGTAATATTTTGCACTCGCCGTATTAACGATCTTTTCTTTTCGTGGGACGCGAGATACATTCTCGTAGTTTTGCTAGCCGGCAACATGCAAGACATACAGACTATCTTCATGGTGGATGTGTAAGTGAATAAATTGAAGGACTTCGGATGTTTATGCTTTTCGATTGTGTGGATCATTTGTCACGCATTTTTGTCCTCATTTTTTTTCTCTTCTTTCCCCTTTTCTCTAGATCGTTATCCTTGATTAGACAGACTACGAATTATCTTTTTCTTCATTTAAACGGCTCTGAACGAAGCCAAATTCATTGTATCGATTATCGATGCTTTTTTTTCATAAATATATAAGTGACAGTGCAAATCGTTACACCTTGTATTCATTGATGTGCTCCAAATTGTAGGATAATGCTGAGTCTTGTTGACAATTGACCTCGTGGTAACGTCTTAAATCTTTGGAGAATTAACTAATTCGCTGAGAGGTCAATTCATAGGTGTTGGTGCAGTGTACTTGAAAAGCTTAATGGTCCTACCTAAGGTTGAGACTGTTGAGATGGTTGAGCTTTTACGAGGATGTTTTTCTTATACACTTTTAATCTTTATGTACGGCATTTAAAACTGTTAGCGTCTTTTCCCGTGAACTTGTGAGGTATGTCGCAGATTGCATATACTGTCTTTTATTTTTATTTTTTTGTTAATAAATAATAAATATATTGATCATTGTTTTATGTATTACTCTTGATTTATACTCCTTTCGCGTGCATATCTGCCATTCTCATTGCTGTTAATAATCACTGATTATCGGTCAATTTTATTTTATTCTACGCACTGGAGAATTCGAAATTATAGCAGCTTCAACAAGAAAACGAGAAACAGAGTGATTTGTCATTTCAAAAAGTTTAATAATTAGTAAAGAACTGAAAAACAGTATAACTTGAAGTATTATCTTTATGACAGCTGCTGCTATTCCCTCAAAAAAAAAAAAATGTAATGAACTTTTAAATATTTAAGAAATACGGTTGACTATCCTTGCGAGTTTGGTAATGTTACGAAATTTCGGTTGTCTGCCGATGAATTAATAACGATACCACGTATATGATGATAGTAGGATGTCCGATTGACAGTTTATAATATTCCGTATACTTGCGTGAAGTAACAAAGCAACGTATGCGTAACGTATACGTTATAAGCTCTTTAGAATATGAAACATAAGTCCTGTAAATTTACAGCAAAGGTAGTAGAGTCTTACAAGGATATGACTGTCGTCCCATTAGGAACGTTGCGAATTATCACAAATTCAGTTTCGCGGTGACGCTTAACGTGAGTCATGGGTTTCAAATGATCATGATCGTCTTAAGAATCTATAGATTGGTTGGTTCACAAAATAACATTTGTTGCCAGGAAAGGAAATAAGAACGTCTGGCGTAGAAGCAATACGTGATACTAACGTATTATCGACGATTGGTCAAGGAATAGCTTTAGTATCGCATTTAAATAAATGAATGTGTAACTCGTACAGTATTCCTCAAAGCTTTTAACCTACCTTTTGAATGCGAAAGCACTTTTGTTCGTAAATTATGGCACTGAATGTACTTCCATCGACTCGATGGAATGTTCGCGAAACTCGTACGACTCAAGTGGTTATTAGTCGAATTACTGGTTATGCTTTATATTTCATAACGTAGATATTAACATCGTGTGTCCCTGACGTTTCATCAAACATTGGTCTGCTCTTCTACTGCCAAAAGATTTCGCTATTTTTGTTTTGTTTTTAGCTTCGCGATTCATGTCACGATTCTAAAAACTCCTAGTCACGTGACCACGCTGCGTAACGAAAATATACGAACTTTTGGCTCAAGCGTTAGATATCGTTGATGAAGGCTTCCTTTCAAATGATTAGTAATATTAGTCATTACTAATCTTTGACTCTTGACTGTTCGCCTTGTGCTTTTTAAGGCAGGCACAGCAGGAGACTTGTGAATGTTGCTCTGTTATCATTCTTGGTACTGTATAGAACCGTAAGGATATATTAAACAGGATATTTTACTCGTGCAGTAGGGTAATCCGAATGTCGACACGTTATTCCAAATTTTGTATGTACGTATAGGTGAAAGATAAAGTTTAAAAAAGTAATTGTGCACTTCACACATGTAGTTACCACCGAGGACTTACTTTTTGTTCAGGGGACTCTTTTACGCTTATATTCATAATAAGCTTGCACCTGGATGTTATTTGGCGTTGGATATCGACTCTTCTTTTCATGATAGATTTTTGTTTTCATTTAATAACTTATTGGTGTAAACATGTCAATTTGTGAATTTATTCATTCTTTGAAGATGCCAACCTTTTCATGACGTGCGATAGTATGAAACTCCGTGCCACTCAGTAACGGGCGTAAAATAACAATTTAGATTTCGAGATACCTACCTGACGAAAGCGTCCGTTCCACGTCGGTTGTGATAGTTTCGTTTTGATTTCTAAAAGCATCGTGAATTCGTCATCCTTACTCCAGTATTAACACTAATCATACCGGCAACTTTTTATAAACGTATATTTGGCTCCAAAACGGTCAAATTATCGGTCGATGGTACGGTTAGTGTTATGTACACAATGATAATACTATATATAGATACACGAAGGATCTAAGATTTAGATTATTTAACTTTCACTGTTATCTGACGAAAGAGATGGAAGTGATCATCTCTTATCTCTCTTGTCAAGCATATCAGCTGAACTTCTTGAACGTAACTTCAGTTCTAGTGCTCTTCTTCGACGCGTGTGATTTTAGCTCCCCTTTTTTTAAAACATTTAAAATGTAACGATAGTTTCAGATAGTTTTACATTTGTTTCAAATTGTTCCAAAGTTGTATCACAAAAACTTGTTCGGAGACAGTAATTTTTCAAAATTATTCCGAGTTGTTCTCATTCTTAACAACATTGTTCTGAAGTTTGGTTGAGATACTTGAAAGAGTAAAAGAAATTCAGTGGTGCTGGAATTTCATAACAGTATTTCGAATCAATAGTATATGAATTTGAATGATAGCATTGTGGCAGACGAAGGTTAACGTTAAAATTATTCTTTTAAGGTTAACCACGTGGTTGATAAACGATAAGCTATTTAAAATCATTTGAGAAGTTAACTCACTTGTAAAATGGTGCAATTTTATCCGCGTTTCGTACTTTATATTGAAAAAGCCTTAGGAATTTCGTCCCACTTTAAAAGACTTTTATTTATAGATGGCACGTGATAATAAAAAATCACAGTAGAAAAGTGATTATGAGAAATTAAATTATAGAATATGGAGCGCGTAGTTTAATAGGAATCAAGTGGATTAATCAAGGATGAAAGTGGCGAAGAAAGTGGCCTTTTTTTCGCGTTTTCTAGGTGAATGATTACATATATAACCTTCCCCTTTTGGAACAATATTAGAAAAGAACTAGAACAACCTGGAATAATTTTCAAAAATACGATTTTCGACAAAAGGAGGATTTCACGTTTTTCAATAGTTACTGCCTCTGAACAAGTTTTTCTGGCACAACTTTGAAACAATCTCGAATAACGGTTAAAATGTTCAATTTATTAAAAAAGGGGGCAAGGGGGCGAGCTTCACCCAGGTTCTCCTTCGCGTAAGCACCGCCTTTCGTTCTTGCTCTTAACGATACTCTCGTGTTAACGTGCGTTCAGTCGCATTTGAAAATTCGCATTTCCGGTGGTTCATTAATGTTTCATGAAACCGCTATGGGCAGACTTGCATAGCGCGGAAGTTTTAGCAACGGTAAGTTTAAGACGTCAGTGGCATATGCGAGCGGCGGCTAGAGTCGTGGTCGAGCCTCTAAGAGATAATGAAACTGCGCTACGTCCGTTATCACTTCCCTTTGATAATACTCTGCTCAAGGGTATCCATCTATTATAGGATTTCATGTAAAAGAAGCGTGAAAATATAATAAATGAAATTATGATTATGCCTCTCTCTCGTTTCTCGAACTTTACCGACGAGGTCGAATTAGTACTGTTCGCATATGGCGCTGTAGCGGCTAACGAAGAAGATAAGCCGAGCTGCGACCGGTTTCTGATAGTGGGTTACGTGCAACGGGAACTCGTGTGTCAGTTGGATATCATACCAACCACAACTTGCATGCTCTCGTACAGTCATGGCTGTAGTACTATGTTCTCGTTCACCTGTTGCAATCGAGCTGTTATGGCCGATAACGTGTTTGAGACTGGAAAATATTCGACATGCATTCAGATCACTATTCGCTTCGTTAGCTTCTTGTTGGATGTATAATACCCTTTGACTGTTTAAAGACAATGTTAAAACTAACCCGGGGGAGAGGTTTGTTCAGTGGGATTGTAATGTGAGAAATGGAATTTTGATACTTTGATATTCACTATTTTTTTTAAATTTGACAATAGGGAGCGAAAGTCTGCTGTCGCATATGATTTACTTGCTTGTGTTTCTTGATTCTTATGAATTCAATGAGCGATTGAATTGTACATGGTATTAAGTCGACTTAGAGTTTATTTCTTTTATGAAAGAGCATTGCGATTAGATCGGGTGTTTTCTCGTATTTAATGCATGCGAATTACTTTCGTTGTGTGTATCGTGCTTGGGATTGGATTTGAATGTGTTGATCGGTGAAGTTGCAGATACACTCGTGGACCTTGGTTTTATAATTTTCTATCGGCCTCAATTTAACTTTCACCAAGTCTTTAATTTTATACTTCGAAATACCCCTCCGGCTTCTTTTTGTTAATTGCAGGGGTCTTTTTTAAGCGTTACTCTTTCTTCTTTCAATCCTCGTCGTCTCGATGTGCTTCTTATGTTTTCTGCTTGAGCGGTCCAACTCTGGGAATTATTTTTAACGACGCCTTGACAAGTCCGTAATAATATTTAATTAAACTGTTACTGACGCGCCTTCAATGTTCATCAGTTTAATTTTCTGTTAATAACATTTTGCTTTTTATAGACGCAATTTTTCAAGGAGATTAGAAAACTTTTAATCTTAGCCAAGATGGCTTTTAATATGCTCTGGTAAATTTATTATGAGATCCAACACGTATAATTGATACTTTTTATACAGCAGTTAAAGTATCACCCTGACTTCAATCGGTTTAGTGTTTTCTTTTTGTAACACAACATTCAGGTCATAATTTATAAAATGCTGGTAACGCAAAATATGTATGAATTACACGGACAATGGCAAAGACACGGAGAATGTTCTTCGATCCATCGTTGAACCGTCTTGGTTCGTTAAGTAAAATCTTCTGATTGAAATATCGCAATAGCTGTTGAATAATCGAGCGATTGTCTAAAAAAAAACTAAATCCACAGTATTGTGGAACTGTCCACGGCATGAACGCTCGATGCCTGGAAACCTGTCGATTGCCATGTACTTGGAATAATTACAAGAGAAATATCAATGGTCGAGTTTGAGTTCAGCCTTCTCGTACAAGAAATTTGGGTGGTTCCTTTCGGATTTGCAGGTCATGCGTCCCAGGATTAAGAAAGTACTATTTGTTCAGGACCTTCTTGCTAAGGTTTTTATCCCTCAGGGAATTAGGGATTGACCTGAACTTTCGCTTGTCTTCGCTACCTGACCAGATCGTAGTGACCTAACGGAAATAGGTACTGTTTGCAGGATGGTATTGGACCCCAAGGCAACGAGTCTGCATAGCGATTACGGAAGTTTCGACCGACCATTGGGCAGTGGAGACGGACACGAAAGAGACATTGAAGCAGCAGTTGATGGAAGCACCAGTGGAATGGCACAGTCCAGTGACGTTTATCAGCGGCAACCTTTGCTTCCCGGTGCACCAGCTAAGAACAAGGACAAGTGGAATGGAGTTGGCTCCAGTTCAGACTATTACGAGGACGACGAGGACGACAAAATTGATAGTCTCGGCCATGTAAGACATCCGGGGATACCAAACGGATCTGGAAGTGGCATCGTGAAGCTCGATATCCCTCCGCCATTACGGGAAGAACCTCGGTTCCCCAAGGAGAAGTGGAAAACTTTTTTAGGTGAGTTCAAAAGCGATTTGTCTTATAAGCCTCTCTATTAGAGGACCTTAATCTTCATTCTCTGTGGTGTCTGATGCTGTTCCCATTTTCATTGTACGGTCACTGATCTTTCCTAATTTTTGTTGTTTTATGCACTCGACTTTCTTTTGTCTCACCAATATTATTACGTTAGACGCTGGTATTAGCGAGTATATGGTAATATCTCTCTTAATTTCTGTTCTCATTTTTTTACTCGTGGCTAATCCTTAACCGTTACTTGTTACAGCATTCCTCTTTATGGTTGTGAACTTCATACTAACAACCGCATCACTCGCTATGGTACACGAGCGTGTGCCGGATCGTGCAACCTATGGTCCACTTCCGGATGTCGTTCTGGATAATATTAGTGCTCAAGATTGGGCCCTCAACGTCTCCGAAGTTTTAATCATGATCGCATCGAACTCTGCGATGGTTTTAATTATTTTCCATAAGCACAGGTATCAGTATAATTGACACGTGGGATGAATAGAATCGATGGGATCAAATTAGTAATTCAATAATCGCATATATATTGATTAGCGTCCTCAACTTATTCTCTTTCGAACAACAAGATAATTCTTTAAATATATATTTAATCATTTCCAACACCGTCGATCGATTATAAATTTGCGCTACCTCTGGTTGAAGGCCGCTCTCATTATGATTGCCCTTACATTGTATGTCACGTCGTTTCACGATTATTAACCTACTAACTTAATTACGGTTGATCGGTCTATCGAACACGGTGCTTAAAACGTATGGTTAACGGAGAAATAGATTAAGTGATAATACTTAGACTCAAGGAAATATTTCAAAGGGTACATTAATTCCAGATTCATTGTGGTCAGGCGAATCTTTCTCCTGATGGGATTGCTGTACATGATGAGGAGTGTCACGATGTATGTGACCGTGCTGCCCGTTGCTAGCACAACGTATTTCTGCAGTCCCAAAGCGAACAACACGAGTCCTCTTTTGGTAACGAAGAGAGTCCTTCAATTGATCTCTGGATTTGGTTTATCCATCAACGGGAAACATACCTACTGTGGCGATTATATCTACAGCGGTCACACAGTGGTTCTCGTTCTCAGTTACCTCATCATTAAAGAATGTAAGGAAGTATGGAGAATTATTTTAAAACAGACATTAGTGCAAGAGAAGTCAATAGCGAATGGCGGGAGGTAGTTGACCTCTTTCTAGTATAATCACTAATACGCGTGTCATACATTGACACAATTTTAAGTATTTGCGTCATTTCTTATTCTAGATAGCGATTCATCGATCGTATCTATGCTAAAAAGTCAGTTTACTTTATGGCACGTGCGACTAACCTCTACTGTGTTGTATTTTCAGATTCTCCAAGGAGGTGTCAACCTATACATTGGCTTACGGGACTCACTGCCCTTGTTGGGGTAATCATGGTTCTCATAGCTCATGGTCACTACACCGTGGATGTTCTTATAGCGTATTACGTAACCACCCGTATATGGTACATTTATCATACCTTGGCGAACAATTCGCACCTGAAGGTAAGTGATAGTTCTTTTTTGTTTGTTTGACCAGAATAGTCCTTTCACAGTGACGATCACTGATATTGATCGTCCTTCGTCCAATGAAGCGTTACTCTCATAATTTTTCTTTCCTCAAGGCTATTTCTCATAGATGCTACTTCGTATCTGTGTTAGCATGTAAAAGAAATCCAAGAATTAAATTCTCTTTCGTGCGATCTATCAGTTTCCTGTTCCGCACTGTCTATTTTGTAGAATTCCATTTCTTGAATATATGTCAGTAGGTGGAGTTACTGCTAAGTTAAGAACTCGGTAAAATGTCTGTTCACAGCAAAACGGCCCGAACAACCTTTTATCCCGGCTCTGGTGGTTTCCCATATTTCGATATTTCGAGAAAAACGTGGGTGGAATTGTGCCACGACAGTACGACTGGCCTCTTCCCTGGCCTCGACGATTTTTTGCCAAGCATCCCAACAGAGACAGTTAATACTTGCCTGAAGTTCGTCATGAAACCTGCCTCCTAGGGGTTATATTTGCTGTATATATTTAGGTTTATTATATAAAGTTGTCCCGAGTTTTTAAAGATTCGCGCATATAGCGTGCGAACTTTTGACTACTCGTAGGACGTTGAGGGTATGTAACAACCGAGTTTCATACAAGAAAACGAAAAAAAAATATACTAAACGTGCATCATTCACTTTATTCTACTGTGCACTGAATGGTAGGAATGATAAATGCTTAATACGTGTAACACTCGTCGTCCAGTCACGGCGAAAGCTTGTCGCGATATTGTTATAGCAATTTTTTTCCGTTATATTGAAATTCAATACAATATGTAGACAATGCGACGGCAAGCAGTGAACTGTTTAAAAGGGTTATTGCGCAAATTGTGATCTTTGTTTGTCTTATAGATTTTATTTCCTCCTGGTTCAGGAGATAGATAAAGGGTATCCTGCTTTTTTTTCATTATTTGACATTTCACGTAATACTATGAAATTATATTCAACGTTAACTTTGAAATCTCATTAGCATCTACTTTTTCTGCTGTTTTTCATGAAAACGATAAAATTCATGAATATTAGAGTGCACATCGAGCATCTCGACGAGGCTTATTCCGATGAAATGCGACTCTAATATAGTTCCTCCCTTTAAGTAACGGAGAAGACATAAAAGAGAAGCCAGTTAGTTCGTGCCAAGTGATTCCACAAGCCTGATCTAGCTTCACCCTGCGGATTTTCCTCGAAACGTTCATGTTCCCTGGACGATTCGATTATAATGAACAAAACTTGGGAAGACTGATGAAACCCACCCTGTCGTAGTGGTGAATCGTAGTGCATGGAATTTCTCTGGGACCAAGGTTTTAGGTTTTTGGAACACTCGAAGATACACGTAGTATGGAGATGTAGTAGTAGGGATGAGCTTCTAAAAAAAACTCACAGTATACAGGATAAGTGAATTCGTGTTGCAGTATCCAGCAGGATTTTCATGGGGATAAATTTAAAAAAAAATTCGTCCCAATAAAATTCACTCGATATCCGTAACATCGCGTTGGCGCAAATTCGTAACTCGGAAACAAGTGATCTTTTAGAGATTTAATTATATTTTGCGTGGACTCGAATTTTCTCGGAATAAAATATAGCGGTCGCCTTCTGCCCATGAGTTTCACGAAAATTTGTATTACACGTCAACGTTAAGAGCATTCGAAGAAAGTTGAAGTTACGTGTTCAAAATCACTTTGCTGCTCGTTAAATCTACTGGTATTTATTCTTAGTTTTATTGTTGTGATATCGGATAACTGTTCCACTGGAAGACGATGTGTTTACCAATTAATCTATAAATTAACAGATAAAAAAGAGACGTTCGATTCTCGCTTTTTCCGCTCTTCCCTGCAGCTTCGCTCTGTTACGAGTTCGTGGGACCTTCTTGCCCTTGAAAACAGGCGAGATACGCTTATCGAATTAAGTCACACTACCTTATAGCCCCTATTCTTAAGTGGATGTTTTGCAAAGCGCAAACGGACTGTACTGGTACCTCTTTTCTCTTATATGCTTTTCCACGCGTCACGCTTTATCGTAAGATAGCGGGCCTAAAACACGAGCACGTCACCGTATGCATGTATGCTCAAGGTGGTTGAATGATATTGATGCTTGTGGATGTTTTCCGGTATTCCTGGAACGCTTTGCGAACTTTCTGTTGCGAGAATGGGGCTCGGCCGTGTGTTACTGTGTAACTCGATGCGCCCTGTTGCGGTCGTTGATATTCCTCTTATAGACGTATATATACTTGTATTATCGTTAAGTATATTGTGACAAGATAATGCAGCTCGTGGAAACTCTCCTATGAACATGTAGCGATCGACCCGTCTGACAAACACGGGTGTATCCATTGATCGGACGACCCAATTTCTTCGGAAGAAAATATGATTTCTATCGTGGTATACATACGTGTACTAAGGCAATGTTTAGAGCTGTAGCGATCCAAATGTTAATATGGAGTTACAATTTTTCGTGTGCAGAGGGAGTGTTGCATATTACATGCTGTATAGTTTGTAAGCAATAGGAAATATATATATACGTATATACATATAATATATACGCATATATATATATATATATATTATATACGATTAAATGGAGAAAAAATGCTTCTTCCATTGTCGGAAGGATTACGTTAGTGTTTATAAACATTATATGAAGTCTAACATTATACAGCTGTGATGCTAGTACTCGTATGTACACATATGTTTGGCTAGATCTGTGCGTATGTACATAAATCTATATTTTTACGTGTAGATATTTTTTGGTAAATTGTTAAAATGATCTGATAGAAATGGTAAAGTATACATACGTTGTAAATAACAGTAGCGAAGGGCTTTGTTACAACATGGATTCTCTGTAAGTCGAATCAAAATTTTCTTACCGTGAGAAATTTATTGGTAGCATTTTTTATATTCATGAGAAATAATAGTCGCCAGCACTGTATATTGTTGACACCGAGTGGGTAATTTTGCGCAACCGAATTTCCGTTTGTTACTGTACGTGTACATATATTTTTATAGTTATTTATATAAGCTACGCTATTGTTATTGTATCATTACGATAAACGAAAACGAGGTATATTCGAACTTTCTTTATACTTCTGTATTTATAATATTTATTACGTTTGTCATATGTTGGATGTAATAAAGTTTAAGTATACTTTACACACAATAACATTTGTTATTGTATCTTTACGACTCTCAGTATGTATATATGGATTCTTTAGGTTAATTATTGAAATAATGGGCTGCTTAGTTTCAATAATATTTGTTAAGGGAAGCCGAATAATTCGTAAGGCATTCGCATTTTCGTAAGGAGCTGGTTTTAACAGCTTCATATCATTTCATTAGATAGCATTGCAAAGAACTTAGTACAGTATCGGAAAGTTTAGTCAAAACTTGTTGCGAATTAAATTTTATAATATTACAGTTCTTACGGTTTCAAGTGCCTCGGAGCACTTCAGCTGTGTTTCAAAATGAGCCGACGCACTGAGAGCATCGTTGTGTCTCCATCAAATTCATTGAACGGAGACACAACGATGTTCTCAGTGGTATTGGCACATTCTCAAACACCTACAATGCTCCAAAACAGTTAAAACCGCAACAGGACTACGTATTCGCTATGCGCTTATATCAGCGAACATGAGTAAAAGTTTACATATTTGCGGAGCAAATTTACGGCGAGAATTTATAGGGAATAATACAGATGGCGCAGATAGGATGCACATACAGTTCCACATGTGCTCACAGATGAATGTTTTTGTATACGCAGAGCAAACAGGCATAAAAATTAATTGATTTCAGAAATCTTTAATCAAATGAGTTCTAAAGACCATTGAAATTTATATATTGGGTTATTCACGGAAAAAGCTACCAGCTGAAATTAGAACCGAATGGGTGATTTCGTGAATCAGTGCAGGGTGGCATCATTAAAGAAATGAAAGTTAACGTCATGACACTGCTAAAATCATGAATTTTACATTCTTTTATTTGTTTAACAAGGCCACACTGCCTCGATTAACAGAATTGTTCAATCTCGTCCAACTTCAGCTGGTGCGTTTGCCGTGAATAATTGTTTGCGTTACTATTAGTTTCTTCCAATGTCACTTTTTTTATGGACGTATAACAAATTTTTTTGATCGAACCCAAAATTATTGGTAAACGAAATGGCTAATTTCCTGTAAGGTATACTAACGATGATTCCTTTGCTTGGTAGACATCATTACGAAAATTAAGTCACAAAACTGGTCAGCTTATTCAATATCATTATTTCAGATGCTTAGGCAATGTAGGTTACAAGTATATGGACATGATCAATACGATTACTTGTTCAATTAGGTTTATACAAAAACACTACCCGTAACACTAACTGCCATCACAATATTTCACAAATTTTTAAATTGAAAAGTTGTAATTAATTATCATCATGGAAGAGTAAGTAAAAATGTTTTTAACAATGCAATTGATGCTTCGAGTTAAAATTTTAGAAATTATGCTAAGCGTTAATTGTATACTTGAAACGTAATACGTCAATGATCGAATTGAATGTTACATTTTAGGAAAGAAAAAAAATCTACAGAAATTGACGCTGAAAACAATGACGTCGAAGGTGAAAAATCCGAGGGAAAAGGAGAGCTGACTCAGGCAAGAAAAAATCTCACAGCTCGTCATGACTTTGGCAAATTATGGCATCGCTTTCGCGTTCTTAATTCTCAAAATGCAATACTTCACGGTACTTTGGCCATGAATAGTATGCGCTTCAAACATCGCAGTCGTGGCTTCCAGGGTGCTTCGTGTTCGGTAGTAGCTATAGTATTTGGTCGTCTGCTAGAACCAAAAGATTGGACCAAACATTACATCGACCAAGTTCTGGAATATGGAGATAAGGTCTTTCGCATTAGTCAGACCAGGAACAGAGTGAATCCTGGTGTATATATGACAACCAACCTTGTCTATCCGGAATTTTATGTTGCGGACTATAAGGTTACGATATGCACTGAGGAGAGCAGCGTCTACGGTAACCTCTTCAGTGAGACCGTAGGCTGTCCAAACTTTATGGACGGTCTTGAACGGTTTTTCAAATTAAATGATTCGGGAGTGGTCACGGCACAAGGAACTTCAGTGGCAATGTGGAGACAACTGGGTGCAGGTTTCTTCCACTTTGATCCTGCCGGATGTGCAGAAGATGGCAGCAAGTCTGCCAATGGCGTGGCCTGTCTAATGCGATTCAAATATATGAACGAAATGGCGGACCTTTATTTGAGTAAATTGGACAAGAAATACGACTCTAGATACTGCATCGACAAAGTCAGTGTACTGCGTGTCATGCCTGTCAACCGGAATATATTTTTGACAGTAAGCGAATCGCCCAACGACGCGCTAGTCGTGGATCGTAAAATACTAAGATCGATAAATCCTGCGGACGTCGAAGAAGGCAAACGCGACTGTACAAGATCAGCGCCTAAAGAGACAAAGGTACAAGCTCCGTTGTTAAATACTAATATTTTAAAAGAACCTTTGTCCATCACAATCTCAAATTATAGCATCGATGCTCAATTTGCAATAGTACCACTAGTGGATCAGAATTCGTTTGACACCGGATATGATTATTATGATATGGAGGCAAACGTGCCGTCGACTTTTAAAGAGCTTTCAGGTGACATGGCCATTTTGCATGGCTGGACGCACGAAGGCAGTGAGATGTACAAGGGGAAAGGAGCTCAAAATGTGGCCAACTGCGTGATGGCGATTGGCATGAAGAAAGTACACGCTGTCAAAGCTTGGCTTAGACCTAGACTCGATGAAATTCTAGTCCTCGGTGACGCCATCTATGCCGACGTCAAGAATGAAAAACCTACGATCAAAACAATGACTGCTGCTGATTTGAACGACACCAAATTTCAAATTCAAGGAAAGAAAATGATAGTCGACGTAGACTTGTTGACAGTTGTCGGTACGGTAACTTCAAAAATGCCAGAAGTTCTTAGTCTGAAAGACGCTCTTGATGAATTCTTCTTAGTAAATACAGATGGCGTCATCGAGTGTACGTCAATGGCTCTAGCCGTTTGGAGCCAGGATGATTATTATTATGTATTTGATCCACGTCAATGCGATCTGCATGGTAATCACATAATAGAGGAGAAGGGCAAGGCCAGTGGAAGGTCCGCGAAGGACAGCACCGTTCGAGAAAAGAAGGTCAAGGGAAAGTGCTGCGTTATACGATTCCCCAATATAGACAGTCTAGTTACCCTCTTTCTGAAGAACGTCGATCCAGCTAAGAAAAATGACAGATTTACTATACGACACGTCACCGTTGTGAATGACGTACCTGGTACAAGACCATGGAATGATTTCGGTCCAATTCAAAATGGAAAATGGATCCTCAGAGGGAAAATAGCGAACAACGATGACTCCTTTGAGGATGAGAGTCGTGGTGTCCAGGGCTTAGCCATGCCAGTGGCTGGTCTGGTTCATGCTAAAGATTTGCCGCCAGCTAAATGGACCAGGGATACTATCGACGATGCTATCCGTGATGGTGATGCTTACTTCAATTGGTGTATATCGCCTGAGGAAGAGAAAGATAGGACGTTGTTCGTTAGAAATATGAAGAAAGTTTTATATTCTAAAAATAGAAGAGTCAATCTTGAGGCTGAGGAGGCTAGTGTCGTGGGTGATCTCAAGGCTTCGGCTGATGGTGATCAGTTAGATTTAACCAAGGCAATCAATCAGTTCTTTCAAAGCCGACAGTTTGGAGTTGTTCAGGTTAAAGATTTATCGGTGGCGATATGGAAAGCCGAGGAGGAACTGAAAGATAAGACCAAGGAAATAGCTTATTATTGTTTCGATTCGAATCCCAGAGGACCGTCAGGGGAGAAGAATATGCAAGCTGTGGAAGACGAGCTTGTGGGATGTGTTATTCGTACTCTTGATACGTCAGAATTAGCGAAATTTATAGAGGGTAACATCGACCCAAATGCCGAACCTGGAAATGACTTTGTCATTCACGACATTAAGATTCAATCCATCGGACAGCCAATGACTGATGAGGAAATTGAGAAGGAAAAGGAAATTCCTATAAAGCCAGAATTAAATCTCTATACTGCCCTAGGGGATGATGGCGCTTGTCTTAACGGTAGCTTTAATCAAGCTAATGAATTGAACTTCAAGCATCATAGTCGAGATAAGCAACAAGCTGCGAACGCCTTGGTCGCTCTGGCAATGACAAAACTTTATAATCCGCATTTGTGGTACAGAGAAGTTGTCGATGACATATTAAAAGTTGGCGATAAAGTTACGGTTGATAATTCGGAGAATCTTCCGGAGGCCGAGGAGGACGAAGAGAGTCCTAGAAATTATTTATTACCGAGTGAGCTCAATGAAGAATTCGTTATAGGGGTTAACAAGATGTCCGTAACTTTAGAGGAGGATGCTGTAACCGGAAAACTATCGGAATTGAGTAAAAATATAGAAGACTTTTTTGGAGAGAACGAACAAGCCGTATTTCGATATCAAAATATAATGCTGCCAATTTGGAAAGAAGGTAGTGTCTTTTTCACAATGGATCCAAGAGGAAGGGACAGTCGTGGTGTTCCAAAAGAAAAAGATGGCGTCGCTACCGTTATGTGGTTCACAAATACGACGTCCTTGGCAAATAGTTTGCAAATGGCTCTTGACAAAACGGATGGTGAATTCTCACTCGACAGCGTGGATATAGAAAATGCTTACGAAACTAGAGTGGCAGAAGGCGACAGAATAGGAAAGACAATCTCGAGTGAGAATTTGTGGCATCATTTTTCGAAAATGTCTGATGGAGTCTGGAGCTTTAACGGTAACGTTACTATGAGCGACGAAAAATTCGAGGAGGTAAATAGAAATAAACAAAGTGCAGCCATAGCCGTGATCGGTGTTATATTTTCAAAAGTTTATCAGCCTCGAAGCTGGAAGCCTCAAGTTCTCGATGAAGTCATCGTAACCGGAGACAAGCTTCACTCTAAATGTGTCGAAAGACTGGGCGAAGGCTCGATACCAAAAGTCAATGAGATAATCACTGAATTTTTTCTATCGAATCGTCGAATTGATCTAACGATCAAGGATTGCGTAGAGTCGGGAGATCTTGCTGGTAAAGGATCAAAATTGCAGGATCTAAAATCTGGGCTTGATCAATTTTTTACAAATTACAATACCGGTGTTCTCACGGCTGCCGGTACCAACATGGCTATATGGAAGATCAAGGATTTTTATTATGCTCTGATCCCAGGATCGTCAGGCAACGGTGATGCCTCAATGGGTCCTCAAGTCTTACGATTTTCCAGTACAGATTTCATGGCTTCTATCCTAAAGACTCTTCTAGGTGGCACAGGGGATTATGAGATAACAGCAATAGATGTCATAGACTGGAATAAACTTCCGCCATGGAAATTTGATCCTAGTTCAGCAATTAGACCTTCGAATTTACCGCCATTAAACGCATATAAAAGACTTCGAGGTGCAGCCAGAGCGATACTACGTGGTACCGCTCATCAAGCTTCTGAAATTTTTCCCGAAGTATTTCGCAATAGACAGACAGCTGCCAATTGCGTGGTAGCACTCGGTATGTCCGTCATTAAAAATCCAACTACGTGGACTAAATTAACGTTAGACGAGATTCTTCTAGTAGGCAGTAACGTCCACAAGGAAAGTATGACGGCAAAGCCAGCCCGAGAGAAACTGACACCTGATGACATTATCAGGGTTTTTTATGTGGGGGTGACTGTTTTAACGGCCGACGTTAAAGCAGCAGTATCAGGACAGGTCGCCATTCCACCACCGGAACCGGAAGTGAAGGGTAAGAAAGGCGCAAAAAAAAAGAAGCCTGCTCGTAAAGAGAAGAAAGGTAAGAAGGGTAAAACTAAAAGAGAGCCACCACCTCCGCCACCTATTATATTCCTTGAGGAAGGTTTGCAAAAATTTTTTGAAAATAATCGTGCTGGTATTTTGGTCACCGGACGATATATGACTGCTATTTGGAAAGATTTCGGTGTATACTTTATGTACGATCCAAGAGCCAGAAACGATCAAGGACTCGATGATGATTTCGGTGCGTCCTGTATAATGTGGTTTGCCTGTATGCAACCCTTTTACGATCTTATTTTTGCGAATATTGAAGAACGCGAAAAATACGGTCGTTACGACATTTACCAAGTTACCATAAAAACAACTTTAATAGAACCTTTACCGTGTCCGGCGAGTTTCCGTACTATTCAAGAAAAAACAGCTCCATCAATTCCTCTTTCATCTACCAAGAAGGTCAATGTTTTAGACGTCGCGACTCTATCGGGTTACAACATCGTGGATGATGAGATCAGTGTACTACGTGGAAATGTTCATCTGGGGGATAATATTTTCAATATAAAAAGTAGAGGCCTACAAAGCACGGCTATTGCCGCCGTAGCGATAGTCGTAGGATTACTGCACGTTCCGTCCACCTGGACCAGTGATCTGGTAGATGCTATTTTGAAGTACGGCGATCTACTTCACGTGGACAGCACCCGAATGTATCTTCCAGGAGCCAGAAATCTCTCGCCACGTGAACTACTTACGGTTTTTATCGTTGGCGACTTGAGGGCGCATATTCACATACATCATCACACCAATGCCGGGGTTTTACATCTCTATGACCTTATCTCTAACCTTACCCTCTTCTTCAAGAATAACTGCTCTGGTATTTTGCACATGACTAATATGGCCGTCGCCGTGATGCAGCATTACGGTAAGTTTTACTTATTCGATCCCTGCGCAAGAAACGAATTCGGTCGTCCCAGTGAAGATGGCGCAGCTTGCGTCATTAAATGCGAGAACATATCAAAGATGGCGCGGGTGTTTATTGAAAATTGTAATTACAAACGACCGACTGTCTACACGCTCAATGCCGTTAATGTGCTAAATTTACGTTTCTTTTCCGACGCTAAAAAACCCTGCCCGCCATCATGTATAAAATAAATAATAATATTTTGATTGAACTATATACGATTGGAACTATCTATAATTTTTACCAATGTTTTGTTACATATTTTTTAATAAAAAATCACGTTACTTGATACGGTCGTATTTATTGCAATGACAATATAATTGAAATTACCTTTTTTTTTCAACGTTATCAAAATAATTTACTATTTATTAGTCTCAATACTTACATGTTTTTTTTTTTCTGGAAATACTACACCAATGAATAGACGGTGACAACATTCTCAAATTGCTAATTTTATTTATAGTTTTATGACACAAATCACTTTTAGCATCTATATGAGTAGGAGTACAGGCTATACGAGAATGAATTTAATACAGATCACTTATTAGTGTAAATACAATATTTCAGTTACACGCTATAAACTAGATACTTAGAAAACACTGTACAACACAGCTGAACTGTAGAATACTTTACATATAATACAAGCACTCCTGGAAATGAGACGAGGCCAGTCGACGAAGCCGCGTCGCTCCGTAAAATACGTCATTTTTATTCTCATTTATCAGAGATGATATTCGTTACGTTTGCAATCCGCTATGGAATCGGCACACGAACGCGGCATTTAATAGGCCGTGTTTAACCGATTAACAAATATTTCAAATAAATCCATCAAACAATATTATTGATATAAATATATAGATCTATCGAGTAGCAGCATCCCCGTCGTAAATTCCCACGGAACTCCATGAGAATTTCGATCTAACATTTTGATCTGCTCTCGATATAATCCTCGCTACAATACACAGAACACGACCTAACCTGGAGCACGGTCAGATGAGTCTCATCGAATTCATACTCAGGTACCAGCTAGGTCGTGGAGTGTGACAAAAAGAAAAAAAAAATGAACGAAGGAATGACAAAAGATTAAAAAAAAAAATTAATAACGTGAGAGCACAAAGGATATAAAAACAAAAAGAGAGTCTCGTGTCCCATGGTTTCGTCTCATTTCTCGAAAGTGGATAATTGCAAAGTGGCACAGGCAGGAAAAACTGTCCTCGAAAAACCTATTTTTCATTTGGTCATAATACCGAGGGGTCGTTTAACATAGGGGTCCGGCCCTACGGTTCTGCTTGTACCACAGAGCGTACAGCAGGCATCGTTACAATAAATCGTACAATTTTATAGTCTTTTCTGGCTACAATCTGTCAGTTTTTCATAATAGGGACAAAGCACAATCGGCATGACGCGATTGCACGACTGTTATCCGACATTGTGTTGATACCGTTCCGTGAGCTTTTTTACTTCGAACGTCTATGCATTTGCTTCTCGCGATCTCGTGATTCGTTGTCCGTCGTCCGCGCCTTCTTGTTCTCCTCGGTAGTTCAGATTCCAGATTCTAGTTCTTGTCGCGAGCTCCGCGAGCACGGAAAAAGTTAATGCACGCGTATGGAATAAAAGTGCATGCATTCTTCCATGCTCGTGTACATTTCGCGCGATTTACGGAAGTGTGCATTTTTTTCACTGTTTCCACTGGGAATCCAATACTTTTCATAGGGCCGACCTGATCTCTGAAAAATTCTCACGTCATTGGATTATATTATTTCGTTTTATTCTATTCGTCTTGAATGCCGAGATCGGCCGGTATTGTCCTATGTTTGAAATATATATATATATACATATATATGCAATCGTTATTTATCTCTGATGGAGACGCGAACAATTCGATTAAAGATCGACTTTCCCTGGGATACCCTTTTGCAAATGTTTTTAAGGATATTTGACTTTTTTTTAAATTGTTCTATCGTATCGATTGTACGTTCAATTAGCCAAACGGCCGTGAGGCAATTAAGAGCGATACACGTGTTCCCGCTAATTGTACTATAAGATAGTGTTTAGTTGAAGTCAATGTAATACGAAGATGTGGACTTTATTTTGGCGAGAGTTCAACGAGAACGAGTTTAGAGGAATAATGTATAGAGCCGGGTGAATGGATTAACGTAAAAGTTAAAGAGAAATGTTGGGCAAACGGCAAATTAAAAAATGCACACCTCAGCCGACGTTATACTTCATTGGCAGAAACGAATTTAAACAGATCATGATGTAAAAAATATGTATTAATAATAATATTGGCATGATGTTCTTATGGCACGTTTAGTTTACTATTCAGTGACGCGTTACAGTAGTTTATGTGTTCACTATACAGACATTATATTCAGTCAAGAAACTTTCCAACATTACACATTCATGATTCATCTCAGATTCGTAGCGTATACAATTTGTTCTCATAAATTCCTCCATTGCACTTTCCCATCTTCACAATAAATGCACCTTAAAATATTTATTATGTACAATAGCTGCTTCCTAATGAACGTTCAAACAATCGTATAAGATTTCTATTGCATTTTTGGTTGGTAAAATGGTAAAAATAGATTGCACCGAAAGATCATGCAATAAAAATTTAACTACTAATGGCTATGATAAGAATTTTCATCATATTTAACAATCCAAATTTTTACCTAAACCGCTAAAGACTACAGGCCACTTCACTCGCGGTTACTGAATTTTTATTTCGTATAAAAGAAACACTCCAAAACATAAAAAAAAAATTTCCTCATAGAAAATTAGGTAATCGAAAATAAAAATTTCCCGAGACCCAACGAAATTTTTCGTTAAATCTCTTAACGTGAGCGCTTATCAACGCAATAGACATCGGGTGCTTAAATCTTAATGTTGCACGAAAAAAAAAAAAAAACAGTAATTTCTTCAACGCAATTAACATTACTTAATTCCATTTTTTTTGTAATTAAAAGACGCGTACGTCGTGTACTTTAACGTGAGTGAATTTACATAGCGGTTATTTGTATTTCAAAAATTCGAATCAAATCTATCGCCAGGACGTTCGCTTGAAGATCAGAGAAATGCGCCATTACGCTGTACTGCCTGAAGATGTAAGAAATAGTAATGATCTTTAAAAATCATTCGCAACGACATCGTACAATTCCTCTTTATGTACACGTACAGATACGAGCCGTTGTTGGTCCAAGAAGCTTAGAGAATAATTTTATCAATTAATTGGAATAGCTCTACAGGAGTGAACAAAGTATCTTTCATAAACTATAAAATTAAAAAAAAAGTCTCTTATCGAAGACCCGAAGGAATCTACGTGCGCATACGCATTTCTCTGATATCCGAAATGTGATCAAAATTTGAATACCTCCGTCGTGTCTGCAATTTGTATGACTACAATTAAAAATTCGAAATTGATCCTAGCTCTCATTGAAAATCAATGATAATCCTAAGCGAGTCGTCAGTGTCGTAAAAGAAAGATTGGAGCAAATTAAAATAAAGAATAGAAGGAGAAACGACAATACAAAGAAGAGAATTTGACAAAAATGAAAATTATTTAAGAAAACGATTGATCATCGTTATTGCGCATTAAAGTGTTCGTTAAATAATAATAACAACAACAGATACGACATTATGAACGGTAGCGCGTTCATAAATGATGAAACGTGCTTAGGATATCTAATTTAAGATGGAAGCGCTAAACGGTACGTCTGACGTTGCAAAAATCTTAAATGGCAATTATTGTCACGTCAATAATTTTCGAACGCGAAAAGCTGCTTGAACGATCGAACATCAGCATCGCATTCCTTACATTTTCTCTCCCATACATTTACATTCATTTTTTGTCCAATCCCTCTCATCGGATGTATACTATCATTTTCACAAATAAGAAGCAACCCCTGACGTCCCTCATCGACAAAAGGTGGGCTCAGCACGTTATATCATTCACAAAAGCACCACTGGTTTTCAGATAAATTCCTGAGATTTACCTATGTACCTCAATAATATTATGCAATGGAGATCCACGGACAAGACTGTTAAATACATTGCGTATAAAATCTACAGTTACGTACATGCCAATCGTATTACTACCCGCCGAGTAGGCAAGAAAGGGGAAGAATTAGGTCGTCTGGGAGTTGAATTAATAGGGTATGATGCAATGGTTATTAGTAAATAAGAGGGAAAAGATGAGGAATAAAGGAAAGAGAATAAAGAAACAAAGGAAGGGATGACGAACGAGGTAGGAAGAAGGTAGAGGGGGGAGACGTTGAACGGGGTCTAAAATTAACGACTTCGCACTAAAGAGATCTTACTGGCTAATTAATCGCAATTTATGTATGTGTATGTGTACCGTGTGTGTATAGACTTTTAAAAAAATAACAAATTACATACAGAAGATAGGTATTTTGACAGGTGACGTCGAATAAATGAATAATAATAAAGGCTATCACTTAACTCTTTAGCTATGTCTGCGATATAATTATTTATAGAATATAGTACCTGGCACAGGAACATGACCTCTCAGTCATTGGCATCACAACGTAACAAGGACTACAAGCTGCGTCACGCGCACCTCACAATAACACATAGTCACTTGCCATACGTGGCTCTCCTCTAGTGGGTGACTGCAGCCAGACACTTGGTCCTGAGTATTTCTGCATCATATTCATTTCTTTTCATTTTTCTTTAAGCTTCTCTTATTATCTCATATTATGTATATCGTCCGTGTTTTGCTCGTGTTTTCGATTCCGATTGGACACACTCTCATAGTCAGTCTCTTATTGTGACGATCGGATAGCAAGGCTGGATAACTACTAATAAGAGAAAACAATCAGATCAGTCAAAGTTTCAAATATTCTACATATTTACTCTGCCTAAAAGCTGATCGGTATTTCCCTATTAATAAAAATAAAAGATACGCCGCTTGAACGCTACTTCCCACGTATAACCTACGTAAACGCATCCCATGTCCTTGCAGAATCCCCGACTCGTTGATACCCTCGTTGATTCTCGGCGTGTTCTCGGCGTTCTTATTGCTTCTCCCGGTTTCACAGCTCTCTTCGTCTTCTTGTCCCAAGCTGTTCACGCAGACTCGTCCAGAGATCCAAGATGAGACAGACGAAGTAACGGAGCCTCGGATGGTAATTCCAAAACGACGAGTGCGCCAAACTGGGCTGGATTTATTGATTCGGCTGGTATCGTCAGAGGATGATGCCTTTTCGCTGGGATCATTATACAGAAGAGTAATACGCGACTGGCAAAGCAGCGACGTAAAATTCTTCACGACGTTTAGACGTTGCGGTTATCCAGCCTCTCCGAATGTAAACGTAGATGAACCCCGATGACACCGAATGGTACAGTCTTGTCACTTGGGGCGGCCCAGGGCTACGTAACACTGATCGCGGGATTGGAGGGTCCCGAGGGCGCAGGGCCCACGTCACTCTTTATACATTGTCCCGTGAGTTGATTAACGCTCAGCGGATTGTTGATGTCGTGTGGATTGGTGCCGACCGGATTCCGATGAGGAGGCGCCGGCTGAACAGGATTCGGCGCTAAGGGCGGAGGAGGCACCGGAGGTGTCACAGGGCACGGGCAGGGGCTGGCCAAGCTCGAGGGTGACGGTAACACCAGGGATGGACTTGCCAGACTAGACAAAGCGGACAATCCCCCAGGACTGCTCAAAGATTCATCCTCTTCGGGAGTACCGGCCTCCCCCACGCTGCCCAAATTGTCCTCCGAATGGTCATCCTCGCCGTCTCCGTCGCCTTCGCCGTCGCCGTCTCCTCCCTCCCCCATGTACCTGATACACTTCTTCTTACGTCTGGAAAAAATACTGGTTTAGTCGTCACTGTACATTTAACGTATCACGGGGCTCTCTGTTTCCACGGGAGCGTCATCAGGTACACGGTACCACCAATTGGTACCGTTAAGCGTTTACGTGGACCTGCTGAAGCTCCCTTGTTCAAAACTCGGGCTCCCCTTATACTTTTTTATGTTTCAGGCTTTACACCTAGAAGGTATTACGTAAACTAAAAGATCATGCGCTCACTCGGCTCACTCCTCCTTCGTTACGTCCAAAGTCGTGCTGGCGCGTAAAAACTCTCGCGGTTCAACGTCTATGGACGTCGCGACTATAAAAGCCTCTACGGATTTACTCCGTTCGTCACTTTTACCTCCGTCTTCGTAATTATTTATATTTTTATCTCCTTTCTCGATCATATTTATTCCACATAACATTTCTCGTCTACTCACGATGCCCACTATTCTCGGAAGCAGAACTGCGAGTTTTTACGCGCGACGCCGACTTCGCTCCCGATGGATGATCACACGCCGCAAATGCCATGCTCAAAGTTAAGATGGAACAAGCATAACGTGGTAACGTACGTCAAATAAAAACTTAATCAAAACTATCGAGATCGCAGCAAGTCATTAAAAACGTATCATTGCGGTCGGGGTTTTCCTTTCTTTTTTTTTTTTTACAATGTTTTCTCACTACCACGTAGATAGATTGGACGTTTAGATTGAACGCAATTGTTAGATCATATTTTATGGAGGTTCAAAACCCATATCTTTATTATTACTATCGATTGTCATACGTATCCGTAGCTTGACTCTAACGTATCCCCCGCCAATACGGGTTTTCAATTACTTTTGTTAATTTTTTCCCTATCCTTGGATTACGAATTTATATATGACGCTACTACTGCACATTTTCGAAAGACAATCCAATTCATACGCTTTGATAACACTCGCGGGATTCGAACCCGTTTCTAAGTACAGTCGAGACGTTTACCGCTCTGCCATTGGCTCTCATTATTTATCTCGTTGCTGGAATGACATCAAAAGTGCAACACATTTAACGCATCATTGCACAACCAACGAATTGAAAAATTTGAAAAGGTTTTTTTTTTTGTATCGCATCGAGCCGAGGATCTGTATCATTATTTCTCTTATTTTTTGGGTTATTTTGAAAACTTCAGAGGTAAGTTTTTTAATTCAAAAACAACGCACGCCTAAATCTATATTGAGTAGAGTTAAATTTCGAGAAAAAAAACCATGATCAACCACACTTGATATTTACATAAATAATTAATACGTTTATACAAATACTTTTTTTTATGTCGTAAACGAAATTAAAGCTGATGACAGTCCTCAGCTCACGACGACGCTCTAGCACACAAGACTTCAAAATGCGACTGTCGCAATGGTGTTTAAATATTACGCACACTATACATTATAAGATATTAGACACTAAATACATATATGTATACAACACAACATCTTGTAATTGTAACGAACTGCCATGCTAAATTAGAGGAAAAAAAAACTCTATTAAACGTTCCGAACCGAAAAACCTGTTATATTACAGATCAGCCATGCTAAGGGTGACACTGAATAATATATAACGAAACAAGAATAAATAATAACAATAATAAGCCGTAAAGAGCCACAACAATGAGAAACAATGCGAGCATTAGGGCATCACTCTGCTGCTCACTCTATGCCATCCGCCCGTTCGAGAGCTATGACTTTCTACTTGTAAAAATTGTCACGTGAATATCGAAAAACGTAATTCCTCCTCGAATTATTAATTAAAAAAAAGAGAGACAACAATGAATTTCAATAGATATAACAAAATCGAAGTCATTGTAGTAATTACCAAAGCGAACAACACCGTAGAAATCGATCGTAAGACCGTATCCCATACTCGCGAACTCTTGGTTGTTAAACCGAATAGTTATTACGATTAAACAAAAAAAAAAGTGTCGAAAGTGAAAAATATAAGAAACGTCGAAACGTTAAGTTGTCGGCAACGAGCAGCGACCGGCATGAGTGAGAGCTAGCGAGCCCGTAGGTTTTAAGTCGGGACTGACCACTGTTTAAGAAGAAGTGTTGCAGTAGAAGGGAGGCGATAGGCTTGACTAGAGATTAACATAAGTGGGTTCTTGCTGAGGCGAGGAGGCATTGGAGGCAGTGTTGGTATTCGGAGGCGCAGATGTCGCCCCGACTGATCCGCCACCGCCTCCAGCTCCGACCCCGGCCCCGGCGCTACTTCCCACACCGTGATGGATTATGCTCGCGTGGATGCCCATCCCCGCTCCATGCTCCACTGGGCTGCCAAAACCAACCACCAGCCATTAAAGGGGCGCTCGGATCGACATCGTCTTAATCCCACCTTAACCTCACACCGTATCGTCGTCACCCACACGCATCGACCCTTAAGAACTGCCTCTAATTTGCATCTAATCCGGTGGACGATGACGCTCGAAAACCCATCGTACAGTATACAGGCGCATATGTAATGTATATATGTATATATAGAAAATATGAAAAATATACACTCGCCGGATGCGTCTGTGGGTACAGGGTGCTGGATTATATACGTTACTGATCAGAAAATATGTCTCCCAAATATTTACGTGTGCACGAAGATCGACTGAGATTCTTCTCCAAGAGGAATTTTGTTTTCTTTAAAATTGGCTGTTCAAGTGATTCGATACTCTGTGTTGATATGGACGGATAATGAATAAGACTTGGAGAAGAAGCGAGATAAGGAAATAATATAAAATGGACTGTGCGAGGACGAAGAAAGACTGCTGATGATGTTGTTTGAAGAGAATTACTAGAGCACACGCCAGAAGGCTGATTCTCGATAATACGGTTCAAATTGCAAGGCACGCGCGCGTTGCCGTGTTATCCCGTCGTCTTCTTTGTGTATCTTACTGTGACATCCTTTAACGACCATCGACGTGATCTCAACCGTGGATTAGATTGGTTTTCGCCCCTTTAATGAGGTCCATGACATTCACAAACCCAGCCGGGAGTTGGGGCGTTTGGGCGTACTATGCATAGTACAGTAGTTACAGTAGTTAGTGGCGCTAGACGGGTAGTTTATGATATATATATATATATCGCAATAACTACAGTGTGGTTCTAGAAGAGATATTTACAAGCAGTATAGGTACTATTTTAATACTTCAGTACTAGAGAGAAACCCATTCGCTTTTTTTTTTTCTTTTTTGGAAGACACATTTTCTGACGTTTCGCACTTTCACAGTGCTCTCGTGTAACAAGTGTTATGTGTGTCGCGTGTATATATTTCTTTTCCTCAACAATTTTTTTTTTTTTTTTTTTTTTTTTTTTTTTTTTTCATTATTCCACAGTAAACGAGACATGACACACCCATGTATTGGGCGTCTCAGTTATTTCATCTGTATTAAAAATTTTGTCTTTTCACTTTTTACGAACGTACGTGGTTCCACATCGTACCCCATTATCGTACCGAAATCGCGTACAAAGTTTTCCCTTACCCCCTTCTTCACTTCTCTCGAAAGGTTAACTTCCACGATTACATGTGGATGACGAAAACGGAGTTCAACGTGAGAATGTTAACGATCGTCGAAATTCAACCGTAACTATGAGGTGTCCCGTAACTGCATTGTCACGTGGACGACAGTCGGACGTTAGAGGGTACACTTGAGGTCTTTGATCTCGACGATCGCTTTTATTAGCAACTATTGACAAGAAACGAGACGTTATGCCCGATATGCTGCTCCAATTGTTAAAACGCAGGCTCGTGAAGAAAATAAGAAGCACGCGCCCAGGATATCTTCGTGCTGGCCAATCAGAATTCCGAATGCTTTGCACCGCGAGGAACGGACGAGACATCGTTAAAGAGCAATCTTCTTTGTATTAAATATAAAATGCCTGAAGAATCGTTCCTGATCGTTAGATCGTGATTTGCCATATCCAAGAGACTAATGAATCTAGCGTAGTTAGTGTTAAAAAAAGATAGTACCATTTCAAGGAAGGTAATGTCTGGAAATTATTATTATTACTTTATGAAGAACAGAGCGATCGAAACTTCACTTAAATTGACAAGATCAAATATTTGAATAGTAATCGTGATTACGTTCGACTGGTACAGCTGGCGCAGGAAGATACCCTCGAGTCTCGTGACGCGCGTTTAGGCGTTTGTAGAAACGTGGAAAACTTCGTGGAACTACGTGCTAGACGTAAACTTTCATAGAATTATCCATCGGCCTAGCCCTTGGATAAATCGTATTTACAACCGGCGCATAGAGATTGTGCAGAATTTGATGGATAAAAGAAATTGTCCTCGAAAGGCCACGCACATAATATATATACATATACATATATATGCGTATATATCATCTGTATATGAAAAATGGCGTCGCCCCAATGCGAACGTACCTGCATGGTTTGCACCATTGACTTTGTTGATCTAATCCATATCTGGCTCGGCACTTTTTCATGTTGTTACCTAGAAAAGAGAAGTCTCACTTTAATATCAGGAGTTCATCCTCGCATATGCACAAAAGCACATACATTACGTGGTTTGGGGCGGAGGAGGAGTATAAAAATAAGATCGAACACGAGGATCAAGAAGGGACCTATAATTTAAGATTAATTCTCTATAAATATATTTTTTTTTTCTTCGAGAATAAAAGGAACGCACAAGAAAAGTTCAAAATGCTCTATGGTGTGTCATAATAAAAATTCTATAACCGGGAAGGAAGAAGATTGTAGTGTGCATTGCTGGCGGATGAGAAACATTTAACACTGGGACGATATGCATTGTAACTGATGAGACAAGACGAAGTTCATTATCGACAAAGTAAAATTACTGTCCTCGCGACTCGATCGATTGATTCGCGAATAATTGCAATTGCGATCTTACGTGTAGAAGAATTTTTTTTAAAAGGAAATCGCAAATTGGTAAAACGCGATAAACTCAAATATAAATATACGTAAGAGAGAGAACGAGTGCTTGTGGAAGACTCGTTAGAAGATATCGCGTGTCAAGAGGTACGAGAGAAAAAGGGAGAGCTCGAGCAAGTAGGTAAAACAAAATGGAAAAGAGACGAGAAGTTTGATCGTTGTTTTTAGTGTCGACGATTCGCAAGGAATCCTGGTGGCTCGAAAAAGTCTATATATAGTATTACCTCTCATATATATACATATATAAGGAGAGAATGAGAGAAAGAGAGAAAGAAAGAGAAAAGACTCGAAGTATGTCCCATAGGAACGTTAATTAAGTCGAGGAGGAGGGGTTTTAGGCAAGCAAGTAAACGTTGTAGGCATGCAGTATATGTTAATAACGACGCAAAGTACCAGATGACTACTTCTGTCGTGATTGCATTACAAGCTTTAGGCATATTAATCTGGATGTAAGCTTGTAGGCATCGTGAACGAAAAAAAAAATTGTATAGGGTTTCCAGAAATACTTGGGTGAATAATTATAGAGGTAACGAAAAACAAAATCGAGGATCAGGCAACATTGAAACGATCAAAGGAAAAAATGTATAATTGAAAAATTGAACAGGAGAGAAAGACTGAGAGAAATTAAACGCTTAGGATTGTCTGATTGCGGAGTAGGTCCCTGTAAAAATGCAAGATGGCCAGCGTCCCCAAAGTTGTATACGTAATTAATAATAATAATAATTATTATAATAATTATAATAATAATAATAAATAATATATATATACACACATACAATATATATATATATATATAATATATATAATATATATGCGTATATATATATATATATATTTATATATATATACACACACACATACGTGTGCAGGTGGCGTATACTCATTAAGTGCGTATACGCAGTTGTGCACACGAGTGTATACGATATAATGAAATACATATATGTATGTATATGTATGTAGGTAATATATCGACCCAAAACCCCGAAACGGGGAAAACATGCAACATAATGTAGTGTAGCAATAATAATGTAAAAATGTAATAATAATAATAGTATAATATGTAATATAATGGGGGGGAAGTGGGGGTGGGGGTGGGGGATTGTAAGAATGTGTGGAGTGAGGCATGTGGGTACCTCCAGGATCACTGTTTGTGTCTTGTTTGCGCTTCCTCTTCTTAGTTCGGTTGGTATTTGCGCGGGAAGACCAGTCAGGGTACAGCTGCATGTGCAACTGTCTCTCCCGTCGTGCCAACTCATAATACTTGGCCTGTTCCTCTCGCCCTAGCGCGTGCCACTACCGAGAGAGAACCAAACACTTTTGTCATTGCAATTGTACAGGACTGTGTCTAAACAAATATTTAATCAAGAAAATCACTATGCTACTGCCGCCACCCGGTATATTTGCCTTTACTCAAAAGTTAGGTCATCTATAGGAATCATCGTTCGCTTTAGTAGCCAGTAACATTGGGGTCCCTACTTTCCGTTTAAAGTGCTAGAAGAACAGCCTAAGTTGCCCCCCCCTCGGTTTGCACCAACTTCTCCTATTCCACTATATTAATCTGTTTATCTATGCGTCTATTATTCGCATCTATAATCTTTGCCACGTATTCACGCATCCACGCATCCTCGGTATCGGTACATAAAGGTTACAGGGTGTCTGATAGAGCTTCCGGAGGAAGGTCCGCGAAGCTTACGACTCGTCGCTTATTTACGGCGTCACTGCATAAACCCGTCATGCAAGGTAAAATAATATTTTTATGCATCATTCAGCATCGTTTGATTGTGCCACGCGAGCGACGAGCTTTGATTTTGACGTATAAATTGATCAATCGACACGCGTAGCCGATAAATCTCTGTGAGAAAAATATGAGCGCGATATATTGGACAGTACTAACGTAAAAAATATTCCATCCGTGCAAGGCATTTTTGTTCCTCTCTGCATAATGTGAAGTTACGTGAAAATAGAAAATTTAACGAAAAAACGGCGCGCCGTGACGTTGCCGACCGACGGTCTTCCCTAGTATTTTTTTTTTTTTCGGGTTCTTTTTCGAATTAATAAAACCAAGTAACACCGGCCACAACGGGAATTGGGTGTTGACCTATCTGACACTGCATACTGCACGACGGAGACGCAATCTGCGATGGTTTAGCAGGGTTCGCGAGAACCATGTAAATAAGTGAAGGTCACACGAAGGGAGAGGGAGACCTGAGGTAGAGGGATACAGTCGCGCGATATTAGCTTGGGATGGAGATATAAGGAGATGCTACAAAGATGCTAGATGCACATGGTGCAAAATCGATAGTTACTTCACTAAAATATGTCTGGCAAGCGATGGAGAACGAGATTGGGAGCATCTCGTTAATATCGCGCCGATTAAACTCGAGGATCCGTATATAATAGCCTTCGGCCCAGACACGACGCATCCTGGATCTACCAGACATCCTGTACAAATTTCATATTCTTTCTTTTCAATCTCCGAGACGAATACCGCTTTAGGGAGTTGGCCAGATAAATTATTGCATTCGCGATGTCCGTTTTCTGCTGCCACATTCCACAATCCCCACAGACAATCCAATCCAATCCAATTCAATTCAATTCGTAATCCGCTCATCAAAGAGAATTACAGAAAACAAGTGACAAAACAAAAAAAGAAACGCACAGAGACTTTGATCGTTTCAATCAACCAATAGGTACTAGTAATTATTATAATGATTATTAAGGGCCTGCTGTTCTAGCACTGGAAAGTGGTACCTCCGGTGGGATCTGCGGAGCGCTCTTTCTTCCTCTTCTTCTTCTTGCTGCCGTATCCGTAGTTATCCCTGGCACTCCAGCCGGGGTAGCGTTGCTGGTGCAGATGGCGCTCCTGCCTGGCCGCCTCATAATACCTCGCCTGCTCCTCCCGGCTTAGCGAGTGCCACTGCGTATCATATCCCCAAAACCTTCAGATTTACATTCTCACCGCTCCCTCTCACCCTGTGTCCCATCATATCTTTCCCCTACTTCTCATCCTGATCATCCCTTTTCTCCTTTTCTTAAACTTCATTCTAATTCTCACTCTTATCCTCTTTCTCCTTCTTCATCATTATGAATTCTCTTTTTTTTCTTACGACTCATTAACCTCTTTCCGAGGGACACATCGAAATAATCGCCCCCTCCCATACCACCCGTCCGTCCCGTCCCAACCTTACCCTTACCCATTGTCACTCTCGTGTGACATCAATGCTCTCTTTCATCGGATCGAGATTCCTTAGATCCCACCTACAATGCACTATTGCTACCCAAGTACTGCGTAAACTTGGTACTTAGGTTAGACGTCGAACGACGCGCCGGCCTTTTACTCTCAAGCGTTAGACGCATGCGTTTTTATAGCAATTCTACAGTTTCCGAATCGTTTCCTATGCAGCGACTTCGGAAGGAGTCAAGATTTCGATTGTCGAATCGTAACGAGAACGAGCACACAACGACTAGACTATTTTTCCTATTGTTCAAGATGAGTTGTCGGAACTACTCTTAGCCTTGTTGTTTATTGGCAGACACATTTTATGATCATTTAAAGAGAAACTGTTCGAAATCCTTAATAAGTGTAATTGAAATTTTATTTCAATTACTTTATACTGCTTTGTGGAGTTGCGTAAGAATTATAGTAGATTCTCTTGTAAATGATACTATTTTACTTTAAACATGAATGTACTGTGGTAAGTATACTGTGTGCTTTGCATTCAATAACGAGGAAGCCTTATTGGCAGGAGCAAGAATGTTTCATCAGATACCTTGATAGGGTACTGTTGTACTGTTTTGTTTGTGACTACTTTGAAATGTCAGAACAGTGTAGCAACGTAAATCTAACCAATATTGGTATTTGCAAACTAAAGAGACCTCAATGTTAAGTTATTTGAACCAATAAATTACATATTTAAGTCATTTCACACAAGAACCTGTTCCTTTATTATCAAGTGTATGTTGGCTTGATGAATTTATTTACCAGTTACCACGCAAAGGTATCCACGTTCTTCAAAACGAAATCTTGACCCTAAAAGGAACCGACTTATCTTACATCATTAAAAGTCGCGAATGAGACTTCTTTTTACTTATGACATGTATTGTAAAGTGAAAAGGAATTGAATTGCGAGCTTCTACAGTATTCTTATAAAGGCCTGAACATTTTGATGTAAGAAGAGTCACTGTTCCAAGCAGTAAAAGTTCTCGATTACGTGAGGTACTCACTCGTCTTCCCAGGATTTGGTTGATTGCAGCACTTTCCTTTAACGTACATTCCGCAACGACTTTCGCCCTCATCTCCTTCATATATAGCATAAATGCGTTCAAAGGCTTTTTTATGTGTGGTTTCTTTTTGTCTATCGAAACAGTATTGAAAGATGTGAGAGCTTTTGATAAAATTATGTAAATCTCAAAGCAATAAACTTGTCACACATACCTTGATTATTTTGTTGCCCTGTGTCTTGTGTCTTTGTGTTGTCTGTTGCTAACGACGTCGAGTTTTTCTGCTCTATCGTAGACCTGTAACAAGATAATAGTATTTAAGTGACACAATAAAACGGTTTTTACAATTTCATGCTGATACAATGTGAGAGATTACCGTTTAAAATAAGTTTGCTTTGTTTCATGATTTGTGGATTCAGGTTTTACAGAGGATATAGGATAGGTCGCTGTAGAATTTTGAGAGTTACATAGTTGATCGGTCAAATTGGTTACTGGACCATCGAAATAGGGTTGTGGCATTGTTAATGGGTTTCTCAAGAAATTCTGTGGGACGGACCAACTCATTTGTTGCCACATACGATGTCGAGCTTCCACCATAGCAAGCAACTGCATGAAATTTGGCTGCGTACTAAATGGTGGTGGTGTAACACTTCGTGGTATAGTCATGTTTGACATTTGCATTAGACTACTCATGTAAAGAGCCGTTAGGATCTTATGATCTGCAGTAGGCAAATTTGAATTGCTTGTCTTGACAGCATCCTGTACTATCGCCATATTGTTATCTATTGTTTCTTCTGTTGTATCCTTATCGATGCTCTTTATTGAACTGACTATATTTTCATCGATGAGTGTCGATTCCCTGCCATTGCTATTTTTCTTTATCACTAAATTTAATGGCTCCAGACACTCGGGCTCCATTGCCATGTAAGATTATTTTATTATAGTGTTCACACCTACAGCGCTAGCAATAACTATATTCTTGGCACTTGATCCACCGATGACACACAACTTCAAAAAGATCCTCAGTCATTACCAATCTTAAGGTCATCAAGCTCTTCATCACCAATATTATTTTACAATATACAGTTCCATCCAGAAATGCTTATCCTAATTTTATACTGGCCAAGCCAAAATTATTTATGATCTTCACAGTCACCTCCATTTCAACACTCTCTTTATCCCCTCCTCAAGCAACATTTAATCGAAATACCTCAACCCGTTGGTAAAGAATAACAAGTAAATCTAGCTTGCGGTTACTTTAGCAATTTTATCTCGTTGGCATTGTCAGAATAAAATAGCAGACAGCCGATCCCATCTCATTCCAATCAGACAGACTCGTTCTACCCCCCTCACTACCCCACCTCTTTCACCAATTTTAATGGCTCCATCGCCATATGCGATATTTAGCATTTATGTCCGTCAAAGTCGTGCTGCACAGACGACCCGTGCGGCTGATTCTTCAGTTATTAAATCCCCGCAGGATGTTCCTAGCGGGGTGGTTTATAACACGTCGCGACTACTTCGCGAAACGTCGTCGCTAATATTGCCGCGGTGTTTCCACGATTGATTATCCGTGATGGGAGGTGGGTGCACGAGCCATCATTGCAATTCATGGCTCTACAACTACATCTCGTAGTACCCTTCCAATGTATAATTCGTGTGGGGGTGAAAATCGCATTTTTTTTTGGCGGGATTCGTGGCGCTGCTGTCGTGGCAGTTTATAGGGGTGGCACTTGATGCTACGCGGAGCCTTTCGAATCACCCTCTCGGTTTCCGATGTTTCATAGAAACAAGCCATACTATGTGACTCCCTCCCTTTTGGTTTTTCGTTGGATATTCCCCCGCTTCATCTCGTTCTGTGAATATTATTTTTTTTCTGCTCTCCATAACGATCGATCTCTGAAGTCATGCCTCGTGAAAGCTTGTAAATATTTCGTTTTTCTAAAATCGACGTTAAAACCTTCCACGACTAAATGTCCTCTTGATATTTTCACTTTTCTCCTGTTCAATTCGTTCTCAAGAATCCTTGTTGAATCCGCTCACACAATTTCACCATATTACATATCATGGATATTCCAGGTACAGTTGGCAACGAAGCGGCCATCATTGTTATTAGCATAAAGTCAGTATCGTAAATCTTTTTCTGTGATAGGCCAAGTTCTTCTTTAGTGTTCCGGAAAGGCTTCGGATCGATGAATTCGTCGGGAACCCATTGAGATGAGAGGAGCAAAGCTTTTAGATTCTGGCGCAACAGTAGCGTCGACACTTCGATCCGATAAAATGGTTGTCTTTGTGTACGCCTATGTCATAACGACTGACAATAAATAAACCGCAAATACTCGAAATATTCTTCAAGAAGTTATCAAGGAATTCTAAGCACTGCTATAATTAATTATCAAAAATGTCTGACGTAGTTGAAGGCAGTTGCCATTTTATGTCTTAAGAGAAATAGGACGAACGAATCGAGCAGTGTATAATGGCGTAAACCATGCAGAATTATGCAGGCCGCTAGAGATCACCAAGAAGTACTAATGTAAATTAGAAATCTGTTAAGAGGGTAATGATCAATACATAGGGAAAGCAGCGCAGACGCTGTGAAGCGGGGTTAGCTTTTGCCATTCGACAAGTGTTATTGTCGTCGATGCTGGGGTAAAAGATTCCTCGAGATGTGCTACCTCCAACGGCAATATTTCAAACTATCTTTTCAAATGCGTCAGTACCTCCATTATCATTCGAAAACTCAGGAGTTGGCAACACTTGCTGTTGGGGCTGTTATCCCTTGATGTAACCGCAGACCGATCGAATCAACATCCCCACGGCGACGTGTCTCACTTTTTATCGACGGGGTCTCTCAAGCTTGATAAAAGTTACCAGATGATTTGAGCGCTGGTAACCGACTGATAGTTTGACAAAAAGTATATTGCTTCTGGGTAAGTTCCTTGATATTCCGCTTGCATTTACCATTCGATTCACATCGAATAACCATTTTCGAAGTATAACTGGCGTTTCTTCTTTATCGATTTTCCATGCATTCCTTATCGACTCGGCGTGCGTCAACTGATTCTACTTGCAGAATTCGCCACTCCTTCCATTACACAACATCTGACGAGTCTTCGATTCTTTGGTTCACAAAGTTGCAGGCACAGGATGACGAGAAGTGAAGTGGATAGGTATATTAAGGGATCCATGATCTCGGGATTCTCTGAAAGAATACTTTGTCATTAATTTAACATACCTATGATTATGATCCAAGGTGGAATGATCAGCTTTCGGCGCTGAAGATACCAATGCGTGTGACGCTAACGCATGTGCGTGCGGACTTAGTCCAGGATGAGGTGGCATAAGACCCGTCGGCGAAAACCGGTAGAGATCACTGAAAATTTCACAAAGTTAGTATAACGAGAAATATTACGAACAACTAAACCTTATGAACTATTACATAGAGTAATAATTTTCATCGTACACTGACCTTGGTAAACTAGAACTTGTAATGGGTAAACTCGTAGGATACGGACTTCGGAAGCCAGCACTCGCTGGCGAGATAGGGTACATGCTTGGTGTATGCCTGAAATAATTTATAAGCATGTACATGTGTCATTGGCTTATGCGGTACATGAGTAACGGAATTCGATCGACATGTTCTCTTAAAATATAGTACAAAATGCTATGTGCAAGGCTGTAGATATTAGACAGTAGTACTCCAACATTTTATTGAATAGTTTTCTGACGTTATTTCGACTCTTATTAAAAATCTGTATAATAGCATATACAATACTATAGGATTACAGGGCGACTCTCAGATCCTCTAAACTCTTCTATACGCTTTGGAATACATGAAAATATAAATGAAGAGATGAATCTCCCGAGGGAAGAGGCTGTTCTTCCTAATTGAGAAAAGAAGAGCTAATCACCCGTGAAAAATCTCAATTTGCGGTGGGTCAGGCAGAAAGCAAATAACAAGGAAGGGAAGAAGGCTTCTAAGTGAGCGAAGTAGTAAGGGTGTAGTAAGGGTAGTAAGGGTGTATTCGGTCTAATAGACCGGAACTGAGAGGATGACCGGTTGACCGACCGCAATCCTTGGTACTTATCTCGAGATTTTCTTGGAAACTGGACTTGAATGCGAATATCCAGAATACAAGCAAGCACTATTTTGCTTTGCTCCACCACTTGGCCTGTTGGACTTACCCGCCACCGATCTACCCTACATATTCCGTTTGAGCTTTCAACCAGTTCTAGGTGAAATTCTGAATAATGAATTATTTGCATAGTTAGTCGCCCTTTAGAAATGCAGCACGAGTCACAGGATGAGCAATGTACATATACGTAAATTTACATCCTTCGTCAAAGCTGATTTTTTCACTCCTCAAAAAAAAAAAAGATTTTATAACTCAATCTTGCATTTTTATTTTTACATAAAAGAAATCTGTCCTTTTATTTTTAGAGTACTACCGACAACTTGCAAAAGCTTACTGCACGTGATATATTCGTATATTCTAATTTCTGTAAGCCTCACTCACCACGAAGCGGCGACTTGCGTCATTTCCGGACTGAGCATGGGGTAGGGGTATTGTCCCGTAGAAAAGGGGTACATTGGCGCTCTCGTCAGACCTGAAACACAAGAGTAACGCTACAATGACACCAAGGGATCAGAGTTAATTGGTGAAAAAAAATTACCACGTTTCACATATTCACCTGTAATAATGAAAAAAAAGTGTATGTTAATAGTAAATGCAATTTTTGTTTAAGTAAAATTACAATCGGCAGATTGTAACTAACGGTATTAATAATTTTAATAATCTGCTACACACGGCATAAGTATAAAAAGCCGTTCACCTACGGCTACCAAAATACCGGGCATATTTACATTGGCGGTACGTATTAAACAAATCTAGAATAAACATTATTACAGGAAGATCAAAGAAAAGCACGTTGATAGAACGAACGAAGCAGACTATGCATTTGATATCGATAACGTTCGGTTTGCACTGCAAACAAGCAACGTACTCCGCTCTGTCTGTGCTCTACTATTGAACGTTACCCCACTGGTTACTAGCCACACCCTCCTCGCGCAATATCCGACACCCGGTATATAACGTAGAAACGGCCAATTAGTTACAATGATTATTACTATCGCGTTTCACCTACTACCGTAATTCCCCACCCGTTACTTAAGCATATTAATTGTCCCTGACACGGCGATCCTTCAAGGTCCTCTCCCCCCTCCTACCAGCCCCTCTTTATCGCTTTATCAATTATCAACTACCAAAATATCTGCTTGGTATCAATTCGCGAAAGATCTATAATAATCAAGTGAAGTATCTGTAACGCAAGGATCTAAAGATCGGTTTGCTGACCTGTTAAAGGGTAGAGAGGGTTGAGAGAGAAATAAAGGATGTAAAGAGCAGGCGGAGCCACAGCTTCACCAATTATCGAAAACCCACAAGCGTCGATGTAGCGATTGGCTGGCGAGTGAAACTACTACGTGCTATACATAAGGTCCTACTGCGATAGTACATAAGGGTGGTAGGGATTTGAAGCTGTTGGGGTGGGTGAGGGTACAGAGGTTTGAGGGTCGAAGGCTGAGGACTGGATAGAGTGAAGGCTGGTACGCGCGCCTTTGCTGAACGAAATAATTGGCTTCATAAGGGCCGACAAGAGCCCGGGGTATCGGGAAGCCTGGAACACTATGACGAGGCCAATACTTCTCGCGTCTGGCTTATGAATACTTCGAGATACACTTTGGTATCCTACAATCTCGCCGTCTCTCTCTCTCTCTCTATATATATATATATGTACTGCTATTCAGTTGGCTGGTTCACACTCTTTTTACTCCCTTGCCCCAACCAACTTTACCCCTGTATGATTATTTTTTATTTTTTTTTTAGCTAGAGTCGCTTGCGTGTCCTCGAGGCGAATTAGGGTGGGGCTTCAGGACCCCGTCGGTTAGCCAACGCGTGGTTTTGTGCGATAGAGCCACTCGAGCCCTGAAATCATAATTAACGGTCCACCCGTTTTCCGTAATGAGACTGTCCTACCCTCTGTGAATATCCCTCGGACGTTCACTGAACTTGTCTTTTTTTTCTCAGGGCGATACGACAAAAACACTCGCGTTACACCAATTCATAACGATAGCGTGACGATTGGGACGTGATATGAGCAGTTTCGAGTGAGGTCTGGTATATTTTTCAAAATTTAGTACAGACTTTTTTTAATAGGTTCACCGTGAATGATTATGAGGCTGTCGATGGTATTTTCGGTATATTGAGGCAGCTTGGAAAATTTGCTAGGGTTCAACTTGCGAACGAATCGTTTCGCATGAAATGTGGATTCTGGGAAAACTGCAGTTTGAAAATTTAAATGTACTCGATGGTATGCGAATTCTCACGTATGAGCATTTTATTGAAGTACGGAATGGATTTTGTATTCAGCATAGCGGAAGGCCTGTACCTATGCCGTCACTTTACTTTGAAAGCGGTAATTTCAATTTAACAAAAATTTTTAAACACACAGGTACGTGTTTATCCTACTAGATTGTCATTAGTATGAAAAAAATTATTTTTTTATACAAATAAAAATCTGTACTTTTCATTATGGAATGCTTCCGTCATTTATAAAAACGAAATAAAATAATGCCTCTCTCTAAAGACGTTGCGGATATCATCGAGGATGTCGGTTAACCTGATAAGTCGAAAGATCTTTAAGGTATCCAAGGTCCAAGTGTAGAATCAGAGTATAAAAGGGGTAGATCTAATCGACTAGACATCTCCATAAACCCTTACAGGTATATAATGGCAGTTCGGAAACGGATGGATGGGATTTTGGACTGACTGAGTTTGGGAGGGGGGAGGGAGCAGGTTGGAACTATGGGAGAGGATGAAGAAGGGTGGGAGAAGGGAACGGGCGGAGGTACGTAATATCCTGGCGAGTCCGCGAGCTCTGTCATGTGTGCTTAATCACTTTCCAGTCGACTCGGCAGTCTGCAACCCCATTATCGGCGTCTCACCACCCGGAAAATTACTCTTTTATTCCCGAACAACCCGAAGTTCCGTGTGCCGCATGCGGTATGCGGCTTGCATACTCGACTTCGTCGCTGCCAGTTTTCAGCATTTTGCCTCGCGTCCGTTTCTATTCTATTTCCTTCTATTAGATCCCGAAGGAGGAAAAGAAAAAAAAACGTTAACGACAGGTTGACCGTCGTTACACAGCGAACGAGAAGGAAGTGAGACAGGAATTAAAAGAAATCGAAGGAATTCGATAAGTACGAGAATCGAATGAAATTTCAGTGATTATTATTTTTATTAATAATCAGGAACAATACTAACCGACTGATCGAATGGTGTATTCTAGTAGTGGACCAATAATGTAAGGTTGACATTTTTCAAACCGAACTGCGTGAGGTAGAAAGTGCAAGCAGTGCAAGGTGGTACCGTGTTATGCGATTGTTAAGCTCAAGCCTGGTACGAACGACACCCTTACTACCCTTACTAACCTTACGACCCACGCCACCCTTATCGCCCTTACATTCTAGCTGAACTCATTAATCAGCAAAACCTGATATCAATGCAATAGAGTGACGCGTCAATCCCGTCATGTCGGATATTATTAATTTTAAGTCAATTGTCGATATTTATTGGAAACTCCCTCGAAGCCCCCACAACCGTGCCCACAATTCTGCTACATATTAATTCCATTAGCCGTACGACTTAGCAGGCTCAGCCAATCAGAACCAGTTGTTTATCATCGTCATACAAGAGGTGACGACGTTGCTCAAAATTCAGTTAATTAGTCGTACACCGAACGACCATCTATATAGCCATTGACTACTAAACTAGAAGTTTTGGAATTTTCATCACAGGGTCTGTTCACACGAAGATTCACAAACCCGCGATCCGATTACACTAAAATTATCATACAAGCTGGTTCACCTAACCTAAGAATGTTGGATAAGACATTTTTAGATAGAAAATAAACAAATTCATTTTCATTCATCGAAACCGGAATTATTCAGAGCGTACATATTAGTCTTCAAAATTCAGGGTTGTGCGATTGCGCAATATATGTATATATAGGTATACAGGGTGTTCGTTATGAAACGCACTGTAGTAATACCGTTGCATTCCTTGTCAAATTCTAAGGAATACGTGTATTTTGATTTTTTATTTCATGTATCAAAATTTCGAGAAAATCAAGGTTGAAGTTGCAGTAACGCGACCAATCAGAACGCGTTTAAACGGAGCGTAGATGACGTCGCAAGTCAGCCCACAAGGCCTGCTTACACAAGGCCGATAACACTAAGAGTATCGTCTCTTGTGTCTTACTCAATTACATGCAGATAAACAGGGACACTACGACGATACTCTTAGTGTTATTGGCCTAGTGTAAGCAGGTCTTGCGGGCTGGCTCGCGACGTCATCTACGCTCCGTTTAAACGCGTTCTGATTGGTCGCGTTACTGCAACTTCAACCTTGATTTTCTCGAAATTTTGATACATGAAATAAAAAATCAAAATACACGTATTCCTTAGAATTTGACAAGGAATGCAACGGTATTACTACAGTGCGTTTCATAACGAACACCCTGTATACCTATATATACATATATTGCGCAATCGCACAACCCTGAATTTTGAAGACTAATATGTACGCTCTGAATAATTCCGGTTTCGATGAATGAAAATGAATTTGTTTATTTTCTATCTAAAAATGTCTTATCCAACATTCTTAGGTTAGGTGAACCAGCTTGTATGATAATTTTAGTGTAATCGGATCGCGGGTTTGTGAATCTTCGTGTGAACAGACCCTGTGATGAAAATTCCAAAACTTCTAGTTTAGTAGTCAATGGCTATATAGATGGTCGTTCGGTGTACGACTAATTAACTGAATTTTGAGCAACGTCGTCACCTCTTGTATGACGATGATAAACAACTGGTTCTGATTGGCTGAGCCTGCTAAGTCGTACGGCTAATGGAATTAATATGTAGCAGAATTGTGGGCACGGTTGTGGGGGCTTCGAGGGAGTTTCCAATAAATATCGACAATTGACTTAAAATTAGCTGTATAATGTACGTGGGACAGAGTAAAGGTGCAGGATAGGGTCGGCAGAAAGGGGAGACGGCGACAGGATGCAAAAATGAAACGGATCGATGCACCATTTCTGAAACGACGGGGGATGAGGACTCTGCCACAGCCTCCTACCCACATTCCCCCGTCGTTTCTATCGACGCCGCCCTCTTGGCGCAAATTCTCAAATAAACAGGAGAGAAATCGAAAACTGGAGCTAATTAGAAATACTCGTGGAAGTACAAGGTGATGACGGGTTCTTCGATTCGAGTGTAACGCTATATGCGATAGAGGAGTGCCTGTAGGAACGATCAAGAGCATTCAAGAGGGATGGAGTCAGGGAAAGAGTAGGGAATAACGAGTGAGACGGGGATGAGAAGAGAGAGAGAGAGAGAGAGAGAGAGAGAGAGAGAGAGAGAGAGAGAGAGAGAGAGAGAGAGAGAGAGAGAGAGAGAGAGAGAGAGAGAGAGAGTGACCGAGTCAGCCAAGGAGTGAGAGGAAAGAGGAAACGTTCGCTCGTTTGCAAGACAAAGAACTGCGCCGCCATATACGAACTCGTAGTCGTGCATAAACGCTATCAACCCCATCTACATATTCTAGAGCAGGCGAGCGCGCGTATCGTGATACCTACAGTGGGGTGTACAGGGTCTTTCAAATTAAAGTGGATACGAGTCCCGGCAACCCGGGCGTCGACAAACGCGAATTACGCTTTCGAGAGCGTACCTCTAGCCGATTTCTTGTATTTTCCATTTCCTTTCTTTACAATTTTTTTCTTCGTTCTTCCAGGATTTACGTACTGGTAATTAGTCTCAGCAACCATCTCGCACCATGAGTTATATAAAACATCACATATTTTTAGACCAGGTGAAAGCACGATATGGCAATCGTTTTTTTGGGATTTTTTAAGAAAAAAAAATTATTTCCACGATAAAACGAACGAATTTTACGTAAGATATGATTAAATTGAAAATTGATCTTTTACTCGTCATCCCCGTATTTTATTCTATTCCTATGAGACAATCACGCATGATCCAACTCTTCTACCGGATATTCACGTCTTCGGGTTTCTGGCAGGGGTTTATATTGACTGTTGATGGTACCGACTGGAAGGTAGACAACTGGATGGTAGAAGAGGGTAGGGAAGTCAAGAGAAGCTGTAGAATGAAGGGTGGCTCCCGAACCCCCTTGACCCGGCTCCAGAGGGAGACTGCATGCCTGGCTGATTAGCCTAATGGTAGGTCCTCTCCTCTTATTCTCCTACTCGACGCCAGTTCGCGAGCCTCTCCTCCTCGTACTTTCTTCTCCTCTCTTTTCAGCATTTTTCACTACCCTTCATTCCTCCTTCCAGCTTTTTCATCACTAAAGGTAAAACTTCCCCCACTATGTTCCCCCTTCAATCGACCATCGCCGCAACCCTCAACTCGATAAGAAATATTTCTTCAATTATATTCACAGATGTATCGATATCTACGAGGCACCGTTTTGCGTTACCCCATATCGCGATGATTCTACATTCATTGCTTTCGCGTGGAAATCAATTTTTAACTGTCGATTGACAAAAGTTATTTGGAAAAATTCATTCGTTGGGAATTCAAGTGTCACGTGTCATTAATATTTCTTTTACCAGACCAAGGCGTTGTCTAGGATTATAATCGAGACTTTCATATATGAGGTTAGTTTTTGTTTACATTATTTTAGTCTGTTTACAATATTTACAGCATTTAAATATTTACATCTTTCGATAATTACAGATCATATATATCTGGTTTTCTGGTTCTCGTTCAATTTTTAACTTGATGCGAGTACTAGTAATCACGGAAAGAAGGTGCTATCTGGATCGAGAGTGCGATATGCATCTGGTACTCTTACGATCGTGATATTATTATTTCTTAAAGATTTTATCAACTTTTTTAAAGGGGAATGACGATTGTCAGAATTTTACAGGGCTAGCTAACTTTGAGTTACCGTGCAGAATGATATATAAAATCAAATTTTAAACGTCAACAATTTATGGGTATATCGGTGAAAACAAATGTTTTTAAGAGAGTAATTACTTAATTGTAGGTAATGTGTCTGATTTGTTGATTGTCCAATGAACAGCAGTGACTATTCGTACAACTTTGAATATTATAATAAATTGAAGGGTAGGTGCAAAGTGCGTAAATATTAAAAGTGCACAGTGTGGTTCGTGATTAAAATTTGCAGTTGTTTTTTTTGAAATTTCAGAAAAAGTAAAACGCAAATTTTTTAGTAATTTCACTGCTAAGTTTAATCATGCAACGTCCTGTTTTATTGGTTTTTGATGTAAGTTACAGCAACTTCCACCTCAGCCACCACCACCATCCACCACCGCCCACATCCCGGTTTCTCATATATTTTTTTTTCTTCAATTTATTTTGCTTTTCAGCTAAAACGCCTCCACCGCTTCAATTGTGTGTGCTAAATTTGCAGTGAACAATTAACAAAAGCGTATGAAATTAATTTGTGTAATGTGTGCGTCATTCTGCAGTCTCAACGTACCACGAGGGAATGCTATTTCAACATTTTATCCCTTTTCGGTTTAGCGAATCTCCGCGAAATGAAATGATTTTGATTAACTCTCTCGACACAATATACAACGCCAACATAAATAACTCGTCTCGTTCCGTTGCTATTCAAAAGTCTGCCCGTCATTATCAGTATTACCTTTCGCGTTATCATTACTACTCAGTATTTATCACGAACTCGTATCGGAATCCGATGAGTAACGAACGCATTAGAGCGGCAAATGTATAAATAAATATTGCCGCGAAATCAAACGGAATTGAAAAGGTAAAAAAAATTGCATACATAATTTTACATATGCAAAAAGACCTAGTAACTTTCAATAAACAAAACTATTTTCAGTATATTAAAACTCTAATCCGTTAATTAGTGAACAACAAAAAAATGTTAAAAACATTCTATTATCGGAATTCGATGTATGAAAAATGCATAAATATATCTGTGATATATATAGCGTGTGGTCAAGACGCGCGCTCGCGCTCATGTGTGCGCGCGCGTGTATGTACAATATATACACGTATGTATGTAGAGGTGTGAGTGGCGAAGCGGAGCTGACCTGTGGAGGCTGCTGCGGCAAGAAGTCGTTTCCAGTGTGTGGGGTGTGGGGATGGCCCGTGGGGTGGCCAGTACTCACCGGCCGCCGCGGCCGCCTTCCCAGCGTCCAGTGCCCCATACGGTGGAATGCCCATGTGTGCTGGGGGTGGTTGCGTTAGGTGGTCCCCATTGGGGCAGAAAAAGGGTAGTCCACTCGGATGCGTCCCAGCCAGGCCCATTTTGCTTGCCTGGAACAGAAAGGTAGATACGTCGTTGGTGAAGGTTTGCGTCATCTGTTGCTCAGAGAATAATAATTGAACGTAGAAAAAAAACAATTGAAGGAGGCAAAAAGAACATTCAGTCGAACGCAGGTAATTATTTGAAAATTTGCAGGATTTTGAAAATTGAAGAAATTCAAATAAGACATATTTTCCTCTCCCTCGAATATTCGTGAGAGTAAACTGTGTCTTGGTTCATCTTATTTTCTTATTACGTGTAAGATATTTTAGGGAGGATCGAACGAGGGTAAATATATATTCGTTACTGTTCAGGAAACAGGAGTGGTGGGATAGTGGGATTTCATGTAGAAGCGCAGACGCGTGTTCCACTCTGAATATCCACTTAGCAATTTCTGGCTAAATCGCATTATGCACCCGAGTTAAATTCCGCGTGCAGCATAAAATTGGATGTTCGCTATTGTAAATTATATTTCAATGGATGAGCTGAAAATGTTCGATGATCTTCACGAACGATGGCGTTCGTTTAAATAAAACTTCGATATAACGATCAGTTGGCAGCCATGTTCTGAGCTGATGGATGACAAGACACCTGGTCCGGGACCTTATTGCCAGTGTCCTTCGCTAACTGGAATCCACGGCCTTGCGTTAGCCAAGGACATCAGCAACGCAGACAGCAGCGCAGGAAAAAGCGCTCTCGATGAGATTAGCCCGAGCCTTAAATTAAACAACAGCCTCTCTATCTCGGCGCGTAGCGCTGCGACGATCAATAGAGTAGTTTGTCGCTTATCAGCCGGTGCTTACCATAAGGGCGGCGGTATCGCGCATTGATCTGGCCGCCAGGAGAAGTCCAGGATCGAAAGGCTCCCTCTCCATCCAGAGAAGCACGCGTGAGAGGAGCTTGGCGGCCTCGTCGGCGTTGGGTCCTTCGTCCTCGTCCTCATCGAGGTCTTCCTCGTTCTCCGATACCTCGCTCTTCTCTGCTTCCGCGATTTCATTCTTGACGCGCTGCGCGAGTTTGCTTTCGTCATCGAGCATCCAATCGGCCAGGTCGGAGTCCCTGGTGTCAAGGCCAGCGTCGTGAGCGAGATTCCGCAACTCCAGGAGGAGCATCCTGTCGGCATTGTGATCGGATGCTCGATGAGGTCTCGGAGACATGGTCACGCCTGATGGCGGGTGCTGGGTATCATCTTGGTTGTGAAGGATGATCCAGCAACGAGTGAACGTCTCCGAACGGATGTCCAACCAAGCTTGGTGAAGAGCGACAAAGGCCTCCTTCAGAGTGAACTTTTTGAGATATCGCGCGAGACTGTTTCGACAGTTGGCTAGTCTTGCCGAATAGACGCAGGATCCGGAGAGAATGGTCCCCGCGAGGCGGACGCGTAATTCGGCCTTCACGAGTTCTGGCTCGAGACAGTCGCTGGGGATGACGAAAAGCCGTACGAGACCATCGGCCGTGACACATTCGTTCTCCGGTGGAAGGTAGTCGGCGCTCTCGGCAACCAGGATGGCTCCGTCGGGATGCATGGCCAAGGCTGTCACTGCGAACTCATGATGGAACCACCAGAGGAAGAGATCAGCTGTTAGGGAACCTCTACCACCACCCGCGTAAACGACAGGCTGGCTGAGCATGTTCACTTTGCTTAGACAACGTGGCCGCCAATGTCGTCCAGCCACGAGGAGTCTAGTCCGATGACGACCTTCTTGATCCGCTGCTCCCACCACCCAAACCCTCTCCCCATTCTTGGCACGGAGTCCGGGCAGGTCACGCCAGTCTAAGAAAGAAACATGTGCGAGATAGATTCTACTGTAATCGTAGCCTTCCAAGGCGGATTTAAGAGTTTCGATTGGCGCATGCGGGGCAGTCGTGGTGGTAGCGGTCAGAGAGGAGGAAGTTACCGAGTTGACCTCGGAAGAAGAGCCAGTGGAGGGTGACTTCACGGAATTAGATTGTGCTCTTGTCGTGCAGTACCTTTGTTCCCACTTTCCGGTCCCATCGGTTCCTCCGTTGTCTTCGAGTTCACCGGACAGACCTTCCCCGAGGATTCCAGCCTCCGAATCCCGCGTCCCCATGCCTGCTGAACTCATCTCCTCCTTGGTTCTCTTGGTATCGGAAGAACCCTCCGAGGTAAGATATTCGGCCAGTTCCTCCAGCGGTTTCTCTTCCTCCTTCTTGACCACGGAATCCTCTTCGACTTCAACTTCCTCATCTGCTATCTTTTTTAAGTTTCTATCCTGATCTCTATCTTCCTCGTCCACCTCCTTCCCCTCGTGATCCTGACGCACCACCCGATCAGCCTTATACTCCAGAACGCAATCCTTCCGACGTCGAGTCTTAACCTCTGGTACCTGGTAGTGCGACGTAGAAAGATGATTTCGCCGTTGTCTCTCGACCCAGCGTACCAGGGCATTTTCCAGGGTCTTCGTATCCAGGGGTTCGCGCATGCGCGTCGCGCATCGACCCTCGCGCGGTGCGGCTTTCCCCGTCGTCGTCTCCCCGGTTCCTCGATCACCTCGATCGCTTCGTTCACCAGCAGCAGCAGCAGCAGCACCGCTGTGCTGCGGAGTACGCACTTTCCGCCCTTTTCTAGCCACTTTGCTACGCACACTCTTGCTACCCCTCAGCGACATAATCGCAAGCGTTTCACGCGCGGCACCCGTCGGCAAAACGTCCTGACTACGTTGCACTGCATCCAGCGAGCCGGCCCGCTACTGAACGATGACTGAGCGGCTGCGACGCAGCCGTCAAAGGCCGGAGCGGGAACTAGAAGGCTTTGATGTACCACCGCCCGACGCGCACAAAGCAAAAGCGGCCCCGGCTCGTTGGTTGGCATGCCACGCCAGCGGGGAAGGACGTCTGGATACTGGATATCTATATCTACTAACCGATGTACAGTCTCTGTCATAGGACATCCATTCACTGAACTACCCACCCACGCATCCAATCTTTCATCTCTCCTCCTACCGTATTTTACAATGATTTTACACTGGCTGTACCTCTACTGTGTATTCTATTTCAATTCGTACATCGCTGCTTTATCCGTCCTTTACCTTGTTTATTTATTACATTTTAAATAAACTATAAACTCATCAAATATCATTTTCATGCGTCTGATAAAGAGATTATGGTAATTACCTGCTATTTACTGTGTATATTTATATCTTGTAGTATTTAAAGTTTATCAGCTGCGCCACTGGAAGTCCACGTGACGTATTGATATTGTGAGATATTTTTAATTGGTGTCGAATTCGGTAATTCTATAGGGGTTTACGTACAGGATCCCTAATGCAGAGTGATGTTATATTGGTCTACCTGACAATGGTACTTAAACGGTTCTTGGTCGAGTGTCAAGTTGTCTCACAGCTGTGATCACTGGTATATCGGGGTTGAGGATCAAAGCAAAGTACGTAGATCTGCCGTGTGATGCACGTTGAATAACAGACGGCTACAAAACATTTGTACTGATTAATTCGATATCATGAACAGAAATAATATATATATTGGAATATAAAACAATTGGAAAAATAATTTTCGATATTCTTAAATTCTGTTTTACCGACGCAGTTGGGAATTTTTTTAAATTAAATAAGTAATACTATTATTCAGTACTGCACGATGGCTACCGATACATGAGAATATTTCGAGGAATAAATAAAATGTGAAATACCTTTATACTTGAAAACTAAATATTATGGAATATTTGCAAATCCCCTCGACCTCTCATTTCCCCATCTAATTATTAACGTATAGGCATATAACAATTGCGCCCACATCAAACGCCGTATGACCATAATGTTTGTCACATAGTTGCGCGACTGATCCTCAGGCGTACGATCGCATTATCGATAACTACCAATCGAATTATGGTATCTGAACAGATGATAATTAGAAAATTAAACACAACTAACGGTGGGTTATTAAAATTTATCAATATCCTTTATAACACTAATACACGAAAGTGCAATACTGGTTACGCCATCTTACACGATTTAAGCATTTATTAATGCATACATTGTTAGAGTCATTGAAAATATATATTGATTTACGAAAAAGAGATAAATTTCTACAATTATCAAATTAGATGATTAAATTACGAAAATATAGATATTTTTTAAAGTGAATAAGTGTACGCCAGTGCTGACCTATAGTCACTGAATAAATTTCATAATGACGGTGTACCCAATATGCAGGTACCTTTATTCGAGGGTAGCATTGAAATTCGTATATTGTTCTACAAAACATTCGTTCTGGTATGAGTGATATATTTTTTTAAATTGAAAAGGGTCTTTATTTAATTGTAAAAAAATATGAGATTTAAAATCGTTTTTGTGCGGCACCGTTTGCTAGCACGAAAAGCTGTTAGCAGTGGCTGCTATGCTTTTTTATTTTTTTTTTCTTATTTCAATTTCATTTCACGTCAATTTCGGTTCCCTCCTGCGATGAAAGAAGCTTCCTCGAGAGTCTACGAGGACCGCGTCGAGTCAGGAACTACGGGCTACAAGCTCTTGAGGAGAACAACGAGGAGAAAAGAGCTCCAATTATTTTCCTAAGTCTCATCGAACGAAGCGTGTCTCCGGTGGAATATTTAACATTTCCGGTTGGCTAAATTTAATATTAAAAACAAAAAAAAAAGAGCAGACGACAAAATAATGAGAAAGACAAGAGTTACTAATTGTTTGCTATCCATTACTCGTTTATCGGTAAATATTATAGTAAGTTCACGATAAAAATAATTTTCACGCGTGACACGAAAAATATTCTCGGAAAATCAAGCGATTCTCTAGTACACTGTACGTATCACGAAGTGTACGTAAACTGAAATATATATATATATAACCAAAAAAAAATATATAAATAGTTCACGAGACAGTAATAATATGCATACACAGTAGATTTATTTTTATCAAATACCCAAGTAACACTTCGTCACCAAAAATACAATATTTTTACAATTTTCGCGCGCGTAATATTTGATATTCGTATTATTATAGAATTTCAGTGACGTCATTCGCCAAAAGAAATAAATGCATTTTCGCAGCAGCCCGTCACGAGTTGGCTATTAGGGACTTCAACATTTGAAAACGAAGTTCGCATCCAAGCGAGCCTTAAAGTGTTAAGCGGTATTACGAAGTGGCAAAGGGTGCGGGTATAAAATGGCAAACCCGGAGGATTACGCGTTAACGGTATGCAGGAAAGGTGAAGCTAGTAAATCCGATGTAGTCATCCAGGCACCCCCTCGTGCTTTCGTGAAAAGGTGAAACATAAATTGGTCCCGTTAACAGTAAGTAGATGCATGAATTATTCGAAATACATTAATCCGGCTGGCTTCCAGAGAAGTTCCTCCATTTTCCCCAAGGGGAAAAAGGACGAGAGGGGCGCGAGGGGAGGGTTGGTAATACCGGCAGAGATGGAGGTGGTACGATGAGGGGAGAAGGAAGGACGGGGAAAGCTAACGGGTGATACGGCGCGGGGGTGCTTCCTGCCCCTTCAGGGGGCACGATGAAAGAGAAAGAGAGAAGCAAGACAGGACGAGGGGTTTCGACATAGGGGGTGCGGAAAGAGGGGGAAGGGGGGTCAGGCATCCTACGCGGGGTGCAGCGAGGACGCTGAATGGAGCTGGTATGCTCAGAGGCGGCTGTGGCCAACCCCAAGCTGAGTTGCCGGGGCAACGCGGGAGGCGTAGGCAGGCGCGGAGGGTGGTTGGGACGCCGTGAGGGGTGGTTCCGTCGTAAGGAGGGGGGAGGAGGGGGGCAAGGGGGGGGAGATAGCGAAGCCGAGAGAGACGGACGGAGAGGGATACTCGGATATGGAGCAAAGAGAGGGATGAAGACAGTCGGGGAATGAAAGTGGGATGATGGCAGGTACGTACCTATGGGGGGGGGGGGAGGGGGAGGG